CAACCCCGACCTCCACGCTAACCCCACCCGCCCCAGGCCGCAAAAACCCGCGTAGTCTTCGTTTCCTTCGAAACCCTCAAACCCCCCACCGGCACCGACACCTTCATCCCCGCCGCCCTCAAAGACCCCACCACCCTCCAAAAAGACCTCGCCGCCCTCGCGGCCGAATCGACCGCGCGCCAAAAAACCCTACTCATCTTCGACACGCTCCACCCGCTGACGTCGCACCCGTCCACCGCCCTCACCCTCCCGCACTTCCTGTCCTCCCTCCTCTCGCCCACCACCTCCCTCCTCGCCACCTACCACGCCGACGTCCCGCTGACCGCGACCCCAAGCCCTTACGCCCCCCGCCCCCTCACGCTCCTCCGCTACATCGCCACCGCCGTCTTGTCCCTGCACGCCCTGCCGCACGTGCTCGCGGCCAGGGCGGCGCAGGACCGCAGCGTCGCGGCGCCCGTGTTTGGGCTGGGCGAGGAGATTGAGGGCGTGGTTGCGGGGATGGGGCGGAATGGGTGGGGGGGACGGCTGGAGGGGGGGAGGGGGAGAGGGAGGGATGACGGCGCCGCGGCGCTGGGGAGGGGCGTGGTGGTGGAGATGGAGTATAGGCGGAAGTCGGGGCGGGGGGTGAGGGAGTGGTATTTCGTGCCTACGGCGGCGGCGGCGGCGGTCGCGGCGGCGAAGGGGGGAAGGGAGACGGCGGTGCTGTTGGAGGATCATCCGTTGTATAGGCGGGGGACTGCCGCGGCGGCGGGAGGGGAGGCGCGGGATGGGGGCGAGGAGGATATGGATACGACGTTTAATCTGGGGTTGACGGAGAAGCAGAGGAGGGATCGGGAGGGCGTGGTGCTGCCGTATTTCGATGCGCAGAGGGAGGATGGGGGCCCCGGCGAGGGGGGGAGGATTTTGTATGACATGGGTGTGGAGGACGACTTTGATGAGGAGGAGGATGAGATCTAAGTGGGGTGCAATTAGTTTCTTGGAGTTAGTATTAGAAGCATATCAGCGGCGTCTTCGAGGATGGTCGAGGTGAGACCAGTCGGGATTGATGCCTCAGGCCACAAGCGCCGATCGCCGGGCGCGGTGGCCTGTGCACGGCGGGCCGCCGACCGCCTTCCTTCGTTTCTGAAGCTGCCTCGTCGCCGCTGTCTGTCCTACAACATCCTCTGCGAATCTCAAGGCCCGCGCCCGGCCAAATCCTGCACCGCCCACCCTCGTATCCTGTCGCCTTGCAACACGCTCTACTCGCCGCATTCACCTTAACTCCCACGCAGACAGCCGACCTGAGCCCCCCCGTCCTACACGCCCAACCAATCGGTGGTTGAACGTTTGAACACCCCATCGCGCCGTCCACGAAAATATCCACACTCTCACACACGCGCCGCTCTCGAATTGAGGAGACCACACCACGCGCGAAACAACAGCCATGCCCGAGCCGCCGGCCTCGAAGCGCGGGCGCCGCCCAGACTCGGCGCAGATGTGGGACGACAACGACCGCGGCAAGCAACCGTCGCGGCGAGGCAGAGCCGACGGGACTCACGCGCGTGTCCGGTCGCGGTCACCGCGGGACTCGGACCACCACGAGGGGGGCGGTGGTGGCGGTAGCCGCGGCGGACACAGCAGGCGCGGCGGCGGACGGGCGAGAGACCGGAGCGGAAGTAGGGAGAGAAGCGGAAGGAGGAGAGGCGGTGGAGGAGGTAAGCTGCTGCAACCCATGGGAACGCTTCCTTTTCCTGTTGTGATGTTTTCTTTTTCTCGCTTGGGTTGTTCATCGTGGGTGGGTGGTGTAAGGCTGATACTGACTTTTTTTTGTTCCGACAGACGACCGCGCGCGCTCGCGCTCGCCAAGACCTAGCGATGGCAACGTGCGCCGCCGCTCTCCGCCGAGGGGGCCGCGCGGCGGCGGCAGCGGCGGTGGCAGGGGAGAAGGACGGCAAGCGGCGGGTGCGGCGAATCACGCAAACGGAATGAAGAAGACCGCTGCTGCCGCTTCTGCGCCGCCCACGTCGGGCCGCACTCAGCCCAGCTCGCGGGAGTGGACGCGCAGGGTGCAATCCCGGGCGGGAGTTACGGTTGCCGGGGGCATCACGAACGGCGAGAAGGATGGCGACAACCAGGCTGCAATGGACGTGGATGCCGGCGGCGATTTGGACCCGGAGGCGAAGGAGATGGAACGGATGATGGGCTTTTCGAGCTTCAGCAGTACGCATAACACGAAGGTGCCCGGCAACGATCTGAACTACGGCGTCAGGAAGGAGAAAAAGACGGAGTACAGGCAGTACATGAACCGTGTGGGAGGTTTCAACAGGCCGCTCAGCCCGTCGAGGTAGATGGGCACGAATGGGTGAATGGACCGATAGACTGCGGAGGGAATGGCATAGCATTGGCGTTGGCGGGGATTCTTACGGCTTTGCTTCTTTTCTTCGGAGCTGGAAATTGCCCCTGCTGGATGCGATGGTTCGGATTCTGATGGAAGGCTTCGAGCTGCGGATGCTCGACGCCTGCGAGGCATTGATACCAAATAAAAGCTCACTTGACTTCAGCGCTGTCCCACGGCTGTATCGAACACAGTCTCTTCTGCCAATGCGTCAACCGGAACCCTTGTGAAGCTCGTGGCATTGTTCTCATGTGATGAGCGAGTGCAGGGAAAATCGCCGGGTCAATGCGGTGTGCGGAAGTGTGGGCGGGAGCTTTGGCGTGCGTGGGTCAGGGCGCCACGTCTCCCACTTCGCGTCGACCGCTACTCGGGCCGCGCAAGCTGCTCTTTCCGTCAACAACCTCTCTCCCAGGAGCTCACCTCGACCAGAACCCCGCCAATTGAGATTGTTCACCCATAATGCGTCCACTCAAACCGCCGTCGCCCGGCCGGAGGGGCGGCGTCGCCCAGAAATCTTTCGCCGCGACCAGCTTCTTCGCCGTCGCCGTCGCCGCCATCTTGCTGCTGCTCAGTCCGGCCGGCGCTCGTGCTGACGATGCCGATGAGCGGAGCGAAGTCGTTCAACAGATCGAACGCGCCTCCAATGAGAGCTTGCTATGGGGCCCCTACAAGCCGAATCTCTATTTTGGCGTTCGCCCGCGCATCCCCAAGAGCTTCGCCGCGGGTCTGCTCTGGAGCAGGGTGGAGGATTTCCGGTCGGTGCAGGATAGTGCGTCTTCTCCATCCCCATTCCGTTTTCTTCGAGAAAGTGGTACCGAAAGAGCTGGCATGGAAAGCAATTGGCATGCTTCGACAGCTGGCTTTGGCTGACGCTCGCGGGACCTGTTTTCCAGACTTCCGCCATACATGCGAGCAGCACGAAGGCATGGCCGGCTACGGCTGGGACGAGTACGACCCGCGCACGGGCGGCAAGCAGACGATCCATGACGCTGGCAACCAAATCGACATCACGACCGAGTTCGTCAAGGTGCCGGGCGGCGAGCACGGCGGCAGCTGGGGCCTACGCGTCAAGGGCAACCCGCGCGACGACGCCCCGGACAACCTGAAGATGACCGTGGTCTTCTACGCCTCGATCGAGGGGCTCGGCAGCCTCGAGGTGCCCGTCGAGGCCGAAGACGAGGCGGGCTTGGGCCGCGACGGCGACGTCGACATCCAGGGCCAGAGCCAAGGGCTCGGCTCCTACACCATCAAGGTGACCAAGGGCAAGGGCGAGCACCCCGAGGAGCGCCATGAGGCCTGGGATGAAAAACCCCTGGATAAGACCTTTGTTACTAGCGCCCAGCTGCCTGAGCAGGCTATGTGGCAGGTCAAGGGCGTGCTGTTCGCCGCCATCAAGCAGACGGTTGATAACTTCGTCGCCCGCTTCGGCACCGAGGAGAAGATGCCCCCGCCTGAGCAGATCTACACCATCGCACATAAGCCGGGCATGGGCAACATGCACTTCGTGCAGAAGGTTTTCGAGGGCCCCTTCGAGGTTAGTGTACAGCTTGGGGAAGGGTTGCTTTTGGGCATGCTGACGTGTGGCAGTTCGACGTTCTCTTCTCTTCCGCTTCTGCGCCGAAACCCATGACTTGTAAGATGTTTATTTGTCATTGTTGCTATTTGTGCTGACGATATGATAGCCGAGGACTTGACCGAGGAGCTTGACGCTGCCACTACCGCCTTCTCCAAGCGCTACAATGATGTGATGAAGCCCCAGGCGCCTTTCGATGGTGGCAAGTACGACGAGTTCTCCAAGTCCATGTTCTCCAACCTTGTTGGTGGCATTGGCTACTTTTACGGTGATTCGCGCATCGACCGCTCCTATGCTTCCGAGTATGACGAAGATAACGAGGGCTTCTGGGAGGAGGCTGCCGAGGCTCAGACCAGAAACAAGCCTGAGCTTGAGGGCCCTTATGAGCTTTTCACTAGCATTCCATCCAGGCCCTTCTTCCCGAGAGGCTTCCTGTGGGACGAAGGATTCCATCTCATTCCGATAGTCGACTGGGACGTCGATCTCACTCTGGAAATCATCAAGAGCTGGTTCAACCTTATGGATGAGGATGGCTGGATTGCTCGCGAGCAGATACTCGGTGCCGAGGCCCGCAACAAGGTCCCGCCGGAGTTCCAGGTTCAATACCCTCACTACGCCAATCCCCCCACCTTGTTCTTCATTCTGTCTGCTTTCATCGAGAAGCTGCAGGCTCAGGCTCCTACGGATGGCTCTCAGCAGCCCCTTGTTTCGGGCGAGAAGTACACGACGTACCTCAAGAACCGCGAAGCTGCTCTCCAGTACCTCCGCGACCTCTACCCTCTGCTCAAGCGCCACTACTTCTGGTTCCGCCGCACGCAGTCCGGTGACATCAAATCCTACGACCGCGAGGCCTTTAGCACCAAGGAGGGTTACCGCTGGCGTGGCCGCACCCCCAGGCACATCCTGACATCTGGTCTGGACGACTACCCGCGCGCCCAGCCGCCTCACCCTGGCGAGCTGCACGTCGACCTGATCGCGTGGGTCGGCATGATGACGCGAAACATCAAGGACGTCGCCGCCTTCATCGGCGAGGAAGACGACGTCGCTGAGTTCGCCAAGTACGAGAACGCCATCATGCGCAACATCGACGATTTGCACTGGAGTAAGGAGGAGAAAATCCACTGCGACTCCACCATCGACGACTACGAAGAGAGCGTGCTCGTCTGCCACAAGGGCTACGTCTCGCTCTTGCCGTGGTTGTTGGGCCTCGTTTCGGATGAGGAGAAGGTTGGCAACATTTTGGATCTCGTGGCCGACGAGGAGGAGATCTGGAGCCCCCATGGCATCAGGAGCTTGAGCAAGAAGGACGAGCTGTACGGCACGGATGAGAACTACTGGAGGAGCCCCGTGTGGATGTGTATTAACTACCTGGTGGTTGTGAGGTTGCTGGTGCGTTTCTTCCCTTTTCCACATCCCCTTCCCCTTTCTTCCCCTTCCATCTTTCGAATATCGCTAATGCATGACAACAGGAAACCGCCCAATCCACCAGCCCGCACGCCGCCCGTGCGGCCAAGCTCTACTCGGAGCTCCGCAAGAACTTGGTCGAGACCGTCTACGAGAGTTGGAAGGAAACGGGCTTCGCGTGGGAGCAGTACAACCCCGAGACGGGAAAGGGCCAGCGCACGCAGCACTTCACCGGCTGGACCAGCTTGGTCGTTAAGGTGATGACGTTCCCCGATGGGAAGGACTTGAAGGTTGGTGTGGCGCCGCAGAAGAAGAAGGCGGGTGGGCATGATGAGTTGTAGATGTGTGGTTGGGTTTAGGCAGCAGGCTGGAGAGTTTGTTTGCGAGTAGATGGGAGGAAGTGAGGTAGAGAGACTGCAGAAGGATGTGGTGGATTGTATAGAGCTGAAAAAGTCGACTTGAGGTTTGGAATGTATGTATGTATCTGATCATGATAGTATTTTCTACTAGGTATCTGGGCAGATCGGACTCGAGTTTCTTTTGCTGCCTTTGACTCTTGTCTTGCTGGAATCTTTCATTAATCTCTGTTTTGACCAAGATGTCTTCGCGTGCTAACAAAGCCAGACTGTTGTTACTGGTGATACGCTCAGAGAATTTGATAGTCGGCCACGTCATCACATACTCGTAGTTGATAAGGACCAGCTCTCCGCAGCCACTTCTGAGTCCTAAGGCATACATCATGACCAACATCAAAACAACACCAGCACCGTACAGATATTCAAGCTGTAGCGTCATGGCTCACACCATGATAGGAGGCTGGCGGTTAGTGCTCCCCTCTCCGGTCAGGATGTCCACAGCCTGTACGTGCTGCATATTGCTTGCGGCATTCCCAACGTAAGAATGATCAAGGGTGTAGGTACATGACCAAACTTAATTACAAGCTGACCCGGTAGATAGCATAGAATCCAGAGGTGGGAACAGGCAGCCCGCCGGCAGCCCGGGCGTGAAAGCGGTAACAACACCCTTTGTACGAACAGCAGCCGAAGCCTTCCTTCTCATAGATCTCTCTGTCTTTTGGGGGCGAATATTATCCTTTTGCCCTGTAAATTCCCCGTCTACTGACCCGTCTCACAACTTGCGAGCCGATCGAGTATGCAGAATTCCAGCATCGTGGGTATGACGGCTTGCTTTTTTTTTTCTTTGTCTCCCTGATTCCAAGCAGTGCGTTGACACACGACTACTATTTTCTTCGCTCTTTGTCTAGGTGCCAATGCAGCGTCCTGTCTCGCAGATGGTGGTGGTACGGGTGCCGGGCGCTCTGGGCTGGCTGCACCATCATTTCGGTTAGCAGGCTTGAGCTTGCTTGCTCCAGACTCTCCAACTGCGGCTGCCGTGTGAAGGCTTTAGCATCCACGGTCTGTTGATGGGCCACGGTTGGCTGGCTGTTGCGGTTGTGTGTGGCTGATGAAGTTAGTTGTCGAGTTTGTCGTCCGTCTGATTTGGGCGATTCGCCGTCGTCTGATGCGATCATTGCCAGTGGTAGACCCCTGATGCATGAAATTATTTTCCTTGGTACCGGCCCACGGCCAGCACTGACGTGGAGACCCCGATGCGGGTGTTGATGCAGCAGATGCTGTTACGATCAAACAACTGCATACAGGCAGCCGAAAGAGTGATCGTACATCGGCGCTGCGCGGTTGCGGTGCGAAAGCTCGAACGACGACGAACGAGCTAGGCCGGATGCTGGCGAGAAAGATCTCGGAGATAGTGGCGGCGCAGGCGCGCGAGTCGGGGAGGGCCAGGAAGGTCAGGGGTGCGGAGGGGAGGAGCATCGTGGCGGCGGATGGTTCTTTCCACGCTCCCAACTCAACTCCACGTCTCCCCCACCCACCACCCACCATCACCACCAACCACACCATCCTTCGCCTCACGCACCCACGTCTCAGGAAAACCCCACTGCACCGCATCCACCTCCCGCAAGCCCCTCCCCTCCACCCACCCCACGCACGCCCTCACCAACCCCATGACAACCTCCACCATCCTCTCTCCCCCAATCCCGCCCAGCAACCCCGATCCCACCCCTTCCTCCTCCGCCTCCTCCTCCCCCTCCTCCCCCGCCGCCGCCGCAGCCCCCCTCACCCCCAACGCATCCACCACCACCGGCAAATCGCCAAAATCAAAATGCTCCGCGCCCCGCACCCCCACGTCCCGCAGCCACCCGCTCTGCGCCGCGCCGAACTTGGCCCACGTCGCGTCCGGCCGCGGCGGGCGCTGCTTCGCGACGAGCAGGAACGGCGCCGGCGCGAGGTCGGGATAGGGCCGGTTGGACCCGGAGCCGTTGCCGTGCAGGTCCCGGATGTCGAAGAAGAACCAGCCGTCGAGGTTGGCGCCCGCGAGGAGCGGTGGGAGCGGCGGGCTGCCTGGGACGGTGGCGACGGTGTTGGCCTGCGCCATGATGCCCGCCGCGGCGGCGCCGCCGATGCTGTGGCCGAAGACGAAGAAGGCGGTGGTGGAGGGGTCGGCGTCGGCGTCGGCGTCGGCGTCGTCGTCGCTGCTGCCGTCGCCACCGCGGAGGATGTGCTGTTGGTCGGCCTGATCAAATGGAGACTGAGACGACGACAACGACGGCGGCTGGGCCAGAGACCGCAGGTACGCCGGACCCTGTCCCAGCAGCGCGGCGGCGTCGGCGAGGCGGTGCTCGTAGATCTGCTGCAGCTGCGGGAAGGTCCAGTTGGCGAGGGGCGGGAACGCGCTGTGGACGCCGCCGCCGTCGCCGTCGCCCGGCATTTCCAGGTACGGCGGCTCGCCCGGGTGGTCGATGGCGTAGACGGTGTAGCCCCAGGACGCGAGCTCGGAGAGGTAGGTCGTGTAGGCGAAGCACGGCATCCCCGCCCCGGGCATGAAGAGGATGGAGGGGCGCGCCGGCGTCACGGGGCAGGTCCTGGTGCTGGTGCTGATGCTGGTGCTGGGGAGGCCCGGTGCTTGCCATTGGAGTTCGGTGACGAGTAAGGAGAGTAGAGGGGGTGGGATTCCCAGCGCGGAGCCCCAGATGGCGGCGTTGGTGGCGTCGATCCAGGGCCGGGTGCGTTGCGGGGCGGACAGCGTCGGGCCGTATGTCGTCACGAGGAGCATGGTGCCGTCGCCGCCGCTTCCGGCCGGCGCGGTGAAGTCGTCCAGCGTGGTGTGGTTGAGGACATGTTGGTTTTGCGTGACGTGGTAGGGGCCGGTGGGTTTATAGAGGAGGACTTCTGCGGCAGTGGTGCCGACGAGTGCGACGGTGATGGCGAGAAGCCTCATCCTTGGAGTGCACGCAGGGCCCTGAGTGTACCTGTAGATATACACGATGGTCGAGGTGTGGCTGGGTGTAGGCCGCTGCAGACGTTGGCTCAACCGGTTCCCCACTTTCCTTTTCGGGGCTACTGCTTACGAGCTAAAGCTACCTAGCTCGCTGTGTGACCTGTTATCTTCGTCTTCATCCTTTTCGGACCCCAATACAGCGCCATGGTGCCGACAACATAAAAATCGACATACATCCACCTTGACGACAACCCACCTGTGCTGGCCAGGGCATTGGAACTGGAGTCGGGTTCCTGAAGTTCTGAAGCTCCTGTTTCACATGACGGTATTCATCCGAAGACCGCCACACGCTTGGCCAGTGAAATCGTAGACCGCCAGCATGACACTCAGGGAATGAACCCTCCATACTCTCCATATCCTCCATATTCCCCACAGCCTCCATACTCTCCATACCCTCCATATCCTCCATATCCTCCATATCCTCCATATCCTCCATACCCTTCATACCCTTCATACTCTCCGTGCTCTCCATACTCTACATGCTGACGGCTTCCATTCACGGTTCCCGTAAGCCCAGTCAGTTCTGCCCACCCCATGGCGTCACCTGCGTGACTACGAGCAAGCTGCTTCGCCATATGCGTTTCATCAAGTTCTTCCCGATCCCCAAGCGTGCCCATTCCCCCGTAACTTCGCACAATGTTAGCATCAAACCTTTTTCCCCTGCGCTTGTCCGCCTGGTTCTTGTTTCGATTTTGGTAGATTTGTCGGAATGCGAGAGATGCTTCACGTAAGATGCGTCCCCGCTGCCACGTGCTGACTCTACCCAAAGCCTCTTCAGCCGGGATCGTCGGCCTACCTGCAGCAGAGCCGATACGCACACCTACGCTTAGCCGGTAATTGTCTTTCTTAGCGGAATCGTCAAACACGCACCCCACGTAGTGACTGTCTACAAATGGTAGTGATACGCCCCAGAAGGCATGACTCTCGTCTGGCCAGCTGATGCCTGTGGCGGCAACGAGCAACATCGGCAGTCGGTCGAGTCCCGCAGATTCGCTCTGAAGAAGGAGGCAGTGCTGCCAGTTTTCCTCCAGCGTCTGTCTGATGCGAAACTCGACCGAAACATGCAACGCAAAGGGTCGCAAAGCCGCCTTGTCTGCCGGCGTCAGAGTGCGGTATCGCCATTCAGCGATGGCAGCCCCGGAATCGTCAATCAAAGCAGCCACACCCGACGATTTGAAGCTCACTTGATCGTAGATGTTGGCGGGAGCGCTGTCCAGAAGGTTTGAAGGGCACCAGGAAAATCCGCCGCCGGCCGAAACCGTGTCGTGCCCATGGAGCAGAAAGCTGAGCGGCACCTCAAGATACAAGCGCAGTATCTTGACCGTTGCAGTCGCCGGTGAATCTTCGTAATCGTAGTCTTCCGCTCGAGCCAGCATCGAGGCAATGGCGATGCGGTCGCGTCCCCAAGTTGTCGAGCGTGTCCTTAGAATCATCAGGATGTCCGAAATGCTTGGCTCATTCTTCCGTAATCGTTGCAGTACTGTCGATGCAACTTCATGGCCAACTTTCACCAAAGGCATCTTTGCAAGAATGTCTTCATCTAGATCTTTGATGACCTGTCTGGAGTGGTCATTTGGATCTCGATATATGACTTTGACAGACGTGGATACCGAGAGTTCCAAGGCCGTCCAGCCACGGCTGAACCATGGTGAAAGGACGAGTGCCAGAGCAGGACTACCATCATTAGCCCAGTCAAACTGCAGAAGATACTCGTCGTGGACGACGGTATGTTTGGCGTGGGTGTAGTTCTCTTGCATCTTGCTTATAGCTTTCCGTCTCGCTTGTTTCTCCGAAGGAATGCAAATGGCATCCCACCAAATGCCGTCACAATCCAGTTCGTCTGCAATCTTCTTGAAGTACATGAACAGGCAGTTGTTGACTTCTCCAGAACGGCCGACGCCAACGCCAGTGCCGTCCGACCAAACATGAGAGATAGCCATGATATCTTTCGGTGGAGGAGACAAAGTTACGTGGTCCAAGTCGACATCTGCTGTTGGCCAGGCTGTTGTTCGGCCTTGGTGGACTGCGTCGTTGAGCTCTTCGGGTGGGAAAAAGACTTGGCGGCAGTCTTCACTTGCACACTTATGCAATTGCTTCTTGAGGGTACTGTTGACATCCGAAAAAAGGCAGAATTCCGCAGAGCAACCGCTGTGACCCTCGTGAGCGAAAGATTCTGGGGAAGGCGACTCCTCTGCAAGCTCCATCAAAGAGGGCAAATCATCTCGACCCAGGTCAGCGCTGTAGGCCAAATTCCAAAACCGGTGGGGGCAGATGTGTAGTTTTGCTGCCTTCTCCAGTGCCTTTTTCACTGCCAATGTGGTTACTCGCTGTGGCATGGCGCCTGAGTACCGAACCCAAGAACTAGCTTTGCCCTTCTTATAGCTCAGAAATCCATTTTGAATGGTCGTGCATGGCAGTTGGACCTGTGTCAGAAGGAAGTATACGACCTTGCAAACGTCAAAAACCATGACAGGATCCCCGGGAAGCTCGTCATCCTTCTTCAACTCAATCAGTTTCTCTGCTTGAAATGCTGAAAACTCATCGAGCCATTGGTATCCCGCTCCAGCTGCCGAGAGCTGACAAGAGGCCGCACCGAGAGCCCACTTGCGGAAGCTTTTCCATTTTTCACAGACCGGCATAGCCTTCTCCAGCTTTGCCATCTGTGCGCGACAACGAGGGAACCGGCATTCTCTCAAGCGAGTTTTGAGGCAAAAATATTGGACCAGTTCAAGAAATGTGATGTTTCCCTTCGCCCACTGGTACTGTTCCTCGTGCTCTTTTGTCCCATCTTGGTATTCATGACCAACTAGAGTTTCCGGATAGTCCTGGGGGTGGAGATCGTATAAATGGACGTTTGCACACGTTCGTGCCTCGGCACCACGGGTCTCGATATCCCAAAAAAGCGAGCGGTCTGGCTCCAAGGGAGGCATCTGCGATTCTATCCATTTCCCACCGTCTGGATGAAACCCGTGGTTTCCGTTGGGGGAAGATCTTGCGGCGCATTTTCTCTCTTCCAAGGCGTTGGTCTCATCAGGCGCCGGAGTCCCAATCGATTTGAGGAAGGAAGTTCTTGCCGACTGTTGTTGCTCTCGTACTTGTGCGTTATTGGATGACCAAAGGTCAATGACTTCCGTCCAGTTTGAGTCCATCATTTCTAGTGGTGGGCAGTTGTGGTAACTTCGTGGTGTAAGGAGGTTGTTCAACACGATCAGAGGTCTCCATGAATGAATCTCTGATCTGTTTCATAGTGAGATCCTCTCGATATATATATCCATCCACATAAGCTGTGGCTTGATTTATTACTGTGCTTTGTTGAACTTTTGCATGTGGTTAGTCAATGTGGGTCGCTTGTGTAGTGTTTGGGTGTCGATGAGGCTATGTGAGCCAGTTCCTGACACGTGGTGCTTAGGACCTTACTTTTAGAGATCGCACACTAAGCGAGATGAGATTTTCACCCTCGTACTATTCTAGCCTGCCACGTCGCGATTGACACTGCCAAAAGTGGGGGTTCAGCTGAGAAGCTGAACATTAAGCTGGATGCGGAGCAAGGCGCGGAGCGCCACAAGAAAGACGAGCGCGCTTTTACAATAGAACTTGCCTTATGCGAATTTCATCAGCAATGCAATCTCTCGAGTCGATTCCATCCCAGTTTCGCCGCTTGATACGTAGGCGGTTGGGCGAGCGATGCCGTCACCGCCAGCTATTTGCACTACTTCATGCCTCTGTCAGCTACGTCCACAATCCCTGTCACCTAACGCACGACCCCTGTTAGCTACATGCACGTCCCCCGCCAGCTGGTCAGCTGCACCCACGAAGCTCAAGCTTTTTTCTTCTTAACGACGTCGATTGTTACAACAACGACGACGACGACAACAACGCATTCACGGCACCCGCATAGCGAAAGCTCATCACATCAAGCTTCCTCTATTTTCCATTATACTACCAATCCATCATCCGCATTTTTGCTATATTCGTCGCTATGTTTGAAGTAGCAATTTCGCGACTTGGTAAAATCCTCGAGACACACCCGTGGGCTGGAGAGCTAGCAGGGATACTCCCACTGTCTGCTTTGATCGATTTCATGGACTTACCGAGGAAACTTCATGTCTTTGAACTGGCAGGTGCAGTGCCGTTTTGGAGTTGGCCAGTCACACCAGCTGGTAGCCGTCTTCTGCTGTCAAGCAAACATACGCAAAGGGACTGCTGCCTAGATCGATATGGCAGCAGCGTGGCTTTGACAGCCCTGGACGGCTGCTATGGAGACCAATACATTGTTAGCAGTCCTGAGACCGTGCGCATGTGCATTTCGTCACGCGAAACACACACACTCCCGAATGATCACGACAACATGGCCGGGGAAAATCTGAAAATCCAAAACCTGGAGATAATTTGCATTTCCAGAGAGCGCAAACCCGAGCGCCGATTCCAGCCATCACAATCCTGGTTAGGCCGAATCCTCCTGGACCCCTGGCTGGCGTTTTCATATCAATACCTGCTAATATCCACATTGGGATGGATTATGTTGCTTGGTATGATCATCATGAGCGGCATTTTCAGATGCTATCTCTCCCTTACCTTCCTCATCGTCATCCCAGTGACCGGCGTCGTCATCTTTTGTCTCCATGGGAGCACGCCTAGGAGACTGCTTGTTCAAGAACAGAGCGATTATAATCGCTTAGTTGTCGTGGCAGAGCACATGAATGCCACGGACTGGATGGTTTTCTACGGAGAAAGCACCATAGTCAACTCACTCCTCAACCGACCACTGGAGCCCATGGGGCCACGACTTTCCAAGTCCGCTTCGGCTATTCTCAGGGGGGCTCTCAGAGTCCTTGTTCTCGGGCAATGGGGTCTTGCAATCGGGGTAGCGGCGCTCAAGGACTGGAACGCGTTTTTCATAACCTTCTGGATCGCTTTCTGCATATTCTCGCACGCTTACCTTATCGCCCCTCCGATGTCAGCAAATGACTGGATGAGGTCTTATGCGAACATCAAAATGGCGCGTTACCAGACTCAGCTTAGTTCTCGGAGAAGTTTGTTTAATACGATAATTGCTCTGAACCCAGACACTTTCTCCTGGGACAATCGCATGGATCAGGAGGACCGAACAAAGTTTTCCGAAGGAGCCATGCGATGGATTGATCCAATTTTAACTCGAGGCTCTAGTCGTACGAAGTGGGAAGATGCAACCCGGACTGCAATGGACGAGGCACTATTACGATACTCGACGGAGAGTCTAGTATCACCGGCGTGGCAAGATAAGGATGGAGAAGTTCTTGGCTTCGATTGGAATGATAATTACTCCCGGGAATACTGGAAGTCGTTTATACTCGAGGGCATCTACATGGCGGCGAAGATCAAGGAAGAGACAAGGCTGTTTGGACGGAAAGTAACGAAAATTGTGTAGGTTTTACGTACAAATTACATAGTTGAAATGGAGGGCTGCTTCTAGAAAAGCCTAGATAGAAGAATTGAGCGAATAACGTCGAAGTGGAAAGAGCAAGGTGCATACGTGGCTATTGCAAACATTTCTAGGCTACTCGGTTACGGCAACGAGAATAGCTTCCTACCAAATTAGCTCAATTGCACATAAGCGCCCGCTGCGCAGCGCGGCCAAAGCATGAAGGCTCGGTCCGACAACAACTGTCCCCAAGAAATCAGTGGATCAAAATCCAGCAAGCTGGGTGGCTTACAGTCCAAAACCGTACACCTTTGGCCACGCAAGAGGGGCGACCCGCTGTACGGGCTTCCAGGCATTTCTTCCATTGATAAAGACATCCAAAGACGTCGCCTCTTTTTGCGTTCCAAACTTACCCCGGCATTCATCAACCAAGGTCCAGCCTAGGCAGCAGTGGCAGCCTTTTGCCTATAGCACAGCCCCATCGAAACCAATCGAAAGACGCACATGGTCGACCGACATCGCTCTTCCCAACGAAACAACCTCCAAACAAACCATAGGGGATGGAAGTTGTCACCGGTCCCTCTCAGACTCAATCGCAGCACCATCACCTCGTCGTCCCTCCTCTCATGAAAGCTGATGACGTGGAAGCTGGGGCCGAAGATTTAGGGTTTCAACGGTTCTATTTGGGATGGATCCAAGCCATTCTCGCTAATCTTTGCGATGCCATCAGTGTGTCTCCTTTTTTTTTACCGGCTTGGACCTTTATTCGCTGGAAGAATTGTTCCACCAATGATATGTTTCTTCTGGTGACGAGAAAGGGATGGGTAGCTCCAGTGTTTTGACCGAAAGCCATCAAAATACCATGGTAGCGTCCAGAGGCGCATCCGACTCTCCGAGGTTCCAGTCGTATTAAAGGCACCGGCTCGATCTTTCTCTGCTCTCGGACCAAATCCCACGTCCATAAGTCAAAAGCCAATAAGACTCTGAGAAGATGCCTTGCAACATCGAAGAACATACTCGCCGGCACCTCTGGATCCCGGTCTACACGACCACTACAGCATCACATGGCGACTGGCCTCGTTCTCCACGAACCATCATCAACATCGAACAGTGCGAGCGCATCTGCGACTTCTGCGCTTTGAAGTCGCGGGAAACATTCGGCAGCGCAGCGGAGTTATTGGAGCACGTAAAGAAGGCACATGCAGAAAAGACAGAGGAAGGGGTAGAGCTAAGGCTTGCTCCTGCAGCCGGAAACAGCCGTAGGAATACGACAGGGGTCTCGATGAGAGACTCGGACAAGAAGTACGAAGCGTGGCAAGACGGCTGGATAAGACGAAAGAAGGTGAAGTATTATATGAGTCCTTCTTGTAGAGTACGAAAGGAGTTGGGGAGGAGGCGTCCAATAATGAGGAAGGAGGCGGGGAGCCAAACCCGACCGTAAGGGAGAAACATGGACAGAGAGGCTGCGAGAACGATAGCGGCCCATGTTGCACGCGACCGTCGTGGCCTCAAGCGGCTGAATCCCTCCTCTTTCCTCTGCCCTCATCTCCGCTGTCAGAAGCCTCATCTTCCGTGTCGAGCTCGAATTCGTCGGCGAGTTGGCGCGTCTCTCTCCGATCCAGCTTTATGGCACCCTCGGCCTTCCGCTCCACCTTCACGAACAGCGTCAGCAGCCCGCAATCATAGGCGGCCTTCATGGCACCGGCGACGACAAAAGCAATCCAGAACCTATCGGTGCCGGCCAAGAAGCCCGTCACCGACGGCCCGCCGCTTTGGCTCAGTGTTTTGACGACATTCACAATGCCCATGACGGCGGTGCGTTCTTCGGGCTTGACGACCAGCGACAAAAATGCCGAGCGTGGGGCCTGGTCCATGCTCGCAAGAGTGCCGCGAAGAACCATCAGGATGGCCGTCAGCCACACGACAGGGGCGGCAGGGATCAGGGCGAGGAAGACGGCGGAAGGGAGGTGGGTGAAGACCATGGTCTGGACGAGGCCGATGCGCCTGGCGATGGAGGCGGCGAAAATATTTCCGATGCTGGAGGTGACCCAGGTGGCGGCGACGATGCCGCCGAGGGTCGACTTGGGCAGCCCGAACTTGCGGTCGAGGTAGAAGTTGATCAGCGAGTACGGCACCATGCCCGACGCCAGCGAGTCGACAAAGAAGAGGGCGCACAGCTTCAGCATCATCCAGCGCGTTTCAGCCGACAGTTGCGCGAAACCCATCTTCGGCTTGGGCGGCGGCGCGGGTGTGGGCGGCGTGGGCGGAAGCGGCCGTTCATCGTCATCAGCTGGCCCTTCGTCCGACGACCGCGACGGCGTGAGAAACACGTCGCGCTCGCTCTCCTCGGCGTCCTCGGCCGCCGCATCTTTCCTGCCGCTCCTTCCACCACCACTCCCCACGGTCGCATACTCGCCGCGTCCCGCCGCGGCACCACCGCCCCCATACCCATCGACCTCGCACCTCGCACTCAGCAACAAGGTCAACCCAGCCTTCACCACGCCCACGGCGCCATACCCCCAAAAGACCACCCTAAACGCATCCAGCTCCACCCACCCCTCCCGCCTCTTACACGCCTCAACCACCCACCCGGCGCCCGCCAACCCCAGCGCCGACCCCATCGTCCCAACAACGACATACCACCCAAAGACCTCGCTCCTCTCGCGCTCCCCCACCAACCCCGCCAACGCGCTCTCCTCCACCGCGCGAAACGGCCCAATCTCATTCCCGCTCACGCTCACCACCCCCACCACCGCCGCCCCCAGCAACACCCAATACGCGCTCGCATTCGCAAACACCGCCCCCGCCACGACCATGCCCCCGCACCCCAGCAGCAACACGCGCCGCCGCCCCAGCCGGTCCGCCACCAGCGTCAGCGCGAGCGACAGCCCGACGTCGCCGAGCAGCGTCAGCGTCATGAAGAGCCCGATGCGCGCGTCGGGGACGGACAGCGCGGCGAAGAAGAGCGCCAGCACGAGGGAGACGCCGCCGTAGGCCGCCATGCGCAGGAAGCGCGTGAGGTAGATGAGGTGCAGGTCAGCGGGCGCGTGGAGGATGGTGCGGAGGCCCAGCTCGGTGGTGAGTTTGTGGAGGAGGGAGGGGCGGGGTGGGCCGGGCGCCATGGTGAGCGTGGGGTGGGGTGTGCGGGTGTCTCGCGGCTCGTTGGTGGATTGGGGGTCGCGCCGACTGGCAGCAGTTTCTGCCGCTTGAGGAGACGGAATTGTTGGAGTTGGTTTGGTTTGGTTTGGTTTGGAGAGAGGAAAGATTCGGAGGGGGGAGGTTGAGATAAGCACTAACTAATGAGCAAGCTTTGCTGCCTGGGCGCTGCGGGGCACGCGAAGCTCGGCTCGGCACCATCGCTTCGTGTCCGACATCGCTGTCCGACTCTAAGCCCGAGGGATGTGAGTCCGAGGACGGAACGCACAAGGGCCGAATTACAGTTTGAGGCCTTGCTGCCGTGGGTTGACGACCGGAATCCCAAATACTTTCGACCGCACACCCCAAAGGCCCCCCTGTCATCCCATGGAGCCACCGGCAGAGTTTTCAATAGTTCCTGGCAGCGCTGTTTTCCACCTGTGTTCGCTTGTAGAGATACATGCCTGCGGGCATCTGTGCAATGTTAACGCCAAGTCTCAAGTCATGACAGTGGTGTCGTTCCATGACTGGAGGAATGTAACGTCGGAGAATTATTACATGGCATGATGCGACGGACCCACGCTTCGCAAAAAGCTTGTGTGCATGGCGAGGAGCTCCACCTTCCTCAACACGTTAGATCATCCCTCACAGACCCAGCTCCAGCTGGCGCTTGTGCCCTTGCGTCGCACAGCCACCATCAGCAAACCTCATGGCCATACCACGAAAACATCCAATTCTCACACATCTGCTATCTTGCCTCCATGTGTGGTGCCATAATCCCGTGTATTCCTCAATCCTATCATCAGTCTGCTCGAGTCCCGGAAGAAGGCTTTACGGGGCGCCAAGGTCCCGCTCTTTTCCACATGAAAGTACGCTTCTTTCCAGCTAACGTCTTTGAGAGCATCGCGCAACTCGCTTTCTACCCAGTAGATCAGACAGGACAATGCTTTCCATCGTTTCGTGAAAACCAATTGTATAGCCTGCGACTCGAAGTTGACCATCAAGTAAGCCTGACCATCCACTCTGGACTCAGCTGTCGTAGCAACTCCACTTATACTTCCCAGCAGTGTGTACTCCAAATCCAATGCGTTCGACATATAGGAGCGATTATAGCAGTGCATCTTGCTGGCACTTGCCGAAAGCCTTTCAAGCAGCCTATGTTTGTCCCCATTTCCATGAAACCATCTCACCATGTGGGTTTGGCTGCCCTCCAGAGCCTTGGATAGAGACTCTGCTAGTTGCGAAGTTCTTTGGCGTACCATTGATTCGGCGGATACCTAGGACAATCCTACCCTGCTTCAGCACTTGTAGCAAGTATCACTTGCCGTCGGTAATGGACGAGGATGGAATCAATCTGCCTGGTCGAGACAGAAGAGCGCATGGCGGTGGTAGTTCTGAGCTGACTGAGGGATACACAGATTCTGCAATGCATGTCTCGTCACTATGGAAGACAAGAAGCCAGGACGTTAGTGTTTTGAACCAAGGTATCAAGAAGAGCAAGGCTCAAGAGTCCCTACAAAAACACAACTGAATCCTGTGAAATGCCTGTCGTGAAAGAAAAAGATCTTTCTTCCTCCCCGTCCTGATTTTGCGCACACCGCCCAAAGGTCCCGAGCTCTGATCAACTCACCTGGAGTCTCGCGGCAATGGTATGCATGGATTTTGGCAAAGTGGACTCGGCAGCGAAATCAGGATAGTGCTTGTCTCCTCTCATGCTTGTCCTAAATATGTTTGAGGAATCGAACGACCGCTGCGGCCGGTATGCTGAGCGGGCACGCTCGCGTTGCAAGGGCGTCGAGACCTAAAGGTGACGCTAGCTTGCGGTGTGGGTTGTGAGAAATCGGTTTGGCATCGCATCCAGCCGGCTCTGGACGGAGGCTGTCCGTGTCTCTGTGCAATAGAGAGCCGGCTGTGCGCTGGCGCAAGGAGAGTTGGTGCGGTCGGAAAAGTACGCGGGCGAGGACGCCGTTTGATTGCGTCAAAGTCTGTAGCTCAAACTTGCTGCCTGGGTTGTCGGCGAGCAGAGGAGTCAGCCACGACCGTGCGGCGATGTGAGACGCGTGTGAGGAAGCAAAAGTTGGATAGGTAGATGCCAAAAGCGCGTGACGGGGAGACTTACGAGAAACACCACTGTCACCTGGGTCCAAGGGTGGTGAAGGGGACCATGGGGCCGACCAGGGCTGGCTACAGCGGTCGTTGTAAGAGCGCTCGAGCGCAGAATCTTACTGTCTGGGAGACTGGTCTGAGGCGTACTTTTTTTTCCGGGACTCTGGGAGCGCGACGCCTTCAACTCGGCCTGCGACCGTTGATAGCGTTCACACAGTGGGAGGTCCGAGTGGCCCATTACCTCACTCTTGTCGAGGAGAAGAAAATAGATGAACCTTTAGTAGCTACACGATCAATCATGCCCTGTGCTGCGCCTAGATGCGCCAGTGCCATCTCGCGAGTCGCATGGGCGCCGTGCTTCGAAGCCACTTGGATCACCTTGGCACTCACCTCGCAGAGGGTCCTAGCGGACGCGACTGCCTTGTTGGATAGCGAGTGGCTACCATAAGTGCCAGGCGGCAGCAGCGGTTGCCCGGCCACGCCCTCGTCGCGTGCGCATCGGTCCATCGCGTCGCCTCGGCTAACATAAATACCTCCCCCCCTCCCCACTAGCTCCGTAACTTCTTTTCTTCTTTTAAGCTCTCTTCGCCTCTCAGCGCAAGCTAAAAATAATCTTCTTGTTTCAATCTTCTTACACAAGAAAAATTCTCGCGCGTCAACTTCAACTCATGTAAGTCTCCTCATCAAACAACCCCTTGCCTGATGATGACCGCTTCACTGCATTTGAACCGTCAGTTTCGTCTTCAATGCGGCTACGACCAGGAACATGCTGTCCTTGCACTCCGGCAGCAGCGTACCGGGATCGCATGTTGGTTGGAACGGACTGATCGGCAATGATTTAACAAAACTCTGACTGGGCACTTCGGACTGTTCTTTGCTACGCCACAACGTGGATGCTTCTGCTGACTTCGATTTACCTTGCGCAGGGGAAGCCTTGCTTCGATGCCACCACGCGATGGTGAACTGTCCGCATCACTCCTTCGCAGTAAGTTCTCACTTCCTCTGACTTTTGCACTTCTCCAATGATGAGCCCCTAAGGGCACACCTGATCTTCGAGGCCCGGCTGTCCTAACCGCGTTGCGGCGAATTGGTTTAGCGGCTGGGCCGATGCGAACAAAAGAGAGCTCTGATTTGTTTTTCTACCCTCACTCTTGCTTTGTTCTCATGGCATGATGTGCGCTTCGCTGACTCTTTGGCACTCACCCAGATCTTTCGGGACCGTCCGTCGGTCCGCCCTCCGCGCCCTCACTGCTGCCCATGTAAGTACGTTCCGCGCGCATGCACAGGAGTTCTTCAGCACGCCCAGTGATGAGTAAATCTATATAGCTAAACAGAACATTTGCAACGAACCACTGTGTGGTTGTCTTCGGGCAGCTGCTATCTTTTGGTTGTTATGAAAAAAAAAAAAAATCCACTTTCTTTTCTCTGAGGGCAGACTCGGAAATTTTTAGTTTCTTCCAACACTCTCAAGAATCTACGCTGACAGGATCACATTATGACAGCATTTTAAGACTACGAATTGGGCTAAGGCTATGCTTCCCATCTATCCTGACCATGTAAGTCTCTACTTTGTACCCTCCTGGACCTTGCTCGAGATACTCTCCCCCATCGAGTGCCACGCTGACTCAACTTAGATAGCTCACGGCCTGGTCCAGTCCAACTGCCTCGTTATTCTTCATGGCTCATTGTCTCCTGGCAAGTAACACATGTCCCTCTTGCGTCTTCCCCTGCCCAATGATGACACACAATATTTTGTTCGTTATCGCAACTTTAGACAATAATAACTGTTCGGTCTCTGGAGATTGTCGATGAGAGAAAAATGATCTGATGGGCGCTGCTACCTTTCATACGCTATGCCTCCTCCACTTCTGCTTGCATACCGCTAACTTTTTTCGGCTGCCATGTAGATCTCGCGCTGCCCTTGTAGTGGTTGGCTCTATTAGGCGCGTCCACTCTCCCGAGAGCATTTATCCTCACTCTCAAAGGACACTACGAGTCCACGACACACTTGAGCACAAAAGGGGAGATATATGTCATCCGGAATCAGATACAGAGGGAAGTGTCGAGGGCGGAAGCAACTCGGGTTTGTCTGCCCCTTGTTTCTACGTCCCGTTGGATAGTATCATAGCTCTTATGGAAAATCTTTTGGGTTTGATGGAGCCGTTTGAAGGTGGTTTAAAGGCTGGTCGAGATGATGACACATGTTGTGTACCTGGTTCCAGATAATGATGTATTTTCTGGCGAATAGACAAGGTGGGAAGTGTTGCAAAAGCTTGTCGTAGAGATATGATGACCAAGCGTATTTGAACGTCAATTGATGAAGAGCTGTGTTTATTCCGTCTGATGTACTTAGTGTGTTGATAAGCCTGTAAAAAGCCGTGTCCGCCTTCGTCAATGTGTGCCGTGGATTTAGTGGCCTAGGCTACCAAGCTATGCAGCAGGTGATATTTTGCTAACGCGGCACATGTACGACAATGTGCGAGTTGGGTATTCAACCTGAACAGGGACGGTCTGCAAGCTCGTCTTGCTTGACATTGTCGCTTGTCAACCACAGCCGTCGTACGTCGGCATGCGGCCTCTCGCCAGGTTGTGCTTTTGGTTCACGCATTTCGAGTCATATCCGTTGTGTGCCCATTTGCTGTGGTAGATGGTGGCTCCATAGCTATCTTGCAGTACACGGTTAGGCTATCGTCTAAAGGGATCAGTTCGGCGAGGCGCGACACTCAAGACGTCAGAACGCAACTGTCGTGACCGCACTATTCAGGGATATCTGCATTATCCATTTTATGCCATGGTAGTCTCATACCCCGAAGTCCAAGCTTTCAGGAAGATCTCATATAAATTATTTCGTCCACGTTTGCTCGTCACCATGTCACCAGTACCACTGATCCCGTGACGTTTGTCGTGCTGACGAAGATGACTACCGCCCGATTTGCAATACCCATCTTCGTTTGGCGTGTGTCAAGCTGTCCTACCCACGACGAGTCAAACCTCAGAGCTGTCTTTGGGGCTGTCGGCGAGCCAAACTTGACACAGAGGGGTCGGGCGCGAGGCAAAGGGTGCCTGTCCATCGTCAGACACGGAGTGACACGAGGTTTATCGTACGGGAATCTGTGCTTACACGCTGGCTGTTCCTGCCACGATGTTGGAACCTCAGGCTCATCTCATGTGCCAGCAGCTTGTGGACCAGCTTAATCACGGCCTCTTCGCGGCTGAGTCCGTAAGAGTAGGCTACACAATGCCACTCGTTGGTCGCGCGAACGACAAGGAAAGCCTCGAACAGGTCTTGCCCGCCGGTGACGCTCTCTTCAACATGGGGAATAGCACTGAGGTGCCTGTAGTAGGCGTGGTTCAGGGTGTTGAGCTGAACTGGGCTGTGTGAGCTTGCGCGCTTTGTCGGGGGGTTAGAGAAAAGGCGGGGACGTACGATCGACCATCCTGCGCGCCTCACGCTCGGTTTGGCTCCGGTGCGACATCTTAGGTGGGGTGGGCGGGAGAGGTGGCTTGCAGACGGGTTGCCGGGTTGTCGTGCGCGGGAGTAGGCCGGCACATGCGCGCGCGCCGGTACGCCGCACGCCAGCAGCACCTCCTCACAGTGCGCACGGACAGCTCGCGGCTCTTTTCCAGTGGCACTGACCTTTACGCGAGTCTGCGGTCCGGTTAGTCATCGGCTTTCGCTGGCAGAAGGTCCGGGATTGGAGGGACCAGTCAAACCTATATAGAGCGCGCCTGAAGGTCCACTCCTTGCACCTGAACCCAAGACCAGCAACCCCCGGAAGACGTCCACCACAGCAACTCCCCACAATGTCGCCGCCCATATACGCCACCAACACCCGCGCTCTCTGCATCTCGCTGATCAGGCTCCCTTGGTCCGACGCCATCCAGCTCGCCAAGGCTGTCAGGGGCGACACGGAGATCCTGGACTGCCTTTGCCATGACATGTATAAGAGTGGTTCTCTCTCCTACCAGTCTTCAGTCTCCTCGAGAACACATCCGCTGACATTGGTAACAGGGCTTCATCGCATCTACGGCGATACCCGCTACTGGATCAGCACTGGTCCTAGTGGCCGCGTTGATCGCCGCAACACTCACTACGCAAGGATCAGCAGGGAGTTTCCCATCACTCTCGTATTCAGGGACAATAGCTTCTTCGACAACTTCGAGATCCTCGACAATACCACTGGCCCTTCTGAGATCGAGGCTCTGCTCGTCTTGATGCACCGGATGATCCCTGCCCATCTCGTACACAGGGAAAGGGACTGATATGGTCAATACGGCGGGCAGAACTAGGCTATACTTCCAGGGACTGCCAATGGGCTTTTACCGACCTTCAAGCAAACATGCCGGCATTCATCGCCGTGCTACCCCTGATCTTTCAACTGCACACGACTATTTCAGAACGTCCTATTTCCGTTGCTTGCAAGAGCTCGCAGTAGAGGGACACCGAAAAGGGCGCACCAAAGGTGCTCAAACCAAGGAACACAGAATGGTCTGATTTTGCCTCACCATAATATCATAACTGCTTGCTGCTATACTTTTCTCGACATGCGCTGTGATATTCTCATTGCCGGCTTTCCCCGACACCTTCTATGACTTCGCCATCACACCATGGAGCCAATGACTATGCCGACTGCCCGAGATCCTCAGCTTGTGACGTAATAACCTCATGAGAGCCAAGCACGCTGCTTGTTTGCTCCAGTTCTGACAGCACGGCCTCGTGTGGGGATTGACAGCGCCAAGCGTGTAATCATTGCAGCGATGCTCCCTTGACCGCGATGATTGGGAAGACGACTGATGGTAAAACGACTGATACTACTAGTCATGAGTAAGTGAACTCGTCCGGTACTGTGTGCATCATGAATTTAGCACATGCAAGACGAGTCGTCACCACAAAGGTATGAACTAGACTTCAGTCTCACATCTTCCATTGAACCAGGCGCTCCACGAAGATATCCTACTCATCCGTGTCCCCCAATTTATCATCAGCCCCCTGAATCTTCCGAACTCCAATCGAACGGCAAGGCATCGTCGCCATTGTGCTTGTTGTAGATATCGGGGAAGACCGTCAACATGGCCGACCAAGCCAGCTCTGTCGCCTTTGAACAGAAGAGAAGCGGTCTCGTACTCGGCGTCGGGCGGGCCGTCTCGATCGGGGCGTTGAAGTTTTCTCAGTCGTGTAAAAAGATGCGGGGTCGGCGACCGGCCTTCTTGCGGTCCACGACGTCGGAGAGGACGTCGGAGAGGACGTCGGAGAGGACGCAGCGTTGGTCGCGCTTGATCTTGTGCTATTCCACACGTTAGCATCTGGCGCTACAAATAGCGGTCGCAGGCAGGAGGAACCCTACGTAGTCTTCAGCCGGCGTGGCCGTCCCGTGTATTCCCTTTGCGCAGGCGGCCAGGGCGGCCCACAGCCGGTCGCGGCCCAGATATTGTCCGCCCGATGCACCAGCTTCGATGAAGTTGAGAAACGGAGGGGAGAGCGACTTCCGGGGTACCCGAATGCAAGGTCTCCTCTCTATGATGGAGCCGAGCAACACACAAAGTGCCTCGGCCTCAGTGTCGCCAAGGCGGCAGGGCTGTCCGGCCAGCTGACTGAAGTAAAGCTGAGCAGCAGACAAGGCGCAAGCCGTCTCGGTGACGGAATCCTTGACGGTGGCCATGGTTGGAGTCGGCATCGCGCGCCTGGATAGCAGTCAGCAGTCAGCACGCCGCATACCTCCCCTCTCGCGACGTGTCGTTTGTTTACGTACCGACGCCGACTCGATTGTCTCACACTCTTCTCTCCCCTCTACCTCTCCCGCCGGACCGCCGGCGCCGACAGCGGCGCCGACGGAGTATCCGCCGTATGTGCTTTACTCTCAACGAGCGTTAGTGTTGACAGCGGCGGCAGGAGGCGCCGCAAATGTTGACAGTGGCTGGTGGGAACACTGCCCATCAAGGCTCCCAGCGGCGTCGTGTTAAGAGGGAGACAGCGGCAGGAGGATCAGCAGGCTGTGAGGAAGGAAGATCTCGTCAGCTTGGCAATAGCGTGGGGCTTCCAGGAGCTGAGGCTTGGTTGCGAGCGGGCGCGCTGGTGGGAGAGCAACCTAGCAAGCAGGCAAGGAAGCATGCTGGTGAAACTTACGGCGACTGTGTGCCCCGCTGGAGGTGCAGCGCCGGGCGAGATTGCTCTGCGACAGAGCCAGGCCAACAGGGCTGGTACTATGGCAAAGCAGGAAGCCGGTGTTGAGTGTGGGTTTGGAGTTTGTGAGTTTGGTTGAGGTTGTTGTTGTCGCTGGGCCCATGGTCTCAAGTGGCGACGGTTGTGACACCCGCGCGTCGCTTTCCAGCCCCTTCCCGACTCGGCACTGCCACAAGGTAGGTCGGACTTGCCTGAGAGCGACAGTCTCTCGCACGGAGCATCTTGGTTGATGACTCGAACTGAGCGTTCGGAACCTGATCATGGATCTCCAGTGACGTAGCGTTTCGCTAGACAACAATCTGGTGATTCATGGCCAATTCTGGTTTTTGCGCCTCCGTGAGAACGATCAAGGCTAAGGATCGTCTGACTTTTCGTGTTACTACTCTCCTGGTGTAGGTCAGGTGCTGCGGCTCTCTGCTATTTGCTGCGAAAGCTTGATAGCCAGGAATGTGAAGCCACTCTCTCAGTAACTGAGCTGCATTGTCAGACATTGATGTTCCAGTTAGGCATGACGAAGAGTTGAATTCTACCAGCTCGTGTAGCGACGACCCCACGAGGTCCGACCTTTTCCACCAGCTACGACGCTACTAGAACCATCCAGCAATGACACGCCCCTAAAGCAAACACTTGAGTGCACCAACCCGCGCTTCCATTGTGGCTTTCCCTTGATACCCTGCTTGAAAGAAACCCAACTGTTTGCTCTCTAATAACGACATTACTCATGTTTATATTCGGCGGCTTACAAGCTCGTCGGTGCTTACTCGTGAGAGCGAACTAGGAATAAGCAGGTATTGCTTGATTTCACGCAAGGCGCCATGCGGTGATTTCTCAGGGCAATTCAAGCTCCGATTTGTTTCTGACGAATGTTTTCGCGGGCCAATGCATACCGGTGACGGGAACACAAGCGCGACTCTTGAGGCTCGACCCGGACCGCGCTGATCAAGCGTAAGCGCGCATTCAACGACGCTCACAAGCTCGGCGTTATACCAGTACTCAACTTTCACTCAAAACGTTCAGCTGTGAATCGGAATGTTCTCGACGTTGTATATGGTGGGAGACACCAGACCCAGCATCTCGAAAATAACTCTGCACTTCACCGAAGTCAATTTCGGCGCATGATCAAGTGTTAAGAGGACTGTTCCTGTATCCGGAATAGGAGTCTTTAGTAATCAAAAGTTCTGGTCGGTATGGCACAGGAACCAAGAGGGGAGCATTTCAAGATCTACCAGAACACGAGAAATACCGTTCAAGACCTATAACGTGTCGGCATCTGCATGAAATTGGACTACCAAGTATTTTGCTCGCAAACATGTATGAAAGTCCATGAGAACGTGAGATGGACATGTTCTTGGTCTTGAAGTGTATAGCTCCAGAGCTTTTCCTGTCGAACACTGCCCTCCATGCTTGGCTTCTTGGTATTATACAAATGGCGGACGAGGATCGATGTATAACAACTCTCCCTCGGAACAGTGGAGAAATTCGGGCTGACTGGTTACTGAAAGGGTTTCGAAATGCTGCGCGACCAAGGGCATGTCAGCTTTGAGTAACGAAGTGTTCGTGTCCACTTTAACGCACATCACAAAGTTTGTCGTCGAAGAGGAGCCGTACAAGACGGTTCGCAGAGCCCTCGCGCTTGGCGATCGAAAATAATTTGGCACGCAGAAGCTGTCCAGCTACAGCCTCTGGAGGGCATCCGCATCGGCCTCTGTGGTTCGTCAGCTAAGGACCATGCAAACCGTTCGTCAGGGGTGCCCACTGGCTCGCCCCTCCATCCTGCCGCTATTACGTCTGAAACCAGTAGAAGCCAGACAAATCGCCAGGCTGCGCAGCTTCGCGCGGGTCGTGGGTGTAGCCTTGAACCTTCCAGACTCTGTTGACTCCGGGAAGCTTTCCGACGTTGGACCAGGTCCAGGTCCCCAATTTCTTAGGGACGCCCGGAGGCGCAGTCTTCGGAGCAGCCCGCTGTGGCGGGGCGCCTGGTTGAGAGGTCGAAGTATCCATGGGAGAGTCTTGGGAGGTAGCCAGGGAAAGGATGCGCGTTCGGCTCGGCGTTGGAGGAATTGCGGACGTTTTAGATAAGGTGACGGGTGAGCACGAGGTTGAGGTATGTGCAGAGTACAAGTGAGGGTAGCTGACGGAGCGCACCGCGCAATGCTGCTATAGTGACTAAGCGGGTCACCCCAGAGCTGCGTTCGGTAGCGCAAACCAGTTCAGCCATGTTTACTGCCAGTCCTTAGCTGATTGACATAGGTCAGTCTTGAATATGCAGCCCATAGTAAATCAGCATACCGGGGCTTAGAACCACCAAATTCCCACCCCTACATATCATTCGTTCATTGAGTCAAGGTCTACGGTCGTGCGATAAAACATTATGAGTTTGTAATTACTGCAGCTTCGCAATCTTTAAAAGTCATGATCTCTGCGTACAGGAGCACAATGAAAACCCAATCGCTCCTGTTCCTCCTGTCCAACTAGTGTACTGGACGTAATAGTTTGACGGAGACCGGAATTTATTCTTAGGCATGAGCAAACATTCCACTTTCGACTAGTAACGATCCCTTTCCTGCCGAGTTTCACACTGACTGTAACTGACGGCAGCATGAGCCCGACGGTATTTATGCAAGAGCTTAAGGGCCCTTTAACTGCGTGTAATAAAGGAGTTATCAGACCCCATAAAACATTTATTAGATCACCACAAAAGTGAGGATCTTGGCCCGCGGTCTTTGAATGGTTAATGTATCAACAAAGACTTCTTAGCGCAATGGAACGGCAGAGACAGTGTGGAATCTGTACAGGAAAGATATCTCGAGGGATTGGCCATTATGAAAGACCTTTCGGTCTCTATAGGTTTCCGTATAGTACCACGGCGTCCCCAGCCATTTAACCACCACAACATGCACGAGTAATTGAACCCGCTTCCCCTAATGCCAGCATGACATCTTCCCAATTGACTTCATTATTCCCCTTTGACCCTCTTAGAAGCCAAACCTGCTTCGAGTCGCAATTATCGTAGCAGAGGCACGGACCTTAGAATGCTTGGGGACTATAATGATTTGTAAGCCATATGAGAAGCTGCATATAAAAGGATTTCTGAGGACTTACGTGCACGGTAAAAGGACGTCCCAACCTTCTGCGCTGCTATCGTCACAGAGCTTTTCCACCTTGACCATCAAGTAAAGCAAGGCCTCGAGGACTGTATCGCAAGCATTGCTAGACTCGACCGCGACCCTAGACCATTTGATGTTATACATATACAACTCGACAATAGCGCGGCCAGTAAGCCAGTCGCGCCTGATACGTATGCCGAAGCCAACAGTTCCAGGCCACGTGAGCCTCATAAGCCCGGACGTGGCGGAGTCTAGCGCAAGGTCAGTCTTTTGCGTGCGGGGGGGGGCTTATTGTACGTACCGATGACATGGCGCTTGACCAAGTAGATCTTTTGACGGGTCACCAAGTCGAGATCGGACAGCGGGTGCCACTGTTTGTCGTTGAACCAGGGGCGGAGAAGGTACCAGAATCGCATGTTAGGGGTCGGCGGCTCGGATCTGGTGGCTACCTTCCATTCCGTCATGCCGGTCGAGGTCTCACGCAGACTGAAGTGTCGGTCCTCGTCCGAGTCGAGTTGAGGCCATTTTCCGGGCGCACCGGGATACTTGACTGCGCCGAGGATGAATCCAGACTCCGCGAAGACCTGAAGGATATGGCGGAAGGCGGCCTCTTCCTCAGTGTCGTCACCCGTGAGAGCGCCGGCTTCCTGGAAGGTGTTGTCCTCCACAGGCGCGCCATCCTCAACAGCAGTGTTGTTTTCCATCGGAGCGATGACTTCCTCGGTCGCGTCGTCTTGCTTGATCGCGTCGCCTTTATCGGCCAAGTTGACTTCTATGGGAGCGCTCGTCATGGTGCGTATGACACCAAGCGCTCGGAAGGGTGGGTGTCGGGTGCGGATGGTTTGTGGAAGGAGAGTGAGTTTAGCTGCCTGCGCCAGCTCTTGTTGGATCTGCGGCGCTGCGCATTGGACCCTGATTCCCAGCACGGACGTCTCTGCACCTACGTGTTGATCGATTGGGATAGGACCAATGCCGAACGTCTTCATCGCCTATCCACCTCCAACATACACGCTCACCTCTAACTCGACCAACATGGACCCCCAATGCGCCAGGAGCATGCTTGAGTGTGAAATGCACAGTAAGGTCAGCAATTGCTTCGCAACACCTCTCCGACTTCGTGGTCACGCTGCTGATCCTGGTGCTATTCCGCGGACAGAGGCCGGGTCGCGCTGGAACTCCAGGGCCATTTTGCTTGTCGAGGGACACAAAAGTGCTACAACTCGCTACTACAGCTGTCTGCAAGCGATCAACGCTGTTCGACTGGACGACCGCGCAATACATCGAGCTCATGAGAAGCGACACTTCGTCGTGCGGGAGTGCATGAAGCATGAACGCTTTCCACAAGGCATGCAGCGGCTTGAACGTAAAACCCCCAGAAGCAATACCATACAGTAATACTGACTCCAGGCAGAGTTTGCAAACAAGCACGGTACCATCTTCATTTACGCGGGCACCGCGCCTCGCGACATAGTGGAGCTTGCTCATATCAACAAGACAGTAGACCCCACCTATCTTGTGTCTCGTCAGCCCCAATCTCAGCATACCTGGAGTGCTGCGCTCTTCGGCTGCCTTGGCTACAACTCCAGCAGGATGTATCTAAGCCTCACTTCCGACAGCTTCGACGGCCCGGATGGAACCTTCCGCGACCTTGAGAAGACACTGCTTACAACGCTTCCGCCTCCTGAGATTCAGCCCAAGTACTGCCCGTAATCATACAAGTAAGATTATAACCTTCATTTGCTAGTTGCTTGACTGACGTTCCTTGAAAGCCGTAGCGTCCCATATTTGAATCCACTGACTAGGCTCGCTCACGATACATCCACTCTCCACCCGGTTTCAGACGGACAAATATGGCATGCGAGGGCCTCTTATGGTCGAGGAGTAGCCAGCCTGGTGTCAATACGAATTCTGGACTTGAGATGGACAATGGGGTACCAACAACCTCCCAAAGCCAAGGCCATTCCGTGAAAGAGAGTGCGGACTGGCGTTTGCAAGGTTAACGCCCACCCTTGTCAGAGTTGTGAGGTAGGAACATTCAATTCTGTATAACGACTTGCTTGATACTTGAGCAAGGGTCAACTGTGTTTGTACACAAGTTCACCGGCTAATACCGTGCAGAGTTCCTGATGATAGGGATCCACGGACCTTGGTGGTCTAAAGACTAGTTGTTTTTCAAGCCGTTTGCCATGGACCGAACCTCTCCCTCCGGCGTCCTCTGTCTGTAGATTTTCCAGCTAGGCTGTGCTCTGCCAGGGGTATTTCCATCCATGCCGGCCAAGTCAGATGGCACCTCAGAGGTGAGAGCGTCTTCACACTATATGGTGACGAGGAAAACCTAAAAACAAAAGGTTAGCATCCCACAGCAAATTCCACGGAAATGACGTTATGTGCGGCTCACTACTCTGCTAAGCTTCTCTGTCAATCTCAACAATCGTCAGCACTCGCTCCATACGTTCTATTGACTTTCTCTCTAAGAGCATCAGGACTACAGCCTTCCGACCGCTTTCTGCTACATATCGCAGTGTAGCTCCGCAGGTCGTGCTACCATCCTCGTCCAAGTAAAGGGATGGGAGCGTCACCTCCAAGCCCCCGCTCATCGGGTGTTCAGTTCCGTTAGCGGAGATGGTAAAGGTGAATCGGGGGTTGCCGGAATCTATCAATCGGTCCACCTCATTTGGGCAGAAGCAGTTTTGGTCGATCAGCAAAATGTTCTGGATCTGTTCTATAAAGATGGAAATCTTGGGGCCATTCTGGATGGTTTTCTGATGGCGAGAGAAATGTGGGAACCGACTGCAAGCGGCTTACGAGCAAGCCACTCTATGCGAGCGGCGACGCGCTTGTTTTCCTAGTCGAACTTCCGCAGGAAATCGAACTTCTCTGCGTACTCTTCAGTGTCAGGGTCGTTCGTCAGATCGGTGCGACGGCACTGGGTGTAGTCTTGTAGGAGCTGCCTGTAACGGAAGCAGATCGAAGTAGCGTCGTGCACGGAAGGTAGGATCAGGCTCTTGTGGTTAGTCGTGGCCATGATATAAATGTCAAATGACGAGTACGAGATAAATGGGATTCGTTGCGCCGAGTGGAGGCTTGGAAGGGAGGACTAAGGGAGCAGCGAGACAACTTTGCGTCATAAGCATGGCAGTGCTCTGCGACTGCAGGTACGGGCCTGGGACTCACATGAGAAGGTTGACAAATAAGCAGAGCAATCAGCTCTTTTGTTTTTGTAATATTCACTAGCTATTCACACTAGTAGAAGCTATCCTCGAGGTCCACACGGAAGCAATTAGCAAGTAGTCATGAACTCAAGGTGATACAAGTGCTCAACCCCTTTACTCACGCAACCTCTCTTTTACTAAGAATACTACTCATGCAAAAGTCCTCCGACACTGTCCTGAGCTAAATGAAGCATCAGCGTCTTTCCCATCACATTCCCCCCCACACATCCTCGTAGAACACGGGCGTGACTTGGGCGACGGAACGCAGCTTTCTATGCATATCCCAATTGACCTGGTACTCCAACCAGATCATCGCCAGATCCATCGATATGCCCCTACCCCAGTAAAGTATTCTGACAAGCGGCTTTGTGGCTTGCTCTGCTTGTGATAGCTGGACGAGAAAGGCAAAGCATTCGCCTGTGATGGGGTGTATACTTGTCAGGACCTGGAGCAGGCTGCCTGGTTCGAGGACACGTCCGTTCGCTTGACCAACGTGAGCAAAGCTAGCAGTCTTACGGCAAATTCCCGAGGACTCACCCAGAATCTGCTCGCGAGATGGAAGCACATGGCGGAAGGCTCGGACGTTCTGGTTGTCCCAGGGATGATCCTGGCTGGGCACCCCCAAGTAAGGGTTACGGTTCTGAGCATGCTGTCGCGAACGAGGTCTACAAGCAAACTTGGTTGCTCCACCGCGTGGCTGGGGTGGCTCCCAAGGACTAGCAGTTGGATCCATATCTGGCGTCTTTGAGGTACTCTCGGTTGTATGGATTGTGGTTCGGTTCTCGCTTTGGATGCGCTGGATATATGCGCTCCACTGAACCATGCTAAGCGTATTTGGAGTGACAAAGAAAAAGAAAAGCAAAGTCATGGTTTGCTGCGACGTAAGGCCAAGTCACTGGGCCGATCAGTCCAAACTGTACGCAATCGTCAATGACGCACAAGGTTTGCGCGGAGCCACGTGGAAAGGCTTGCGAACTGGCACCTGTTTGTATTCGACCGGTTTTCCAAAGGATGCCAGAACTCAGCCGTTTGCTGGAGAACATCCCGCTGATTACCGTTCGCTCGTCATGACTCTCTTCCGAGGCAAAAAAACAACCGCCATGTCTTCATCGTTAATTAAGCCGACACTCATGACGAGAGGATTACATACCTCTGAGTGAACAGTGGGTATCCAAGACTTTCTTTGCCTTGATGTCTCATTAAGATTTTTCTGCTTTATGCCCGTTTTGTGGTGTTAGCGCGGACAGAAGCCCAGCTTTGGCGGTTGGCCCCTTGCGTCTAGGCGTGGGGGTGTGGCTTGGGATTGTGGGGTCTTGTTACACTCATGCTTGGCGGATCGTGTAGCGCTGCGTGTCGGTGTCTCAAAGAATCAAATAGTGTAGAGCTGGTGTTCGCAACTATGCATGGAGCGATAAGCTTTCCAGACTCACGGGGGTGGTTTGCGAAAAAGGAGTTCTTACCAAGTCTTGCTTCTTGTGCCGGCTCTCGTGGATGCCGAGCGATTGATGCGCGGACCGTGAGCGGATACTTATGTCGACATTCCGTGGCCTGGAGAGAGCGAAAGCGGAACACGTTGCGAGATATTGGTAGAATGGGCGGGTGGATGTAGATAGGTCGCGCGTCGGGGTATGCAACGGCGCTCGAGCGTTTGAAGCCGCGCCAGCTTATCAAACAGTCGCAATCTTACCTGCTGCGACAGCGATGCTCTCTGGACATAGACTGGGGATCTGAAAATGTGCGGCGTAGTGACCCCATCTGCCTAGCCGGGCGGCGCGTGGTGGGCGGCGCGACTAGTTCGACCTCCCTCATCGACATTCCATATCATTGTGTATTGTTCGAGGTAGCGGGCTGCGGTCGTAACAGAGGCAGTATTGGACATTTTGGTTGTGCTCAGTGAGCTAGTTCTGGAGGGGAAAAGCTGGCCAGGACTGTGTAGACTGTGCAACGGCAGCGAAGGGTAGAGGCCGCTGGAAAGAAGGGTCGGACGCAATCTTGATTGCGAAAGTGAGGTGGTGGTGGTGGGTGAAGATTCCGAGGCCACGAGAGGCACTGAGCGTTTAAGGCAGAATGGACAGCCCTTGACGGCGGCGGGAGCGCTCATTGTCGTGGCAGATGCAGAGGCATGGTGAGGAGGACCAAGCAAGCGATCTAGGAAAGGAATTGCTGGTCAGCTTTGGAGTGCCACTGCTGGAAAGCTGGCCTCTCGACCGCGCAAAGGCTGTGGCAGCGCGCTTGTCCGAGTACTTGCACTGGAGAGCCGCGCGCAGAAATTTTCATGGCCTGTCTAAAGTGCATCTGTCCATTGCAGATTGCGCAGCGGCACACACTCAACGTCACAGCACTGAGGCAGTAGAGCAACAGAGATGCACAGCGACAGCAGGAAGGCCAGCACGGCGCAAGGTTGCAATGGCAGCGCATCGGCGAAGTAGAGCAGATGGAGAGGTAGATGGCGAGGAGAAAGGCAAAACAACAGAGGCAGAAGGCGCTTCTTCCTCAAGGACCTGTTCAAGACAGGATCGCTCAACGAAAAAGGTTCGCGCCAGCCCGAGACAGTGCAATACAGGCGGCACAGTGGCTCTGGAGATGAGCAAGCTCAGCGCCCCAGTGCCTGGTTCCAAAAATCAGAAAATCAAGGTAATATCTCCGTAGAGACGTCCTAGAGATTAAACTAAGAAAGCCATTGGCTACACTTGATCTAAGCCCGAAGGCAAAGAGAGCTGAAGAAGAAAAGAAGAAGAGGAGGTTGGGCGAAGAACGGCGAGCTTTTTATGGGAGAGCCCGGCCTAAGCGAGCACCTGATCTGCTGACCCAGCAACGGACCTTTGGTACCCTCGTGCCTGCCAAAAGAGTGTTGAGAGGCCAATGCGCCGGGAGGGTGCCTGGTGATTCGGCCGGCCTGGGTGATTGTGTCATGCAGATTATCACTCCCAACATGAGAGCTCCGTCAACGCTGCTGTCACACAGACGTCCAGCTGCCCCGGGCGATTCGCCAGTAAGGTGAGATCCGAGCAACAATGACCGCACCAACCTCAACAACTTCCCGGCAAGACACAACACTCTTTCCCGGTCTGCTGCTCCTTGTCGAGCCACATTCACAGCCATCTTGCTATCAGTCACCAATGGCAAACCGCGACGCAGGCTGCGCCGCCCTCTTCTTCGAATCGAACGGAAGGCCAGATGATCTCATCGTCCTATGTGGATACCGGAAACAGTTCATCTGTACCAAGAGACACGGGGTCATCAGGAAACACATGAGTGGGAGCGCGTACGGGGAAAGGGTGGCTACATTTAACAGGCTGTTGCTGGTCCTGGAAGGGGAAGCGGCTTTTCGGTATCTCTAGAAGCCCGTATATGCAGGATGTTGTGAACGCTTGGTATTGCGACACTCGATATATCACTATGCGAGTGTATTCACCTCGCATGTTTTGCACAGCATGTATGGATTCAATTCTCAATATCCGTGTCCAGTGGTGCGGTTCCTGCTCTACTTTATGTTGTTTGACCTTCCCCAGCCACGCCTTGAACGGTGAGTCCATCCCGGGGTTGATGCTGCAGTGTATCCTCTTCATCCGCAGCGGTCGCACCGCCGCTGCGTTGTTCAACCGCGTCGCTCATTACGCTGTCCTCCTATGTTATAGTGTGCGCAGAGGGTGGAAAGAGGCTGTTGCCGAAGGTTGTGTCGGTGAAGCGGCGTGGGTTCGGCCAAGGAATTAGATATTCTATTAGATGGATGGTGGCATGGTGAATCCGAATGCGAATGCGATGTGAGGTGAAATGTTGAAATGGCGCAATTTCTGTATGCTTGCCTTGTTTGATGTATCACCCCAAGTACCTGAACGATGGGCGGGAATATCCGAAAAGCCGCAAGTCCGATCTGGTCATGCACAAGATTGGAATGGCTGAATGACGGAGCGACAGCAGAGATCAGCGCTGCGTCTGCCGATCGCTCCACTCGCATTGGCGCCGCGTCAAACTTTAATCGCACCACACCTCAGCGAAAAAAAGTCCAATATTAACCCCACAGCTTCTACACCACGTCCCATACCCTCACAATGTTCGCCATACCAAATGCCAAGCGGTAAGTCTCCCTCAGCGCCCCCGTCGCATTCCGCCCACCTGCGCACAGCAGTGCTCACAACCCCACACCTCCGCCAGCCCCAGCTAACATATCCACCCAGCGTCCGCCGCTCCGACCTCTTCTCCACCCGCTCGCACTCCGCCTCTCCCTCGCGCTCCGCCTCTTCCTCGCCCGATCCCGAAGCCGCAGCCGCCCTCCTCCGCGCACGCCTCGACGCCCAGCTCGGCGCCGCACTACCCATCGCCGCCTCACCCACCGAAACAAACCCCAACCCCGCCCCCAACGACCACGACGATGACGACGAAGCCGACGAACTCGAGTTCCGCCTCTTCGCCACGCCCGCCGCCGCCGCCGCCGCTGCCTCCACAGAATCCACAACAACATTAGCAGCAACAACAGCACCCGCACGCCCCCAGAAAATCCGCCTCCGCTCCCCCTCCCTCGACCCCGACCGCCCCGCCGGCTTCGTCAACCCCTCCCGCCCACACTCATACTACTTCGCCGAAGCCCCCTCCTCTGAAGCGACGCGCCGCCTCGCCGCCGCGGCCGTCACCGGCGCCGACGTCCTCGCGCGGTCGACGTCGATGCGCTGGCCGGGCTGCGCGATGCCGTGGCGCGTCACGGTCGTGGATCCGGCGGGAAGGGCGCGGAGAGGGGTTTGTGCGAGGCATGGAGAGCAGCTGGAGTCGGAGTTGGTGGATGGTGGTGAGAAGGGGGGGAGGGCGAGGAAGGGGAAGAAGGCGAGGGTGGCGTTGAGGAAGAAGCGGGCGAGGGGTTTGGAGCGGAAGGAGGCGGCGGAGGTGGCGAAGAGGGAGAAGGAGGAGCATGAGCGGGCGAAGAGGATGGAGAAGAATCGGAGGCAGAAGTTGAAGAGGAGGGAGAAAGAGAGGGCGAGGAAGGCGGGGGAGAAGGACAATGAGAGGGGGGATGGCGGGGAGGGTGAGGGTGAGGATGTGGTTATGGAGGAGGGGGATGCGGAGTGAGAGTGTGCTTTTTCTCTTCCTTTTCGGTCACTTCTCCATGTCCGATCTCGTCTTCATGAGTGATGAAAGCAAATTTGCGGGTGTAATTTCGAGTACAAGGACGGCACATGCATCCTGAGCCAAAGTCCTTGACTTGGCAGGACAAGTCCCAGAGCGTCTCACCGGGAAGAATGGCGTCCAAGCCACAAAATCTTGTCCAATGGTCTCCGCCAGTCTGAGTTCGAAAGAGGTCAGTTGGGAGCATTCCATCTATGGCCGACTCCTACCACTTGGACGTCGCCTGGACCCTTGACAGCCCCGAGCGAGGGAAGTTTTTTCTGAACTACCGATTCACCTGTCAGCTTCTGGTTTGAACGTGGGGCCGCACTTTCTCGAAGTCAGAAGTGATTCGTAAAACAGGAATCAATGTTTATCACAGAGTTCCTTCTTCATCAATCCCAAACCGACCCGCCATGAACAGGAGCATGTTGGAGATCCCTTGAAGATCATCATTGATAGTGATGAAGCAGTACCGACGCCTTGGCCACACATGCTATCAGTCAGCTCCAATGCGTCATCAAGGCCCACCATAGGTGTTCCATTAACGAGCATTTGGCTGGTGTTCGCATCGATCTCCCAAGGTTCTCTAAGCATTTGTTCTGCCTTATGCCTCGAGCACAGCCGGTTGCCAATCACGCCGACCGTACCTGTACCGGCTACAGCGTCACTGTCTGTGCCTTTACTGAATTAAAATGTAGCATCACCATGGTCTTCCGCTGTATTTGTTCCGGAGTTCTTGGCTCAGGTTTAATTCTGACATTTCGTTGCCTGCTTATGACGTGCCCGCACCTCAACACCGCAAGAGACCACTTGACCAGCAAAGCACAAATCTTCTATTCGTGTTGTGGGTCGCAAACAAATTGGTTCTTTCGCGCCCCAAGCAAGACGCTTCACTGCACCTATACCGGCGAAGGGTTCAAATAGCCAGACCTAAATGCGAGTCTGGACTAACAGAAGAGCATTCAAATACAGAATTCCACTACTCGAGGAAGTAAAGAGCGATACTTTTATGACACACTACACAAGAAGGTACACCTAAACATCCCACAGGTCGCCCTGATGTGCTGGCCGCTTTGACGGTATCAAATGGAATAAGATTTAGGCGACACATAGGTGCTGGCCTTGAATATTCTGTGATCATTTTCTATGCAACAGGAATTACAATGCTACGAATTAACAGTAACCTATCATCCGGCATTGGTCACATATTAGAAGAATCTTCCAAGGGATAAAGCAAAAGAAATATAGTGTGTGCTAAGATCCGGGCAGGTGTTGAACAGCATTTCGAAAACCAGTTCCGTGCACACAAGTTTCTCAACAACCAAGACATGAACTTCATAACGTCCACCAAGTCACTTTACATCCCGGATTCTGTGCTATAGCATGGTTCACTCGATTCCACTTACTTGAGCATTTCGCACGATCACGAGTCACTAAGAACGCACCCGCAACGACAAAGGAGCGAAGGTGAGAATGATATGCTACGTATACCTGTCGGTCCTCAAATGGCCCGAGCTCCTTTACACACGTCTCTGTAGCCCACGTACTACTGGTCGATGACGTAAACTTCATCGCTGTCGGAGCTCTCTTTTTACTGCGCCTTCCTTTGCTGCTTGATCTTCCGCCACCCCATAACCCAAAGTCCTCCTCGTCAGCATCGTCGCACACTCACGACTCCTTTACTGCCTGATCTTCCACCATCGCACCAGCCAAACTCCTCCTCATCAGTACATCCACGACTCCCTTGCTCCTCACCATCTTCGCCATGGCATCTACGACCGCCAATGCCGGCATCGCATGCCGCGACATGGAGACTCTGATCTCGTGCATGCGCGAGATGCCGCAGGCCGACGGCGGTGCGTCGCTGGCAAGCTCACCCCACGTTCTTCGCCGACTCACCTCTCGCCGCTACATCCACGTCTACACGGTGCGCCTCACGACCGATGAGCTCCTCCATCTAGGTGCGCTCATCCATTCAGTCTACCAGCGCGTTCCCGGAGGCTCTCGCGGCCCCGGCGCCATCATCGTCGTCGACAACGCCTTGGACGCCTTCGAGAAGGTGAGCGCCTTGGCTGCTCATATCACGAATGAGCGCGCCGCGGACACCATTTACACCGATGACTTCACCTCTTGTTTCTCTCGGGTGGCCGTTGTTCGCGGTCCTACGCCGCCTCACCTCTGCGAAAACGTCGCCTCATACAACGCATCCATCAAATCCAGCGCGACCGCCGTGCGCAAGATCTTCCTGCGCTTTAGGCAGTTATTCCGCACTGGCCGTGCTATTTGGCACTCGCACGAGGATCCTTCACTTCTGGTCGACATCATCAAGACGAGCGCTAATGGCTCACCTCCGATTGACGCCATTTCGGTCTTCAACGCTATCCTATTCACCGGCTCCACTTCAGCTTCCTCCAGCAATCAGGGCACAATAACATGTGCCGACCCGCGCTCTGGCCATAATGGCCTCCCGAATATCTGGCCTCACTTCCTCATGGCTGTACACGGCGCCAATAACGAGCGCGGTATCCCGGTTACGTTCTACAGCAGCTGCTCAATGCGCGTGAAGCTTCACGCCTATACCATTAACGACGTTACCGGAATCCAGGATCTCTTCCCAGCGCTACTGCCGGAATCTACGTGGAAACCCATCCTCGGCCACGCTATGGATAAGCTCCTCCTTGCAGTATTCCGCCTCCTCGCCGGCGGCGACCTCTCTCGCGCAACCCCCACGCGCACCGGCGCCGCCGTAGTCCGAGGGGTGAGGCGTAGACTCGCCAGCGCGCAGCTGGCCGACCAGCCATGGACAAAGCTGTGCGTCGATCCGCGCTCCTACACCCAAGCCGCCATCATGGCGACAGTGCGCGGCGCGCTGCCGCCAGGCCAGTACGTATCCAAATAACCCCCTCCCATCTTCCACAGCGCTAACCGCTTCCAGCCCAAACAACAGCCAGACCACCACCACCACGAACCCTCTCCCCATCCTCGCCGCCATCGAGTCCACCATCCGCAACCCCACCCCGCGAGACCCGGCCACAGCCCTCGCCCGCCTCGCCCTAAACCCATACATCGACGACCCAGCATCGACCCTCCCCTCCCTCTGGGCCGTCCGCGCCGCCCTCAGGTTCCGCGGCACCGACGCCAACAACCTCAGCAGCACCATCGCCTTGCGCGTCGCCTCCTCCGGCGCCACCCACATCATCACCACGCCTCCTCCTCCTTCCAACAACAACAACAGCGCCACCACCACCAACCCCTCCCACCCCCGCACCATCCAACTCGCCATCGGCCAGCGCTGGGCCTCCTACATCCACGCGCTGCACCACCGCGCCACCACTTCGTCCTCCTCCTCCTCATCCTCGCCGCACGGCTACGGCGTCAGCGCCGCGACGGCGCGGACGTGGATGGCAGCGGTGCCGGGCGTGATCGCGGGCGCGGTAGAGGAGTGGGGCGCGGGCGTAGTAGAGAGGATGCGGCAGCAGGGCGTCGAGGGGGTTTCCGATGATGAGGCCGGTCGAGCTAGGATCAGGGCGGAGGCGGCGGCGGCGGCGATGCTGGAGAGGGGGGTGAGGAGCGTGGGGGTGGCGGCGAGGGAGACGGAGTTCACGGGGGTGTGTGAGGGGGTTTTGGGTGGGACTGGGGGTTCGGGTTAGGGCTGGGGGATGTGGTCATGGAATGAATTCTAACTTCTAGATGGGCTGGATGGGTCGATGCGGATTTCGGCTCGGTGGTGTGGCTTTGGGGACTTTTCTGGTGGATGGGCGGACGGATGGGGCTGGCTGGCTGGATTTCTAGGCCTTTCGTCTTTTGCTTTAGGTTTTTACGAGAGCGGGTTGGGAAAAGTGGGTTTTATGGATATTTCTGGGGTGAAGATGACAGGACAGGTTGCTCTATAGGGCGCATGATGATAGCCCACAAAATGCGATATCCAATTTCAAAGGATAGAAGAGAACTAACGGCTCGACAACACCACCATGGGCCAAACGTGAACTCGGTCTTCCCTCTTGACAAGGAAATGATCCATCTACTACCGTACGAAACATTAACAGCACGGTAGAGACAGCAACTACAGAAACTCTTCTCTCTTGACAAAAAGGACCCAATCGCTACTCCCACACCGCTCGTACTCAAGCGTCACAGAAACCAGTCTTCAGTTCTGTTCTCGTTCAACACTCCCACTGTCCCGAACAACTCCCTAGCTTGTCTTATACGCAACAGCATTCATCACGGAGATTTATGAACTAAACACCATGTGGCGACCACCAACAAACGGTCTTCCTGGATGAAATTGCATCTTCCAGCCTCAGAGTCCCAACTCGACGTCCTTCAAGCAACGATCCAGCAGTCCGGTAAGACAGTGAAAGGAGGAAGACAGGCTCCTTCTTCCATCAGACATGCTGTATACGCCTTTCAATGGATGCTGGTTCCACCCCTGGTCGGGACAGACTTTGGGAAGGTCCAGGAGTGTCCAATAGGAGTTTTCTAGGGGATTACGGGGGCGTAAGTGGATGAGAGCTGTCAGGGCACCTCGACTCGGCTCGAAGGGTAGATGCCGAGTCGACGATGCATGAAAGCAACCTAACAGCCCGACATCAGCCAGACCACAATTCCCCGTCTGCTCGAGTCTGAGAAAAAGAACAAGGTAGAGAAAGGTGTCAGGAAAAGGGAAAATGCAGAGCCGTTTCCAACCCCAACTCCCTTCCCGCATCCCGCTCCTCCCTCCCTCTCTCTCCCATCCACCGCACCACGCCCTCCACCTTTCAACCAACCAAGCTCATATTGATACTCAGCGGCGCCACACACCTCTCCCAATCATTCCTCTCCGCCTCCTCTCCCTCGCCCCCTTCCCTCACCATCACCGCCGGCGCCGACACCGGACTCCCGCCCACCACCATCTCCCTCTCCCGTATCGCCCACACCTTACTCACAACATCGCGCGTACGCACCACGTTGCTGATGCTCGCCTTGGCCAGCCTGTCGAAGGCGCGCAGCACCAACGGGCGGCCATAAACAGGCCGGCCCGTGCATTCATCGACCCACAGCTCATCGTCCAGCGGATCGAGCTCGACGGCGGCGACGAAGAGCGGCCAGATCAATCCGGCGGCGTTGGTGGAAGGAGCAGCGGCGGTGGTGGTAGTGATGGCGTCGTGGATGAGGCGCAGGACCTGGCGGACGTGGGCGGCGACGAGCGGGGTGGCGGGCGAGGCGCCGTAGAGGGCGCAGTACAGGTACACGATGGCGGCGAGGCGCTTGGCTTCGGCGCAGCGGCGCAGGGCCGCGTCGTGGGGCGCGTCGGGGACGAGTTGGCGGATGCTGTTGAGGCGCGTTTCGAGGGCGGCGGCTTCGAGGGCGAAGGCGTGGGCGGGGTTGCTGGTGTCGGATGGTGAGGAGGCGGGTGGGGAGGAGGAGGTTCGGGAGGAGGAGGAGAAGGAGGAGGAGGAGGGGGTTCGAGAAGCGGAGGGGGAGGAGGGGGAGCAGCGGCGGCGTCGGGCGCGGGATAGTTCGGTGATGGAGCAGATGATGGAGACGAGCTTGGGCGAGCAGCCTAGCCAGGGGTCGGCGGTGGCGTCGCTGGCGTCCCAGTAGTCCTCGCCGAAGATGGGGACCTCGCCGCAGGCGGTGCGGCCGATGACGTCTTGGTAGGCGAAGAAGCGCTCGGAGAAGTTGAGCAGGTCGTTGTTGGTGTTGCTGGTGCTGTTGCGCCTGGCGTTTGTGAGGAGCCGGCGGCGGGTGCGGATCAGGTCGCGGGCACCGTGCAAATGGACGACCCAGCGCGCATCGCACTTGTTGATGATTTCGTAGAGACACAGCATCATCATGATGGTGGGGACTTCGGGATCCAGGGCCACGCACACCGGGTCGTCGGTCATGAGACGTCGTCGGAGAGAATGGAGCACTTTGCCCTCGAGCTGCATGGCAACCGATTTCCACGTCCGGTTTGACTTCGAAAGATGTCGTGCAGAGAGAGCGAGGACCGAGTTGAGGGCTGTAGATGAGGCGTGGATAGAAAATGGAAGGATGAGGGAGGCAAAGGGCGAATCGGAGCGGACGCTCGGGGTGGTGAGAGGACACAGTTTCTGGATGTAATAGTCCAGCAACGGGGCATGGGAAGGATTCTCAAGCTGGGGGAACTCGGTCGGCGAGAGGAGCATTGCGGGTTGCGGGTGCATGCCGAGCGGAATCATCTGGCCCCCCTGACCGTACCCGGAGATGGAGGACGAGGACGAGCCAGGGCGGGGAGAAAGGGCGAGGAAGCCATCGTCGGCGGTGGAAAACCAACTGAGCTCTTCCTGCTCAGCTAGCGATTCTTCAAAGCCCTCGATGGTGCTGTTGACGAAGTGGTAGGGCTGGATGTAGGGCAGCGGGAGCCAGTGCACCACGTCGGAAACGCGGCGAGGAGCATCGTCCTGCGAGGCGCCATGCTTGCTCCAGATCTAGTGCTGTCAGCGGCTGCCTCATGTGGAAATGGCATCGGGGGACGCACTCCGCTGCGGCCGAAGGCTAGACCGCGAGAAGCATACTCCTGCTCCCATTTCAGGGTGACGCCGCGGAGGCACTGCAGGCCCTTGTCGCGGCAGTTGGAGCAGAGGGGCTTGCCCTCGTCGCATCCTGGGAAGCAATTATTAGAAGCTAACAGAGAAGAGTGGCAGCTAGCACGCACTGATCTTCCTCTTGCGGCACGTCAGGCAGCCGTTGCGGGAGCGCGACTTATGCGGCAGCGTGCGCTCAGCGGCCTTGCGACGGGGCATGGCTGCGCATTTCCGGGCGGGTCCTGTGGTTGGGCAAAGCAAATATCCCACTCATGGGCGCGCCAGAGCAGACCAATGAGTAAGGGAGCCGTGGCGCTGTGTTGCGGTGGAGGCGATGGGGGTGGGCCGACGCGGAGAAGGCGGCAGGTCCACGCGCTGCCTAAACCGGGCCCCGCATTCTCCTTCTTGGTATCCATCCTCTCCCGACACTCGCCCGCCAGCTACCTATCAGCGACGCACTTCACGCTATAAGGCCTGAATCGCCGGCAGCCGCCATGTCGTCGCTCGGGTCAGCATCCGCGCTCTCGCAATGGCCTCTGCACTTAATCCCGCGACTTCAACCGTGCTGATTGTCGGCGGCGGCACCTGGGGCAGCTCGACAGCCCTCCATCTTGCCCGCCGCGGCTACAAGAACATCACCGTGCTCGACCCCTACCCCGTCCCCTCGGCCATATCTGCCGGCAACGATGTGAACAAGATCGTCGAGCAAGGTGCGCACCCCATCCCCGCTGCCCGCACATGCACACCCGCCGCTCTGACCCTCGAGCCCAGGCCTCTTCTCCGGCAACGACGACGACGAGGCCTATGCCAGCAACACGCTGCTCGTCCACGCCGGCGACGCGTGGAAATCCGACCCCGTCTTCCAGCCCTACTTCCATGACACGGGCTACATCATCGCCGCCAGCGACCCAGACGCCATCGCCGCCCTGTATCGCCGCGAACAGCCGACCCCCGAGAAGGGATTCGTCGACCTCAAGACGCCCGATGCTTTCCGCAAGACCATGCCCGAGGGCGTGTTGACCGGCGACTTTCCCGGCTGGCAGGGCGTGTATAAGGCGACGGGCGCGGGCTGGGTGCATGCGCGCAAGGCCCTGGTGGCCGCCGCCACCGAGGCGCAGCGGCTCGGCGCCGTCTATGTCACGGGCGATCCGCAAGGCAAGGTCACCGAGCTTGTCGTCGAGGATGGCGACGTCAGGGGTGCCCACACTGCTGATGGCAAGGTGTGGCGCGCCGACCGCACCATCCTGTGTGCGGGCGCAACGGCGCCGCAGCTGCTGGACATGAAGGATCAGCTGCGGCCGACGGCGTGGACGCTGGCCCACATCAAGATGACGCCAGAGGAGGCGAAGCTGTACAAGGACCTGCCGGTGCTGTTCAACATCGAGCGGTAGGTCGTCCCCCAAGCTCAGCTCAGCTCATGCGAGGCAACTGACGCGCACGCAGCGGCTTCTTTATGGAGCCCGACGAAGACAACCACGAGCTCAAGATGTGCGACGAGCACCCGGGCTACCTCAACTGGACCGAGGATCCCAAGACCGGCCGCATGGCCTCGTTGCCCTTTGCCAAGCACCAGATCCCGCTTGAGGCGGAGAAGCGCGCGAGAGATTTCTTGCAGGAATGCATGCCGCACTTGGCAAAGCGGCCCTTCAGCTTTGCCCGCATCTGCTGGTGCGCCGATACCCCTAACCGGTCCTTCATCGTTACGCCGCACCCTGAGCACAAGAGCTTAATCCTCGGCGTCGGCGCCAGCGGCCACGGCTTCATGCAAATCCCCGTCATTGGCAGCTACATTTCCGATGCACTGGAGGATAAGCTCGACGAGAGGATGAAGAAGTGTTGGCGCTGGCGGCCCGAGACAGCGGTTGGCAGGGACTGGAAGGATCGACAGGGCCGGTGGGGTGGCACAAACAAGGTCATGGACTTCCAGGATGTCAAGGAGGGGGAGTGGACGAGCATTGCGCCGAGGATGTGAATATCGTACATAGATCCGAAAAGTGGTGCTCTGGATCTCTTCCGTCCGAGCCAGGTGTCGGGCTACGTTCTTTTTTTGTCCCATCCCCTAATGAATCCATGTGCCGCAGCTCCAATGCCCCGCCATCCATCATCTTCGGCCATCGCTTTTCTTCCCCTGCCCCGACGCATTCTTCCCAATGCCTTCAAACAACCCCGCCCTTCCCGCCCTCGCATCCTCCCTGCTTCCGCCATTGGCCGTCCCGCCTATCCGCCTCTCCCGCACGTACCGCCGCATTTTCCAGTAACCCCACACGCACGGCACCGCCACCATGGCCGTCTTGCCTACCAGCACGCTACCTCCTACGCCAAAAGCCGTGCCTAGCACAATACCCGCCGTGAACGCCCTGTGGCAGCAGAAACAATGAGAAAGAAGAACAAATGGGCCCACGATGCTAGGGGAGTCGCACCTTCGCCGCGTGATTGGCGCTGTTGCTGCCAGTAAGCGCTGCATCATCACCGGGCGTAGCGGAAATGCTCTTCTTTGGTCGGCGAATGGTGGGGAAGAAGAGAGCGGTTCGTCGATTCGCTGCTGTTGTTGTTGCCGTCGATTGTTTTGCTTGTGAGGTGCCTGTTCTTTGCGTTTTAGAGGTTGGCATGAATGGCGACGTCACACAGCCGGCGCCCGCGCGTGCGCTAAGGGATTAGTTGACGGGGCGGCTTGTCTAGCTTGAAATAGACATCGCGCCTAGGTACGCCCTCGTTCCTCGTTCCGACGCCTAGCGTGGAAATTCAGCCATCTTGTAGGTGAGGCTTGTGGGAGACCGACATCGTGGTCTGGAGATTGCGGTGAAGTGGTCGCACGTTGGCTTTTCTCACGGTGCTTCTATCTATGGTTCTAAGGTTCTTGATGCACGCCAACGACAGATGTACATGGACCCATTCAATAAGCGGACCAATCCCTCCACTAAAGTTTCTCCACTATCTCTTATCATAGCTTTCATCGTCGTACGGTCCTTTTGCTACCGTATCATCCTGCCGTATGCCTAAGATTTTTACATGGCTATGCCATCTTACACTCGATGCTGATTGAAGAAATATTCCTTGACATGGGAAAGATGTAGGATCAAATCGTAACTATAGCTGGCAGAACAGGAGACCATTCCATCACAGAAGCTTCCTCTCGCCTATCTAAAAGTTTACCTCCCACCCAGAGAATTCATGATTTCCAGGACACAACCACTCTGACGGCGTTTACAGTTACGACATTTATGCTAACTCTATTCCAGCACGAACTAGAGGTACTAGTAAACACTATCCGAAGCAGCCTGTGCAATTCGCATGGTACTACCTACCCCCTAGGCGATTGGCTGAATGTCCGCAACAGAAAATAATCCTATACCTAGCCCGATCCTTAGTAAACTTCACATGCAGCCAATGACTAATTAGTTTCACTATATAGAAATCCAAATCGTACTCGATGCCTTATAACTTTCCGAAAGTCTCGATGACTAAAGCTATGCGCTCTTTTCCATGGCTTCGCTTGTAGATACTGCTGCTACTTAGTACACTGGTCTTCCGTCTTTCCTACCTGCGGTCAACATAGTAGCCACTGCCCCTGGCCTTCACGGCCGACTCGAGTGTAGCCTTTTACGGAAATATCTAGAACAACATCTTAGGATGGCTAATGACGAAGAAATGGCGAAGTCATACATCTGGATCACGTCTTCAAGCCCGGGCAATGTTACCATCACGGAGGCACATTACTATCTGAAGTTCCTGGACACCACGATTTTCCCGAGTATTCAATCTCAGACCACTGCGAGAACAACACCGGTAATCTCTTATAGGGTTCCGCAATAGGCCCCTATGCGGCCAACAACCAGCAGTCATGGATGGATGACTTTAGACCAACCAGTATCTCGACCAAAGGGATATATGGTAATACGCTACCAGCTTCCATGAGGTCAAGGAAGGAAGCCCGTGAGAAGACGAGCGTTAGTAAACCCGACCGTGGATATCGAGTATCTTAGTTTCCTGCACGCACAGTAAAGCACAGCACTTATTTACATGTCCATGACCTCGGCCGTCAACTTGTGCCTCACAGTACATCGCGAGACCAGCAACGTCGATTTTATGCCATTCTCGGCGAGCCTGTGGCCATGGAGGGCGCACCGTAAGACGCCTTTATGCAGCACAACAAAAGTCTTAATTTTAACGGACGACAATGCCAATATAACAGCCCGACAGATACGTGCGAAAGACTGAGCGGACCCATTATTCCCCTCCCATATAGTCCCCCTTCTTCGTGCCTCCCTTCAGCGTGTTAAGCAATTAAACGCCCCCGCCAACCAATCCCTAGTCCCACCCCCTCTACCGCCATCTTTCATCCGCGTCCCCCTTGATGCCAGCCTACCTCGCCTGCCCGATGTGCCTTTTCTAAAACGGCGGCGACGAGCCGTTTCGCCCACCCACAACAATTCCGATACCGTTCGAGAACTTATAACCTTGGCAGCCTCCTTCATCGCCACTTGGCTGTCAGCTAATAGCATCAATGATGGCTATAGCAGCGGCGATAAAATTGGTTGGGTATTGAGCGCCGCAGCTGAAGCGGGACGAGGATGGGGTATGTTGCGGATATGCTGGTGCTGGTTGGCCGCTGGGGCTATTGAGTTCAGTTGCGAGGAGGCGGCACTTGGTTGAGGAGCCTGGCGAGTGTGAAGCGAGAAGGAGAATGTTGAGGAGCAGACGGGCCGGTCGTGAAGTTAGAGGGGTTCCTGCGGACTTAATCTGTGAGCATGCTGCGTGTTTATTGACTTGAAATATACGTTTCTGAATTCTGAGGCTGCCTGCTGGGGTCAAAAGCTTAACTGTTCTTCTGTGATGCAAGCCAAATGCGACTTGCGATGAGCGCATCCTCCTAGTCCTTAGGGCGATATGGGATAGTCACGTTGCTGAATGCGCGGCGCATGCTGTATTCTTGTCCAAAAATATGGTCAATTAACTCCCAACCTCTCCAGGAAGCGTGACGTGCTGGTACTGTTATCGTTGCTGTTTGCCCGCTGTTGCCGATTTTTTCTTTCTTTGTTGTAGTTGAGCGCGCATTTACGCAATTCTCTTCCGCTCACCGCTCTCGCCGGTATCTCCGAGGATTTGCGCAATGGTGGATCGTTACATATAATGCGGGTATCGTGCTGGTGTTGGGCAGTGCCACTGTTATGTGAGGAAGATCTAAGTAGACATACTGATTAATTGCCAAAGCATCTCAAGTCTGCTAGAAGAGTGGACGCGGTGATCGGAGCCGTATGTCTAACCAAGGTCTGGATAGGCTATTGCTTGTGGCCTGCGCGGCGAGGGACCGGCGCGTTCGGGGTTGCAGCGTTGGCAGGACCAGAACACGTGACGTGACTGCTTAGGACATGCCCGCCAGGACAACGCCACTCCCACTCAAAAATGCTTCCCGGTGCGCAGCACACCCTTTACCTTCATCCTGCCACGCGACCAACCTGCAGATCCGTAAGTCTTTCCCCCTGGTCCAATGACCAAGCACTGCAACACAGTCGCTGACAGCGCACGTCAAGCGCACAATGGAGAGCAACACGAACCTTCTTAACCGCAAGCCGCCGCTCCCCATGCATAGCCAGCATGAGGGTAGTGCTAATGGCAAGCCGCCGCGCAAGCCTAACGGCGATGACAAGAATGGCAGCGCCTACGGTGTTGATGCTCAGTAAGTCTCACGCTCATATAAATTGACTCTGAAATCTCGGCTACCTGATCCTAAACAGGGACACCGCTATGGAGTACTACTACTGTGTTGGCTGCGATAAGCCCGGGTCCGACTTCGTCTGCCGTGGCGACCATAGCCACAGCCTTGGACCTCTCTATCACAGCGCCGATTGTCCCATGGTCCACCGCGCGAACCAGGATGAGGACATGCAGTCTGAGCTGTGCCTGTGTGTGCGCCACGAGCTTCGTCGACTCAACCCGAGGCTGGGCAGCCTGTCCGCTAGGACCGCTATCCTTGAGCGTGTTCGTGTCCAAACCATCGAGATCCTCCAGCACCTTGGCCCTGCCGGCACTGACACTGGACTTGCGCCTACGCCTCCTCACAGTGGTACCACCGACACGATTGCCGGTGCCGCCGCCTCCTCCGACTACACCACCGAGTGGGTTGCCAATGACAACCCAATCGTGACTCCGCCCAACTGGCTGCCCGATGATGGGCTGTCTCGGCAGGGCTGTAGGCGTTCTGCGGCCCCTTCTCCGGAGCCGGGCGTCTGCAATATCTCTCTCGATGACTTGACCATCACCCCACGCCTACACCGGACTCCGCCCCTCCCTCGCGCTCCTCAGGCTAGCCCCAACATCGACGGCTCTCCTGACAGCAACCGCCAGTCTCCGGCTCCTCTTGCGAACATCTCGAACTCTCTTCGTCGTGCTCCTCCGTTCATCGGTGACTTGGACAACCTAGCCTTCCGTGCCTTCGGCGCCAGCTACAACGAGTACGACGTATACATGAACACCTTTCAAGGTGCTGATGGCAAGCGCAGGGCCAATCAGAATGCTATGATGCGCGAGGATTCCTGGAAGATGTACGCGCACGACAACTGAGACCTTGGCTGTGCGCATGCTCAGGACTGGATACCCGTTGTGAGCGGCAAGGTGGGACAGGGGGCATCTGGGCCAAAGAATCTACGTCTGTGTGGGCTATGTTTCTTGTATAAAGGTTCTTCCGAGAGGCTCTCTCTTGTGGCTCGGAATCCGATGCAAGTAGATATGGTAGTTCTAGCACATCTCAACAATGAAGGGACTTTGTTGTCCGGCTACATGTGGTTTGCTCGGTTTCCGAAGGGCTTGTAAGAGAACAGCCCCTCGATTCTAAGTCGCTGTTCATCTGTTCAATCAAGCCTTCAATTCTGGCACGAATATAGAGAATAGAGCCTGCTACCAGCACATTCGTCAAGGTTCTGCTGTAAAGGGCAAGATGGTACACGAGACTAAGAGCAAACTGGGTTCGCAGCAAACTTTTTCACTTTGAGATTGCTTGATCTACTACCTAGAAGCACATTTATGGTCGGGCGCGAAGAAAGAAGAGGCTGATAGGTGATAGGCTATCATGGTGTAGAAGCTGGGATATTGGTCTATGTTCCAGCTCCGCAGCCAGAGTTGGGCAGGATCCTGCCAGGCATAGCGATGCATCCGATAGATGTCTACAGGTCGCGATGGTAGCGCTTAGAAGTGCCAAGGCTCATGTCCTCGAAGGCAATGTAGAGAATTTTCAAGCACAGCGCGGACGAAGACAGGCAGCCATTCGTGCTCCCTGTGGCGCATAGTGCAGGGAACCAGCACACGTGACCCCATCTGCATAGCCGAGACTAGTCATAGATCTTTTCCTGTGCGTGCCAGACATCCTTGACCTTTCACACCCTGCACACGCATCAGCACCTAGCGTAAGATTTTCCAAGACCAGCCACACTGCATACTCACCAACAGTGCCAGCCACACCACCACCCACAATGCATCTCTTCCGACGCATATTCGCCAACGCCGCTGAAGATGCGGGACCTCCTCAAGGAACAAGCACCATTGACCCGGTTCTGCTCGGAGACACGCTCATCAAGGGACTCATCATGGGTCTGGATCGACAGTTTCGCGAGCACAAAGAGAGCCCGTACAACACTGAGATCACGCTCAAGTACATCTTCCACCTGAGCCGCGACAGGGTGCTGCAGGGTCGGAGTACCTCTGGTAGTAAGGAGTTCCAGGACATCATCAAGCAGCTCATCTATTGCTTCACTCGCGAAGGCTTGGAACGGGCTGTGCGCCTTCTCGACGCCAATGGCTCGTCCTAAACTCGGTTCCTCTCTACTCCTCAGCAGCGACAGCGTCAACAAGAACAATGATGGTCAGTTACAAGACCAATATGGTGTTGACGTCAAGCCTCTTTCATCCTTCGACCTTCCGACCAAGCGGGTCAGTACTGGCTTTGTGGGGAGTGCTACCTATAGGACTGGATGCATGGCAAGGCAACGGAAATGCGGGTTCTAATGAGGGCGCAACATTCACATTGGTATAGTTCAAAAAAGGGACGTGAAAGTGTACACGGAGCTTGGGAAGGGGAAGAAATATCACACCACAAACACTCAATGCAGACGACATTTACAGAAGCAGAAAAGGCTTGAATTGATAAGAAGAATGAATAGTGAAAGCCTGTGTTGTTACTGACCGCGGTCAGAGAAGTCTTGTAGCCGGCACGTTCCTCATTCGCGCCGCGTTCCCAGTCCATCCGAGTCTAGCTCTCTAAAACATGCCTCCTAAGCCTCCGAAGCTCCTCACGCAGCGCCTCGTCTCTTTCCTCGAGCTCCCTATTCCTCCGCTGAAGATCCACATTCCTGCGCTGCAACGCCCAGTTCTTGCGCTTGAGGTTCTCCTTCGAGCGCTTAATCTCGGTGTTGTGCTTTTTAAGCCCGGTGTTCTGTTGTTTGAGCTCATTGTTGCGCTGTTTGACCTTCTCCAACTCTATGGCAACGGCGCTCTTCGTGATATGAAGCTGAGTGTCATCGTTGCGCATGTCGCTGCTGTCGCCGCCGCTACCGCCGCTACCGCCGCCGCTGCCGTTGCCGTTGTCGTTGTCGTTGTCGTTGCCGCTGCCCCTGCCGCTGCCGCTGCCGCCAGTGAGGTTGTTGTTGCCGTTGTTCGTCTCACCTTCATTGGCAGCGCTACGAAGGTAAGACAGCCACGGACCAATGCTGAAGTGATTATCTGACATTGTTGCGGCGCTGTCTTGCGCGATTAGCGAAGCGCAAGCGCAGTGACGCGCACGTACTTACAGTGATGTAGGCGTATGGTATAAGGTGCGGGCGTGAGGTTGTAACGTGCGGGAGTGAAGTCGCAACGTGCGTGGTGGTTGAAGAAGTTTGGTGGCGTGGAGGAAGTCGAGATCTTTTATATCTTGGCCGTGCGCTGCCAAAGTATGGGCAACAGCAGCTGCGCACATGACTCCCAGATGACTCGACAGGGTCCATGGTATGCGCAATTGGGCAGTCACGCTTCTACGCCTACTTTTCACCCATGGCAGGCGCAAAATGGAACTGACCTGCAGTGATCCCTTGCGTGGGCAGTCGAAGCAGACATCCCCACGTAGATGGAAGTTCAAGCGGCCTTTCTTCATGGGCAGCTGAAGCAGATATCCGGACGCAGATGGAATTCAAACAAGCCATTTTCGTGGGTAGTCGAAGCATACATGCGGACGTAGGTCAAGGTTCAGACGGCCTTCCTCCATGAGGAGGTGAAGAAATCATCCGGTCGTAGATGCCAGTGATAAAACGGTACAACTGCATCCAGATGTAAGATTCCACTACACTTGTAGATGGATCAATTTATTTGGCGAAGGTGACTCTGTCGTTAATGATGCAAGCTACTGCCGGTGAAAGGCAAGGCTGTAGGAATGACAACGACCTATGCGCTTATCCTTGGCTCACAAACAGCCCATTGTTCCATACTGGGTGACAGCACCATAGGCTAAGCTCTTTTCCTTTCTTCTACTATCGCCGAACGAGAAATCGCCCATCATTGTTCACTGGAGCGTCTCCATTATCTTCCGCTTCCACATGCCTCGGTCAGCCTCACCCAGCGGAACCACGTCTCCTGCTACGAAAATTTCCGCGAAACTGTCCTCCAGAACTTCATATAGACCGCGGTCGGAATGTATCTGGCGCATTTAGGCGTACTGGAGTTGCATGCCTTCCCATCTGCCCCAGCGGCCCTGCGGTCACACTTTCACTTCGGCGGCCAACACTTTCCTTGCTGATACAAATCTGCGACACTGTGGCGGGAGCTATAACACGTAAATCATGTGTTCTCTAGACTTCGGATTGAGATTCTAGACTGGGTGTGAGAATCTACTTCTCGAGAGAAGAAACGAAGTGAGGTCGAAAAATTTGCACACGACTCGCAGGCTCGTCAGGTACAGCTGGAGCTTGATATCTCACCTTCCCCATGTAACCCCACGACCTGTACCGCAGCGAGCGTCGCGGTGACTCTAAAGATATGGGTCCACTTGACTGTTGCCAAGATGGCTCCACGGATCTAGATCTATATATTGAAAGCTACCATGATCTTTAAACTCATCTCGATGCAATAAACATGATCCAACCGAGTATCAGAGACAACAAAAAACAGTAGCGATGGAGCCGTCGTCGTTACAAACGTCAAGGTAAGCGACCCAAACGCTAAGCTTTGATTGTGTCCTGATTTACCGAGCCCATCTGGAATTATTTTCGATCGCCAGGCTTTGTGATACGACTCCAGGCATGTCGTCCCTATGGCGCCGGAGTGGAGCGAAGATGCCGGCAACTTGTCTCGTGCGATCGTGGACAGTGGGCCACACCTCTGAATGACCTCCCTCCGGGGTGAGCGGTGCCACGTCAAGCTGAGTCACTCAAGGAGGACCAGTCTTTCACAAACCTGCTGTAGATCCGAGCCATTTCCATCGCAGCATTGGGTTAGGTTCAGCTTGTTCCCATGGCCAATCATGCTTGCGTGAAGATGCAGCAGATTCAGCCTTTTACATGTGTGAATCGACGGAAGAGGTCTGATTCTAGTATGATACCTGCGCATGCTGCCAGTTTAGATACACAGCAGTTTGCTGTTGTGACAGTTCCGTGAAGCGCGATTGATTCGCTTTGAAGTGACCGTTTCTTCGTAATTCTGCAGTTTGGTCATCCTTGGGGCTATGGGCTTAGCCCAACTTTTCACGAGTAGAGGCTTCGCACAACGGTACCATGACTTCAACCAATAGCAGAGGAGTGCAGTCTGTTGGATGATGCGCTCGACCCTAGCTTTGTATCAACTCTATTTTCTGGACTTTCAATTTGCCGATTTTTGTAAGTCCACTCAAGAAACTTGGGCGCAAACGAATAATAGGTTGCGTAGGTGGCATTTGAGTAAAGGTGAGTCTGAGCAACCCACGCAAGAAAAAGCCTTGAGAAGACGAAGGTAGCTGCTTTCAATTGGTGGTGTGGTAGAGGAGGTTGTGTCGGTGACAGGATGGCTGGCCTCGGTGGTTCAGACCGAAAAACTGTACAAGCTGTGGCACTCGAGCTTCGCTCACTAGCGGTACTAGCGACAACATGGATGGTATGGATGACGGCATGGGTGATCTGCAGGAAAGCCGGGTTGTGAAGATAGGCCATTCGCTTTGTGGGACGTGGCGTGTGTGAAAGCCCAGTGAGTGAGACATCACCGACAAGGAAAAAGTTCGGCGGATACTGCTGCTAACATTGCCGTGAACAGAAAATGGTCTCTATGGAAAGAACATCACCAAGGAGTACCGAGCGAGTGCATGACGCAAAGCCTTCAAATGGTCATCACCTGGAGAACTGCCTTAAAATGCTACTCCTGAGTTCGGTAGATCTTACGACCAAAGGAAGCACTTGCAGAACAAAAGCTTCTTGCGAGCCGGTTCGACCAGGGCAATCCGCAAAATTTCCACGCCGTCACCAAATTGAAGAAAAAGAAAGAATGGAGATGACGATGGATGTGCATGAGGCGCCACGAGAGGAACGGATACACGCTCGACACCTACCGTGTCCTGCGTCGGAGGTAGCCAAGTCTTATCCTCAGATCTTATGTTGTTGACGTGGGTATTCCAAATTAACGTTCGGGGGTCCATATACGAGCGTATCCTACAAGAACAGAGTCCAAGTATTCACCTTTGGATAGTCGGATATATCAGGGCTCGGCGCTGACGTGCCGGACATAGGGCGCAGACAGACAAGTATGAGTATCAGCAGCTCATATAAGACCAATCTAGCTTAAAGATTAAGTTGTAATACATTTTCCTCTAGGTATGTACAAATTACCGAAACCGTCGTGGACTCTAACGTCCTTTAGGAACCAACATCCCAACGCGGAACACCAAGAACCAGTCTTTTCTCCCGTCGCATCTCCAGTCTAATCTTTCAGCTCGAAGAACGCACGCAAGCGCAGCAAATCCAAAAAGTCCGACCGCCGGCAAAGGCCTCCAAACTCCACTCACAGTACCGAAAGACACAGACGACAGTACCGGAACCAAGGCGCGACCATGCATCCATCTTACCAAAAGGCATCAATCACATCATCCCCCTCCTCGTCCCCCTCGCCCTCCCCCCTCTTCCATCTGATCATCCTTACTTCCTTCCTTCCATCCTTCCTTCCTTCCTTCACGACCTCCCGCCCCTCTCCCTCCACACGCCGCCAAACTCGCCAGCCACGGCCGACATGACGCTCCCCCTCCTCCCAACCATCTCATCCATATCCGACACGTCTTCCTCCTCGCCGGCAATGACCAAAGCCAAGACCTCATGACCGACGGCGCTGGCGACCAGCGCGCCGCCGACGGCCCACACGCCCGCGACGCGCACGACGTCCTCGACGCCGAAGCCGAGGCCGAGGCCGGCGGTGACGCCCATGAGCACGCCGGCGGCGAGCAGGGCGTCCTGGTGGGCGTCGCCGCGGGCGCGGCGGTGGAAGTAGAGGGCGGAGGCGGAGGCGACGAAGGCGGCGCAGGCGAGGAGGAAGAGCGGGCGCGGGATCTCGGTGATGAAGTGCGAGGGCTGGTGCTGGGGGTGGGAGCAGGGCATGCGCGAGAGGTCGAGCAGGCGCTGCAGCCACAGCGGGTGCCGGTAGAGGGAGGTGAGGAGGGCGGAGCAGAGGATGGTTGTGCTGGTGGCGATGGTGGTGAGGAGCGAGGCGGTCGTAGCTTCGTTGGCGGCGTCGACGAGGTCGTCGGTGTTGTTGTTGTCGTCGGTGGGGTGGGGGAAGCTGTGGAAGGCGGCCGGCTCGGGGGTGGGGGCCAAAAGAGGGCAGAGTTCGCCGCCTTTCTCGAGGTCGGTGCTGTAGAGAGAGAGAGGCGGGCGGCGGGGTTAGTTTGATGGCATTAGCGGAGGGTTGGGGATGACTTGTTGGACTCACGGCTCCATGGCTCGGGGCGACGTCGTCATTTTTGGGTGCGGCTGCTGCTTGGTGCGGGTGCGGCGCGGTCCGGGATGGCGGTGCAGCGGCGTCTGAAAATGGCTTCGCGGTGGCAAATTCGCAGGTCGAAAGCGGCGATAGTAGAGTGGCGGGTTTGGGGGCGATCTTTGGGGGATGCACGGTCAGCTGGGGGGGTGGATCAATGCGAGGGAAATGTTTCAACGCACACCAAGCTTTTGGCGCGGGCAGAGATTTGCGTCTTCAGCGAGAGCTCGAGGTGGTGGACGGTTTTTGGCTTGAGGAGTGCTGAAGATAGGAGAAGTGGGTGAATAGGGGTTCTGGTGCAATCTTCGTCCAGGCATTGGTTCGGTTGGCCAGCAAATCCGAGATTGAGCGAGTCAATTGGCCATGGAGATCGCGCTTCTGCCGCCGGCCCGCCCCGGCGTAGGTCCGAAGTGCTGCACACTGAGACATGGGCTACTTTTGGGGACGATAGGCGACCAGTCCGATCCCGGATGGCGTGCATGCATGGATCCCCTTGGGATCGCCTAGCGCGAGCCTGCCGACTTAGCTACAGTACAGCCTTGAATGATTGCGCGTCAGACAGCCCAGAGCCTTTCCGAGCACAATGAGTAGATGGCCGGGAGAGCCATAGAAAGCGCGTCCGGCTGCAATGATTGAAAGCATTCCACCACGACAAAAGCTGGGCGAGCACGCAACCAGGTGCCACGTCAGGAGCAGCGGCATACCTGGTCCATCTGCGGGAAGCTCAATGGGGAAGCACCAAGGGGATTTCCAGAAGGCAGATCGGTGGGGCGACTCGGTAATCTGCGGTGTGAGGGGAGCCAGCGGTCTGGTATCGACAAGGCGTTCTGCTCGTACCTGCGGAAGCGGGCTTGGACGTCAGACCAGCCCACCGACTTTTACAGGGCGAGACACGAGCTTATTGGGAGTGCGGCACAGAAGGGCCGAGAGCTTGCTCACCGAATGTCGACGGGGTTAGTATGCGGCTATCGTGAATCAACAGCGGGAACGCATGCCGCCAGCTTCGATCAAGCAGCCGAGAATATCTTCTTCGATAGACGCTCGCGTGTGTCAGCCGGCCATTCGCTCAGCCGGTGCGTTGCTTCTGCAGGGAGCATGCATGGGGAGCTCGATGTCTGAGTTTTCCCATGTGAGCCTCATCGGGGTCACTGACTGGGGTTGCACGGGCCACTCTCACGTTGTTTAAGCAATCTGGACTGCAGTGGAGTGGGTCGCTTTTCTGTCCGGCGGTGTCCCAATCAGACGCCAACGGCCCGTGCGTTCTTGAAGGTTGGATGCGAGCAACCTAAAAACAGATGCCATCGACGTCGTGTATAGCACGTGACGAGACATCAGGCACAGCGGCATTACTCGTTGCTCGAACCCGCGACTGAAGAGCCATTTGAGACACATGCGAGATGTGTATGATGATATGTTTGCTCCGTGGGAAGTGCACTACCTAGGCCATGCAGGAGCATCCTGAAGGATTGCATTTAGCGTCGAGATCACCGGCCCATCAGTTCGGAATCTGCCCTGTCGTAAATAATGGCCGTCGGGAGAAAGTACGTGCCGTACACAGTACGCGTCAACGGCATGGACTAGGCAGATCAGCGCCATGCTGTCGCCTAGTGTATGGTGGTTCAACAGGGACATGGAACATTGGCTGGAAGTTGCGGTGAGTCTGGGAGCAGATGCGAGTCAGCGTGGAACGGATTGAACAACCACGGGATTCGGTGCTCCAACGGATGAGTAAGCATGGTGTATACAGCAGGAAGAGCCATGTTGCGAGGGCTGGAGGTTGACGGGGATGGAGTTGGTCGGGGTCGGCGAAGCTCCGGGGGTGGGGGTTGCGTCAGCGACTAACGGCGGTCGCCACAACTCCGTCACCGTCCGTCACCGTCGCCTTTGCCGCCTGGACCTCCAGTCACAGCTACCACCCGCAATCATTTTTACCTACCGCTTCCCCGGATAAGCTGGCATTGCGAACACATCTCGGGAATCGCGCTGTACGCCGCACTCGCTCCGCTGCCACCACCCCGCCGCCGCCACCATAACCCATGGCCGACTCGACCGACGATGAACGCGAAGAAGAACTTTCCTCCATCGCCGCTATTTTCCCCGAGTTAGCCCTCGATCCCGCCAACGCTTTTAAAGCTTCAATCGACCTTACCGTTGCACCCTCGGTCCCGCTCGCCGTTACCTTTCCCCAAGCCGTCGACGGCGCTCTGCCGAAATCTCTCCCCACCCCACCCTCTTCCGACAATGAAGAGCATGCCCCGCCTGCGCCTCCGAAACCGCCCGCCCATGAAATCCACTGCCTCTCCTACCTCCCGCCGCTACGCCTACAAGTAACCCTGCCCAACGGCTACCCCGCCCATCACCCGCCACAGTTCGACCTTTCGACATCGCCCAAATGGCTGCCGGACGCCGCCCTGAACAAGCTGATAGATGAGGGCCCCGCTCTGTGGGAGGAATACGGCCGTGGCCAGATCGTCTTCGCGTACATCGATTTCCTGCAACAGGCCGCCGAGCGGTGCTTCGACCTCGTTGGTGACGACGGCGCCGTCATCGAAGTTGCCGAGGACATGAAGATTTCGCTGCTGGACTACGACATCAAGGCCAAGCGCGAGAGGTTTGAGCAGGAAACCTTCGACTGCGGCGTCTGTCTCGAGCCGAAGAAGGGCACCGTGTGCCACCGCCTCATGCGCTGCGGTCACGTCTTTTGCGTCGCATGTCTGCAGGACTTCTACACCAATTGCATCAGAGAGGGGGATGTCTCGAGCGTGAGGTGCATGGATCCGAGCTGTGGGAAAGAGGACAGGAAGAAAAAGAAGTCGGAGCGGACCGTTAGCCCGGGCGAGCTGCTGCAGATACCCATCGAGCAGGACATGGTCAAGCGGTACGTGGAGATGAAGCGCAAGAAGAAGCTGGAAGCGGACAAAGACACCGTCTACTGCCCGCGGAAATGGTGCCAGGGACCCGCGCGCTCCAAGAAATATCCCAAGATCACCGACCTCACCCAGCTGGTCGAGTCCGACTCGGAGGGCGAGGACGAATCCGGCACTCCGCCGCGTGACAGGGTTGAGGAGCAGATGCGCGGATCCAAGTCGGGCGACCGACTGGCGGTCTGCGAGGACTGCGAGTACGCCTTCTGCCGCGTGTGCCTGGCCGGCTGGCACGGCGAATTCGTGCGCTGCTATCCGCGCAGCTCCACCGAGCTGACAGAGGAGGAGCAGGCCTCGTACGACTACTTGCGCATGCACACCTCACAGTGCCCCACCTGCTCGTCGCCCTGCCAGAAGACGCACGGCTGCAACCACATGTGCTGCTTCCAATGCCGCACCCATTTCTGCTACCTCTGCGGCGCCTGGCTCGCCCCAGACAACCCGTACCAGCACTTCAACAACAAGAACACCGGATGCTACATGCGCCTGTGGGAACTCGAGGAGGGCGACGAGGGCAACGCCAACAACAACAACGCCGACCGCCCTGTCCGCTTCGACGGCGCCCGCGGCTGGGAAGCCGCCATCGCCGCCGCCAACGAGGCCGACGCGCGAGACGTCCAGGCCGCCGAGAACGCCGCCGCCGCCGCTCCCGGAGACCAGCAGAATCACGCCGCTCCCGCCGCTCTGCCCCTCGTCCCCATGCCGCCGCGCGCTGCAAACGGCCCGCCTCTCGTCGTCGACGTGAACCAGCTCCCGCCTCTCGTCGTCGAGATGGATCGGCTCCGCATCGCCGCCGTTGCCCAACGCGGCCAGCACCAATACCACCCCCCGCGTCGCGCCCACCCCAACCAGCACAACGATAACAACAACAACAACAACAACAACAACAACGCGAACAACCAAGCCGCTGCAGCGCCCCGCAACCACCACCACCACCGCCTCCCCGCCGGCGGCCCCGAAGCTAACGGCGCCGCCGGCCGCCACGTGCGCTTCCGTGGCAACGCCCGCGTCGATGGTGGCCAGGACCAGCAGCAGGCTGTCAGGCATGCGGACGACGCGCTGCAGCGCTTCTTGGCGGCGGCGCAGGCGGATGAAGAGGACGATTGGGATAGCGATGAGTTGGATGGGGATGGGGATGAGGCCTGGGTCATTCCGGAGCGGTGATGTGGAGGGGGGCGGGGGCTTGGAAGCTGTGGGTACGAAGAGGGAGGGAATGATGTGATGTGGTTCAAGATGTGATGACGACGAAGAAGGCGATGATTATGTGTGTAAGACTGGGATGAATGATGGGTTCGTCAAAAGGGAGTGTTGGGGTGGCTGCTGCCTACTTGCATTGCGTGGAGTTTCTGTTTTTCTTTTTGTTTTCCGGTGGGGCAAGGTGCGGATGGGTTTGGAAATGGTCAAGGAGGCCTACTTCTTTATATGGCGTTTTTTCGGGGCCAATGATTCCCACAAGCCGGTTCTGATTTTTGAATTATCTCATGCGATGGTAGGCCGGAGATTATAGTCCAAGCTATGGGCATGTACAGTGTCATCGTAGATAAGCGGCGTCAAAGTATGATAACCTTTTGTTTCTGCTAACATCAGCTTCGTCTTCTCATGGACGTTGGTCGAATCGTTTACGCTGTGTATATATGCTATACTGGCGATCAAACTCAGTATTCAACGGCCACGTCAAGACGTCATTCCCTCCAATGAGACCTTGCATGGCGGCGCGGTGCAATGGGTAATGCCACGCGGTACTCATAATTGGTGCCTGTGAGTTTCTTGAGACTCAAAATCCATGCCGCCCTCTTACACCCTTCGAAAGTTCGATCCCCGTTGAAAAGACTGTGGCGAGATTCTGAGGAGGTAACAGGTGTTGTATTGAGCTACCCGAGAGAAAGCGCTAAATACCCCCCTTGGCCATCGCGCCTTCCAACAGAGTCCCCTAATCTATACTGGACTGCGCAACGCAGCGAATCCGCAGCCTAACCGCTTGCTTTACGCACTAACAAACTGTCGTAGAGTATCATCACGACTCCGCGACAGCACATTTCTCTCTTTCTTCTCAACGTTGCCCACTCACCATCTCGATCCACCGACCCACAGCTACTTACGCATCACTCACCTCATCATCTACGCAAACATGGACGCTTCAGCGTCCGAGACTCCGCAATTGCCGGTGCCGTTGACGGGTGAGGTGACCGACACTGAAGTTGACGAGCCATCAGCCTCGAGGGCTTCTTCAAGTGAGGGCAAGCTGACCGCTGTGGTCCATGATGGAGAAACCACGCATCCTTGGACGGGTGGGATGCCCGGAGTGAGAGGAAGCGTCACAGCGCCCACGGAAGACACTTCGAATCCGAAACGGCAGAGGGAGTCAACTTCGGAGATCCAATCAGTCACCAGTCCTGGGGAGCCTGATGGAGCTGCTAGGGAGTAAAACCGTCGTTATATCAGAGCCTCCCACAGGCGCCAACCACGGTATTAAAGGAATTGGCCGCGTCTACCGCCTGCTGTAAGAGAAATGGCATGGGTCGACGCGTACGTCAAAAAGATCCTATCGCATGGATGGCGTCTTCCGACCTCGCAGATCTCGGATTGTAATCCAAGATTTACCTCCTGATTTTGGAAGCAGGTCTGTGAAAAGTTGGGCATTAAACAACATCTTACTACCGCTTACCACCCCCAAGCGGATGGGCAGTCTAAGCACACAAACCAGACTGTTGAAATCGCCATTAGGTACCATGCCGTCTCCAATCCGGAGATGGAGTGGACTCAGCTCCTCCCCTTGTTGCAAGCCAGCCTTAACAATGCCATCAACGCAACTACGGGCTTTTCGCCAAACCAGCTACTCATGGGCTTCAACGCCAGAACGGACCCACTGTCGGCTCTGGCTGAGATCCCCGACGAAAGACAGGCGATCCGAGACGCAGCAAGACGAGAAGCACAGGAAGCCATCGCCTTTGCAGCGGCCGGCTGGAAGAATCGGTTCGACAGCAGCTTGTCAACAAGCCGTCCGACCCCAGCCCAAACCATCACCCCTCTACTGCATCTTTCGGCCCTCAACATCCATCTATCGCCGGTGCCTGCTGCCCGGGACCGGCACGGTGTACAAGCTCTTGTCCGTGGCTTCCCGACTGGCTGATGACCAGGCAGTTACTGGCCGGTTGGTCGAACGCCACTATTCGTGCGCCCAGCCCTCGATCCTCCCCGGCTCCCCGCCCTGCTCTTGCTCACCCTGCTGCTCACCCTGCTGTTGACCCGGCTGCTCTGCTGGCTGCTCTGCTCTTTTGTGCTATGGTGTGGCTCCCGGCTCTCGCGCTCATTCGTACGACTTGGCTCTGTTATTCCACGCCGGCTCGACCACTGCTCTACTGCTTGCCATTCATCTTCCTGGGTGAGGTTTAGTGTAGATGGCTCGCGGCTGGTGATTGTGTCGAAATCATCGTCTGAATCGATAAACAATGGAGGCATCTTGTCATACGAGTTGGAAGTCTGAGCTCTGGTTGGTCCGGCGTGAGGGTGTGGAGTTTTGCGCGACTGGGGGCGGAGGTGAAATGGCAGGGTGTAGAGGGCAGTGGCGGGGGGGCACGGGGCAGGCGCGCGTGGCCGGTTGGCCAGTTGGCGCGGACCCTCTTACAGGCCACCGTACGGAGGAGCAAGCGGTCCAGCAAGATGGATTTCCTAGACAAAGTGGCAAGCTCTGGCCTCCATGACACCCGAGAATTCGCCTCCAGCAGTCGGGATCCCCAGACCCCAGAGCCACCCACCAGCTCCAGTTGGTCGGACGACGACACGCCTCAAGCCCCAAGCCAAAGCCGATTCAATCCAGACATCCCGATGCCGAGTTCTGAGTTCGATGTAGAGGAGGATCAAGAGAATGAGGAGACCGAGGATAAAGAGGACGATGATGTCGAGTGGCCGGATCTTGATGATGGCATGTTTCACCTCGAGCGCGAAGACGACAATCCTGGAGTCGTGAGATGCCATGGCAGAGTTTGGGATGAGGCGGTGAAGATGTTGAGTGCTGCAGCAAGGGCCGAGATTCAGAAAGAGTTTGGGGTGGCAGAGTCTGCGACGGCTCCAACAACGATCCTGAGTCTCAACCGACGTACATCAAAATGGCCACTCTGGACAAGGAGAGGTTTGAAGTCGAAGTCGATCAACAAGGCAAGCCTCTGAACAAGCCGAAGATTGACTACTACGGAAAACTACAACCAAAGAAGGAAGCTCCCCCAAAGCACGTTTTGGACGTGGTCAAGGAACTCAAGAAGATGACCGGCAACCATGTCGAAATGGATCCAAAGATGAACAAACTAAAACAGACTCAAGCATTCATGAAATCAAAGGTGTTCAACCATGCTCCGGAGTTGGAGGCATATTGTGGGTGTGACGAAAGACACTCACCGTGGCTGTTTTCGCCAGATGGCATGAGCCCTTTATCGGCAGCCGTACGCAGAAGGTCCAGGCCGCCGTAGTTGACTTCTGCTTCACTTGCGCGTAACAGAGCCTCAAGGATGGCGCTGACGCCGCCTTCATGCTACCTGACCACGACAGCCACAGCCAAGAGGACGACGATGTCGGCTCCAGGCAGCATTTGAGCTCAGAGGCTTCCACGTTCAACCCCGACACTCCTATTAGGCAGTCCTGGCTACATCCTCTAAGCCGAGAGGTGAAAGTCTCGACGATAATATGAATGCCACAGACAACAGTATGGGTAAAGATGATAAGCCTAAGGTAAAGGAGAAGAAGGATCTAAGCTTCCGAGATGCTCGGGCTTTATAGCCACGGTCAATGGCGACATGGGGTTTGGCGCCTCAAACGGGTGCATCTGCTGCGGCGGGTACGGCATGCAGAAGCTCGCCAAGGGCCCCGATTCGATGGGGAACGAACGCTCGTCGATAGATAGCATGTAACTGTGTTGAGGCTGGTACTTGCCCTGGATGTTCGAATGGGTTCATGTTGGTCTTGGATAAGGTACAGAAGACCGAAATTGGTAAGTCGTAAGCGCAATTGCGGTGATCATGAAGACCTGTCACTATATGGGCTCCACCATGCTGCCACAACATGACCTATTTGTTAAGATACGAGCAGACTCTCACATAATATATCATGATATCCTGACGGCTGCTAGTGTTAGAAATATAAGGACTTAACTTTGCCGCTGCTGTCATGGCTGACAAGCTCATAACACATTAACAGTATTCAAAAACTTGGGTTGTTCGGAACGAGCTTTTTATGCAAGTATGCCGTTGTGGAGACCAGTGTAAAACATCTTTATTGAAGGAATGCAGTGGCTGAAACTACCTGGACTTTGTTGTCCTTTTCTGTGCGTGCTGCACGCGCGGCCTCTTGGATATATCATGCACTAGTTCAATCACCCAGGTTTTTTTTTTAAAAAAAAAAAAAACCATCGGGACCCACGCTTCTTCTTTCAACTCGCAAAGATGCTAGTGGTCCCTCGATCGGTATTCCATGCGACTGAAAGTGCTGACTACAAGCCGTGTTCAACTTCGCACCTACAACACGGCACTGACTGTTACGCAATTCGAATTGCTATCTAATTGTGAAGAAAGCAGCGGACGTTCAGTCATGGTACTGTATTGTCAATCATCTCACATAAACTCCAAACTCAACCAGCCTGTCTCCTCGTCACCGGTGTATGCACTTTTCCAGCCCCGGCCCCTCTCTTCGTACCTTCGGAAGGCTCCGCCCTCTGCCCGAACGGGCTTCTCTCAAACCCACCCGGCGGCGTGCCGAAAGGTTGCTGTTGTGGTGCCGGCGGCTGTTCGACTGACGCCGCAAGGGGATCCGTGCAGAAGATGGCGAGCAGCTTGTCCACCGTTTCGCGCAGCTGCTCCATATGCAAGGTAAGAGGTTCCGTAGCAATGTAGTTGCGCTGCTACCGTCAGCGAAGCCCTCAAACAAAAAGTACGGGAGCCATCGTGGAGGGGGAACTCGAAGCGGACAAAAATCCGTGAAATCCACTCACCATGGCAAAAACGGTCCCACGATACGCCTGATGATACACAAGCTTATACTCCTCATCCCTCGCCGCATCCCCCTCCACACCCGCCTGCACACCCACATTATCCGACGCCACCGACCCCTTCCGCACCGCCGCCGCCGCCGTCCTCCTCCGCTGCTGCTGCTGTTGCTGCTGCTGCTGCAACCCATACATCCGCATCCCCGCCATGACCAGCCGCGAAATGACATCCTTATTCCTCGCCTCAACACTCTGCTGCCCGCCACCACCACCACCCCCACCCTCCGCACCCGCATCTCCCGCTGCACTCACCACCACCCGCCCCAGACTCGACGACGTCCTCCTCCTCCCCCCCACCGCATCCCCCCCGCTCGCCGCTCCTCCTCCTCCCAGCACCGCGCTCACGCTCGGCGACCGCGACAACGGCCGGCGGTCCTTGTCCTTGTCCTTGGCGCCGCCGCCGGCATCCGCGGAGGGCGGCCGGGTGTCGGCGGCGGCGAGGGAGGAGGAGGAGGACGCCGAGCGCTTGGGTGGATGTTGTTGATGTTGGATTGGGTTGGGAAGGTTGGATCCGGCGGCGGCGGCGGCGGCGATGCTTTCACCGGCGTGGCGGCGGGCGCGTTTGCGGCGCTCGGTGGCGGCGTCGAAGAGGGAGGAGACGGATTGGCGTTTGCGGGTGCTGTCGGTGGTGGTGGTGGATGGGTGCGGAAGGGTGGAGGAGGAGGGTGGTAACTGGTAGAGAGGCGGGTGGAATTCGGCGTCGATGACGGCGTCGGCGGTGGTGTGGGTTTCTGGTGGCGGCGGCTTGCTGGATGACAGTTGGTGGGGGCGGGAGCTGGGGGAATCTGGTGGTGTTGTGGCGGAAGATGTGTGGTCTTGTAGGAGGTCTGAGGAGATTGGGAGGGCGCGGAGGACGAGGGTGTCGGAGGAAGCTGGCAACGATGATGTGGGAGATGGGAGTCCTGATGCTTCGTCTTGTGCGGCTGGTGAGGATGTTGCGTAGAATAGCAATTCTGTGAGAAGTGGGCTGTTTGTTTCGGTGTTTGCTCCCCGGACTTCTACCAAAATGCCGACGGGTGATTGGGCGGTGGAGGCGTGCCACCACGGCAGGTCCGTATTTTTGGCTGCATGATGGCGGCTGAGTAGCAAGGCGCTGAACCAGTCTTCTGTGGCAGCATTGTCTGCATAGACGTCCAATGGATGAGCGATGGCGAGGTAAAGTGGAATGCGCGCGATGTCGACGCAAGCCAAGAAATGGAGAGAGGCGGCGTGCGGGATGTTCGGCTGCAGGGCGCGTGTTGCGACGAGTTGAACACCTGCGAAGATGGTTAGCGCGGGGAAACGGAAAGGAATGGGGCCATCTACCCGTAGCACTGCGGCCATTCGAGAGTTCGATGTCGCCCGCCCAGACCAAGGCATCCATGACGGCGAAGCTGTGGGGTGGCGCCGTCTGACGTCCAAGTTTCGGGTTGACGCGTCGCGACGCGTCGCGGGACCCGCAATCACATGATCAACGTCCGCACTCTGTGGGCTGAAGATCTTCACTCAATGTGTTCATGCGATTTGCATTAAAGTCTGATTCGTTTTAAAACATTGCGAAATTACGACGAAGCCCATCGTTTCCAGAACTTCCAGCCTCCCTTTTCTCCTCGTTCGTTCCTCTTCTTGCTTCCTATTCTCCACCAATACAAAGGCAGCCCCGCCAGGATGAAAGCCAATACAATCAATGTCTGGACAGGCTCTGCGATGACCGCCCTGCTTACAAGGAACAGGCTCACACAGCAGAAAATCGTAGGCGTCGTGATCCAAGTCCTGTATGGCCGCTCCAGCTCCGGCTCTCTGACTCTCAACACAATGAGGCCCAGGACTGTGAAGAAGTAGAAGGTGTAGCCTGCAACACCGTAGAACGTGACCAGCGTGTTGAACTCGCCGATGATGATGTAAACAGCCGTGAGCCCGGCATTGAGCAGCATGGCGTTGATGGGCGTGAAGAACATGCCAACGTCGTCGGAAATCGCGCGCACAAACCGTCCGGGCTGCCGACCTCCCCGGCCTCCCAGCCGCACAGCAGTCCGCTTTCCAACCCCAATCCTGCCAAATATCTCGGGCAAGTACCCCTCCTTGCCCGCCGCATACACCAGTCGTCCGCTGGTGAAGGTCGTTGCGTTCAGCGCTCCAAAACAGCTGCCGCCAACAGCGAGGGCGAGGATGAGAGATCCAATAGGGCCAAGCACCTGTGACCCGAATGCCACAGCCACCGTGTTGCTGGATTCGATCGTCGACGACGGGAGGACGAGAAAGTATGCGACGTTCGCCAGGAGGTAGCTGAGAATGACAAGAGGCAAAGAGCTGTGGATGACCCGCGGAAGGTCGCGCGTGGGGTTCACGAATTCGCCCGTCACGTAATTAACCTGCCGTCTATTAGCAAAGAGGTGGTGCTGTGGCTGGAGAGACATACATTATCCCAGCCATCAAAGGCCCATAGTCCGGCGTACAAAGCAACGGCCAGGTTGGAGATGTTTTCGTTGGTTCCTTCAAACCAGCTCTTGGTCTTCCACTCGGTGCTTGCGTCTCCCTTCCACGACCAGCCCGTGGCCGCGACGACAATGCCAGTAATTGTGACGCCAGTTAACGCAACAAACTTGAGAAACATGAAGAAGTCGGCGCTCCGGGTGCCGAGCTTGGTGGAAACGCAATTGAGGAAGGTCACGAGGATCAAGCCGCCTAGCGCAACGCCCTTGTTGAGCCAGAAGCTGATCTCCATGGCGTCCGGGCCAATGACGGCGCGCACGCAGTATTCGCCGAAAATGATGGCGATGATGGCGGCCGACCCGGGCTTCAGGACCATGACAGCGCACCACGTGAACAGGAAGCCGGCCCATTCTCCAAAGATCTTGGACAAGTAGACCTGGGCACCGCCGTTCAGCGGTATGGCGCCTCCCAGCTCTGCATAACTCGCGGCGCCGGTCCAAGCCAGCACGCCCGCAACCACCCAGACTATGAGCGCGGCTCCCGGCGACCCGGCATTCGCATTGACCTGGCTCGGCGAGGAGAAGATGCCTGAGCCGATGATCAGGCCAATGACCAGCGACAGGCCATTCAGGTAAGTGAGCGACTTGTGCTTCTCGAGCGAGCCGCCGTGGGCGCCGTTTGCGGATTCGAAGTCGGTGGCCGAAGGCGCTCCCAGGGCCGTGTAGCCGCCGGCGGTGGTGGACAGAGGGAAGAGGTTGGTAGCGAAGTCAAAGGCGGACGAGACCGAGTAGGAGCGGCCATGGCGGCCCAGACTGGCGGGGTTCTGCTCGTTCAGAGGGTCCTCTTCGTCAAGCGACAGGCGACGCGAGGAGGCGGCGCCCGAATCGGAGGACAGAGAGCTCCGGCGCGAAGGTTGCGACGAAGAGGCAAGGGAGGCCAGCTCGAGCGAGTCGCGGAGCGGTTCGCGGGTGGACAGGTTGGCATAGCCGCCGAGCGAGCGAGACATGGCGGGCTTGGAGGGTGTGGTGGGAGAAGGGAGGCTAGCTGGAAGGCAGACGACAGCGCGCCATGCCGGTCGAAGGAGAGAAAAGTCGCGGGGATGGCAGGTCGCATGTTGCGGACTTGGCGCAGGGGAGAGACTGACTGACGCGCCGAAGCTCAGACTAGCGCCCGGGCCAAAAAGCGCCCAAGGCTTGACCGACTCTCATCTTTTTGCCCGCCGCGACGCGCCCATCCAGATCCCAAGCATGCGCATCATGCTCCGCTGACGTCGCCCCGCCGCCGAGAGCAGATGAAGCGCCTCAATGCCGTCGCCGTCGGCCTGCGGCGCCCCGCCGCCGTGCTGCCGCAGCTGAATCCCCGCCGCGTCTTCCTCCGCACCGCCTTCACCCAGCCCGACCGCGTCGACTTCCAGGCCATTGACGCGAAATGGCGCCAGCGCTGGGCAGACGCCGCCTCCACCAAGCCCAAGCCTCTGCCTCACCGGCCCACCGCCTATGTCCTCCCCATGTTCCCGTACCCGTCCGGCATCCTCCATCTCGGCCATCTCCGCGTCTATACCATCTCCGACGTCCTCGCCCGCTTCAAGCACATGCAGGGCTACGATGTGATACACCCCATGGGCTGGGACTCGTTCGGTCTGCCTGCTGAGAATGCGGCTATCGAGCGAGGCATTGACCCCGCCGAATGGACCCTCTCCAACATTGCCAAGATGAAGGAGCAGCTGGGAGGAATGAACGGCCGTTGGGACTGGGATAGGGTATGTCGGGGCCTAGCTCAGCGCCCATCATACGTAGCTAATGCAATTCGCTGTCGTTCAGGAATTCATGACCTGTGACCCGTCCTTTTACAAGCACACCCAACGCCTCTTCCTCCTTCTGCACGAGCGCGGTCTGGCATACCAGGCAAAGTCTCTTGTCAATTGGGATCCCGTCGAGAAGACAGTCCTCGCAAATGAGCAGGTCAATGCCGATGGTACCTCGTGGAGATCCGGCGCCAAGGTTCAGCAAGTCGACCTCAAGCAATGGTTCCTCCGCATCACCGACTTCAAGGAACATCTACTCAACGACCTCGACCTGTTGGCCAAGGACAATCGCTGGCCGGAACGCGTGCTGTCTATGCAAAGGAACTGGATCGGAAAGTCTTCGGGCTCCAAGCTCCGCTTCCAAGTCAAGGCTTCTCAGGGCGACAAGTCTCTTACTGAGGTCGAAGTCTTCACAACTCGTGCAGATACCCTGTTTGGTGTTCAATACATTGCCCTTTCTCTCAAACACCCCCTTGTGTGGGAACTGGCCAAGACGAATCTCATTCTGAAGACCTTCTTGGCAAGGGCCAATGGGTTTTCTCCAGATTCCAAGGATGGCTATCTTCTCCCAGGTGTATACGCTATCAACCCGGCATCCGAATTCGCCACGCCAGACACCAAGGTCCAGAACCCGCTGCCCGTCTACGTAGCTCCCTATGTTCTTGATGACTATGGATCCGGAGCCGTCATGGGTGTGCCCGGCCATGACTCTCGTGACTTCGCCTTTTGGAAGCAGAACCGGCGTAGTGAGCCCATCGTGACGGTGGTGACTCCTGATGGTGTCGACCGATCATCTGCTCAAGTGGGGGATGCCGCCTATGTTCACATCCGCAAAGGCATCCTCACCAGTGCATGTGGTCCTTTCAAAGGCCTCGACTCGGATACCGCCATAGACCGGATCACGTCCGAGTTGCGCAACAAAGGGCACGATGCTGAGCCTGTGGAAAACTGGCGGCTCCGCGATTGGCTGATCAGCCGTCAGCGGTATTGGGGAACTCCCATCCCAATTATCCATTGCAAGTCCTGCGGTCCCGTCCCCGTCCCGGAATCCGATTTACCGGTTAAACTTCCCAAGTTGAAGTCGGGCCAGATTGGTCAAGGCGGTAACCCGTTGGCTGACATTCCCGAATTCGTGAACACAAAATGCCCAAAGTGCAAGCGCAATGCTACTCGCGAGACGGACACGATGGACACATTCATGGATTCTTCCTGGTACTCCTTCCGCTTCGCTGACCCGCACAATGAAAAATCGCTCGTCGATCCCAAGATCGCGGATGCCCGGCTTCCCGTTGACGTGTACATTGGTGGCGTCGAGCATGCCATTCTCCACCTCCTCTACGCCCGCTTTATATCCAAGTTCCTCTCTACTACCCCGCTCTGGCCTAGTGGCGGCGGCCCAGACAACAAGGGGGAGCCTTTCAGAAACCTCATTACGCAGGGCATGGTCCATGGCAAAACTTACACTGACCCAAAGACCGGCCGTTTTCTCAAGCCCGACGAAGTCCATGAGCCGGTCGGTTCCAAACCAGTCAGCAAGGAGACGGGGAAGGCTGTCCATGTCAGCTTTGAGAAGATGTCCAAGAGCAAGTACAATGGGGTGGATCCCGCTGAATGTATTGCCAAGTACGGCGCCGATACAACGCGTGCGCACATGCTTTTCCAAGCTCCCGTCACCGAAGTCCTTGAGTGGGACGAGGCTAAAATCACCGGCGTTCAGCGATGGCTGCAGCGCGTCTGGCGTGTCACCCAATCGGCTGCCAAATTGCAGATACCGGAGCAATTTCACAATCAGAGGCTCAAGGATGTGGCCATCGCCGACGACGTCACCCTGGCCTTGCACCAAACGATCAAATCAGTCAGCACCTCCTTGTCGTCGACCTATTCGCTCAACACCGTCATCTCGGACCTCACCAAGTTAACCAACACCCTCGATGATCTGCACGCGAAGTTCCTCATGGACAACATCTGGGACGATGTAGGCGCGCAGATGTACTTTGCGCAAGCCTACCACCGCGGCGTCAAAGGGCTCCTCACCATGCTCGCCCCCATCTGCCCCGCCTTCGCCGAAGAGTGCTGGGAAAGCCTCCACCTCGCCCTCGCCACCTCGCAGCGCGCCTGGTCCGGCAGCGCCGACGACCCCATCCTCGCCGCCGCCACCGGCGCGGCCGCCGACCCAACCGCCCCCGCCCCCATCCACAGCGTCTTCGACCAGCCCTTCCCCTCCCACAGCGACGACCTCATCGCCGCCCTCTCCAACCGCACCCTCACCGCCGCCGTCCAAGTCAACGGCAAGCTCGTCTTCACCCTCGAGCTCCCCGGGCCGCCGGACCACCTCCTCGCCGCCGACGCCGCCGCCGCCCCCCACCACCACGACGCGACGGACCCCCTCGCCGCCACCGACGCCGCCGCCCTCAACACCGACCGGGACGCCGTCCCCACCAAGCACTTCGCCAAGAAGCCCCTCGAGCGCTGGCTCGCCGCCCACGTCATGGCCTCGCCCAGGGGGCGCAGGATGTTCGGGCCCGCCGGCAGATTCGACCAGCACAACCCGCAGAAGAGGATCAGGGCGATGGTGGTCGTCAAGGGCGGCAGGACGGTGAATTTCGTGCTGACGAAGCTGCCGTTGAAGAAGATGAAGCAGATGGCGCAGCAGGAGGTGGTGAGGTATGAGATGGAGGAGGCGAAGGAGAGGAGAGAGGAGGAGAGGGAGAGGAAGATGAGAGAGGAGGAGGAGAGGAAGAAGGGGGAATGAGGGAAGAGGAGGAGAGCGTTTGGTGAAGGTTCAGTGGAAGGGAGGGTAGATTTTCGAAACGTTGGAGTAACAAAAATGGGGTTTGTATTTATACGTGTAGTTATGAGAGAGTAAGTATAGAACTTCTCCAATCAACTCGAAGACTTTTTTTGTTTCCTGGTCTGGGTCCTGCACGTTGGTGAAAAGTGGCTGCCGAATTGCGTCGGGTGAATACCACAGCATCGTAAGCCATCCGCTTGCAAACCAAAATAAATTCACATACATATCCACCTACCATCTCAGATATCACAATACTTTTTTTATTCCAACGCACCCACACAATCAACATTTCCTCTCTCCCTCCCCCATTCTCTCCTCCAAACCCCCCTCTCTCCACCTCTACCCCAACACATCCGCCAAAACCCACCCCTTCCCACCCCCCTCCTTCCTCTGCACCACCCTCTTCGCCGGCAACGGCCACCCCAACCCGCCCTTCTCCCCAACCAGGCTCGGCACGACGTAGCACTCGCGCCTCTCCCTCCCCTCCCCATCACGACCTTTATCGACGATCTTCCCGACCGGCTTCCCCCACTGCAGCAGCGGCGTGCCCTTGGCGAGGGCCGTCAGCTGCGCGCCGGTGACGGCGCACAGCGGGTGCATGCGGACCTTGGGGACGGTACTAGAACCAACAGACGACGGCGCGGCGCGCTGGAGGTGCGAGTAGATGACGTACTGCGGGAGGGACTTGACGGGGTGGTGGGCGAGGACGGAGGAGGCGTGGATGAAGACGTATTGGGTCTGCGCGTCGGCGGGTTGGTGGCGGTGATGATCACGGTCGTGGCTGGGGAAGAGGGTGACGTAGGGGACGTCGGTGGCGCGCTTGGGCTTGCGGGAGGGGAGGTCGGTGGTGCGGTCGGGGCAGAGGTCGGCGCGCTGGGCGACGAGGTCGACGAAGCCGGCGGCGACGATGTAGTTGAGCTTGGCGAGTTGGTCCTTGGTGGGCGGCGCGAGGACGGGCTCGTAGGTCGCGATGCCGCAGCGGGGGTTCTCCTTGCGGACGATGTTGGTGAGTTGTTGGCGGAGCTGGGTGGCTTCTTGGAGCGCCTTGAGGCGGAGGAACATGTCCGAGGCGAAGTCTTCTGGCGTCCTTTTGCGTTCGGCAGCGAAGGCGCAGAGGGCGGCGAGGAGTTTGGCGGCGTCGCTGGTGCGGTCGAGCTGGGATAGACTGGCGTGGGCTGAGTTGTATGCTCTCCGCCGCTTGTCCCTCGCTTCCTCCTCGAGGTTGTCTGCGTGAGTTCTGATGTGATCGTCATCGACTTGTTCCGAGGCAAGGTTGAGTAGATTCTCCGGAACGAACACATCTGGAACCGCAAGAGCAGAGACCAGTGCGATGACGTAGGCCGCCAAACCGTGGTTCTGACCAATGACGAGCATACGGGAGAAGCGCGGAGTGAGCGGATACACGGAAAGTTGTCGGCCTTGAGGGGTAATCTTCCCATCACCGTCGATAGCACCGAGGTACTGCAGCAACTTCTCTGCCTTGGCAAGCTGTTGTCGATCCGGAGATGTGGGAAAGGGGTAGTTGACCACCTTGTGGATACCCATGCTCTTGAGTTGAAGTACCAGGCCCTCAATGGGGGTCCGGAGAATTTCTGGCTCCGCATATTGCTTGAAATCTCGCTCGTACACGGCAGACGAGTAGAATCTGTAGCAGTGACCCGGCCCAGTACGACCGGCTCGCCCTGCGCGTTGCTCTGCACTAGCTTTGCTGATCCACCCAACCTCGAAGCTCTGGACGCCTGTAGTCTGGTCATATATTCTCTCCTTGGACCTACCGCAGTCAAAGACATATCTAATTCCAGGAATTGTCAAACTGGTCTCGGCGACGTTGGTGGCAAGTACGATCAAGCGCGATCCCTCCGGTGGTGACTCAAAGATTCTCATCTGTTGTTTTGTCGGCAGTTGCGAGTACAGCGGGAGCACATGCACTTTCAGCGTTGGTGTTTCCTCGCCCTCCTCTGCAATGTCGAAGTCCTTGTCATCATCGTCATCGAGACCGTGGATCTCCGAGTCCTCATCAGAACCATCGTCATAGTCGTCCGGGTTCTTGTCATCACCGATTTCGAGGTCTTCCGCCTCGAGCGGAGCGTCAGCCGCGGAAATACGAACTGGCGGTTGCTTGACCTCTGCTCCCTGTGTTGATGGGAATTCTTGCTTCAGCCGCTTCGCCAGCGTGTTGATCTCACTTTGACCGGTCATGAACACAAGCATTCCGCCTGGAGGCAATTTCCTGTGACCTCGCTTGATCTTTTGAAAGGCCTCCTCGATGTAATCCATCCTGGTCCGTCTAGCGAAATGGACCGTAACTGGGTACTGCCTTCCCTCTGCCTTGAGCAATGGAGGCGAGCCAAATCTAAAGAGACGCGTATTTTCGGTGAAATCCGAAATGCGAAGAGTGGCAGACATGATGACTAGCTTAAGAGGCTTGACCTTGGGGTCTTCCTTCATAAGGTTCCGTCTCAAGTCAACAATACGACTCATCATTCCTATGAGGATGTCGGTGTTGACGCTACGCTCGTGTGCTTCATCAATGACAATGGCGGAGTAACCAGGTAAGGAGATGTCTTGAGCAATCTCGCGGAGCAAGATACCGTCCGTCATGAACTTGATGGCTGTATCATCCCCGGTGGAAGAATCGAAACGGATCTGGTAGCCAACCCTCTTACCAGCACTTCCGAGTTCCACGCCCACGCGGTTGGCCATGCTGACCGCTGCAACTCGTCGAGGTTGGGTGACACCAATCACGCCAGGTGTTGGGCCATTTGGATCTCCATATCCGGCTTCGAACAAGAATTGCGGGACTTGGGTGGTTTTTCCGCTACCTGTCGCCCCCCAAACGACAACAACGTCATTGTTATGGATTGCTTCCATGATTTTTTGTTCCTCCGCCACGACAGGGAGCTTCAAACGCCCCTCTTGAACATCCTCGGGCCGCTCCACCGTCACACTGTACGCTTTCCTCCAAGCATCGGTGGCTGTCTTCGTTGCCAATTCCGGTGGTAGAGGGTCTTCTTCGGGGGCTCGAGGTTGAAATGGTTTTGCTGGTAATTGAGGAAGTGCCTCGATGTTCGTCGAAGGTGTATATCCAACCGTCTTGTTTCTCTCGGCTGTTGCCCAGGCTTTGAAAGCTGAAGACCTTTCTTTTTTCTCCTGCTTTTTCGCGCCATCCTCGGACTCATCCGACTCATCCTCGTCTAAACTCTCTTCATCATCGTCCTCATCATCTGACCCTTCCTCCTCTTCCATCTCTTCGTCCTCGGAGCCCTCCTCTTCACCCGACACTGCACTCCAACCGCTGGCGCTGCTGTCATCGTCATCATCAGCAGATCCCCCTCCCTCTGAGCTGAAACCTTCCCATTCAGGCTCCGTTTGAGGCGCCGTAAACTTCAAATTGGGCTTTGCTGCCCTTTTTCTCTTCTTGATCACAGGTCTCCCATCGTCATCCAGCTCAAGGGGCCTTTTCAATCCACTTCCGAAGGAAGCCGCAGATGCCGCCGGGTTCTTCTTCTTGGTATGCTCCTCTTCCTGTTTAGGCGCTGCAACGGATCCGTTTGTTGCTTTCTTCTGGATGTTCTCGACCTTCTCGTCATCCTCTTCGTCTGAATCGGTATGGTATCCTTGATCCTTCTTCTCCGGCCTCGATACGTCCTTGAGTATGGTCTCGTTCCTCTCGACATCAATGCCAGCTTCTTTCTCCCGCGCGGCCCGGGCAAGAATCTCTCGTCTGGATTTGCTGGTATGAGTGAGCTGTCTCGCGCTCTGCATCAGGCTGGTATCTGTCTTGAACTCTGCGAGCTTCTTCATGATATCAAGGTTTTCCTCCTTCTTAAGCTTATTGTCCTATTGCGCAAGAGCAGGTTAGCAATTGCCCCCAGTTTTTCCTCAACACTGAGAGCCCGGCGCATGCGCAATCGCATGTACCGTCGCCAGTCTTCCAGGCTTACAATGTATTTGTCCATTCTCTTCTGCTTCTTCTTGCTGATCTTGCTCTGCGGTTGCAGCGCGCGCAATTCATCCCTCATCATCTCCCTTTTCTTATCCTTCTCCGCCTTGGCCGGCGGCAGGATGACGTCCGCGTTCGCATCACTGGCAGATGCGACGCCAACCTTGGCGGCGGCTTTCTGGCGCTCTTCCTCCTCGCGCACGCGGTGCTTGTGCTTCCGCTGGCGGGGTACGAATTTGCCCATGGTGAAGGAGCGGCGCGGGGGTCTGGACAGGGCCGAGGAAGTGGTTTGGTGTCGCCGACAATATTTCTCGTCGCGGAAGGGAAGCTCTGGGGAAAAAAAGTCGGGTCGCACGCGAAGGCTGAGAATAGTATCGGCCAGACGTTTGCCTGTAACCCGGCAGAAAAGCGGCCACGTCCTTCTTGCGGTCGCATCCCTGCCGGCGGTACATGGCCCGAGCGTGATTCACCGCCTTCGGTGGTTGACCGCGTCCAAACGCCGATGCCCGCCGGCTAGCCAGCCAGCGCGAAGCTCGACGCCTAGAGCTTGGGCGCGTCCAGAATTCCTGCGAAAAGACGTCGCCGACGAGCCTGAGTCCGACAACGAGAAGCTGAGACGGCCTCTCGAACGACCAAGCAGTTTCAGCATGCCCGACTTCCCAGTCAACCCCGAGGCCTTCCCCGCCAGCACGCGCACCGCCGCGGGCGAGGTGGACGGCGTGCACACGGACGTCATGGTGGTTCGGTTCGCGGACAAGATCATGGTGACCATCGTACAGGGCGGACGGCTGGCGCATTGGGTACGGACACCAGTTCCTGCAGCTCCATCCTTCACTCTGGGCCCCAAACTTCATTGCGAAGTCTCGTTTTTTCACTGCATAAGTGCTGACGGTACATTTTCACGCGGCAAAAGGTCCATGTTCCTCTCGATCACCCAACCGCCGACCCCCTCTCCGCTGCCGCCCCGCCTACCTCCTTCGAAGACGATGAGCCAGCGTCCAACCTCGATCTCCTCCCCATGGCACATTTGACCGCGACAACGGTGTTGGGCGGAACGGTGCCGGAGCGCGACACTGCGGGGCAGCTGGTTGCGGCGCAAGTGGCGAGTACGATCGCGACGAAGGATCCGGACGAGAAACGGCTAGTGGTTGTGGGGATGGGATTTGAGCGGAAGGATATGAGCAGGGAGGCCTTTGTGGATCTGGTGGGGTTGGTAATAGGGTGCTTATAGACAGGAACATCTTTGTGGGAACCGGGTCTCAAACAAGAAAGTGGCGGCGGGAGATGGACAAAGCCTTTGACAATAATAGGAGGAGATATGGTCTAGTAAGGTCTCTCGGACATTGTCTGTTCAATGTGGGGGCGTCGCTGATGGTCACAGGCATCTTTACGTTGGGGCCAAGCACAGAAAGATTCTGGTTCGATTCGCTTATCAATGCAACGGTGGAAGAGCGGTTGAAGCGTCAGTCTGGACATGAATGTACAATATTCTTTTATGACTGAAGGTAGCAGAGACTCTGCGGAGTCGCGTTATGCCTTTTTCAAACCATGATACCCGATACCCTCCGATAACATGCATCACTCAAATAAGGGCCCATCTACCCACCCGTCTTGACCGTAAACGCCGTATCCCTCTTCATGGGGAAGCTGATCCCTTGATAGTCAACCCGAGGATTTTCCCATCCAACGCCGAACCATGCGTGATCTTCGTGACTGCTCTTGCTCTATGCCGATGCTGCGTTCTCTTCGCGAAGTTTGGTGATTATGAGGTCGACATCATCCATAGACGTAGCATCCAACTTCTTTCCTCCGTGATACGAATCCGGCAAGTGCTGTACAGCGGCGTCAAGGCCAGGCTGGAAATTCCTCGTTGCGGAAGACAGAGCGTTGATTGCCTTCTTACGGGCGGCCTGATTGGGTTCACTGACGGCCAGCTTGGCGATCGTTGGAATAGCATCGTATTCGAGGAGCTGTCGTCATCTGTCAGTTACACTGCCCCTAACCGGTGTACACACGATAGGGAAGAAGACCCACCTTCTCCTGCGCCTTGACGTTGTTCTGCACGGCCGTGCCAACGCACCACGCGGCCATCCTCCTGAGCTCGGCCTCTTCGCTTTCGAGCTGCGACAGCAGCGGCTTCCACAGGCCCAGCGGTTCTATGTTGTTGGCATTGTCGATCTGCTCGACCAGCTGCTCGAAGTTGTCGAAGGCGGTGAGCTTGTTCTCCAGGTCCGTCTCCTCCGAGGTGATGGCCCGCATGCTCTCGCGCATGAGCTCGGCATCCGACGGGCCGCCCATCAGCGCCGCCAGCATTTCAGGCGTGAGGTTGCTCTTGGGCTGCTCGCCAGCGAGCGCGGGGTCGTTGCGCGTGGCCTCGGAGTTCTCGACGCCCCATCGCAGGAGATTGTTCAGACGCGGATCGTTCATGGCGGCGGTAATCTATCGAGAATGCGGCAAGGTGTGCGTGATTGCGGGCGGCGTGGGGGAAAAACTGTTGTACGAACGCACGGCGGACAGGCGAGCAGCTACGCAGTATATCAAAGGCGCATGGCGAAAATTGTTGCCGATGACGAAGGCGCGGGAAGAAGCGATCGGCTTCGGCGGCCTTCGACCAGGCTGCCGATGGACGCTAGGCGCCCGTCGCGGCGCGCACACACGAGAGCGGCAGGCCGGCGGCGCTATCAAGAGGCTGATAGCGGCACCACGCGCATGGCTGGCAGCAGCAGCGGACGAGCACATCAATCTGGCGGACAGCAGCCGTGGGCGTGGGCGGCAGCGGAGCCCGCCCCTGGAGATGGTCCCGCCGGTGGTGGTCCGCTCCCTGCTGCCGCCCGTCTCAGGCAGCTCAGGCAGCGCTGCCCCTCACTTGCACGTGACCGGTGATAATTACGATGGGCCGGGGCGCGTCAATCAGGAGCTTGGGGGAGTCGTGCTCGCGGCGGAAAGGGGCTGCGGGCTATTCTTGGCGGCTTCTGGAATTGCGGGCTGGGGGCGCAGTGGGTATTGCGCGCAGCGAGCCGTAGGCGGTGGGCGGGAGCTGCGGGCAGGGCGTGGGCGGTAAGCAAAGGGCTGCCTGGGACTTGACGCCAGCTGCCAAGAGCGCGTTGTCAGCGGTGGCGGGCAAGACGCGTGGACGCAGCGCAGCCGCCGTCGCAGGAATTGTGCTGCCTGCGAGTGCCAGCTATAAAGACGGCGAGCAGGGCGGATGCAGTGCAGGCAGCCCGTCAGTCAATCAGAGCGCGTCGTGGTCATTACAGCTGCAGCGTGCAGGCCAGTTCGCCGTCCCCTGAAGTGGAATGCACGTTGGGTATCCGCTTATTTAGCACGGCCTCGCCTCCCGCACAGAACCTGTGCCCAGCTGTCCTGCCCGTGAGACCGCTCTTCCCTTCAACTCCACGTCAACGACATCCATCCCCCGACCTCCATCCAGCAGTCCGCCATCTGCTGCTCCCCGCCTTCGCCGCGCCTCCTCGCATTTAATTCTCAACCACTCCCTCACTTTTCCTCCCTACATCCTCTTAATCAATCACAATGGAAGGTACGACAGATGACACCCCGCTCAGCGCCTCCTGACGCCCGCCGCCGCGACCTCCGCGTCGGCGACGCCGCCAGAGCGCCCTGGATTCATCGCATGCTGACCCCTCTGTCTGTCTGCAGAAGAAGTTGCGGCCCTCGTCATCGACAATGGGTAAGAATTGCACTGCCGCCCGCGTGTGGGGTTGCCAGCCTCCTGGCTGCCACCACCACCCGCGCCGCGCCGCGTCGCCATCCGCACCCGCTGCCCGGGCGCAAATGGCATCCGACAGAGCTGAGCTGACTGTTTCCCAGTTCGGGTATGTGCAAGGCCGGTTTCGCCGGTGACGATGCGCCCCGCGCCGTCTTCCGTAAGTCTCCCCCGCCTCCTGCTGGGCTGGGCGTGACGGCGCACTCGTGCCCGTCGTGTTCAGCTCGCCGCAGCTTTGTTCCCGCGACGAGGCCATTTTGCTGAGTGTGCTGCAGCCTCCATTGTCGGTCGTCCTCGCCACCATGGGTATGTCCACCTGTCCGCGAGCCCCGCGTCGCACCGTCCACTGACGTACAGCACAGTATCATGATTGGTATGGGTCAGAAGGATTCGTACGTCGGAGATGAGGCACAGTCGAAGCGTGGTATCCTCACCCTGAGGTACCCCATCGAGCACGGTGTTGTCACCAACTGGGACGACATGGAGAAGATTTGGCACCACACCTTCTACAACGAGCTGCGTGTGGCGCCCGAGGAGCACCCCGTCCTGCTGACGGAGGCTCCCATCAACCCCAAGTCCAACCGTGAGAAGATGACGCAGATCGTCTTCGAGACCTTCAACGCCCCGGCCTTCTACGTCTCCATCCAGGCCGTTCTGTCGCTGTACGCTTCCGGTCGTACTACCGGTATCGTGCTCGACTCCGGTGACGGTGTCACTCACGTCGTCCCCATCTACGAGGGTTTCGCCCTTCCCCAGGCCATCTCCCGTGTCGACATGGCTGGTCGTGACCTTACCGACTACCTGATGAAGATTCTCGCCGAGCGTGGTTACTCTTTCTCCACCACTGCCGAGCGTGAAATCGTCCGTGACATCAAGGAGAAGCTCTGCTACGTCGCCCTCGACTTCGAGCAGGAGATCCAGACGGCCAGCCAGAGCTCCTCGCTCGAGAAGTCGTACGAGCTTCCCGACGGTCAGGTCATCACCATCGGCAACGAGCGTTTCCGCGCTCCCGAGGCTCTCTTCCAGCCCTCGGTCCTCGGCCTCGAGTCCGGCGGTATCCACGTCACCACCTTCAACTCGATCATGAAGTGCGATGTCGATGTCAGGAAGGACCTGTACGGCAACATCGTCATGGTAAGTTTTTGCACACAGGCATCATCCTAGCGTTCTTTAGCGCAGCGCTAACGGATCTCCAGTCTGGTGGTACCACCATGTACCCCGGTATCTCCGACCGTATGCAGAAGGAAATCACCGCCCTGGCCCCGTCTTCGATGAAGGTCAAGATCATCGCTCCCCCGGAGCGCAAGTACTCGGTCTGGATCGGTGGTTCCATTCTCGCCTCCCTCTCCACCTTCCAGCAGATGTGGATCTCCAAGCAGGAGTACGACGAGAGCGGACCTTCCATTGTCCACCGCAAGTGCTTCTAAGGTGTGTTACGCGACCCTGCCGCTGGGGATGACTTTTACTGATTGGTTGCTGCAGCGAAGACTTGGGTGCAACGGAATTCATGACGACGGCATGCCTCCGAACGATAATCTCGCTCGGCCTTGGCTACGCCTTCTCCCTCGTGCGTGCTCTACATCTCTTACCAAAATGGCGGACAAGAACTTTGGGTGGTTTGTTTTACACTGGTGGAGGTGGCAGAGGACAAGCGTGCGTTAATCATTTCGCGTGCGTGTGGTAGGCGAGCAAGGACACGGCTGCAAAAGGCGGTGTTTATGGCGGATGACGACCCTTTTAGCAGAGTTTATAGCCTAGAAATGCTTGCTGTTTACCACCGCAATACGACCATCCCGACGATCCAGTCTGCTCCCCAACCGTGATGTGTGTTGATGCCAAACAGCTGCCCCCACTGCTGCTTGAAGCAACCCGACGCCAATGTTTGTGATACGTCATCACTCGGAAATAGCCAGGTGGACAGCAGTGGGGGGGAAAAGGTAAAGCCGGGTACGCTTTTTCGGGACAATCATCTTGGCTCTTGGCGGAGACGAACTAGCTGAGTCACCTTTATTCGAGCAATCTGTGGTAGGAAAATAGCTGTTCTGTATGACCACTTCAACGGCTGGCAGCACGCTCACTCCTTTTTTTTTTCTCTTCCCCTATTCCGTTTCGGAGCGTGCTCCTGCACACCTGCTTAGTGAAGTAAGTACCTTACTCACCCTTGTCTCAGATCATGCGGGGCTTTAATGGGACTTCATCGCTTCTCGGTTGTGTTTCGTCCCGTTGGACCGACCGTACATGCACTTTTCTCCCGAGGGGGGAGGGCGTGCTCGAGCTCATCGTCATTTTTTGGTTATGGGGGATTTTCTTATTTTTTTTGCTGACACGGATGGTATAGGTGGATTGCGAAGGGGGGATTGATTGTGCCCGAACACTTTTTTCGCCGCCAGAGGATGGATGTTACTGTTGCTGCTGCTGATGTTGCTGCTGCTGATGTTGCTGCTGCTGACGTAGGTGAGCGAACGGGATTTTGGCTTCGCGTCATTGTGTCTGGCGGATGGGTTGCTGAGATGAGAGAGTTCGAGTGGGGCGGGAGTTGCTTTACGTTCAGTGTGGCACGTTGGTCTGCCCGATGGCCTCGACTGTCGGAGCGGGCAAAGCCATGGCGTTCAATTCTACTCCGTTAAGATTGACTGAGATGAGCTGGAAAGCCGTTCACAGTCGCGGGAGGTTACGAGAATATGTTTAGGATAGCTTTATGATCGAACTGAAATCGGCTATCTGACTTTTGTACGCTGGGGCAATTTGGGATGGAAGGGATTGGAAAGCAGATGGCAGAACTTTTTGTTTCCACCGCAACACCATCATTGCACGTTACCTCAACCTGTCAGAACGGAAGAGAGCTGTGAGCAGTGGGGTTCATGCTTTCTCTTGTGTTTTGGATATCCGTTCGAAAGGAGCTCAGACGTCGAGGAAGACAACGGCCTTGGTGAGGAAGCGGCTGGTATCCAGATTCTCTCCGTTGCTATCTCCAAACTTCTCGACGGCGGGGCTCACAACAAGTTGTATATTCTTGCCATTGTGTGACTTGTCGTCCTCGTCTTCGAGCTTGACAAGGCGATCGGCTGCAAGCTTTGGCGAGCGTACATCAAAGCGGGTGCCAAGGAGGTCGGAAGGTGGGCACCACACGTAGTCGGCGCGCTGGGTCTGTAGACGGTGGGAGAGCTTCATTGCCCTGATTATCAGCTGCTGGAGTTCTAAACTACACCTATGGTCTTCATCCTGTCCCATTTGTCGGATGAACATGGATGCAATGTCGCGCCGAATTACATGCATGAGATGGTTATAGCGGCTCTTTAGGCTGTCGACTGGATGGGGAAAGACTGCTCTGGAAAGCAGAGCCCGCCAGGTGCGTGCGTCGGTAGCATTGGCTATATTACGTTAGCATCAGAACCCGTGTCTATTCGTCATTTGACGGCTTACCGCTGCAGAGTCTATAAAAGGTGTCTCTTAAGACGTTCGCGCTCTCTCCATTATGCATCCAGAAATAGTCATTGAAGACAAAAGTGCTGAGCACTTCGGATACCAGGGCAGCAAGAATGAGGAATGGGTGTTTGAAGCCAACGAAATCGTCATATGAGTTGAAGGTGGCGACCCGAGATAGGAAATTAGACGTAGGCGTGTCCAAATGGCCAGGAAAATCGCGAAATAGGTGCAATGACTTGACAGCGTATGCCTTGGCCCAATAGCGGACATCCTTGTAGAGTTGGGTGAGAGCATGGTGGACTTGAGAGTCTTCTTCAACGAACCATCCGGTCTGAGTTTGCTTGAAGGAGCTGAGCTGGGCCTTCCTCAGATCGACAATCGAGGAGTTCAGCTTGCCTTGGACTTGGTCGAGCTCGCTGTTTAGGAGAGCGTTGCGCTCCTCCAATGCCGAAATCTTTTCTTCCATCGCTCGCATCGTTTTTTCAGCGGTGGCCCTCTCGGATACTGCTCTCCAGAGGGCCTCCTGGAGATGGTTGTTCTTGGACAGAAGGCGATTCTCCTGCTTGAGGGACAGAGCGGAACCTTCGCCTGCCTTAACATCGTGGTTCCTGTCGACTTCGCCATTATGGATCCTACCAAGCTCGCCGCCATGGTTTTTGTTGAGTTCCTCAGCCGGGTTTCTTCTGCTACCAGGGTCGGGATTGAGCGAGGTGGACCGCATCATAGCCAGGTGTTGCTGGTATCTAGAAGGTTTGGATGGGTTGAAAAAACTGAAAACGTTCGCGATCGACTCCATTCGGGGCGAGTGTAGGAGCCTGAAGTTGTTGTTGGGGTGTGGTTCTACGCGCGGTCACTTCTTTGACAGTGGTGCGCGAAACTTGGCGACACCCACAACCACGGTCGGGAAAGACTCAACGCCCTGCCACCTCGGAAGCCGGAACGTACTCGCCCGGCTGGCTTAGGGTCCACTGTCCCTTTATTTCATGTCCCAACAGCTGCTTGTACACTCAGACACCTTCCACCGAACACCCAACCCATCCAAGCGTGCATCATGATGGATAACCGCTTGAAAATCATCGTCGGCCTTGACTATGGCACCACCTTCTCTGGTACGAGCTTCACCTCCACATGGGGTCGGGTCGCGAGGTCAGCTAACACCGGCCCAGGCATCAGCTACGTCACATCCAACGAGGTCAGTATCGACAAGATTGAAGTCATCAACCAATGGCCCGGCACGTCCGAGACGGTTTCCAAGGTCCCGACCAAGATCGCCTACGCGGCCGAGAACAAGAACTCCTACGTCGACAAGTGGGGCTTCACCGTCACCTCGAACATGCAGTCCTATGTTTGGACCAAGCTACTTCTGGACCGTGGCACCGCCCTCACTGACCTTGACGACCCTGCACTGAAGGACCTGTTTGGCACGGGCATGCTGAAGCTACCCCGCGACAAGACGGCCAAGCAGGTTTGCCGCGATTATCTGAAGGGCCTCTATGACTACATGGTGACCGTCCTCAGCAAGAAATACTCGCCCGACGTCTACGCCGTTACCCCAGTCGAGTGTTGGATCACCGTCCCCGCCATCTGGAGTGACGCGGCAAAGGACGCCACCAGGTCCGCTGCCCTTGACGCCGGCTTTGGTTCCAGGCAGTTCGACAAAGTCAACATTATTCCCGAACCCGAGGCCGCCGCTCTGGCCGCTCTCAAGCCTCACCTCGTCTCCGCCTCCATTGATCCCATCCGTCCTGGCGAGAATGTCCTTGTCTGCGACTGCGGTGGAGGCACCGTCGACATTACGACCTACACCATCCTCAACGTCGCCCCTCGCCTCCAGTTCCAAGAACTTTGCGTGGGCGTAGGCGCCAAATGCGGCTCTACCTCCATCGATAGAAACTTCAACCAGTGGATGGTCGACGAATTCGGCCATGCCTACACCTGCCTCTCGCAGAAGAAGCGCGGTGCGGGCAGCGCCTTCATGAGGTCATTTGAAGCACAGAAGAAGTCCTTCGGTAGCAAGCTACTTGGTCGTGGAGACCAGAAGTACATCGAAATCGACCACCTTGCCATGGACCTGCCTTCCTCTTCCCGATACGACAGTGACGAGGCTGTAGTCAATCTTACCTGGTACGTTTCATCATGCTTCGAGTAGACCATCTATTGCTGACATCCTCAAGGCACGACATGAAGAGTTTCTTCGATCCCGTCATCAGGGACATTATCCGGCTCGTCACCACCCAAGCCGAACAGGCAAAGAAGAAAAATCATAAGATCAACCGCCTCATCCTGGTCGGCGGTTTCGGCGACTCTGACTACTTGAACGAGCTCATGCAGATCTGGTGCACGCAGACCAACTCCATCAAGCTCACCTGTCCACCCCAGTGCCAAGCCACCGTCGTTCGCGGTGCAGCCCTCCGTGGTCTTGAAGGCCTCGCCCCACTGTATCGTCAGGCCCGCCGTCACTATGGCTACAGCGCTTCCATGGTATTCAGACAGGGCATCGACCCTCAGAGCAAGGCGTACTTCGACAAGTTCGACGGAGTGAAGCTCTGTCAAGACAGGTTGAGCTGGGTCCTTGAGAAGGTAAAATGTAGCAGATCATTTCAACGCATGGAGCTAACATCGCAATCTAGGGCCAAATGATAGATTCAAACACTACGGCTACATTTGACCTCTTTTTGACCCATGTTGACGATAGCCCTATGGCACCAAGCTGCCGTATGCCTCTGTACAGCTGCTGCCGTGATGTTGTGCCTGAGTATAGCTATAGCTCTAGCGTTGAGAAGGTTGGTAAGGTCCTGGTTGAATTCAAGCAAGCGGACATTCAGAAGGCAAAGAGGCGATACAACACGGACCTCCAGAAGTGGGTCGTCAAACTGAGCTTCAAGGTCAAGATGAAGTTGGACACCGACCAGGGTACTCTGTCGTTTCAGTCCTTCGTGAACAACAAGAAGTCCGGTTGCACGACAATCAACTACACCCAGATCGAACAAGGCCTTGTTGATACGCGCTAGTCTGTGGCAAGGATGCGGGCATTGCTGCCATGTAGGTGGCGATAAGAAGATGACTGTGCTTCTTGTTCCGAGTTACATGGAAATAATGGCTTGAAAAGAGTTGAAGAGACAGAGAGAAGTAGGTAGAATTGATAGCTTTTGCCTACCGTTTGGTGCACCTGCTTGCATACACAATTATCCTTTCAGGCCCATACCCTCCTTCACCATCCTACGACGATGACGACAACAACGCGGGCTCCGCCATGGTCGACGAGAGGGCTTGGGCGTGGGCGGCCCGTTGCTGTCGTCGTTGCTGAATAAACGCTTGGCATGAGGTTCTGGCGGCGCCGGCGACGGAAGTGAGCAGAGCGATAGGTAGGTCCCAAGATGGTGCTGGCGGTGCCGGGGAAGGGAGAAGGGTCGTCTCGATGCGAATTGAGATGTTGGCGGTGGCCCTCGCTGTGGCAGGCGCGGTCGTGAATGGGTTGCGAGTAGTATGGATGGGAGGACTCGGTGGTTCCTATTGTCTGCTGCAGAGGGTTGGTTGTGTTGGAAATGGTGAGATTTACTTTAAAGGTTTGAATGAGGAATTCGCGGCTCTAATGTAATACGCGGCTGTGAAGCGCAATGGTACTGGCTTGCACACAAATTATCCGTACTGTAATTCTTTTGGACCTTGGAATCAAGTAACCTGGTGTCGACTTTCAGACATCCTCCTTTTGCTTTTCCCTGTCTCCGTCTCCTCTCGCTTCATAATCTTCCCGTACCACACTCTCTGCACTCGCATTCACCCTCTCATCCTCATGACTATCCCCACCTACTCCAGTTTCGCTCGCCGTTGAGCTCTTCTCCTCCCCACCTGTATGCCCCTGAGTCCCAATCTTCAAGAACGCACATAGCGGAATCCCCACGGCCGCAATCCCCGCGCAGTACAAGAACGTCGCCGCATACGGCTCGATGGCATCACCCTTAAAGTACCCGCTTGTAGCCGTCCCACGCGTCTCCACCGCATCAAAGATAGCCGTACTGATGCCCATGCCGATGGTGACGCACAGCTTGGTGACGGTCTGAAAGATGCCGCCGGCGATGCTCTGCTGGTGCGGCGGCAGGCTGGACATGACGTACATGTTGGCGACGCAGAACTCAAAGTCGGCGCCGACGACGGCGAGCAGCAGGCCGGGGAAGATGAAGGCCCAGTACGACGAGTCGGCGTGCTGCAGGCCCATGAGCAGGAACGACGCGACGTACGCGGTGGCGCCGACGGCCATGAGGACCGTGTTGGACACGCGGTGCATGATGAGCCCCGCGACGACGTTGACGATGATGCCGCCGATGGCCATGGGCAGCATGTGCACCGCCACGAGCAGCGCCGAGTAGTGCCGCACTTTCTGCATGTAGAGCGCGATCCAGAACGCCATGATGGGGAAGGCGAGGAAGCCGAGGAGGAGGACGGTGATGACGAGCGAGAAGTCGCGGTCCCGCCATATGGTCATGGGGACGAGGGGGTAGGCACACCATCGCTCCCAGAAGACGAAGCCGACGATGAGGAGCGCCCCGAGGATGAGGAGCACGAGGACGTAAGGGGTTTTCCAGCCTTGCGGGGCGTCGGAGCCGAGACTGTGGATTGTTAGCGTTGATGGACGTGGATAGCAGACTTTCTTTTTGGTGGAGCATAGCGGACGCACCTCAATGCTCCAGAGAACAAGCCGATGCCTGCCACGGTCAAGACGGTGCCGATGACGTCAAACTTCTTGATCACCTGTACCGACATTGTCTCCTTCTGCGTGTGGTCAACTGGGACGCTGAACAGCGCAATGGCCACGATGACAACGTAGATGATGGCTAGTAAGAAGAAGCTGGCTCTCCAGTTGAACAGCTGCGTAGCGATGCCTGATAATATGCTGCCGAAGACGAAGCCCATGGGGTTGCCGGCACTGAAGCAGGCGAAAACCTTGTTCTTCCGCTTCGATGGCCGCTGGTATATGTTGCCGAGCATGCCTTGGGCCGGGGGAACAGCAGCAGCGGACATGAGCCCCATAACGCCGTTGAGAATGTCGATCTGAAGAGGTGTCCTGGAGAAACCGGCAGCCAGAGCGAACACGGCGAAGAGAGCCATGCTACCGATGAAGAGTGTCTTCCGGCCAAAAAGATCAGCCAATCGACCGAAGAACAAGAGGAATGAACCAGAGGCAAGGCTGCAGACAACGATCAGCGATGGGCAGCCATGGAATGTACTGCGCTGCAACGTACGAGGAGGAGCCGGCCAGCCAAGTCAGTTCGGCGGTGGTCATGCCCAAGTCATTCTGGACCTGCGACGTCAGGACTGTTATGGCGCCGTTGAGCAGAGATGACATGGCAATAGCCATGGTCGCCACCGAGACGAAAAGAACCTCCTGGACGGTGGAGGAGAATACATCCGGCCTGGCTTCATTATCGATTGGCGCTTGCGCGGCAGCGGATGTGGTCACGCCATTGGATTTTTCGTTGGGCCCGCTACTGTCCGGTCGCTCAGCATCCTCATTCTGGGTCATGGTTGAGGACGACACGGTACGGGAGAGGATGGGAAACCGGCACAGAACACTATCAGAGCAGGGACGGCGCTGATATGTACTTTCTGCGAGGTCGGGACGATGATTACCAGTGCAGCGGGAGGAATTCCGCAGCTGGTCTAGAGCAAGCAAGCGGCTCCGGTGGCCTCGTAGTGCTTCTGCAGGCGGATTAGTCGTTCATTGCCACTTACGGAAAGGTTACGCGGCATCATGACTCGGCAAAGTCCGATGACCGGCCCACCACTTGTAGCAATCCTTCAATCGTGAGGGGAACATGCCGAGATATCGGTGAAAAGACCAATAAGAAAGCAGCCCTGGGGTGAAAAGACCTAATGTTAATGGCTCTACGGACGTCGCTACCAAAAGTCTCTTCCGCCCTCCACCCTGCAGGGGGCCCCCGGTCTTTCGCTTGGCAGTACAAAAATCGCGCAAGGCAGCAATTCTACCGGCAGTATTCTAGGCCCAGCAGGAAGGGGTTTTTTAAAATAATAAGATAATATTATAGTATTAAGTTTTTAAATATCGAGTAGTTTAATTACGTCTCTAGCCTTCTTCTTTATATCTAGATAACCTCGCCGCCGCCGCCTTCGTACTACTCTACCGCCTACTTCTTTATCGTTATATACGCCCTTATTATACTTATTACCGCCGTCTAAGTCGTATACCTAATAGATATAGCGTATAATACGCTTAATCTATATCTAAATTCGCTACTACGGTAGTTAGTTTTATATCTTATACTACTACTACTCTACTAGTAGCTATACTTTCGGTAGTCTCTTTACTATAGTCCTCTACTTTATCTACTTCTAGGCCGGCTTAATTATATTTAAATTCGATAAGTTACTAGGCTAGAGTAATCTCTATACGTTATATATAGAATATACCTACTTCTAGTACTAATACGTATACGCTAGTACTCTATCTTTCTATATAATAGTATTTAGCCGGATCTTTATATATTCTTATACGAATAGAAGTAGCTTATCCTCTAAGATTATCTCTTTATAGCGCTACTAATTAATACCTTTCTTACTACTCTCTCTTTTACTTAAGGCACCGTATTCTTAGATAAACTTCTAAACGGGCTTAGTACTCGGCTTATTACGTAATTCTATACGTCGTATATCTATTTTAAGCTTTTATCGCTAGCGGGCTTCTAGCTCGTTTTATATATTAATTTTAGCGATAATCTTCTTCGCTCTCTTCTTCTCTTTAGCCGTCTCTCGCTTTTAAATATAATACGGTCCCTTTTTATCGTATAAATAATAGCTCTAAAATATAAACTCTAAGGCGTTCTTCTACCGTAGGCGGATATATAAGATATTATAGCGATTAGCTAGTATTCGCTATATCTAGTAGCCGCTACGGCGGTAGCCGAGGATAACGCTCGTTTTATTACTCTAGATAACGTTCTTCTAGTTCTCTAACTTCTAATATCTATATATAAGAGCGAATTAAAGGCGTATATATCGTACCTTCTTTATAAGACCCGGCTTACGTATTAGTTTCGTCTTACTTATATAGAGGCTCTTTAAGATACGCTAAACCGTTATAGCCGAAATACTAATCTCGTTAGTAATAAACTAATACGTCTTTTCGCGGCTATTACGGTTCTTCTTAATAGCCTCTACTATCTTCTTCTTAACGGAGCGCGTACGCTTAGTTAGCCGGCTAAAACGAGGCTTATCGAGTAGATATTCGTCTAGAAGCGGCTTATTATCGTTCTAGCTACGCTTATAAGTAATAGAATAAAGGCGGCGAACGTTACGATTAGTTATACTAACCCGGGCGGTAATAAGAACGTTTAAAATACTATAAGATTTAAGAGAGACCGCCTAGGCCCGTTAGGTAAGCTAAAGAGGCGGTATAACGTTACGTTGCCGTAACTACCGTAGTCGGCGTAGCCGGTACCTACGCAAGCATTATTAACAGCATTTATGCGTAAGCAAGGGAATTGGCGGTGTGAATAGCGGTGTGAATTGACTAGGGTAAAAGGAGCGGTGACAGGGGGGGCGCCGATCGAGGGCGGAAGAGACTTTTGGTAGCGACATCCGTACGTAGTACCTAAGTTATCGGATCAGATTGTGCAGGTTATACCCACATGTCGGACTTCCCGAACCCCCATGCCAGACGAAGATCAGCACTTGATCTTGCTTGCGCCCAATAGAGGTATGGCGAGAAATGTACAAAGCACCTTCCGTACATAATAAAATGGAACGTGAGAACAGTTCGATGGACTTTCGCGATTGGGCGCGAATTAGGGAGCCAAACCGGCTTCAGAGTTTCCAGACTCTCCAGCCCTTGAGGTCTATCCTGGAAAGGGCTCCTCTGAGTGGGCCTTGAACCTCTCCTTGCTCGGCCCATATTTTTCGGCCAGCCCAGTAGTCCAAAAATCCATCGGGTCCAGAGATCAGGATGAGCCGTGAGCCGGTACTCTTTTCTCCAGGCTTGCTCGCTTCTTGCAGATGCCGTATAACGTGGGACGGCTGGATGAAAGTCTTCTCCTCGTCGACAAAGTAGTCGACAGCAAGCCGCTGGCCAGAGCCCGCGCGATGCTTCAGATTGTCAATCTCCCTCACAATGACACCACTCTCACCGCCAGTCCGCCCAGAATCCTCCTCCTGTTCTTTCCTGCTCCATCCCAGCCAAGCCCCCCACCCAGAACCCATCTCTTGCGCGGCCGCCGTGTCGCTCCTACCGCCAACGCAATCCTCCCTCTTCCTATTCGCCCACAGTATCCGCATGCTCGCCTCCCGTCCTCTCATCTGCAACGCACGCGCCACCTGCAGGGCGGGCGCGATGCCCGTCCCGCCCGCCAGGAACAGCACCTCGCTGACATCGTCCGGGATCTCGAACGCGACGTGCGGGCCGCGCAGCTCGACGGTGGCGTCGGGCGGCAGCCGGTGCAGGTAGTTGGACACCTCGCCGCCGCGCTCGCGGCGGATGAGGAAGCGGAACTGCGAGGCGGCCGTGTCGCCGCCGCCGTCGCCGTCGGCCGGTTCGGAGCTGGAAGACGTCGGAGGGAGGGGCGTGTACGCGCGCGCGATCTGCAGCTGTGGCTGCTTCGCCTCGACGCTCCACACGCTGCGCGCCCAGATGTCCTGCAGGTCCTGCTGCGCCGTGGCGTCGGCGTCGCGCGCGTGCAGCGTGAAGAGGCTGCTTGTGGACGAGACGGGCGTGCGGTCGGCGATGGCGTAGTGCGCGAAGCGGAGCGGGTGCAGCGTCGAGGACTCGGCGGCGGACGATGCGTCTTTGGCGCTGGTCCAGTAGCGGTACCCGAAGCCGCCGGCGGCGCTGCCGCCCAGCACGAGGAGGACGCTGGCGCTAGGGCGGAGCGAGGCGTGGAGGATGCGCGGCATTCACGGCGTTCGGGGTGCGGGAACGTGAGGTGGAGGAGTGATATTGAAAAAGGTGAGTGAAGAGAAGCTTCATGGCGGAGGGTTCGGCGGAAGCATATTTCAGCCCTACCGCCGCTGTGGCCCACCCCGCCAAGATCTAAGTCTACCGCAATTCCATGGATCATAGTCTAAGGATAGTCCTGGCGTCATTGTCCTCGATTCCGCCTCTAAACAGGTCCTTGACAACCTTGCCCTGCACGATTGTCTGCTCTACGATGCCCTCGACTTGGTCTGGACCAATGCGACCATACCAAATGCCCTTTCCGGCCAATGGATGCCCCGCCTCTTTTAAGGTCTTTGGAATGTAGATGATGACATTTCCCGCGTATTTGTGTCCTCCAATGTGGCTGATCAAGCCAACGCTAGCCGACAGCGCGCTTCCGTGATGTCGCTCCAGGTCTGGCTGCGGCCGAATGTCTATCCCCTTGGCCTTGAGCTTCTCCTCGAATTCTTCGCGCAAGAGCGGCCCCATAACACCGCACCGAGCGTCCCGTCCGCCATGTCCGCAAATCAGCACCAGCACCTCGTCCACCTCCCGGACGCCGGCGAAGCCGTCCTGGAGCTCTTCGTGCCGCAGCAACTTGGCCTGCTCTGCCGGCGAGAGAACATCCATGTGCATCTTATGAAGCTGCTTCGGTTTCGCAAAGCCCCGTATAAAATTCTTGACCGAGTCCCCATCCAGCGGTATCGAAGGTATGTACTTGAAGCTTGGGAAAAGGTAGGCGGAAGCGGAATGGGACGAGGATGATGCGCCGGGAAAGGATACGTTCGTTATCAGGACATTATGGTAAGGCTACAGCGCCAAAGTTAGCTAGCATCCAACGAAGAGCATCCGGCGCGCGGCAGAAGGGAGCGTGTACAAGCATAGGCTTGGGTCCGCGCGTCTTGAGGAGCAGACCCAAAGCGTGTGCGCTTCCCCTTCGCGCGCCATGCTCATGCACCATGGAGACGGACATCACTGAGCTCTCCTTTCCTTCCAAGTATGTCTTTGACCTGGCGCTGGAAGTGTGCGTCGTCTTCCTCTTCTATCCGGCTTTTCCAGTCGTCCTTGCCGGTGGCGATGAGGATTTGCTCGGCGTAGCCGCCCATTGTGCCATTCAGATTCTGCTTGTAATCAATCTCCAGGCCGTCGGGAAAGGCGGGCATAGGGCGACAGCTGCACGTCGGCGATGGGCATGATTCTACGACAGGGAATGGCGCGACGTCGAATTTCGGGATCGGGATGCTCCTGCGGGAAGCATTGCGGCGAGAATGGGAGGCGGTGAACAGCGAGCGACGGGCGCATCGCCAGGAAAACATGTTGCAGCGCAGCGAGAAGGCGCGCGCGGCAAGGCGGCGGAGGACATGGTTTTGTTATCGGGGTACGAGCGGGCTGCGTCATTTGTCCGACTGCGCGCTCGCTCGGCCTCGGCTTCGGCTACCCGGGGGGTGACTGCGCGCGGCTGTCGCATCTCCGCCGTCGCGTCTCCCTCTCTTCGCTCAGCGCTCGACGCAACGGCACCATGATCCAACACACCTCGCAAGCATCTCATCCCTCGTGACTGCGCACCAATGGCCTCGCCGCCGCCCGCGTCGCAAGATGCCGCATCTGCCAGCGGCGCAGCGCCCGATGCATCGGCCGCGGCGCAACAGCAACGTCACGCTCGGCCTCGGTCTCCGCGATTTCCTCCGCACAATGCCCCGCGCGTCTGGTTTCTGACGAATGGCACGTCGCCCATCAGCATCGCCCTGGCCACCCAGATCCTCGATCACGGCGATTACGTTGTCGCCGGCGTGCTGCCTGCCGAGTTCGAGCGCGAGAGCGGCCGCAGCGAGGAGTTCCGCAGCTTCCTCGACAAGGTCGGCAGCGCCGAGGGCGACCGGGAGCGCTGGAAGGAGAGGCTGCGCGTCGTGAGCCTGGATGCTAGGTAAGCCGCCCCGCTCTGACTGCTTGTTCCTCCATGCCCTCCTCGTTCCGCGTCATGTGATTTGAAGCCTCGCTGCTGACTGATGGCCCACAGGGTAATCGGCCAGTGTCAATCCGCCGTCGCGGAAGCTGTCGATGCCTTTCACAAGGTCGATGTGCTGCTGGGATGCTCCAGCGAGACGGTCGTTGGCACAGTCGAGGAATTGGCGCAATCAACGAGGACCATGAACCTCGCCCGTGACCAATTCGAGACCACCTTCTTCTCCAATGTCAACATTATCAAGGCCATGCTACCCACCATGCGGGCTGCGAAGAACGGCCACATCATCATGCTGACAGGGACAACCGGTCATTTGGGCACCCCTGGACTTGGAATGTACTGTGCCGCCCAGTGGGCTATTGAGGGATACTGTGATGTAAGCCTGCGGGAGAAGGCCGTCGAGTGCACAAGCTGACAACGACCTCTCAGAGTCTGGCTTACGAGATAGCCCCGTTCAACATCAAGATGTCCATCGTCCAACCCAACATGGAAGTCAATGTCCTGACAAACCGCATCACCTCAGCCCCTCCAATGGAGGAGTATGCACCCGATGTTAACCCCGCACCACTTTGTCGAGAAATTTTCAGCGGCTTGCTGGACAAGCTGGACACCAGATCCGTCGGGCTCGCAAGCCAGCCATCCCCTTCCGCGGACGATGAAGGGCCTTCTCCTGCGAGTACGGCAAACGTGCATTCAACCGGCGATCTCCTCTCGTCCTCTCAGATCACCTCTTTGTACCCCATGCTGGATCCTTCCGTACGTACCTCGCTGATTGCGGAAACGGTCCATGCTCTTACTGCTATTGGGGGCCACGACAACCCGCCTGCTCGGCACATTGTAGGATTTGAAGGTGTTGCGAGCGTAAAAGAAAAGCTAAAAACAGTAAGTGAGGAGCTGGAAGATTTCAATGAGGTGAGCGGCGCAGTCGATATTGGCAAGGGTGAGGATGCCATGGACATCACCCAAGGCTGAATGCCCGCTGCTTAGTGAGTGCAATCTATTTCGTTTTTGCCGCTTGATGTCCGTGGCCGCTCCCGTTTCAGAGTCCGTTTTTGGGAGTGCCTGTGTCTTACTCCGCATTTTTATCTATTGTTCTCGATAAGATCGCCCAAACCCCTGCATAGGACCAACTTGTACTCTGCACCAGTGCAGATCCTGCTACTCAAGGGTCTTGAAACATCGCGACTGCGGTCCGCGATACTTTGCAACAGACAAATTATCATGCTTTGATCCGGACAGAAGCGTACAAAGGAGTCAGGGCAGGCACGTCGGAATCTTGACTCAACTCCTACCCACCACACAAAGCTCGCAACGCCTTGCGAATCTTCTTGGCACGAGCCTTATTCTCATCGTCATATACCTTGGCGACCACCTTGCTCCTGTACAAATCGTCGTCTACCAATGCCGTGAGCCCGTGCTTGCGGCAGATTCCGCCTCAACTATGAACAGGTGATGCTGCCACCATCCATCATGCGCAAACTTGCTCATCTGACCGCGCGGCTACACTTTGGTCTTGGCACGAGCACAACGATGGTGCCGGCTCATTGAAAACCCTTCTCGCCCTTGGCTTGACCGTCTTCACATCCACCGCTTCCCACCCGCAGCCGCAATTGCAGCCCAACCGCACCCGAAAGGTTCACATCCGAGGCCAACTCACTGTATTGGTTTCATTCGACATGGTGGGCATTACATCTTAATGTCATCATATCCCACGATGGCGTCGCCAACCATGACGAGTTGATTGAGGCTGCGACAGATTGTAAGCATTACCGTTGATCCAAGCCATGTAACAGCACTAACATCTCAGCCCAGTTTTTTACTATTAACCCTAGCATATCTGTGTACCTACCCTGGCTTTCTCTTGCTGCCAGTGGTAGTTGGGACATGGTGCTTCTCTCCATTGGCGGATCTCACTCATAGGCAGGGAACTGTTCGTAACAACTGAAGGATCCGACTCGAGGCCTTAGTGGAACACACAATCTCATGGGGACCGACGCGTTACCTACTCGCTCAGACCGTTACGATTCCCGTAATGCAGACAACCCGGACAATATCCACCTCGACATCAACCTCTTCCGAGCAGTTCCACGACAGATAGGCGGATGCCGCTCAAAGGGATGCCGATTTCTCTGTCCATCTTCTTGCCCAACACGTGTTTGCGAGGGCCATGGACAGTCTCAATCACATGTCATCGAGCATTAGCAATGCCATGACTCTATCCCCGGCTATTCGAATGTTTTTCATGATTATCTTCACGAACCATAGTGCCGACCATCTGAACGGTCGCTTGAACAGGGAAACCCTGGGGTCGTTCTTGCAGTGATGGAGTATCCATAGTATGGTCCATTGGTCTGGAATACGTAAGTCGACTATCTTGCAGTAAAATCTGACAGGACCCTATGTGTCCTGATAACACTTTCTTGCCTACATTCCAGCAAAGGCTTCGTGGCCCATGCGGTGTTCTTGGTGCAGTGTACTGACGGCTTTATAGGTATCAAGTGCCGAGTGTATTCGGAATGACTGGTACCGCCGTCACTGACTCGTCGTTACAACTTCCAAGAGCTGAAGGATTATATCGAAGCTTTCAAGCAGAATACGAGCCAGCTAACCGCATTCTTCATTGGTGGCAATGCGGACGGCAGGGTGAACAAGTTCAAGGGTGTTGAGAGTCGAAGAGCTGGCGGGTGACAACTACTCAAAGGCGCGCATGCTCACTGAGCACTTTGAACCTGTTTGCTTCGCCAGGGAGTCTGCCCCAAACTTCACGACACCGTTTTGAAAGGCCATCTACCAGGACATCGAGTCAATCAGGAAGTTCATGAACAAGAAGGTCCTTCGCTTCGCACAATGGCTTGGCTGCCCTCAGCCCTTCGGTTGGAATGGACCGGATGGACACGAGTCGGAGTTTCGCGGTGGTCAGAAAGAGATGGTCAACTGAGCATACGGCTAGGCGACAGCCGTTTCGCCCGAGGTTTGGTCTGATGTTTGGTTTTCCTCGGGCGGTGTGGCGGAGATACGAGAGCGACAAGGATCCGTGAGGAATAGGCGCTGGGGCCAGGGCGAATAGGAGACGGGTCCGAAACTCCTCTGCGGCGTGGCGAGTGGCTCCTTCTGGACTTTCTTGTAGGCTAACAGTCCGGCAGCACTGCATCACAGCCTCCTGTTCTGGGCCTGGCGTGTTTTCTCCACCAATCAGGGCTGACACGAATAGTAGATGTTATTCTTGGCACACGGCGGCAGCACGGCAGGGCTGCCCTCCAGGCCGGCGGGCCGAGAAATCGCCTGGGCGTCTCACGCCTCTGCCTTGGATTAATTGCACCTCCACCCCTCTCCCACACCAGTGTCACCACCCAGACCAGGCCAGCCCACTGATCGTCTGCCGTCCCTTCCCAACACGTCGGCTGCCGCAATGCGCGAAACAGGACAAGGCTCGGTTACGCGCACCTAAAACAAGGCTCAAAAGGGTGAAGGCCGGGGGAAGCATGATTGCAAGCATGCCCCACCAGATAGCCGAGCGCGCGCCACCTCCACATGGCAAGTATCGACCGCTCATCATTCTCCATTCGTTGGCCGTTTCTGTTGCCGGGTGTTTGGACGTTTGGTTCTCCTTCTCCTCGGGCCCCTTCTCTTTCGCTTCTCACCAGAGTCCCGCTCGATCCGGTCAAGGACGCCATCGCTGGTCAAGGACCCATCGCGATCCCTTTGTAATCAGCGAGCTCAGCGGAACTGTCCTGCCGCGTGCCACGGCTGCGAGGGCGTGCCGTCTACCGCCTGCGGTAAGGAGGGTTGCCGATTGGATGGAAGAAATATTGTTGCAGAGCTTGGCCTGGCGTAGAAGGCGTGCGGGAACCAGCAAATGGTCGGGCGTCGGCCGCCTTGACGTGGCGGAGGCGGATCGGCGCCGACAACCATGCGCATGTCTCGAAACATCTACCTTCATCAAGTGCAATCTAATTCGGGATGCCGGCCCACTGCCGCTTCGGGTGATTACTCCTTGAGTCTCTCACAGGCTCAGAAGGTATATAACCCGCAGAGTCTCACGATCTCTTTCTGTTCTTTACGGCTGGTCCAACCAACTTCACATTCACTGCCTTCTACCGCTTTCGCTCTCACCAGATTCTCTCGTTCGCCTCAGCGCCAGACGCTCTACGATCACTTTCAACCACCAAACAGCAAAAATGCACGCCTCTACCTCCGTCCTCGCCCTCGGCGCCATGGCCGCCACCGTTGCCGCCCACGGCCACGTTTCGACCATCACGGTCAACGGCAAGGCCTTCCAGGGCTACGACCCCAGCTTCGCTTACCAGAGCCCGGTCCCCGAGGTTCCTGGCTGGACGGCCTCCAACCTTGACAACGGCTTTGTCGACCCCAGCTCGTACAGCTCGGACGACATCATCTGCCACAAGGAGTCCTCTCCCGGCAAGGCCTACGTCGAGGCCGCGGCGGGCGACAAGCTCGAGATCCAGTGGAGCACCTGGCCCGACTCGCACCACGGCCCCATCATCAACTACATCGCTGCTTGCGACGGCGAGTGCACCACGGTCGACAAGACGTCGCTCTCGTGGGTCAAGTTCCAGGCCGACGGCCTCGCCTCGGGCAGCAACCCCGGCACCTGGGCCACGGACGACCTGATCTCCAACAACTTCACCGCCACGGCGACGCTGCCGGCGGGCCTCAAGGCCGGCAACTACGTCGTCCGCCACGAGATCATCGCCCTCCACAGCGCCAGCCAGGACAACGGCGCGCAGAACTACCCCCAGTGCTTCAACGTCAAGGTCACGGGCTCGGGCAGCACCGCCGTCTCGGGCGGCACCGCGGCCACGACCTTCTACAAGTCGGATGACGCTGGCATCAAGTTCAACCTCTACGCGGCCTTCAGCGACTACCCCATGCCCGGCCCCGAGCTCTGGAGCGCCGCTGCCGCCAAGGTCCGCCGTCACGTCCGTGACTTCTTCTCCGCTTAAGTGGACCCTCCGATTTCTATTGTCAATATTCTTGTGCATAGCATTTAACTCGAAAAAAACGATCACGGGGAGGAAGGGGTGAAAGGAGGAGTGGTTGTTGTGGAGAGAGAGAATTGATTGAGAAAGCAGCGATTTGCGGGAGCGGGGCAGTGTTCTTCTCCCCCCTTTTTTGAAAACTTCTTTGTACCTACTTCGTTGCTGCGCAATGCAATTCGGTGCTTCACCAAAACACATGAAACCAACCGTGATGTGCGCGTCTATGGTCGTGAACCGACTGCTTCGAAGTGTTTTCTGATCAACAGCGAGCAACCGTCCTGCTCCCAGACGATCGATCGATCATCGAAACAGGTCGTCGGCCTTTTGGTCGCCTAATCGACGAGATGCCGAAGGTCATCATATCGCAGGCTCTCCTATAGCCCCAAGAAACGGTCGTGCCGCATAAGGGATGGAACACGTCGATGCGCGATCCGTGCGTGGATGACGGGCTGAGTGTTTTGAGTTAAGGTTGGGCCAACCCGCCCGCATTTTAGCACCCGCCCGCGCGGCGTCGACGCTCCGACGCTAACAACACAACACAACACACGCGCGCATCCTGCACAATCAAGACGGGTGGCCTTGAGACGCTGTCATCGCTCGCCCGCTGTCTGGTCGTTCCCTTTGCGATGGCGCAATGCTGGCCGCGGCACTCGAGGCCCGCTGCTAGCCGCGCGCCTGTGATCACCTACGTACGGTACGGCTTTTGTTCTGAAGGGACCCGCAGCCGGGCAAACAGGAACGGCGGCGCGCTGCCTCTGCGCAGCGGAAGACTCGAGGACATGGCGGAGGATTCGGCACTTGCACCGTGTCTACCATAGGTACGTCGTTCTTTCTCCCTTGGTGTCGCCGAAGCGCTTGCCCGGCCCAGACTGGGCTGCTGTGCTGTGTCTCCTTCTCAACAATGACATCGGAAATGACGCCTGCAAGCCCTGTCTGCCGCAGCTTGGGACGACAAAAGTGCGTCGTCCTGCAACCCGGCGGGTTCGCCCGGCCACAAGGTACGCATCACGCCCGGTTTCCGACTTGATTTTCGTCGTTGTACGAAACGGCGAGCAGGGAAGAACGCGGCGGTGATGTGGCAGATATGAAGAATGGAGAGGAGAGTCCGGTATGTATGTACATATTATTGCAGGATGGTGTTCTGGACCACCGCGGCACATGGGAAGGCTGCTGATCCGGCTTGCGGCGGAAAAAGAAAAAAGCCACAGTGCCGTTGGTCGGGCGGTCGGGCGCCAACACGTAGGAGACACGGAGGTAGTAGATGGTGGACAGGGGATGTGTGTTTTGTGTTTTGGGGCTTGGGCGCTTGGCTCCACGGCAAAGCAAGCCACTGACGATCGTTGATGGGTGGGTCGTCGCGGTTCGGGCGTTTTTGGTGGCGTTTTTTCTTTCCTGGCTGCAACCCCATCTTATCAAAGTTCAACAGTGGCCGACGTATATGCGTTGGCTGACCGCTCGTCCTTTCGATCGGGGTGGATAGTCACCGAGCATTTCGTTAGATGGGCAAGGCAATTCTGGCGGCTTGCGACATGCGGGACTTCGACTGGGTCCATAGGTTTCTGGAGCTATAGACTACGGACAGGGGTTCTGCTACGCGAGTTGCAGCCGTTCACTGTTTCACACCACTGCAACTCCCACTGCCGGGCGGGAGAGGAGCTAAAAGAACCGGACTATATGTGCAAGGGTAAGTGTTTCTCTCGGAACAAAAGCCGGGCATATGTAACGGTTTTCCACAGACTTGGCGATGCGGCGTTGCGAGTACGAGCAGAAGACGTCGATGCGTCGGGCCGATGGTGCGGCGGGGAAGCTGTGGATGTGTGGGTGGCCGAGATCTGGTGACTTTTTCTTGTGGATCACAATATTGCCAATATTGCTGATTGATGATGCCTTGATCGCTGTTGTGCGGCGAAAGGACATCCACCGAGGCCCCGAAGATGGGGTGTGTGTGCTTAGCGCTGATGGGGAATGATTGGGGCTGTTTTGGATTATATGAACTGCTGTGCGCCTGCTGTCATGTGCCTATTCAACCGCTCTTCTTCGCTTTCTGATGAGCCGCGCGCTTGCTTTAACATCGTTCTTTCTGTCAGCGGGAGTAGAAAGCCATATGTTTGCTTTTTTGGTGACGTGCAGACATTGAATGAACCTCGCATTTCCCGTGAAAACATCACGATCGACTTCACCACTCCTGCTTTGACGCTGTGGTGCTACGCGAAGGCTACTTTGGATTTTTCTGGTCCTACGTTTTGCCATCAAGCTTGGTAACTGATCCGTCCTCTCACGCGAGGCCACCCTCATCCAGATCTTATCTGTTTCAGTTCATTCTCGTAATTCTTTCCATTGTTGATGAAATTAAATGTCTGCTTCTTCACTCAACCATGAAGGCTATCATGGTCTCGAGTAAGCAATCTTGTGACGTCAACATATATATTTATAGATGTTCAAGCGAAAGCTGAGACCGTGGTATCCACCGGGGACTCACAGTTACGCAGTACAGCTCAGGCGCGGTTGTCGAATGGAACATTCACAGGCAGCAGCGATGAGTTTGTGGGTGCAGAGGGTACGTGAGAGCCTAGGGATGTTCAGTCGGGAAGTAGACAGCCTTGGGAGTAGGGGGGCGGTGCTAAACATACTTATGTGCTCAGCTGGCCTGACCACAAGAGCAAGGGATTGTAGACTTTAACCGATCCGCAGGATTCACTCAGTAGCTTCTCTTCTTTGTGAGATACTAAAACCATTTCTAGCATCAAGGGATGGTTGCTTCAAACGTCAGCTGGTAGCAAGCCAGGCACAAGGCTAATCATAACGTGAGCAATTTCTTTGCGCAAGGGAGCGATCGTCACGGGGCGGTGTCAGTCTCAGCTGTCGCAGCTCCACCCGAGCCTAAGAATTTCGAATGCCTGTAATTGGGTGGCTGTCTACTATGGTGCTAGCTGCAAGGCTGTACGGCGTTTACCTAACCGCCGCAGCGTTTCCTGGCATAACCTGCTTCAATTGGAGCAGAATGTTATAAGTGGCTCGACAGATCAGCTTCTACAACTCCATACCTTTTTGCCGCATCAGTTCTGATGTGCTCTCGCAGTCATGTCAGTAGATGCAGATGAGCATTCCTCAATCAAATTCATCCCCCACCATCCCAACGATGCACAGATGCAGACAAGCTCTAGGTATCCTGCGCTATCAGAACGATCGCGCTCACTATCTCCGTATTTACAAGAGTCCGTGGTTCATGAACCTGGCCCTGAAATTTCCACACCCCAAGCTCTTCCCATAGTGCCGTTACCGTTAACACAAGATGCATCAGTATTGCCCAGTACTTCTTTCGAGCACAACAGCCGTAGAGACGGATACCGAGTCTCTTCGGAAACTGAACACGATCAATACTTGCAGAATTTGCCTGACCTTTTCAGTGAACCCCCGAACATTCTGAATGCTCTCAGATTTCTGGAGGGCCAACCTCGATCTCCGCACCACGACATTCCAGACGCTGAGGCTAACCGTCTATCAGAACCCGGCCTGAACTCCAAGTAAGCACGTGTCAGAACCAATCCATGGCTCCCACAAACATTAAGGCCTTATGTTCTGGGCACTCTCTCACTCACTATAGTGTGGCTGCTTACGGCGACATCGGGAATGCCAATGTCATAGCATCTTTATCATGATGATCCACTTCGGTGAGGGCCTTCCAACCCATCAACGCCACGCTCCCCACCGACCTGGACTACCCGTACACCGGCAACGCCGGCTCGGACCTCCACAAGCAGCCGTCGTCGACCACGAACCGCAGCATTGTCGTCACAATATCCACCCGCACCGAGGTCCTCGACATGAACCCTGTTGCGGTGTGGCTCAGCGTGTCCGTCATGGCGGTCCTCGTCGCCATCGTTTCCGTCACCGCCGTCGCGTTGCAGCGCTACCTAAGGTATCTGGATCGCGACATCGCGTGCGTTGCGGATATGTTGGTGCTGGTGGCGGGGAGTGAGAGGTTGTTGGCGCTCGTGAGGAAGGCGGTAGCGGATGGTTCGAGGATGCGGGGTGAGAATGGAGAGGATGTGAAGACGAGGCTGGGGTGACTTCGGGATAGGAAGGGGCAGCAGAGGTGGGGAATCGAGGTTGTTAATTAGGGGGAAGGAGGGTTGAGGGGTGGTGGCTGTGCCGGGGATAACTTAAGATTGGGCATTTGGATATCCGCTCGATCCTGAATGACAGTTGCTAACCGACAGCTACGAGGAGTATTACGTGCTGCTGTGACGCAAGTGGCAATGCGGGGAAGATACCTCGCATCTGCGAATGTCGCTCTCCGCGCGCTAAGAATCAAGGTTTGCAGGATCGAACTTGTTATCGTTCATTCTGTAACTATCTGAATTCGGTTGGTACCACGAATCCTTATTGACTGTTAAAGTTGGGTTTCACATTGTGGTGTTCTTTGACTTGATCATACCCTGATCTTCATCCGGCGTTTCAGAGCACATTGATCGTTTGCTATTGTATGGATAACAATGCTCAGCCTTGCATGCATGACACCGGTACATGCATGCTCATGAACACTTTACGAGAGTAACCTGTTTCGGTGGCTGATTCGTCAAGATCGTGCTGCTAATCGGTGACGTGGCAATGCTGCGCCTCTTGCAAGGCTACAGTTCGAGTGGGGGCGAAATCCTTTGCACCTTTGGCCCTCTGATCTGCTTTGTGTGAGAGCTGCATCAACGCTGGTTTCCTTGTGGTCTATGGTCAGAATGAATCATGTGAGCCCTTCTTATCCAGATACCTTGCTAAGAGTTGCAAACATCTGCGATGGGCTGGAAGTTTGACGATCGGAACCTTCCACGCGTGGCTGCAGCATACAAGGCTGATACAGAGCGGCTGCATGCATCTGCAGCCACACCGCCAGGCTGACGAGCAAATAGAGCACGCACCCATTACAAAAATCCTGATTTGGACCCATTTCATCGCTGCGAATTAGCCAGTGGGTAGCCTCAGGAGTTCAACAATCATTCGCATTTCTGATGGAAATCCTAACAGCAAACCGTGAGGAACATCCCCACTATGCACTTGGGTAAGTATCGATTGCACAAGAGTTTCTTTGCAATACTGACGCTGCCACAGGCCATCTCCTGAGGCTTTGCAAGGCTATCCCAATGGGTCCTCGATGGAAGGGCCGACCTTGTCACAGGAGATGTGGCGGGATGGCGACTCTGCATGCGATACCCTCGCGCCTTTGTCAAATGACTTTTGGGACATCGAGGAGGACAGACTGTCAAACCAAGGAAGAAACCGTCGCGAAACCATACACACCAGTCCTGAAAGCAGACATCGTCGATTCAGCGATCAGATCAGTTTCAAAACAGCCCGATCGTCCATCAGTGCCGTCAGGGGCAGCGCCATGTTGAGTCTCAGGAGCAGCATGGCATTGAGCTTCAAAACCGCCCAGTCGAACCCTTCCAAGCTATCCGTCGCCGCCAGAACTGCCATAGCGATGCCCGCCAGAAAGGAAAGCTTTTGGATCCAGATCTTGAAGCGTAGGAATCTCTTGCCCTCCTATGCTTTGGAGCAGAATTGGTCCGGAAAGGGCCAACATGTGGAGTTTGCAAGTCTGAAAGAGCTTCCTCTCGAGCCCGAAGGCAGAGAGCTGAGCGCCATGGTTGACGTCGTAACATGTAGACGTATTCGTCTCGCACGCAAGAAAATCTTCCTTCGCAACAAACTCAGCCGCGAGGAGGCTGCTGACGAAGTCTCGCATCTGCAACGTCTCAACCATTCTCACATCATTCGCGTCATCGGCACATACGTGCTTCCCATGGCACAAAGCGTGAATGTCTTGCTCTACCCGGTCACCGAATACAATCTCGAAAACTTCTTGGATGAGATATGGGGCAAAGAAGTAGAATCAGGTATCACTTGGACTGCCGCACACCTTTTCTCAAAAGCGGCTCCTCTATCTCAATTCCAGCTTGAAGCACTCGACAGCCTCTCAAGTTTCTTCAGGTGTTTGAGCAATACCATCGGCCACCTGCACGGAAACAAGAGCTACGTAATCAAACACATGGACATCAAACCCTCGAACATACTCGTACGAGACATGCGCACAAGTAGCATTAAACACTCGACCCGGTTCAAAGTCTATCTGTCCGACTTCGGGATCGCACGCTCGTATGATTCAGCTCAGGATGCCGACACATCTTCACGAACCTCATTCTCGAGGATCTGGGCCGCGCCCGAGGTCATCGAAAACCACTTCATAAACGAAAATGTGCCACGCGGATTGCCCGCCGACATTTTCTCCCTTGGATGCGTATTCGCTGAGATGATATGCGCACTAGCGGGATCATACCACTGGCAAGAACTGCACAAGACCCGCCAGCGCAGCAGGGAAGACAGCTCCTTCCAGGCAAACCTTACAGAAGTCACTGGCCTCCTGGAGATGCTTGAGGATTTGCAGCGCTTTCAGAACCAGTACATGGTTTCGGCAGAAGACTTTTTCTTCGTCTTTCCTATTGGGCTTTGCGTCAAGATGCTTAGCTGGGAACCAAACAATCGCCCGTCTGCAGCGGAGATAGTTGATGATGTGAATCAGACACTTTTCTGGGATTCCGGGCTGCCAGAAGACTCATGCTGCACTTGCGAGGCGGATGCCTTAGAGCCGACTATACGGAGAGACTTGTAAAAGGAAAACTTGAATAGGGGGATTTCAAACTGAAGCTAGACGTCGTCAGCAACCTGGAAATGCTTGGAGCTGAGTTCTTTCCAAGATTCTTTGATAATCAGGCGCAACTAATTTTATGTACATACCACTTTCAGTTAGCTCACCATGACAGTATGATCAGACCCCACTACAGATATACAAGCACGCACAACTTTCAGGTAGTGTGATACTCTGAGCCAGTGGAGAAGAAATACCATATATGCGGGGTGTCATCTTCGTCTTGAGCTTCTGATCGTTCTTGCTCTAGCGTCGGGGCTATCTCTAAAGAAAAAGTAGAGCATACTTGGGTATCGGAATGAGAGATATGTGAAGAAGAAAAAAAGGACTAAAAGGCACGAATATCCAATGTACAAAGTCTGTCGCTTTTTTGGATCATCTGGAATCATAGTCATGCTGAATATGGCCTACATGGCTTTGTTAGCATCGTCGTAGAGTGGGTCATCCGAGACGGAAACCATTGGGTGTCCCCTACCGTGACTAAGCTGAAGGGTTGGTAAAGCTAACCTGAGTCAGTGTTTGCGCGACAGTCTTGCAATCAATGAAGCCGCCACTCACCACTGACAATCGGGTGAATATTCCAATATCCGAGCCCTGTCGAGACGAAACCACGCTTTGGTTGAGTGAAGAAGCATTCATGAGCTGTTCATTTAGCACAGGAGTTCGGCAGATAATTGGGGACCAAAAACACACCACAAAGACTCATGGGGGCCAAGCAGATAGAAAACTTACATTACCGAGCTTACTGTCAAAGAGATCCAGCTTTTGCTCCAGCAATCTATGCATAACACGCAAGGCGGAGATGCTCTTGTCAACACTGGCGAGATAAGTGCCCCACTGTCTGCGGAGTTGGTCACTGCCAGCTGTCTCGAGGTAGCGTTTCTCGCCACTTTGAAACGTGTCCCACGCATCCAGAGTGCGTGCGAGGCAGTCTCGGAATCTTCTGATTGTGTCGACAGTGTTAGACAAACTCTCGGTGTTGGCAAGGTCAGGTCCATCTACGAAGCCTTTGCAGGATTCCCGGTCCTCTTGCTGGCCAGATACCGTTATCAGTGTGATATCGCTCCAAAAATATGGGACACTCACGTATATGTTCATCTGTGCTTCGAATGTGTTGATCAAGTAGGTCCATTCTCCAGTGACTTGTCTCATTCGCTGCGTCAGAACAGCAAGGAAGTACTCGCGAGGATTCCATACTTGGTGCTTCAGCTGAATAGAGCCTGAAGCGGGATCTGTGCCGGTTGTGACGTCTGGATTGGCGTAGCAGCTGTTGTAATCTTCTTCCTTGCCGAAATAGGTATCGACAAAAAGATAGCTGGTCCAAAACCATTCATCCACGCCACTCACCAAGAATGACACTTGGGCTTCGTAGTAGTAGCCCTTGGAGTTCTCTGAGGGATCCGAAAGTGGCAAGCTCCTTGACCGTCGAAACCCTCTACCACTAATCCGTCTTGGGTCGCTGGTCTCTTCGCCAACCCTGAAAGCAAAAAATGGTATGTGGAACTCCAAGTTGTACAAGTGGTCTGCCTATGACTTCCTTTTAGATTTGGAGTACCCTGCAGGAGTGACAGTGGGTTACCGGATCAAAATGAATTCCCAAACCGGGCGCTCTGCTCACATGTTGGTTGATGAAATTTCGAAGTATATGTAGTGAGCGAGCCGCTGCAGTCTTAACGATTGTGTCAACGCAATCATTCGTCAAGTTGGCGATATATCTGCGTAAGTACTTTTAGTAGATATGCAAGCAAGATCAAGATGACGCTTACATATTTCGCTTCTCAGCGCCAAGGATTTGCCTCTTTGAACGGTCAGCATGATGATTTCCCATCGGATAGGAATGTAGAATCGGTATGTACATCCTCGCTCAGCCGGTTTTCGAGCTCTGGAATGGTGACGATTTCTCTGAAGATACTTTCACCGATGGGCGGGTAACGCATGTAGTTGACGGGCGGCCCTTGAGAATCCCATTCTCTCTCCATAGTTTTAGGGCCACCGGTGAGATCTTGGCGATCGTCTACCATGACAATTGCGGCTTCGTTGGGGACCTTGACCTCGGAGTCTTGGAGGAACAGTTTCCGCGCGGTATACTGCGACTGCACCGGTGGGTCGAGATTTTCGCGATACGAAAGGAATCTTCGACGAGCAGCATGGAGCGGTACCGTTCTCAGAGGTTTGACGTTTTCTGGTCGATATAGTTGACATCTTCGTCTCGCGAATCGGTCTTTCCAGGAAATTGCTGACTCGGTCATAATGGACTGCAGGAACAAAGGAGAGACGAAATCGCGTTCGAAAACTATGGGAATCTAGAATCAACAGGGGAAAACGCCTAAGAGGCTGTGCATCAGCACGATTAGGCTTCCGCGGCAAGGCTGAGCTGGAGAGGTGGGCTGATTGGGGGCAAGCATTTCTTAATCGTCATTGGTTCGCTTGGCTTGAGTAGGCAAGGCTGCGCGTTTGCTGGCGCTTGTCGACCCCGCCTCTTTCGCCGCTGCCTGCATCCCCTACGAACTCCTTTCACCGGTGACCCGAGCCGCAGTTGCCGATACTGCGGCGACTATGACTGCAGATCTTCCCCTGCCGATGCCTTTCGCGTGCAGAAGGCACCGCCGTGATATCGCACGACAAGCGGTACGGCAAAGAACATGCCCAACGGCCCAAGGCCAAGACTGCTTCCCGGACGCCAAGACCTCCCTGCACCTACCACCAATTGACTTCTGCATGGAGCGAGGATCGAAATCGCTGGTAACACAAGGACCATATTCTGGGAAACGTAGCTGCGTAAGATCATACATAAACCTTTAATGGTCGTTCATCAGGTTCTGACACGCCGAACCACTCTAGACTCATGTGAAGTTCGACCAGTTGACTTCAGCCGTCGAGATCGGCCTGATGAGCAAGACACCCTACATGTCAAACGCTTTACAGCGCAGAATCCTCCGCATCAGGCTTAGCTACCAAGAGACTGTAGATGGCCCGCCAATATTCTCCTGTTCAGACGTTTGGACTTGTGTAAGTTGCTGCAGTCACACTCTATCCTCCATCGTACTAATCGCAAGGCCAGTGCCAATGCGGGAGCCTCAATCTTGTGGTATTATCGATGGCTTGTCCTCTTTGCGGGCATTCCCAATGCGCATACTGTATATACAGCAGGGGTTGGACGTTTCGAGGAAAAAAGATATTGGTATCAACGACCAAGACCGGCCATCTTATGAGACTCTCCTTCTATACGGCAACGAAATCGGTCCGAAAAGCTTTGTAAATCCTTGCGCTGGCTTTTGGCGCGTTTGAACTACACACGGAATCATTATTTTGAATCCCTGCGGAAAACGCGTGCCAATATATTTTACAGGCATCGTGATACATCGAGTTTACTTTAATGTTCAAAGGCTTGCTCGCTTCATCGGTGCCGCGTCTTCTCTCGTGGCATAAAGACATTGACCAACTTCTCCGGCCAGCATGTATGGTGCAATACATCGAGCCATAGAGTCGGCACTTACTCCGCTTTTCATACTATCAGACAATCCAGCTTCTGCGGTAGAAGTAACTGCACACAAGGTTACCCAGAAGTAGCCTTGTTATCCGTTTCATCATCAGGTATTTACAGATGGGAGTCTAAAGCTATGACACCACCAGACCATCAGCCAACCTAAAAGAGAATACAAGACCAAGCATTTACACAAGAATACAATTGAGCATTGTTACAGTCCTGCCAATACCCTAAGCCACCCTTCGTGTCACCGGAAAAGCCCAGCGTATCCCTCCAGGCGGCCAAGACGGCCTGAATTATTCCCCTCCAACCCCCCTTCCGCAGGGCGGGCGGACTTTTCGTTATGAACATCCCCTCAGCTCCTCCTACCGTCCTTTCTTCCCACCCTCCAACCCCCTCCTCACCCTCCTCCTCTCTTCCCACCTCGCCCACCCCGCGTCCACCAAGTCCTCTTCAGTCACCAAATCCCTTAACCGCGCCATCCTCGCCAACCCAGTCTCCAGCGCCCATCCCAGCAACCCGCTTCTCCTCACCCACGCAGTAATCTCAAACCAAAGCACGGCAAAGGCGGCGCCGGCGCAACACCCGACCAGGACCTGCTTGTCGGTGTGGTAGGAGAGGTAGATGCGGGAGAAGGCGACGGCGGCGGCGGAGGCGAGGGCGAGGCAGGAGAGCGCGAGGCGCTGGAAGAAGGTGGTCGGGGTGTGGGTTTGGGTCGGATGCGGCGTGTGGCGGAAGAGGAGGAAGAGGGCGAGGTAGAGGGAGAAGAAGGAGACGAATTGGGCGTGCGACGAGGGCATGCCGTAGCCTTTGCCGTACATTTCTATACACGACGAGCGGTCAGCCACATGCCGCCAATGGGGTACATGCGAGATTGTGGGGAGGGGCGACGCACGGCGCGGACGCTCTTCTTTGATCAGGCGCTTCAGACACCAGTTCAGAGCCTCGCAGGCCAGCTGGCCGGCGAACATCAGGGCGACTTCGGCTTCGCGGCTGGACCAGATCAGGGTGGTGTAGACGACGCAAAGACCCTGGGGCACGAGGGCAAGCCAGGCGCACAGGTACGAGAAGCGGTCATTGGGGTCCTGCGAGGGCGCGGTCAGCGGTGGGCGGTTGGGCAGCAGCCGAGGTGAGGGCTGCGGCTCACATAGTGGACGTGGGTGAGGGAGAGGGAGGCGAGGGCGGGCGGATCTTCCATGGTGGGCGGCCGCGAATGGGGAGGACACGGTGCGGAGAGGAGGGAGATGTTGGCGCGTGGAGAGGATCGAGGTGCGGTTTGGCGAGCTGCACGATGATGCTTGTTCCCTGCTCGAGGTGTCCAGTGCGAGAGATCGCCGACAGCCGCGCCATCTTATCTTATCTGCCGCAGATCCGATGTGCGTCGATCCCGCAGTCCTTGCTCACTCTCTCTCTGCCACACCTCAACCCGCGTCTCCGCAAGTCATCCCAAGCAACACATCGACCCTGCTCTTCCAGCAGGACCAGTCTCGCCGCGCCGTTCACGAATCGGCTTCTCGTTCTCGCCCACAACCCTGGCGCTCGGGCAGCCGAAGCGTGCAAACAACCTTGGACGATGGCACGGTGTCACTGAGACTTCAGCCCTCTATTCAGACTCGTCCGTACTACTCATCCATGTCCGCGGAAACATCATCTTTCCGGCTCCTTCGCACAACCCGCGACGCGGGACCGGGCCGCCGCTTATCGGCCGCCAGTGCTTATGCGCCAACCCCGATCAACCCACTGGTAGCGCCAAGCCAGCTCCCAACGCCACGAACTCCTTGACCGTTTGGTCCGTTACGCTATTGGCAGCCATGAGTCGTGTAGTTCCGTTGGCCGACTCACCCTGCCACCTACGTACTGCCCGATCCTGACTCTATTCCCTTCTGGAACGAAGGGATAGACATGCGCACATGGCGCAATCGAGCCTGATGAACCGACGAACTATTTTTCTCCTTCGTTTTTTTATTTAAGCTTCTTTGACCATGATGTAATACGGCTCTCTTTCGTGCGCTCTAGCCTGGCGCGTTTCCACTTGCAGGCGTACGTGGTCGAAGAGCAACAGTGCAGCCGAACCACAGCTCGGTCGATGCCCAAGAAACCCGAGTCGCGCTTTCAGCCAGCCAGCGAACGCGACCCAAAGAAACCCATCGGATGAGATCGAAAAGAGGAAAATGCAATGACCACCACGTCCACGAATGACCGGGCAGTCAGGCCATTATGGGTATCGACCACGCGGCAGCACAGGCAAGCGAGCCCGTCGCTGCCCGGACAGCCTGGACAGCCCGTCTCCGTCTCCACCAAGACGCTGCAGCAGACGCAGGCCCAGCCTAGCGTCAGGAACGCTAAAACATGCAACGGAGAACCGACATCAAAAAGGTAAGGAGGGCGGAAGAAGATTGTCGCCCCCACCATCCATTCAGCCAGCCTTTGCTCAGAGGTCGGCTCCCAAGATGAAATGTGTACGTTCCATCGAGCACCACGCGGCTCGCCTGCACACGAATCGCCATTTAAAATCCCATCTTCAAACGCCGGCACGTACCGAGCCGCACTGCGAAGCCTTTTCACTTTGCAGTCCCTAGGCCTCTTAGTCGCGGCGAACACCTTCTCATCTCCTTTTTTTGTTCTTGCGTCTTCACCGACCGCTGACCAAACATCCACGCGTGATCTCGAAAGGAGAATGGGCGCACGCACACGCGCTAGCTAGCATATATACACTAAGCCGATCTGTGGGGAGCCCACCGTCGCTGTGACCGGCGCCGAAAACGACCCGGTCATCGGCACCAGGCTCGCGGCCCTTTTCTCGGAAAAATGCCAGCGCAGCCCTACTTCCTTCCCGCAGCAATCCGACGGCGCGGTTCTCCTGCGCTCTGGGCTCTTTTTCCAGCAGCATGGTAGGAAGGATGGAGCCCGTAGCGCACCCTGACGAGGCCATAGCCCTCAACCGCATCATGCTTTTTTCTGACATCTCTCGGCGTGATGATGGGATAACATAATAGTAACGCTTATGACGATGGGCTGCTGTGTGGTACTACTACCAACTCGGCAACGCCCATGTTTTTAGTGTGTGACACGAATGACGGAACGGAGATGATGGACAACCTGTCGTGGTGATCTCGGAGGCAGACCGGTAAAATAGATGCAGGGCAACGACACGATCCCGGAAGCTTCTGCCGTGCTAGATCAGGCAAGCAGCAAATCATCATTCATCACATGGCCCTTTCCTCCCTTCTCCCCCCCTCCTCCCGTTTTCGGACAGTGATTGACCCTGCCGCTGGCCTCTCGTCTTGACGATTAGCCGATTACTCATATTTTGGGGCCAATCTCTCTAGCCGTCCTAGAGCTAGTCGCAAAGCTTCGGAGAAAGAGCGTGCGCACGCGCTCTGTCGTGCTGTGTGTCTGTGCTCGCGTGTCTGATGATTCTGCAGCTGAGCGGAGCTGAGAGGCTGAGCGCTACTGCAGGCTGCTTGCAACCTTCCTCCCGCGTCCCTCAACCTCCACCCTACAATTTAGATGTACATGGATTGCAAAACAGACCGCCATCTACGGCATGTGTCTACAAGCGAGGTCCGCTTGAAACAACGGCTTGGAAGAAGTGCAGCTGAGCTACTGTTCAAACAAACGATGGCGGCTACGAGCGAGCCCCATGAGGGCCGACCGTGCAGCCAAAGATCTCAAGTCATTCGGACACGATGCAGATCCTTTCATGTAGAGAAGCGAAATAATTTTGTGTGTATTAGAAGTGGTAATATTTACGGTTGAGAAGTTGTTTCGAACGAATGTCATCTATCGCTCTGGAACTCCTTTTGCTCCACCTCTCGCGGCCTCGCTTTATCCAAAAGGCCGTTCCAGAACCCATCATCAAAAAGGTGTAGTTTTTATCTTCTTCGTGAAACAAAACAATCGGGAAAAAGAAAGCCAGAAAAAGCCGCCGAGAGATTAGTAGGTCGTGGGTGATGGACAAGAGAAAGAAAAAAGGAGAAGGAAAGAAACGAAGGGAGTGCCTAATTGGGCGAGGTATCGTAGAAATTATCAAGCACAGCATTAACGAAAAGCCAAAAAAGTCCAAGACAAAAAACCAAAGCGAGACAAGGGGTAAAAGCAAAGCAAAGAAAGATCACAGGGTATAACGATGGACTCCAACAGCAATCTTCTCCGCCCAAACTACACACTTAGTACAAGCACGCCCCCGGCACAGCGACAAACACGGCCGTCGTCAAGGTAGTCAGGATGACACTCCACGTCTGGGCGCCCTTGACAATCTTATCCTGAATGATGCGCACGCTCTCCTCCTGGACCCACGTCTCCTGGTCCCAGATCTTGTCCTTGAGGCTCTTGCGCTTGTAGTCCGTCACCCACGCCTCGCTCTCGTACGTGTTGCTGCTGCCAAAGGTATCCATGCTGTACGGGCGCTTCATGCTCGGGGTCGGGGCCCTGGTGCTGACACCGTTCAGGGTCGCCTCCTCGTCGTAGTCGCCGAAAGTGCTGGTCGAGATCTTCTTGGAGAGCGAGTTGTCGTGCGGGGCGAGGGTGCTGGCGCGCTTCTCGGAGCCGCCGCCGTTGCTGCTGTTGTTGCTGTTGGAGCTCGTCGCCGTGGTGCCGCTGACGTCGCTGTTCATGCTGATGTTGTCCATGTCCTCCCACGGCTTGAGCGTGCGCTTGTGTTCTTTGTGCAGGATGACGCAGAGCCCCTTGTATGCTGCGATCATGGTCGTGGTGCCGAGGTACAGGACGGGGAACATGAAGAGGCGCCACCAGCGCGGGACGCTGGAGAGGATGAGGAGCAGGCCGATGAGCAGGCCGGCGGCGATGTGTGTGACGCCCATGGTGCGCACGAAGAAGACGCGCGGCTTGTTGCCGTTGCAGATGCTCCAGCGTACGAAGTTGGGGTGCGCCTGGCCGCGCAGCGTGGCCTCGACCATGTCGCCGATCGTCTTGAAGGCTGAAGGGTGCGTCGTTTGCTGCAGGGCGTGCAGCACGGCCGCCCGGTCGCGTGCCGAGAGGTTGAGCTCGCGCGGAGCGCCCGGTGCGATGTAGTGTGCGATGACGCGGTCGACCTCCTGACGAAGGGGCTGGACGGAGACTGGAAGTTGTCAGTAACGTGATCCGTACACACTCTGATGATGCAGTGGACTTACAGCCCTGCCACTTAAGGCCGGCTCCATTGTTGGCCTCTTCAGCCATCTCACGAACTGACTCCTCCGAGAGGATGGGCTCGCCATATTGCGAGGTGTGACCGCTAAGAGAGACGGTGGGAACGCCGTGCCTGTCCCCGAAGGTGGTGCGAGTGGGCGACAGAGTGTCCTGTCTGCTGAGGAAGGTCGGCGATGGCTCGGGCTTGTTAGGAGAAGGAACAATGATATCGGTCAGTCCAATGGCGGCGGCGGCGGCGGCATCAGATGGCTTGTCGAAATCGACCTTCGGCATCAAGGGTCCAGGTCGCTTCTTCCTCTTCCCACCTGCAGGAGCGGCCGAGGAGACGAGTTGAGTGGCTTTGTCATCGGCGGTCGGCTCCGACTCGGTCCATTCAGGGGACAGGGCCTTGCGGTCCGGCTTGAGGGCGTTGAAGCGTTCGGTGTAGTCCTGAAGCCAGAGGTAAAACTGAAGGTTTTCGGCATCATGGGTCACGTAGACGAGATAGTCCATGAAATCGCGGAGCTGGCATGGCTTTGGGGTGTGTCAGTATCAAAAAGGTGAAGTGATGGTGAAAGACATACCGGCAAGGCCTTGTTGGTGAGAATGTTTTCGAATGAGAGTTCATCGGGAATGCCTCTCTTGCCATTGGCGGTGCGCTCGACATAGCGCTGGCACTCCTTCCGGTCAAGCGGGCCGTTGGACTTGGAGACGAAGTCAGGACGGCGGTAGAAAAGGATAGACATGGTGAAGTAAAATGAGAGAGTGGAGGAATTTGTCAAGCTGCGGACCCGAGAATGAGGGATGAGGAGGCAGCTAAAGAAGTATTTGGAAGAAAAGCTAACGGCAGTCAGCCACAACGCAACGATGGTCCAAGTGATGTCTCAATCACCGGGCTGATATGTTCGGGGGGAGACTAAGGAACGAGTGTGGAGGAGGAGGTAGATTGGCCGGCCGGTGCGGACTGGTAATTAAGGCCGGGCGCAGAGTCTTCGGTGCAGCTAAACCGTTTTGCAGGCGCGAAGACTTTCGAGCATAACGACCCAAAGTTGAGACGCGCTTGTTCAGCTTGCATTGCACACAGCCAAGCCCACTTTCCCCTGCGTCTTGACGTGGGGTGTAGGGCAGGGACCATGTCGTGTCAAGCCAATGGAGAGACTTGCCGAGAATGTAAGGTCACAGCGGCGATCTAGGCTAGTAGACGGTGGCTAGCAAGCTATCGACGCAAAACATCACTAGGGTATTGACGCGTGTAGGGCCCCGGCGGTGTGCAGCTAGCCAAGGTCGAGCGTAGTGTGCCGTTAGCAAAGGGAGCCAGCTTCCCCAACGGGCTTGACGGCAAGCTGAGACGGAAGGCCAGTTCGTGAGGCCAACCAAGCCGATTGTGTCTTAGGGCTGGGCGGAGACATGCCGAGAAATAGCGATCCGGCTGGCGGCCATCACGAGTTGGCGCCGCGCGCCGAGCCAGATCGGGGCATAGGCTCGGGCGGGTCGCGGGTGGTGGAAGACAAGGTTTTCCTGCGGCGTGCCGGCGTAGCAGATGGTGCGCACCGGGATGCTGTCGCGGCAGCCACGCCCGGAGGCGGGTCCTGAGACGGCCGGCAGAGCGCACACAGCGGCTGGTACAGGGCAGACGGCGGGCCTGTCCTCGGAAGCAGAGATTGACATACGGTGAGCGGGCTGAATCGCACGAGGTTGAAAGAGAAAGAGATGGGCGCCGGGATGGCAGCTTTGCTTGGGCCGTTTGTGTGGGATCGCCGCAGGCAACGTTCCCGGAGCATCTTGGCGTCACAGCAGCACAGCCATCTGGCAACACGGAGTTCAAGCATGCCGTGCGGTCTGAGCAGCTGTAGCGTTTCTTCAGGTGAGTGGTGGGTGGTTGGTGGCGCAGCGGGGCCCGTGAGGGTGGATGCGGGCGTCATGGTGTGCAGTCACGGGCAGTTGGTGCTGATCATCATCTCAGTGGCTTGCGGCCGTGGCATTGCCGGCGGGCTTGGGAGTGGCACAGCCTTGCACGAATCCTCACCCACGAACAGCGAGATCCTGGTCTTCCCGTTCGGTGCCATGCTGGCGGTATTCCAGGCGAACGGTGCGCGGAGGCAGTCCAGGAACGGGTCCTTCGCGGCGCCTGGAACGTCCTGTGTGCTGATCGCCGTGCGGGCGTGGGACGCAGCATCGAGGCTCCACCATGGCAATCACATCTTCGATTCGAGCGACGATACGAACATCGCTTCCCAACCGACTCGGACGGCTAATCACGGGGTCGGGCGGCGGCCGGATGTGGAGAGGCGCAGCCCGAGCGGTTCAGGAGAGGTGACGGGGAAAGAAGACGTTAGCTGTCAAGGCCGGCGCGTCGGCCTAGGGCTAGGGCCCTCAGCTTGACGTGTTTGCGCATGTCATGAAACCGAGTAATGGCTCCCCACCGCGGAGGCGATCTCTTCCCAGCAAGGGCGGCTGATCGGCGCGGAAAACAGATCCAGCGCCACGGGCGAACCAAACGTGCTCCCCTGAGCGAGCAGCAATCTCGTGAACTGCAGCAGTTGAGTCGCACTGCACGCCGCCGAGTCAGCCGCCGCGTTGAGTCCGTGGAGATGCAGCAGCCGGCCCCCAGGCGCACGCTCAGGCACTGTCGTGTCCGGGCAGGGGCGGCGGCGCGGCTGGCTGGCGGCGGGGGGCATCGCGGGCGGCAGGAAGAGGGGAGGTGGGAGCAGCGCAGGATCTGAGGCGGCCGAGATCGAGGTGACGGCGGTCGGACCGGGAGCGAGGGGTCGGAGGGTGGCCCGGGGCGGCAGAGCGGAAGGACCTGAGGGCGCAGATTGCGGCGGGTCGGCGTCGTAGCGGCTGATCTGGTTCCCTCTGGCCTGGACCCACGACCCGCCTCACTCACCACACCACGGCTGCCTGCTCAATCTGCCCGACTCTCGGGCCCTACGTCAACCGCCCACCCCCAGCCGATCGTACTTTGCACCTGTTCCCGTGCCCGTGACGCCGCCGCCGATGCGAGTAATTCGCCGAACCCTCCCGCCGCTGCGCCGCCGGGTACCAGTGCGCCGCACGGCCGGCCCAGCATTTCCGTTGCCTCATTGCCGCCGCCATCCGCCTCGCACCTGCTTCTCATTTGCCCCAGCACGTCCTGGCGCCCCATGGCTGCCTTCCCCGGACCCAGGGGGCCGGACAGGAGACGATCGAGATGACGAGATCGCAACGCATTCTTCATTTCCCACTCTGTGCTCATTTCTCCTCCAGCTTACTCTCTTCAACGGCCATTAGCCAGCCTGCAGAGGAGCCGCGCTACTGTACCGTCCGGCCGAGCCCAGCCGCCCTCCGGTGCCATCCTGATGGAATCGATAGACCCTTGCCACCTCCACACCGGTCCAACTGTCTCATTCCCTCTTGCTTCCTCTCCCACCCAACCCGGACGAAGTCCTGCTGCCCCGCCACGAGGTCTTGCCAGCACCCGCCACGAGAAATCAAAGCCCCCGCCAGAAAGGGACGAGTCTTCTTGCCAGTCAATGGCGCCGCCGAAACAAGCCCCACACCTTTTGGTCGAAGGATTTCTGGCCGCGTGTTCAGTTTCACAGCAGCTGTCTTCAGTGCAGCGCTGACGAATCTGTCCGGCAGATGAGACTCAGCGTACTCCTACACGCTCGTCAAGCAGACCCAGTGCTGCCTTCATGTGGAACAAAAGAGCGCCATGTCCGCGCCAGAAGCCTTGGTTGCCGAATCAGAAGGATCCTCTTGTCCTTTCCCTAGCCCCTAAGCTACCAACGAAGCCACAGCTCACCCTGTGGGTGGGGTCGCCACACCAATCAAGCATATTGGATTGCCCCACAACTTCACCTTCTATTACACTAGCTGCTGAAGGAGAAGCCTCACCCAAGTAGACGGCGGTGCTCGTCAAGTGCTCTAAATCCTAACATGCCGGAATCATCTCCGCGCCAGGAGACAGGAGTAATGGACACTCAGAGGGCGCACCAATGTGCTGCTCCCTCTTGGATTTGCAGTGCCACGTCGACGAACCCCCTCGTCAAAAGGGGCGCCAAGTAATCCGGCGGATACTACTTACGCCGATCCAGAGGGGGTGACGACGTGCCAGAATCGGACGGACGCATCATGGGATGACCTGCAGATTGCTGTGCTCATATGTTTGCGGCATGTGTAGTGAAGGCATCCTCCGTCACCACAGACGTCGCAAGTCATTCTATCGTCTGACGCTGTCCTTTGGCCTTCGTAGAGCGAGTTGCGGCTGACACTGATGAAGCAGAAGGGACCCAAGTGGCGGCTCGAGTATACTCATGCAAAGTTACCATCTTCCCAAGACCCGTTTGTGCGGTCAGGACAGTACTGTTACGCACAGCAGTGCTGCATGCGATCGGCAACCCAGCGCATCGTCTCGGGGCATGGGCGAACGGAGACCAATTCCTCCTTGAACGGCACAGGTGTGATCCGGTATGGCAGGGGAAGACCTTCCAGCGCACAGTGCAGAAATCGCGCCCGCGGAGAAACCTGATCTTGGGGAACCTTGGCAGGAGTAAGAGCTATGTGATGAGGAGTAGGTCGGGGCCATGTGGTCACGGCTCGACACGATCCTTGTCATTGCTTAAACCGACCATCATGAGCTACAGTACCTTGGCAAAAGAAATCTGGGATCCTATTCAGTTTTCCTTTAGAAATTCTCGAAGCCAATTGGTTCCTAGCGCCTTGGATAGCTGAATCCATCGGACTCTCTATCAACGCGCCGTACCAGAATCGGTTAAACACTGCATTCTGCCCCGTAAAAGGAGTGTCCTAGACACGCCTAGATTTTAGCTATAGGCTGTGATCAAACGAGTCTTTTTACTTTTTCGCCTTAAGCCACACTGCGATGTGCGCGCCCGCCTACTTTCCTGACGATCGATGTGACGCCACCGCAGGATCAGGCTTTACCCTTTACCAACTAGGACGCGATATAGTCTCTCGACGAATATCCCTGGGATAACAGGCAAGTCTACTTACACGAGATGCAACATGGTATCCGATATCTCTTCAGGCAATTTCCTCGTTCCTAACACGAAGCGGCCTACTCCTCATGCCCCATCCCTCACCTCCCACTCGCAACACCACCTCTCCAAAGTCGGACTGCCAGAACGTTGCTCCAACGTACCTTCTTACTTTGGAATTGTATCGGACAGCTCAAACGACTTCTGCCAGAATGTATGGAAGTTGTCTGGCTGGTGAGTAGCTTGGCAAGTATCACGTGTCGATAATAGGGTCCCCGAGGATGAAACTTGTGCTCGACCTACACAAAGACTTTGGATGAGATTCGGTCGACATGTTGGAGAGCAGATTGCTACATGATTTAATGCTGCAATTTTAAGCTCTCACTCAACATTGGCGTCGACAAAATGGATGGATTTGGTCCAGTGACTCGCCAAGAGCGGCACATTGTTTCGTCGCACAGGTCAAGAGATCTGATGTAATCCATCCGAGTCTCTTCAGTAAAGTGAAACATAGCCAGGGGTCCGTGATTGTGCGCTCGAAATAGGGGCTAATGCAGTAAAGAATGGCATCTCCATAGATTAATACCAGATTGGCAACTGGACAGCTACATTTGAACGTGGCATAGGTGCTTTGCCTAGCTTGTTGCCTGCAAGTGGTAGCATTAGATGTGACGGGGATGAAGTATGGCGACGGTGGTGGAGGATTACGTTGATCGAACCAAATAGCACGCAGCAGCAGGAACAGCGCTCTCGTCACTTATAAATCCACCATCACTACCAACGTTGTACGAGGTCAAATGGTGAAGTTCAGTAATCTGCAGTATCACATCCTTATCCTGACGGGAATTTAGTTCCCGGCACTACTCAGCAAACTTTTTAAAATTCCAGCCTTTGGATAATACCATGTGCCTCAGCCCTAGATGGAACGCTTCCGTCAGCTATACAGCACTAACAAGCTCCTATCCTCTGCAAAGTTTCCCTTCTTACCCGCTTCGTGATAGATATCCCACATTGATACCTTCTCCACCCCGCTACCTTCAACCACGTCACCATGCCAAACTCCAACCGCAACCTCGTCAGCGTCCTGACCGTCGTCCACGCCCCCTTTGTCTTCCGGACCGTGAACCGCATCACCGGCGATCCCACAGCAACCACCTTCCCAAAATAGCCCCGGCGCGCGCATAACTGCCTTCATATCTATGCCATTTGATCACAAACATACCTTTGCCATTACTCAGTTTCCCCAACAAGACCCCCAACGACATCTGCCCGCGACTCATCGGCTACTACCACCCGTACGATCACGCCCATCCGCCCAAGCTAGACGATTGTCCCTCCTCAGAGGACGCCAGCTCTTTACCGAATATTATACCTTCACCTGACACAACACCTTCTCTCACCTCCAAGACAGCTACGCCTTCATTCCTTTCCTCAATTTCCTGCTCCAGCGCTCCTGCCGCTCGCAAAAACTCGAAAGTGCCATGTTCGCCAACCTCTTACTGCATTTCTTTACTATTTCCAGCTTTCTTACCATATACAACATCTTTAACGGGCACGGCACCTTCCATAACCGCGACCTTTGTCGCGCATATATCTCGCGAAGCCTTGCTAGTAGTTTCCTGTCTTCGACGGCGCTCCATCACACGTTTTGTAATTCGTAAACAACTGTTCCTTGACCTGAAAGACGAAACACGATAGTCCACCACATGAAGACAGTATAATATATGAACAAATAGAGAATCTAGGCTTATGAGTGCCTTGTTGCAAAAGGAAGTAGAATCAATAGATGTCTACCTACATTCTATAAAGCTTAAGTTACCTGACGGGTTTGTTCAGGAGGGCCCACGGCCGAGCACCACAAAACGTAAGAGAATGTTACTACGGTGATAGCTTCTCATACTCCGTAAGGCTCGCGTAGAAAGCAAAAAAGAAATTGCCCCCTATCGGAGTCGAACCGATGGCCTCGACATTACTAGTGTCGCGCTCTACCACTGAGCTAAAGGGGCGTGTCAACTGTTTGTCAACTGCCCGTGGACTGATCACATGACTTAAATTTTGTCTAACAAAACTATATTCTATAAAAATTAATCATCTAGCTACGTATCTGCGGAGGAAGGATGTTTGCGTGTTAGCTCTTTAGCTGATTCACGGTTCGGGTTGGAATAATGATTGCGGCTGTACTTCGGTACAAATCAGTCTTGCCGTGCGATAGAAAATGTAGCGGTATATTTGAACAATTACGATAGAGTGATTGGTTCTATCAAGATCAAAGGTCTGTTGCTTAGATACGCGGATGGTGGATGAAAGCAGGCGACAGTCTTTTTCGCCACGCCCCCGAGTACTATACCATAGGACATTTACACATACTACTATTCCATTTTTAACCTGGTTTCCCCCCACGACAATCACCAACGTTCCATCCTGTTTCCCTCTAAGATGCAAGCTTGTAAAATATCGCATCTTACGATTTATCGATCAGCAACATCAAGAACCAAGCCTTCTCTCATGTACCTACCCTGTTGAAATTCAGAGTCTACAACAACAATGCCTCGACTCTTAAGTCACTACAATGGTGACTGTCCGTCCCACGGACATGGATGTCTAGCAATCTGAGCCAGTAACGGACGTCCGATTTGTAGTGACTCGGGGAAGTCAGCTCTAATTGAGAAGGACCGATCCGTCAGAATACGGCATACCCATGGTCTCCGGGAAGATCGGCAAGAGGTACAACAAAAGTCCAAGCTCTCCCACAGCCTCTCTTCAATTATTTTGAAACCGGTCAAATCGGTTGACGAATTAGACGCACGTGCTTCGTAAATTATGTCTCTTAACTCCCTAGGAGGGCTTTCGGGAATGGGATACCGTTCCGGATTTGCAGAGATCGGCATGATGACTCGATTGGCGAAGTCTTGTTGAATGACGCGAGTTTAGTCAAGCGGCTAAGCCCAACCAAAAAATATGATTGATTATTTCAGGTAAACGAAGCAACAACACTACATGGGTATCCAAACTGCAAGACAATATCCAAACATGCGCGCCGCCAGGCCGGTTACTCCAAACAAGCAAAAGTCCCAACGGAGCGGGACAAAGCACCAACTTCAAGGAGAGACCAACAACGCTACGTTTCTTCGTTCATTCTCGTCGAAACGCAAATGCGAAAAGAACTGCACATCGCCCGGATGCACCAGATTAAGCCGACGGCACAGCCGTCGTCGCAGAGGAAGAGGAGGAGGCGATTGCTTTCCTGGGCGTGAAGTTGTTCTCGGAAAGGCAGAAATCATCCGTGCACGGCCCCATGTCCGCACAGCTGTGCTCATGATCGAGCAGTTCGCATCCGAGACCACTACTACCCGTTAGCTTTCTCCACAACACGCGAGAATGCGGCTAAACTTACGAATCCGTCCGGACCATCCAGCTCTCGCCCTTCTCGACAAGCTTCGCCGACTTCCCAATGACATCCCACTGCGTCACCGCCGACGGCACCTTTGCCCTCTCGTCCGCCAACAGCTGCAGGAACGCCGCCTTCACCGCCGCAGGCACGCATCCCTCGACCGAAACCGCGGGGATGTCTTTCACATAGTCCTTCGCCGCCCACAGAATCAAGCCCGCCAACACGCGGTGGCAGCACGGCGCCAACACGGTATCGAGCCTGTACCCCTCGAAATTCTCACGATGCCCCAGCCTGAGCTCCAGCTCCTTCACCCGCAGGCCCTTCAAGCACCCGGCATCGGGCTCGCCCCACGGGCGCGCCGACTGGTGGATCCACACGCCAAAAAACTTGACCATGTTCCACGTCGTCATCTGCAGCGTGACCTTGCTCAGCGCGCTCAGGTCGGGCCGCAGCGGCTTCGGGGCCAGGAACCGCCTCAGCGGCGCCGCGCCCTGGAATCGAAACTCCATGCCGCGCTCCAGGCGGGCGGCAAACTCTGCATGCACCTGCCTGCTGGTCAGCAGCAGGGCGAGGACGGGCCCGGCGCCGTTGAGCACGCGGCCGCGGCCGAACAGCTCGGCCTGCAGGTGGGAGCCGCGCGCGCCGTACTCGCGGTACAGCAGGCCGTCGGTGCCGGCGGCGGCCATGTAGTTGAAGCCGCGCTCGAACTCGTACGGGTAGCAGAAGCTCGCGCACCGGTCGTAGATCATGTTGCGGATCTCGCCCGGCAGCGCCAGCAGCGGGAAGTGCTGGCCGTTGGTCGCCCAGTCCAGCGCTTGCAGCCACGCCCCCGACCCCGGCCCCGCCCAGTACTCCTTGACCGCCGGCAGCCGCGAGAGGTACGTCGAGAGCGGCTGCCACGAGTCGCCGTCGCGGACTTCGACGATGCCGCGGTTCGACAGCCGGATCCGCACGACCGTGTCCCACATGCCGTCGTAGTTGGAGTACTCGGGGTAGTTGCCGAGGAGCGAGGCGCGGGAGATGCGGTAGTAGCGGCCATGGGATGCGTCCAGCGAGGTGTAGGGGAGGGCTTCTAGCGATAGTGGGAGGGAGACGTGGCAGAGGATCCGGTTCTTGACGTTGTTTATCGAGAGGATCTTTTGCGCCGCCTTCAGCACCGGGTCTTCCTGGTCCTTTTCGGGAGGTGTGGAGCCGAAGAGCGGATGGGTCATGGTTGCGGGTGATATTGTGGCCGGCATGGTGTCCAGAGATGTGAAGGGATGGAAGAGATTGAAAGAGAGACTTTCCGTAAGGTTGGAAGCGAGAGAGGGACGACAAGGATATAGCTTTTGGCACCGTCGATCGGAGAAGGGGAGATGTTCTATTAAAGGGGTGGTATGTCGTTGAAACTGGGCGCTTGGGCCACTGCTAGGCTAGGCAAGGGATGGCTTGGGGTCGAGCTGAGATGGATATACGCCCACGGATGTAATAATAAGCCGGACGATTGCGACCAGCCTTGCGCAATTGGCAATCCGATCCGGCCAGCACGTTGCGCACGCACAGGTGGCTCGGCCTTATTGCTGCTTCATCAGAAAGCGCCACGCCCAATGAGTGGCAATGGAGAGGACATCGGCAGTTGGGGATTCATGCCATCAGAGGCAAGCTTCGAGAAGCATGTCGGGTCATGGGCCGCTGGGGTGCTCAGGCGGCCATTTCGCAGGCGATCACACAGCGCGCCAGACCGAGAGGGCAAGTACCGCTCTCAATGCCGCGGAGCCTGACCTCTGGCCGGCTTAAGGGACGGACGGACAGAAGCGAGTGGTTGGGTGCGCGGGGGGCTCTAGTGTGGCTGGCGGGAGGCTGGGCCGAACACGAAGTGCGGAGAAACGGTTGGTGGGAGGCTGCGTGCTAAACGTCATCGTCGCGGGAGAAGGGAGGCCGCACGCTGTTGCTGCGCCATCTGGGCCATGCGGCTTCAACGGCAGTTTCACAGAATGCTCGAGGGTTGCGGCCTGAGCAATCGAGTGAGCTGGAGAAGGCAGCGGTTGGCGGTGGACTGACGGAAAATGGAGGCCTCGTGAAGCGAAAATGAGGATGGCTACAACTAGGTTCGAAGCGGCGTCTGAGCGTATCTCCAGCAATGCCGGGTTGGAGATTGTGGCGCCGAGACGTGTGGTGATGATGTTCAGGGGCAGCAATGCTCGACCCGGGATCCGCACGGCTCCAGCCTCCGGTCCATGGCTCCACTCGTCCCGCGCCCGCCATGCCTGTCATTTCCCCGAACCTCCCGCCCTGCCATGCCACGCATCCCGCATCGCCTCCTGCGGCACGCCCGACGTGCCGATAGCCTCCTTCCCGCCCTGCTGCTCGCCTGTCGCGACATCGCCTCCGCCCGCAACGAGCTCCGATGGCTCCGTGAGCACGCAGAGAGGGAGGCTCCCGCCTCCTGGCGCCCCCTCCTGCGCGACATGGTGCGCCACCGCTCCGCCGGCCGGCCGTTGCAGTACATTCTCGGCACAGAGTACTTCGGCGACTTGGAGATTGCTTGCCGGCCGGGCGTGCTCATTCCCAGGTGCGCAAGGCCACCTATCGTCGCCCGCGCGCTGCTGATCATTGACCTTCTTTCACCAGGCAAGAAACCGCGGCTTCCGTCGCCTATCTAACTGAGCGCCTGTCCCCTGCTCTTCCCAAACCATTGCGCGTCCTCGATCTCTGCACCGGTACCGGATGCATCCCACTCCTTTTCGAAGACCTGCTCGCCCGCACCACCCCCGCCCCGGATGTCCAGTTGCTGGGAATTGATGTGTCGCCACGATGCGTAGACCTGGCCAGACACAATGCGCGCCGCTGCGGGTCGAGACGAACGGACTTCGCTCTGGCCGACGTCCTATCAGGGGGCGTGGCTTCTCAAAGCTCCGTGCCTCCTTTGATGGCTCTGCTTCGTGAGAAGAACATGCTCAACTGGGATCTTCTAATTTCCAACCCGCCCTACATCTCCTCTCACGCCTTCACCCACACGACCACTCGCTCGGTGCGCAACTACGAACCAAAGCTGGCATTGGTGCCCCCCACGTCGACCAACAAAGCCATGGACAGCGGCGACCTATTCTATCCGAGGCTCTTGGAGATTGCGGATCAAGTGCAGGCCATGGTCATCTTGTTCGAGGTTGCCGACATGGATCAAGCACTTCGGGTTGCACGCATGGCCGAATCAACACAATCGTGGCACAGCATTGAGATCTGGAAAGACGAGCCGGCCGCAAAGGACCTCAATTCCAGGCACATGGTCGACGACGCCCATGGGTTCCGCGCTCTGGGCTGCGGGAACGGCCGCAGCGTAGTTTGCTGGAGACACGAGGCCTCGCAATGGTCTGAGGCGAGGTAGATATGCAGAAAAAGAAAATTCGAAGAGGAGGAGCAGCGTCCGGTGAAACGAAGCCCAACTGTCTGGATCTCGTCTCAGAATCCACCGTTCAGCTCCTAAGATCCCGTTCCAGGTCCCGCGCGGTTATGCAATGGCCAATCTCTCCACACGACCGTTGTCCCGAAGATCTAACAGTAGCCTCGTCGGCCCGGCCCTTGGAAAGAGTTGATGAGCCCCACAACCTGATCGCAGGGCCGCTGTGGCTGCTCGGAAGCCCGGCATCAATCTATCCGGTCCACCTCAGCAATCCGAAGCCCGGCACATGGCCCCTTGTGTCTTCCATCCGGCATCCCCCCGCCGTTTTTTGCGCTAGAGTGAGTTTGCCGTGATCGAAAACTCTATCCACCAACCGACTTTCGTCGTGTTGGCTGCGGAGGAGATTTTCGGCCTTTTCCGGATGTGGAAGTGATCCGAGCTCACTGAGAAATTTTCGACCTCCACACGATGCGATGAGGACTTTCCACGGCAATTATTCAGGATCCTGCGTGCGGCCTCTCAATGCTCTCGTGTTTGTAGAGTCGTGCGCATGCTTGGCGTCGCGTTGTTGTCGATATAAGGACTGTTGTTTTCGTCTATTTCCATCAACACCATACATCGGCCGGTTGGCTCAATGGTAGAGCGTGCGCCTCCTAAGCGCAAGGCTGTGAGTTCGAGTCTCATGCTGGTCGTAATACGAGTCCTTCATCCTGGTTAGGATAAGGGTGGTGTTTCCTTTTTGGTTCCATAGGACGTCGGTCCTTTGGCGGACTTTGGCAGCCACGCAGCCTGTCAAGGACCTTGCGTTTTGTTACGATGGGCGGTAGACTAGTGGGGATGTGCTTCTTGATTGTCTTTAGTAGTGTTCTAACGATCTTTAGCTCTGCTGAGGTGGTGAGTATCTGGGGCACATCAGCGTTCAACATGCTCAAGGATGCAGCCAAGTACTCATGACTCGGATTTACATACGATCGCTCGATGCATGACTATATCGCCGCTAGTCAAGGAGCTATTGCTGCCTACATATCGCCGGCCTTAGCCCCGAGGTGGGATGCCTTTTTGCATCAAGGCCCCTCAAACACTAACACGTTGCTCAAGCCGTCTATTACTAAATTAAGACTTAGGTTGCCTACAGTTTCGAGTTGTAGACCTTAAAGGTGGTAAGCAAGCGTACATCGGCTATTCACGCGGGCTGGCCTTAAAAATGCGCAGTGAATGGCACAACTCCGTTATATAGCACAAGGTACGATGGTATAACAGCATAGCAAACCAGCTATAAACTACCAGAAATCAGACGGCCCGCTGTCTAGCTATACTATGCAGTTTCATAGCCTTGCGTAGTTGCGTCCGGTCGTACTACAATGCGCGCTGATTACGCTGTGCACATTTTGAAGTCCGACCACGTGCAGTTCCCATAGTAGGTTGCAAAAGAATCAAGCTCATTGGCATCGACATCATAGACATGATTCACAATGCTTACGGCGGCAATTGAATGCACTGTCCACACATAGACTCAAATGCAGACAAATCCGTCCGCATATCCGACGGTGTAGGAAGAATGTAGCATGGACGGGGCCCACATAACTCAAATGCTCAGATCCCCTGGAACCTGCCGTGGTTCGTGTTCGCACTGCGCGGACCCGGGTCAAGAACAACAATAGTGCCTCGGCTTTTTCGCTCCCGGGGGAAAGTCCATTGCACCAGGATTAAAGCAGGTAAGTGCCCAGGAATAACAGAAGTCCACAAGGAGCCGGGCGGGACGGGACGAGAGAGAGTCCGGATTCCTCCGATTCTGCTCTCCTGATCTCCCCTCTCCTTCCCTGTGTGTGAGTGTGTCTCTCTCTCTCTCCCGGGAACGAGGTGGATAGATCCGGCTAGGTACTCACCATGGCCAAAGAACGGGATCATGACCGGTCCCGGTGGGCAATCTAATATAATGCAGAGAAACAGCGGAAGCAAGAGAAAGACGGCCGGCGGGGGATCGGGCGATCGGTGAAGTCGGGGGGCAAGAAAAGCGAGAGAGGGGCGGGCGAGAACGGTCTCTTGGGAGAGGCGGTCGCGGCGGCGGTGGGGCCAGCGCCGATTGCGTCTTCGCTGTTTAAACTATTCCTGGCGAAGGGATGCAAGCCATGGATTTTCGACGTTGTTCGTTCGTTCGTTCGTTTGCGTCGTCGTCGTCGGCGTCGTCGTCGTCGTCGTCGGCGTTTGTCGGTGTTGTGGGCCCCGTGCGTCTGGTTAGACTGCTGTGTGTTTTGGCCGTGTCGCCGTCGTCGTCACCCGCGGACGTGGTCGGGCGGATTCGTACGGGCGGGAAAAGCGTTCAGCCACGCTCAGGAGAGGGTGCGGGAAAAACGAATCATGGCGTGGGCGGTGATGTCGTGGACCGGATGATGGTGAAGTGGTGGTGGTTTGAACAGCTCATAGGAGGGTTGTGCGTATCTGCGTAGGTAGGAGCAAGAGCACATGGCGGATCGGCGGGGGTTTGCTGCGAACCCCTGGCCCGACGATGCAACAACGAACGATGGCTGTGATGCAAGTGAGAGAGAGCGCGTTTTGCGGATGGATTGCGCTGATCGGCGGGGCTCGGCGGCTTTTTGATTCACCAGGGGCACGTCCACTGCAGCAACCAAGGAATACGCTTTCTCTTTTTTTCCTTCTCCCTCCTTCACGCAGCTCGAAGATGCGGGTGCTATTTTTGAGCGCGGTCGCGGCAGGTGAATTGGACTCCACAGCTGATTGCAATTATACCTCTCGTTCGTCTGCGGCCGTCGGTGATTGCCTGCAGCGTCATCGTCCCAAAAAGTAATGGGAAAAGGATTGCGCCGGGGCCTTCTCGGGTCTCAGCTTAATGGGTGCCGACTGGCGGGCATCGAAAAGAGAGGTTGCCCGTCTATTAATTCTACCATGCTGCCCGCCCCATGAACGGGAAGGCTCGCCTCGCGCCGCAGCGGGGCATTTTTTTTTTCTCTTCACTGCATCTATTTCCGCCTTCGGAGTTGCTGCGAGGGAAAGGAGTTTACTAATGGCAATTCGCTCGTAGGCCTCTACTGAGTGCCATCGCCGGGAAAGCCAAAGCGTCCGGCTACGCCTCCTCACATTTATATGGATTAGCTCGCCTAGGTACGAGAAGTATTTTCGATCCCGATGCTCTGGATCTGGCTTCGGGGAAGAATAAACGTTTGTCAGGGCAGTGGGGGTTGTTTTCCTTCGCCCTGTCGCCCTATCGATCTCCGAGGGTAGCCGTCTGCGGGATAGAAAGCAGAGACGATGCCCACCAGGGTACGGACTAAAGACAGGGTTGAGATGGGGGAGCGTGGTGCCACAGTGCGGATCACAGGAGAGGCTGCAGTGCACGAATAACGTTGAAGAGGTGCAGCAAATCACAGCGGCGAAATCGCAATCCAGGTACCATGGCTACAGTGCTGACGGCGGGAGTGCATCTCGGGCCCGGCAGATGGAGTGGCTTGACCAAGTGCCGGCTGGGACCCTGCACTCGCGGATGGCAGCCCGCGTAGTGCGGCTCCCAGGAAGCTCTTGGAGAGAGCTTGACGGCGAGTGGGTGCGGCGCGTGTGCTGGGGCTGGAGGGGGGGTGCATCTAGGGCGTCTGGCGGCTGGCATCAGGCGCGATCAGCAGGGCATGGGCAGGCCAATCGCCTCACCGCATGCAGCGTCTTATCTCGGGCGCGGTGGGGAATGGGCAGCGGGAGCAGTCGAGCAGTGAGGTCAGCAGCGCGGGCAGCAGCGCGCCGGTCACACCGAACGGGCAGCGATCTCGAGGGCCAGGGTCGGGCGCGTTTCACGGGGGCGCATGCTCTGACTCGCTTGGTGGGCGGGTGGCAGCGCGCGCACACACTGGCCGCTGGCTTACGCACTCGACAAGCCTCCACTTCCCTCTCCGCCCGGGGGGCCCAGCACCGCACCCTCCCCAATCGGGGCGCTCCGCCAACAGCCCTCAAGTAGTCGCGGGCCTCAGGTTTGTCTCCCCAGAGACCCCCAGAGACCTCCTACACAACCACCACCCTCCGTCTCCTGCCTGCGCCGGTCGTTGGCATCGCCACCCAGGAGAGATCTGCGAATCTGCGACGACTACCACCACCGCCGCCGCACTGCCATCGCCTCAGGCCGCCCGCCCGCCGCTGTGCATTCCCCCCTCTAGCGCGCCCACGCCGCGACGCCCATCCCACCCGTCCACCCCCCATGGCCTCGTCCTCGTCCTCGCGCCAGCGCTCCTTCGACTCGCTGGCCAGCTCGTCGTCCTCGATGCAGTCCGACTCGTCCGCCAAGCGCATCCGCCTGGAGCCCGCCCATTTCGACGACGACGATGCTCACGGTGCGTACCAGCCCGGCCCGCTCGACACGAACCCCCCGCTCGCCCCAGGCCCTGTGCACCCTGCATCTGTGTCACCTCGCGCCCTCAACACCACCACTCCGCTCTGCTTCTTTGAACTTTTTCTCTTTTTTTTTCTTTCGCGGGGCCCCCTGCTGACCACGCCCAGTCCTGACATGCCACTCGCTGGAGCACAGCATGCGCCTGGCAGCCGAGCACGACGAGGCGCGGCTGCAGGAGATCGAGCAGGAAGAAGACGAAGAGCTGCAGGCGTCGTCGGTGCGCTATGTCATCGACAGCGACTCGCTGCAGCAGGAGGCGCGGCCGCAGGAGCCGCTGCAGGTCGAGCAGATGCAGCCACGTGACAAGTCGCGCGAGGAGTACGTGCACGCGCTGCAGCTGGGCTACAACCAGCTCATCGACGTGGTGCTGCGCGACGTGCAAAAGGCCACGGACGCCCTGGTCGGCAGCAAGCTGGCGTCGGTGCGCAAGATCTGCTACGACATCCTGGCCAGCACCGAGAACTGCGTGCTGCACGCCGTGCTGGACGGCAACCTGGCCTGGGACGCCGAGCACGACGTGGCCACGGGGCAGGCCCTCGACCGCCTGCGCCGCCAGGCCCAGCACCAGCCGTGCGTCTACCAGCGCGTGCTGGTCGACGAGCTGTGCCAGTCGCCCACCCCGGCCGAGCTGTTCGACGTCATCGAGGGCCTGCGCCGCTACGCCCGCACCGGCGAGTGGAGCCTGGCCGTGCAGGTCGACGCCCACCGCCAGCCCGACCGCTGGAACGAGAGCCTGTCCAAGGCCGGCCGCCGCAAGTACCTGGCCGCCGCCGCGAGCCCCTACGGCCCGCCCTCGCCCGCCCGCCTGGCCGAGCTGGAGATGTTCTGCCAGCGCCTGCACGCCCGCCTCGACCGCATCGCCGCCGCCGACTGGCACGAGCCGCTGCGCTTCCCGCTCGTCGACGTCGCCTACACGGTCAACTACGAGGCCCGCCTCGCCGCCAACGCCCAGCACGCCTCGCCCCGCGGCTTCCTGCTCAACCTGGTCGAGGCCATGTGCGCCGTGCTCTTCCCCCAGTCGCGCTACCGCGCCCGCCAGTTCCCCGTCTACCTCGTCTTCGAGCCGCAGCAGGCCGTCATGGCCGACCTGCTCGTCGGCCAGCTGGCCCAGGGCCTCGCCGCCACCGGCGGCGGCACCGCCTACTGGCCCACCGACCTGCTGCACGGCTCCGCCATGCAGGTCGACGACAAGAACTGGCCGCGCTACGAGAAGTGGGCCGTCGACCACTCGCCCTACGTGGCCAACTGCCGCGCCGACTCGCCGCGCCAGAGCGAGGAGCTCGACCGCATCAAGCGCGTCATCGAGGCCAAGAAGCGCGAGATGTTCGAGCTGAAGAAGGAGTACAACGAGGGCCAGCTGCAGATGCGCCTGGCCGCCAGAGACATCACCAGGCGCGTCGCCAGGTGTAATCGGTACCAGTTCTGAGCGTTGCCCTTTTTCCTTCCCTTCTTCAGATTTCCCTCTTACATGTCTGTTGTCCTCTTTGGCTTCCTTCCATCATCTCTTTTTTTTTTTGGCGCCCCTCTCCCCACTCGACGACCTCTGCCATCGTCTTCCATCACCTCATTATGATTGTGTATTGTGTGTCGTCGACGGCAAAGCGAACGATAGATGGCTAGACGAGGCGCGAGGAGAGGGCAGCGGTAGCGGCGGCGGGTTTGGGGCATTTTCGTCTCGTAATATGAGGATGTGTCGCATCGGGGCGTACCGGTGGCGATAGGGGAGGGTTGGATGTGGTGCGTGGGTGCCGGCTTCAGTGGCGGTTGGCTGCCGAAGTGAGTACATACGGCCCGAGACGACGCGGGAGAGAGAGTGGGTTGTGGGCTGCATTGGCGTAACGAGAGTGAGAGAGTGAGAGAGAGCAGACACAGAGACAGAGAGAGAGAGAGTGGTCAGTCAGTCATTCAGTCAGCGAGTTGATGGGCAGATCAGAGCGAAGCCAGCTCGCTCGTGACGACATTTCTGTTTCTTCGTTGGGCGGGAAGTATATTGGCGTTGATTCGGTTTTTTGTCAGGAGTTTTGGGGCTTTTCAAGCGATGCTCGCGTCAGGTCGCGTCTGGGCAGCTGAGACAAGCTGATTGTGTAAACGGACGGCTCGCCGTTCGGGAGGACCCCGGTGATGGAGGAGGGGGGTAGTGAAGTATCATATGACGAAGGAGGATGGACAACGAGTCTTTTTTCTTCCATTCCATTCAAAGGCTTTATTTTGGATGCCGGTGCCTTGTTGACGTGTGGGGAACATGTGTGTGAGGGACGGAGAGGAGACGAGAGAGGTCGGGCTGTCAAATAGACTCGGTGGGACGGGGAACGGTTGGGCGAAAAGGGACGGATCACGTCGTTTCCGGCACTAGGGTCGGATTGCGACATACGGACGGTTGATTTTGCTATCTCTCGAACCTCCTTCCTTCATTCTCCCGGGGGGCCAGGGCGTGCGAATGAGCGGGCGTGGCGGCTTTGCGCTTGCTGAGCTGGTGGCCGATTGCGTGCGAGCGACGGGCCGTGACGCGACCATGCATCAAATCTGTCCAGCTGAGCCGCACAACCGCCCTCCCCCACACCCGCCTTATCAGCCCGCCTCACCCCGTCCCCATCAGTGCCTACCGTTGCTCGCGGTGGAATAATGTCGATTCTTGGGATCTGAGCGGGAGATCATCTCTAGTTTCTCCTAGTATTAGTCGGGGCCAGAATAAGGTTCGGTACTGGCGTAACATTTTCGTGATCTTCCCGCTCGTTCTTGGCGGGCGATTCCTCGACTGAGTGCTCACCGTTGCCGCTGGCTGGCCGGGCAACGGTTGACCTTTCTCTCACATGAACCTGCGACATGCGTCAGTCTGCGGACGGAGAGGAGCGTTTGCGACTGAATGTGGATCTTCCCCGGTTGCATCTTCTCACCGTACGGATTAGTGGATACGACGCTTGCTGTGCGCCGTCGATAACGAGCCCGCAGCCGCGGCTACACGGCAATCTTTCGTCAGTCACGAATATCGGTCTGGCATCGCGTGCTCCAGCTTATCTTTTCTTCTTCTCTTTCCTTCCCTGTGGTACGTGTGCCTGGGCTAGGTAACGAGCGTTCCCGAACGGACAGGTGCCTGCTTGGTACCACCGGAAACCTGGTTGACGGGTTCTCGGGCTCCTATTGGATCAGCCAGTGTCTAGCCTCCGAGCAGTGTCCAATGGGCGTAGGTAGATGTTTGTGCCAGGCAGCGAACCCAACCAAACCTGGGAATAATGAAGGCATTTCAGTTGCTTCTGGGCGATGTTCTTGGCGGGGCGGTCGGGTAACGCATATCAGCCAACCACCTTCCTAAATCAGCAAAGAGAAAACTAACGTATGTTTTAGCGAGATGCTCAATGATCATGTAGTATTACTTCTTTTATTCGCGTGGCAAGCCTAGACCTTTGCCCGTCTCTATCCCGTTCCTCTTTTATTTTTATGGTTTCCCTCACACCCCGCGCGCCCCCTCTACAAAATATATCTAAACCCCTTATTGTCCATCTCAGTCATGTCCCGCATCCCCGCCTCGACGGCCTCCTTCTCCCTCTCCTCCTCGCTCATGCCCGCCTGCTCGCGATCCCGCTTCTTGTTCACGCTGTACATGTAGGCATACAGCACGACGACCATGCCCAGCTTCACGACGTAGCCGACCAGCATGGCGACGTAGGCCGAGTGGTAGCCGGGGGCCTCATTGTCCCTAAAGGTCTGGGGCCCGATGATGTTGCCGATGCAGTAGCCGGTGAAGATCATGGCGCCGGTGAGCTGCTTCTTGGTGTAGCCGCTGATGTTGGAGCTGATCATGGTCAGCGACATGGAGAAGCCGAGCCCCTGGAAGTAGCACAGCCACAGCGCCACGAGCCGTCCCCACTTGTTGTCCGCCGGCAGCCCCACCAGCAGCGCCGCCCCCAGGATGCAGATGCAGTTGGCCACGATCATCGTGATGCACCGCGAGTTGGGCCAGTACGTGCACACGAACCCGCCCGCCAGCAGCGCCGCGAACTGCACGAACCCGCCGGGAATCTGCAGGTACTGCGTGCCGAGCGTGTCGAAGCCGAAGGACTTGACGATGAGGGAGGTGAACTGCGTGGTTGCGTCACCGGTTAGCGTTTTAGCTACAAGAATTTCTGGAGGGGAGGAGAAAAGAAAAAAAAAAAACGCACGCTCGTCAGCGCCGAGTTGGGGACCTGCGCGCCGATGGCCATGACGAACAGGATCCACGTCTTGGGGTCGCGCAGGAAGGCGACGGCCTGGTCGCGCTTGAAGGCCGTGTTCTTGACGCCCTGCCGGTTCGCGGCCACGCGCTCGACCGCCACCGCCCGCTCGCGCTCGGTGAGGAACTTGGCCGTGGACGGCAGGTCCGGCAGGATCACCAGCGACACGACGCCCCACGCGATCGAGCACGCCCCGAAGATGATGAAGACGTACTGCCACCGCGCCAGCGAGCCCGACGTGATGTGCCCGATGGCATAGCCGATGAGACTGTGCGGGAAGGCGTACGTGTTAGCCTGTGCTTTGTTTGCTTGTCCCTCCCCCCCTTGTGGCAAAGTGGGTAGTAGGGTGGGTGGGGAGGGGGGATATTTGACTTACCCGCCGAACATGGTAGCGATGCCGTTCGTGCCTGGTAATTAGGAAATGATATTAGCTGGTCTGATCTACCTCTCGGGGGAAGCGGGGAGTTTGCCGTACAGTAGTAGGCCTCCAGGCGCAGGGGCTGCTCCGCCGACGTGTACCACATGCCCATCATCAGAACGAAGCCTAGACGCACGCAGATGGTTAGCCATTGTCTGGGAAGGTGGGAACATGGGACGCGTGTTGCGTACCGGGATTGACGGCGGCCTCAAGGGCACCCAGCAGGAAGCGGTTCACCGCTATGCCGCCAAAGTTGTGGCATGCAGGGGTGGTTATCAGGACGATGCCCCATGCTAGGAACGATGCTTGGTCAGCGCTTGCCGGACGGCAGGGGGAGTCTGGTGGAGACTGTCTCACCGATGGTGGTCAAGCTGAGGAACTTGGCGATTGGGAACCTGGACCGAAGTCAGTACGCGTGGTGGATGGGTCGAGGGCGGGCGGGCATACCGTTGCATGAGGTAGCCGGACGGGTACTGGGTCGCAAGGTAGCCAAAGTAGAAAATGGAGCCTGAGCGGGGTCAGCACTGCGATGCATGCGTGCGGGAGGCCAAGCGAAGTGCGTACCGAGCCATGAGTATTGGCTGCCGTCGATGTGAGTACCCGCCTTCAAGCCGTAGACACTGGCGTAGTTGATGCCGTTCTACACACAAGGGTCAGTAGGGAGACGGATGGGGCTAGCGCGGGTACTGACCTTGTCGAGATACTGCAGCATGTAGGTGACGAAGAGGACGGGCACTATGCGGAAGTCGATCTTGCGGAGGACGGCCTTTGCCTCAGCCTCGGTGTACTGCAGGCCCTGGTTCTTCTTGTACACCTCGTAGCTGTCATCGACTGCAGTGTCGGTGGTGGAGGCATCGCCGGTGACGACGGCCGACTCGACGTCGTACACGGGCTGCTTGTCTTCGGCTGGCATTGTCACTGGCACGGGAGGGGGCCAATCGGGGTGGGGGGAAAGAGAGAAGAGAGAGGCAGTCACGGCAGAAACAGGACGGAGGTGGTGAATACGGCGGGTTTTGACACGACGACTTCTTGATGGCGTGCTTGCCACGGCCGCGTCTGCGCTCTGGCTGGCGGAGGCTCACTACTTGCGAATGGCCCCGACGACGTGCCGGCCGAAAGCCACAAGGCTGGCTGGACAGAGGCTGCATTTGCCGGAGACCAGGCTCGCTGCCGACGGGTACGAGGCGGGGGGCCACAGGGCAGCAGGGCTCTGCGGAAAGGATGTGCAGAAAAGCCTGAAGATATGAGCGAGGCAAGCATGGGCAAGCAAAAACCAAGGCGTGCGATTGGTGTTGGCGAGGGCTTGATAGAGGATTTGGTGGGAGGGCGCCCCTGCCGCGGTGCGATCACGACATTCGCCTGGCAATCACGACATGCGCCTGCGTTTTCCGACCGTTGCATCCGACGCCCACAGCAAATCCAAATCCGCCCATCCATGATGCAGACGCCTCTGCCGGAGCGAAGACGTTCCAAGTCTTGGGGCGCATTCCGGCCGTCTGCTTGGGACTTGGCCGCCTGTTGGAAGGCGCCTTTGCCGCCGTCGGCAATTTCCTGCGTCGCTGGTTATATGCCCGCTGTTAACGGCAGTCGAGGTGCCGCGCTCCCTGCAGACGGTCAGGAAGACGGTTATCATTGTGTAAAAAATATATGCGCTGCCTTCGCCTTTAGCAACGCCCGCCACGTGGAGTAAAGCATCCGGCGACGACACCATTGGCCCACTGCATCCTGATCCGACCGGCCTCTTCCGGCATCCGGCATCAAATGCGGCGCCTGGCCTCGGAGATTAGTTCATGGGATCCGCTTTGGTCTCGGCTTGGGTGCGAGCTCCACTGATGTGAGAGCGGTTCTGCGTGGCGGTGACGATCTTTGATGGTGGTTAGTCGGTTTAAGGCCGCAAAAACACTCTGGATCTTGAACGACTCGTGCGCCTCGCCCAACCGAACGCCAATGACTCGGCTGTTCCAATACCACTCGAACAGCATCGGTTATTTTTAAGCCCCCAGGTGTGATCCTTGAGTACATATCGGTCGTAGCAGATGCCTAATATCGCTAAAGCGCATCTATGCAAGCCCCGGCGAGATCCGACAGATTCTGTCGTCAGCATCCATGTCATCGTATCCCCTTTCTGGTTTTCTCATGGTTTGGTTGGGTGTTTTCATGATTGTTTTGCTGTCCAAGTATGTCCAAGGATGCCTGAAGATGGTTTCAGCCCTCTCGATAGAAGCAATGGAGTCGGGCATCATTGGTCGCGGTTTTTTTTTTTTTTTTAATCAAAATCCCACCGGCTTCGTGGAAGTCCTCTTTTATCTTCTTCCTTCGTTCGCTTGTCATTGTACCTAATCATACCTCTCATCTTATTCCAGTTCGCCAAGGAGAAGCCCTTTCACCAATGGTCTAACATATTAAACCGTCGACCTTGCTTGTTGTCAGACGATGTGAGGCCATTAGCCAGCACTGTAAAACAGTGCGGCGTCGTACTTTTTCAAGTTCGACACTTGTGTTCATGGTCGTTCTCCAGTTTGATTTCCAGGGCCATCAGTGCCCCCATGACTTGATGACTGTAGATGGCCTCTCTCAAAAGTAGTTATGGCTATTGTCTTATCGGGTTCACGCGTTGTGGGGCATTTCTCGGCTTTCCACCGAGGCAGCTGCAGCCCCATGGCAGTGGTCAGCGGTCAACTCCAGTCTTTGTACAGCGCTAATGATATGGTAGCAACTGCGAGTGGAGGAATATTGGCCGTCAGGTAAACGGGACGGATGATGTTTTTCAATGTATACGTTGATGGTTCATGGATGGCGATACGCATGTGTAAGGTGGTTAGATCAAAATATGCAATATAAAGCAGTTAAGAGTGAAATCAAAGATGGATCATTCTCGATACTGTCGCTAAGTTCTTAGCATTCTTATAGCTATCTAGCTTTATTTCATGTGCGTGGCTACGTAGCCTTCAGAGTCTCTGCTTGGTATTGGGTGATATTGGGACCCATTGATAGTCTATGAGGCTAGTTAGTCCGTCTCTTGACAGCATGACTCTTCTATCTATTCTTGAAGCTCCGCGGCCCTCTTTGCCTTGCCAATTTCCACAAAGCTGTTGGCGAGGGTTTCTTTGATGAACGGTAGGTCCAAGGCCGGGAAATTGCCTGGCGTTGGGTGATTGTATCCTGTGCGTGCGTCAATCGCATGACAATCTGTCGCGTCTGGCCTACAAACCAGCGAGAACCGGAGCCAGTTGCAGACTACTTCTAAGACGTTCGGATGTGTGGCCGAAATTCAAGGGCTACACTGTCAAGTCCGTGAGCATCTTCCCAGATGGCAATATTGACGTGACTGATAGATGGCTCAGGCTGCATTGTGGCGATTCAGGGTGTCGGCTACCCCATTCAGTTCGTCTTCTTCTTGGGATGTCGTGGAAAAATCTCAGGAGCTTTCCCCTTGACCTCGCCGGATGGGATATTCTTCTCGCAAATTGGGCAGATGGTGGTTCTTGCTCTTTCAGGGGCTTGAAGCGGCTCGTTGCGCTCAAAAGAAGATTTTACAAGAGCCAAGATGGCGCTTGTGAGTTCCAAAGATCTGTTTAGTGTATTTGCTTCAGGCCCAACAGGCCCTCAATCGAACAATACGTCTTTCCCCAGAGTCGATACAGTTTTTGTGCAACTCATGCCCGAGAGAACAAGTTTCGCTGACGGCAGCTCATGTCCCTGAAAGAGGCAGTCGATGGCGTCGGAAAAGGTTGAAGCAAGACCGACATCGGAAGACAAATGCTCAGCACTGTCGGGCCAAGCCCCACACAAGCCAACGGAGCTGGATTTGAACAACGTCTTTCGCGTAGGTAATCAAATTGAAGAGGACGAGCACTGGCAGCTTTTCAGTGAGTATTGTTCTCACTGCATCAAGATTGGATTTTCTCAGTCCGCTCTGATGAGAACCAACAAGGTATCATTCACCGTGCTTGATGTTGCAGGTCAGATGTCAGTCTTCTTAATGATTGAGCGGTAGGAAGGCTGGGCTGGCCACAGCTTGGTCACGCGGCGAGCCGTGCAAATATTCTGGAAGCGTCGAGTGGAACGATTGGTCGCGTGGCGGGATTTTCTCATCCGAGCCCTCCGTATTGCAGTCTCTTCGGCGTCACGAGAAGCAGGCCACAGAGGTACTTCGGGGCAACGCCGAGGATTATCCCTCGAGGGGTTGAATCGTGCGTGGCCGGCAAAGGCGGCCGGGAAGGTGATTCGGGGAAACGAGGCTCAAAGGAGTTAGTTGGTGGTTCGTTCTCGCGTGGCCAAGTGTGGAGCAGAAGGCCTTGACAAGAACCAGGAATCAAGCCAAGCACGGGCCAGGGCAGTCGACCAGGCAAAAAGTGGTTGCCGGCGCCACGGCCGGGCTACGGGCTGCTCCAGTGTAGTGGGCAGAGGTGGCGTTTTATCCGAGTGCGTCAGCTCACGGCTGGAGAGACTGATGAGGAGACTGAGGAGAGGTTCGGGTCTGGAAGAGGGGCAATTGCCGGGGAAAGGGCCGAGCAGTCTCGAGCTGGAGCCCCGGAGCGGAGCTGAGCGGAGCTGAGCGGAGCTGAACGGCACAAGTCCGGCAGAGGTGGACGGGCCCGGTTGAATGGTGCACTCCCCGCCGTCTGGGTGCGGCACAGAACCTTGTCCTGCAGCCTCGAAAATCTGGGGTAAACATGAGCACTCGACACAATACCTAGCCACCACGCCGGCGCACACCTCGCCCAGCTCTTGTATTTACCTGAAATCCTCGCCACGATGCGCCATGGTACGCCATGATACGCCAACCCGCCCAGGTGCACCGTCAGGCCGGCTGGTGACGACGCCCAGACCCAGACCGCCGTGCCCAAAACGGCTCTCTCCGCCGCCCGTCACGCGGTTCCGGAGAGACCATGAGGCTCCAGCACCCCGCCTCGGCCCCGACACTTGCAAGCGGGGCACCGCGATGCTGCTCACAGCTAGCGCCGGCATTGACGAGCATCTGCTCTCTTTTGCCGACGCGTACATTGCCCATTGCGGCCCACGGCGGCTCCAGCTCCCCCTTCGGGCTGCCCATGACGCCCTGCCCGCCAATGCACGCCCATGCACTCCGCACCGCGGGGCGCAGCGGCGATCCTCCGCACCGTGAGCTCATCATGAGATTCCCGACTCGATTTTTTCTGCTGCCAGAGAACACCCCGGGCCCGCATCTCTCTTGGTCCTAGCACTCTTTCGAATCGCCGTCACCATGCCCCGCCGTGGCCTACAAATAGGCTTCCCGTCCCCGGCACTGGCTCGGCAGCGTGTTCCTCAACCCCAAAACCATGATCGGTGCCTCACTCCTCCTGTGCCTCGGCGCCAGCCTTGCCCGGGCTGCGCTGCAGACCGGCGTGTGTGAGAATGCACGCTTCGAGAACAAGACGCGCATCTTCGTCATGACCGACATCTCCAACGAGCCCGACGACCAGATGAGCCTGGTGCGCCTGCTGGCACACGCCAACGAGCTGGAAATCGTCAACATCGCCGGCGTCACCTCCACCTGGAAGAACGACTCGGTCGACACTCCCTCCATCTTCGGCGTCATCGACGGCTACGGCCAAGTCATTGACAACCTCAACGCCAACGTCCCAGAAGCCGGTGTCTACCCCCCTGCCGACGACCTCAGCGCCAAGGTTGTTGTCGGCCACCCCGTCTACGGTCTCGCCGCCCTCAACCAGTCCACCCCCAGCAACGCTTCGACTGCCCTGATCGCCGGCGTCGACGCCTCCGACGACCCGCTCTGGGTCCTCGCCTGGGGCGGTGCCAACGTCCTCGCCGAGGCCTTGAACCAGGTGAAGCAGGAGCGCAGTGACGACGAAGTCGCCGACTTCGTGCGCAAGCTGCGCGTCTACTCCATCTCCGACCAAGACAACGCCGGCCCGTGGATCCGCTGGAACTTCCCCACACTCTTCTACATCGTCTCCATCCACGGCTTCAGCGAGTACTCCATCCCCACCTGGATCGTAAGCAGCCCCCCCCTCTCCCCCAAACACTCAACAACAACAACAACTAACCAACCACCCCCCCCCGCAGGGCATCTCCGGCGAAGTCCTCCGCCCCTTCGACAAGGGCGGCCCCGACACCTCCCTCGTCACCAACGAATGGCTGCAGACCAACATCCGCATCGGCCCGCTCGGCTCGCACTACCTCAACTGGTCGTACATCATGGAGGGCGACACGCCGTCCTTCCTCGGCCTGCTCCCCAACGGGCTCAACGCGCCCGAGCACCCGGAATGGGGCGGCTGGGGCGGCCGCTACATCGCCGCCGACGCCTCGGGCGAGACGGCCGCGTACAGCGACGCCGCCGACTTCGCCGTCGGCAAGAACAACGACACCTTCTTCTCCAAGTACGCCTCCATCTGGCGCTGGCGCGAGGCCTTCCAGTTCGACTTCGCCGCCCGCATGCAGTGGAGCGTGAGCGCCGATCCCGCCGCCGCGAATCACCATCCCGTCGCCGTCGTGAACGGGTCGTGTGCCGGCGCTCCGATGGAGGTCGAGTACCGCCTCGGCGAGTCGGTCGTGCTGGATGCGAGCAGCGGGTCGTGGGATCCCGATGGAGATGCGCTGACGTTTAGCTGGTGGCATTACCGCGAGTCGTCGATGCGGTTGGAGGGCGACATTCCCCGCGTCTCGCCGAATGTGACCATCACGCCGCTGGATGAGAGTGGTGGCCTTGTCGAGGTTACCCCGCTGGATAACTTGGTGAGTTTCCTTGCTTTTTTTTTTTTTTCCTCCCTCGAGGCGCTTGGTCGATGTGATGGATGATGGACCTTTGCTGACTTTTTTTGTGTGTGTAGACGATCCATGTCATTCTGGATGTCAAGGATGCGCGTCCGATGAACCTGACGGCGTACAGGCGGGTTATTCTTAAGCCTACTGCTTGAGAAGGTTCGATGAGGAAGAGTTGTGATGCGGAATGCCGGTCATGAATAATTGAGAGAGATCTGTAAAAAAAAATTTAGTTAGTAATAATGAACTACCAAATCATCCAGTAACGGACTCGAGAACTGCAAAGGTGATGTGATCAGATCATCAAAGACGCCCGTCGTTTTGCCGAGATACCTTGACCCGTTGCCAGCATCATGAAGGCACAGATGTGCGTTGTTGATGCGACGCAATGGGCCAAGACAGTGCGCAGAAAAGTGAATGTGTGGAGCGATAGGAAATGTATGAAAAATGGAGCGACAAGGTAGGCCTCCACAACCTTGAAGGCTCGGCAGTACGGATCCCGGACATGTTTCAACTGCGCTTCTCCTACCTATTCCTTGACGTGAGGGATGTCTCCACTAAGTCCTGTGCCTTTACGGGGTGGTTTAGTGCTTGTGTCATCGTTACTTTTGCACCGCTGCGCTTTTTCAGCCTCATTTCTTGAGATGGCAGCGTGTGCCGGATAACTATACCTGCAATTTCAGCTTTCCGGGTATCAACGGCCTTCGCTGTGACATAAGCCTGGTTTCATCAAATCTTTACCCCTTTCAGAGAGTGCGACTTTTCTCTTGCGGGTAGCATCCAACATAATCTTCCCTCCCTGCCCACCAATGAAACTGTGGGCCGAGAGATAGCAGTAAATACTGATATCGTCAACAGACACGCAAGCGCATACCAGCTCAGTCCTACCTGCCTAACATGGAACATGTTGTCTCTTCAAGAAAGTGGTACGAACTTGCAGCAGATAAGCAGTGCATTGAAAACTTTTTGGGGAGGTCCAATGCATGCGGCCCACAGTACGCGCGGTGCGCATGTGGTGGGAGTTGACTCGCTGATTAGCGGTCGCGTATCGACCAGGGCCAAGTGTGGTTGTGCAACGATGAAAATATCCACTATTAACACTCTGCGACAAGGCGATAAAACCTGTCCTCTCAGACCACACGGTTGTTTTATTTAGACCCATAGAGATGCTTCTCCGATGCGGTATTGTGGGGTAGCGGATATGCCGACGCTAAGGTCCCCACAGCTTTTCCGTCCACTGGCCGGGGGTGCCAAAAAGCCGGGGTATGATGCGGGGAAGCTTGGCTACACCAGGGCGAGCTCTTATTTATTGCACCAAGCCTTGGCTCAAGCTACCTCAGCCCAACTCAGTGTCCGCTGTGTCTTGTTCTATCTGACTTCTTCAGCGTGAGGTATTCGACGAGCAAGATGGACATCGCCAAGAATGACACCAGCAAGATCGAAGATGCCGAGACGTTATCATCCACGGCAAATCAGCCGCGCATCCAGTTGCCACCCACGCTGCGCGAGTTATCCGACGAGGAGCGCGAGAGATTGATGGTGCAAGTCAAGAGGAAAATCGATCTGAGGCTACTGCCGATGATGTTACTGATGTACATCATGAACTACCTCGATCGCAACAATATTGCGGCGGCCAAGATTGCGGGAATGAGCGATGACCTGAACCTGAAGGGGAACCAGTATCAGACCGCTTTGAGCATCCTTTTCGTTGGATACTTGCTGATGCAGGGTAAGTGTTTCTCGCCAAAGCTTCGCAATCAGCATACTGACACTTTTCAGTGCCCTCCAACTTGATGCTCAACAAACTCGGCAAGCCTGCCTTGTACCTTCCAACATGTATGGTGTTTTGGGGCATCATCTCCACCTGCACAGGGGCTGTCCAGTCCTTCGGTGGACTGATAGCTTGTCGTTTCGTTCTCGGCTTCGTCGAAGCGGCGTACTTTGTCAGTCTAGTCTATTCGCCCTCTTTCGCCGTAGCTGACTCGCGATAGCCTGGCTGCCTCTATTACCTTTCAGCATGGTACACAAGGAAAGAGCTTGTCCTCAGGACTGCGATCCTCTACTCAGGGTCTCTCCTCTCAGGAGCATTTTCGGGGTTGATTGCAGCTGGTATTACAGACAACATGGCTGGTGTGCGAGGTCTTGGTGCGTGGAGATGGCTGTTCATCATTGGTATGTCTCTCTCAACTGAAGCTTGACCACTCACTAACAATCCGTTCCAGAGGGCGCTATCACGGTATGCCTGCTTCGGACCCAAGCCTGCCTCGTATGCTGATTGTGTTCAGGTTTTCCTTGCGCTGATAGCGTTTTTCATCATGCCCAACTTCCCACGCACAACGACCTGGCTTTCGGAACAAGAGAGGCAACTGGCGGTCTGGAGGCTCCAAGAAGACATCGGCGAGGACGACTGGGTCAACGCCGAGGAGCAGACCTTCTTCCACGGCTTCAAGCTCGCCGCCAAGGACCCCAAAGCCTGGCTCCTCCTAGCGACCATCTACGGCTTCACCTCCTCCGGCACCGTCACCACCCTATTCCCCAGCGTCGTCGAGGGCCTCGGCTACGGCAAAGTAGCCACCCTCCTCCTCACCGTCCCACCATACGTAAGCAATCCCCCCCTCTCCCCAGCCCAAGAAGAGAGAGAGCGCGCGCTCTAGAAAAGTGAAAAAAAAAAAAGAAAAGCCCACCCAGAGCTAAAACACCCCGAAAAAAACAGGTCATCGGCGTCATCGCCATCCTCATCAACGCGTGGCACGCGGACCGCACGCGCGAACGCTACCTGCACGTGGCGCTGCCGCCGCTGCTCGCCGTCGCGGCCTTCATCATCGCGGCCGCGACGGTGCAGTTCGGGCCGCGCTACTTCGCCATGTGCCTCATGATCGGGGCCAACTACTCGGGCTACGTCGTCGCGCTCGCGTGGATCTCGAACACGCTGCCGCGACCGCCCGCCAAGCGCGCCGCCGCCCTGGCCGGAATCAACGCCCTGTCCAACGTGTGTCAGATCTACTCGCCGTATATGTATCAAGGTATGTGTGTGTGTGTGTGTGTGTGTGTGTGTGTGTGTGTGCGTGTGATGAAATGATTTTTTGCCCCTCCTCCCCCCCACGCGTAACTCACTCTGTTGGCCGGTGACATTTTTTGCATTCCCTGCGATGGATTCTGATTGGTGCAACCGTGTAGATTCGTACGCTCCGCGTTACGTCGTGCCGATGATTGTCAACGCCATCACGTCGCTGTGGGCTGCCTTCTTCGCGACTGTCCTGCGCATCGTGCTCGTGCGGCTGAACAAGAAGATCGAGGCCGGCATCTCGCTTCTGGAGCAGGGAAGCGACGAGGAGCGGAGGCGGGCGATCGAAGAGCATGGGCTTCCTGGGGAGGCGGTCGACAAGGGTTTCAGGTTCTTGGTATGAGCGATATTTGGTTTTGCATTCAAGTGAAAGACAATGGATGAGACACGTTACGATGCTGCGCTTCTTTTGAGCAAGAGGAGAGGTCTATTCTTGGAGGGAGGGCGGCGATGTATGTGACTCAGAGTGGCCCATAGATTAGATACACTTTTGGGAAGTTCATACTATGGGATAACTGTCAAATTGACTGGGGAGCACGTGAAGCCGTTCCGTACTACAGAACCCTCTCTCAGAGCAGCAAAGTCTTTGCAAATAAAAAGTAGAGATAAGCCCCTTGAACAGTCGAAGTGCGTAGCTACGAACTTTCATCGATGGCAACCCAGTCCCAGAATAGAGACGGTGCGGCTTGTTGAGACTAATGCCAGTTGCGGGCTTCGGCGCAAACACTTCCGGGACAGCCAAAAGGCGCAGTTCCATGTAACGGTGTGTAGCAGTGCCTCATCTCGGAAAATCAAGTTGGACAACTCCATATATTACGAGGGGTGGATCCCATCGTATCGGAGAGCGCATGACATGGCGTGTCTCAAGCGAGTTATGGGCTACTGCAACAGACGTCGTTCGGCCGAGCGGCAAAGCTTTGCCAAGCTGGCGAAGACGTCGTTGGCGTAACGGAAGGCGAGCTTGTCTGATCTGGTTGATGGGTGTGTGGGGAATGACGACGACAGTTGATAGGTCATGCGTCGATGTTTCGGATAAATTTCCGTCAGGTGGAGACGGCACCATACTGGGGGCGGAAAAGGAATAGAGATGGCAATTTGGGAGGGTTGTATCCGCCAATGATAGCCAGTCATAGTCACACTCAGTGTTCTGACATGTTGTGTCATATCCTTCACTTTTCCAATATAGATGACCTCTCGTGTATCAGCAGCCTGACCCTCCCAGAAGGAAGTCCTCGTGGCGATAATTAAAACACGAACCGAACACCAAAGGACCCTCCTCCCCCGCCTGTGAGAACACGAATGTGACTGACGAGCTCCCGCTTCGCGTCAAGGATTCATTCATCGTGAAGGGCATTATCCGTCAGGCAAATGTGGCGTGCAGGGGTTCCGATTGGCGAGGTTGATGCTAACCCAAGCTGTGCATCTTTATACCGACAGAGTGCTGCATTTGGATAACCGCGATGTAGAGTTTCTCAAAAGTCTGCTCACTCGCTCTACAACTTCGCACCAGCGCGAGACAGCTGACTCAGGACCTCCGCAGCGCCTCTCTCACCGCTTCTCACAGCCCCTTCCATATACCCTTTCCATTCCCCTGCCGTCTCCGTCCCGACGAAGTGGACATCGCCCGCGGGCTCCCTCAACGCATGACCAACGGCATCCAGCACACCAGGCGGCAGCGAAGTGCACGGGCAGCCCCAGCCCGACCACCGCTCCTTCGCCCACTCAAGCCCGACCGCCTCCACAAACAGCCTCCTCGGCGCATCCGCATCGCCATACAGCTCCCCCACCTGCCTCAACAGCGCATCCACCCGCCCCTCCTCGGATAGCTTCGCCCACTCCTTCCCCGCATCGCCGGCCAGGAAGCAGGTCAGGATCCACTTCCCATCGACCGGCACGCTGGTGTCGCGGACCACGGACGCCGGACCGCAAAACGACTGCGCGAGCCCACAGAACCCCTTCTCGACCCAGAAGGCCTCGCGGAAAACCAGCATGACCTTGGTGTAGTACCCGTACCCCGCCGACTCAACCAACACCCTCTTCTCCACCGGCAGCGGCGGCTCGAACGCGATGGACCCCAGCACCGGGCTCGGCACCGACACGACGACCTTCTTCGCGCGGAACGTCGTCGCCATCCCCCCAGCCGTCTCGACTTCCACACCACCACCACCAGCCACCTGCCTCACGCCGACGACAGGCGCACCCAGCCGCACGTCGGGCAACCCCTTCGCCATCTCGGTCGCGAACAGCTGCATACCCTGGCGGCAGCGCAGGTGCTGGCCGCCGCCGCGGCGGTCCGAGCGCATCTGCAGCAGGCCGCCGCCGGAGCGGCAGTAGTTGAGGAAGTGCAGGGCAGACAGGTCGGCGGGCTCGCGGCCGAGCATGGCGCGCGTCCAGACGGCGGCGGTGGCGAATGCGGTGGTGGAGGAGGAGGAGGAGTCGTCGGAGGAGTCGTCGGAGGCGGAGGCACCGCAGCGGAGGCGCAGGTACGCGGCGAAGGTGAGGGCGTCGAGGCTCGTGTCGTGGGGGGAGAGGACGTCGATGGCTTGGCTGTGGGATTCGACGGTGTCGCGGACGTGGGCGACTTGCGCTTGGGTGGTGGGGTCGAACTGTTGGGGGGAGGTGCTGGGTCAGTGGCGGGAGGAGGAGGAGGAGGAGCGGGAGGAGCAGGAAGAGCAGGAGTCTCGGAGGCAGAGATGTGGAGGACTTACGCCTGGGAGCTCCCCGTAGGCAAAGGACGAGCACTGGCCGTCGAAGCCTTGGAAGGCGCAGTTGCCGGTGGTGTTCTGCTCGATCAGCTCGGCGCCGTACTGGCGTGCCAGGGCGATCATGCGGGTCTGGTTCGTGTCGTTGATCCAGGCGGCGCCGAGGTCGACGACGCCCTGGCCGCCGGCGAGCGGCTTGCTCCACGTCTTGCCGCCGACGCGGTCGCGCGCCTCCAGCACGAGGCAGCGCAGTCCGCCGCGGACGACGTCGCGCGCGGCGGTCAGGCCGCTGAGTCCGGCGCCGATGACGATGACGTCGAACGAGTCCTTGGCGTCGGCCGGCCGGGGTGTCGAAATGGGCGGGCTGATTGCAGGCGCGGAGATGGAGGCGACGGCCTCGACCTCGAACAGCCAGGCCGGGTCGGCGAGCTGCGGCACGGGCACCAGGGTGATGGCCGGGCGGTGGGAGCCGAGGAAGCTTTGGATGTGGCGGGTGTGCAGGCGCCGTTTTGGGTCGTAGTTGACGATGTAGAGGGTGAGCTTGGCGATGTCTGTCACGCGTGCACCGGCGGTGGCCAGGACCCGGCGCAGGTTCAGCAGCGCGAGGTGGATCTGGGACTCGTACGATGCGGGAACATGGCCGCCTGTGGTTGCGCCATACTGGCCGGAGATGTGGATGGTGCTGCCGATGGTGGAGGCGGTGCCTTGGGCGTAGTACGCCTTTGGTGTGCCGGCGGGGTCGATGGCTTGGACCTTGGGAGACATTGTGCGATACGAGTGTTGACGGTGCGAAGGGAAGTGACGGTTCGATATAAAAAGCTGCAAGCGTAGTGAGTGCGGCCAGGATGCATTCTATCCGATAGGCTGAAAGATAAGCCGCCGATCCGGGGACACCTTCCCCATCATCTCTTTCCCTCCATACTTTAAGATGCAATGACCAATGCCTTGCCCATTCTTGAGGCTGCATCAAGAGCACCTTGAACAAGTATTGAACGCTTGTAGTGAGAATATAGGGCGATAGAGCAAAAGCCAGGAAAGCCGTCGGGTTGGTGCGGGGTGCGGAGATTCTGATTGGCTGAGACTGCTACGTATCAAAGTCTCCAGCCAAAGGTAATGTATCTTGTAGGGTGGATGCTGACATGCAGCGGCATCATTTTGGGGCTGGACAAGAGAGCAAGCTTGGAAACACATCCCACTTTGCCAGCTAACAGTGCCCCACAGTTGGATGCATTACGCTTTCCGGTTAGTGCGGGCGATAAGCTATCGGCATGACTTTCCTGCACTCCGCTCAACCATCTCCACCACTTTCGTCATCCACTTTTCTCCCCCGCCTACTGCTAAAATGCCCAAACACCCCCGCACTCGATCACTCAATGGTTGCGCCACCTGTCGTTCGCGGAGGGTCAAGTGCGACGAGACTAGACCCGTCTGCACCAGCTGCCAGCGTCTGCGCCTGTCGTGTCGCGGCTATGAGTCTCGCCTTACCTTTGTCGAGGTCGGACGGCCGTGGGCCACTGAAGACGTCGAGAATGGACGCTATCGTCGGCCCCTGTTTACGGGTACGTTTGGCGTCTCCAATGCACGCTTGAGCGAGGGCTGAGACCCAAGTAGAAAAAGAGCGCTCCGTCATGAGTGATGAACTTCGCACAAGCATGCGCAAATCCTCAACCGACCGTGTGATAGCCAAGCTTGACGACCAATCTCAGCAACTCCAATTTTCAGACCAAACCGATGCTATTGCCCATGGCCCGTTCGCCGTCTTCAAGTGCGCTCGTCCTGCGGATGCTCACTGGCAAAATGACGACAAGCATATTCTGGTAGACTTCCTACCCGCGGACTTTGGTGACGAGCAGTTCCCCGTCTCCCTTTCAGCTATCGACCACATGTTTGACACGGAACAATTGCCTTATTCGAACGAAAACGAACAATGCGACCTGAGCCACTCTACCTCTGCGAACCCGACCGACTATTTCTTAACTCCCTATCTGAACCCCTATCCAGAGTCTACCGCTCACCAAGACGCGAGTCTGCTCCTGAACCACTATAAAAACCATGTCATCCGCCTTCTGTCCCCTCTGAAGTATCAACGAAAGACGCCCTGGAACATACTTCACTTGCCGTGCGCCATGACCACTCTAGCAGAAATCACCATGGGCTACAGGGCAAATCACGCGCGGGCCTCGGTCTTTTACGGAGTCATGTCCATTAGCGCCTTCAATCTTAGTGCATCGTCGACCGGCACTGCAAGGGCGCACTGGGACGGCGTCGCCAGCAGCTACAAGCGGCAGGCGCACGAAAGCCTGAAAGCGTCGCTGGGGCACGAGTTATCGGCGCAGAAGAAGGCAAAGTACAAAGAAATGCTCATGGCCATCCTTTCCATGGTTACCATCTCCGTAAGTGCCCTTTCCCTCTTCCTTCGCTGTTCCGACTAACCAGCCCAGGTCTTCAGCGGCGCTGTCGAGAACACCAGAGCATACCTCCTGGACGCCGAGCGCCTGATCCGACTCCGCGGCCTGACAAAACCCCGCATATCGCGCAAGGTCCGTCTCCTGCATCACTGCTACGCCTACATCCGCCTCATGCACGAGACCACCTGGCCAAGCACCGCCTCCTCCTCCTCCTTCCGCATCGAAGACTGGCAGCCCCTCTCCTCACCCCACGACGCCGCTGCCAGTGCCAGTGCCACCGCCGCCACCGCCGCCTCGTGCGACGACAACGACTCCGCCTCCGCCTCCACCCCCGACCCCGACCCCACCACCCCCTGGCACCGCCCCAAACCCTTCCACCTCGGCGTCCACGACCTGCACCTCGCCATCCCCGGCGACTTCGCCCAGCACACCCTCTACCCGAGCGTCTACGGCATCCCCGAATCCCTCATGCAGCTCATCTCGCAAACAACCCGGCTCGGCAACGAGCGCGACGCCATCCTCAACAGCCCCACCACCAACCCCTCCTCCACACCCCCAGCCCGCCTCTTCTTCCTCCGCGCCAAAGCCGTCGAGACCGCCATCCTGCGCCAGCTCCGCGACGACGACGACGAGGAGGTCGCAATCGACGAGCGGCAGTACGAGTACGAGTACGTCGACGCCGACCCCGCCGCCGTCGCGAGCAACCGCCGCGCGGTGGCGCACCTGCGGCGCGCGCTGGGCGCCGCGCTGGCCGTGTATTTCTACCGCCGCGTGCACGACGCGGGGGCGCTGCTTCTACTGCAGGGCTTGGTCGAGCGGACGATCGAGGCGCTGGAGGCGGTGGCGAGGGAGGATGGCCGAGAGGGGGAGGGGGAGGGGGAGGTAGGTGCCGGGTATACGGCGGGGACGGTGTGGCCGGGGTTTGTGGCGGCGTGTGAGGCGGAGGGGGCCGAGATGCGGGGGAGGTTTGAGAGGTGGTTTGAGGTGCAGGGGGCGAGGAGCGGGATGCCTATGTTTGGGAGGGCGAGGGAGGTGGTGCGGGCGGTGTGGGAGGGGAGGGATGGTGGGGGTGGGGGTGGTCGTGGCGCGGCGGGGGCGGCGGGGTGGAGTTGGGTGGATGTGGTGAGGGAGAAGGGGGTGGCGTTGTTGTGTGCGTAGGCGTAGGTGGGAGGTTGGAAGTGGTTTGAGGGGGAGGAGTGCTTTGTGCGCTTTACTTTGCTGGCACCGCTTTTCTCTGAGATGACTGTTCGGGACAATTTTTGTAGACGGCTTTTCCCCTTTTTTCCTTTTTTGGTGTCATGGTGGAGGGGTTTGGCGGGGTATGGTCGGCGTGGCTTTCCTGATTCGAATCTTTGTCTTTGTGTTTGTCGACAGGCTTCGGGAAGCCGTGAGGAGATTCCGCATTGGCTCTGGATTCCACCCGGAGCCTTCAGACCTCGCAGCACATGAGCGAATTGCTACATGTAGGCATGGTGGGATTGAACACTGGGCCAATTTCCGATGCTCCTTCACCGTATGTTCAAAGCTATGGACCGAGATTGCGTCTACTGACACTTGAACAGATTTGGCGGCATCAAGCATTCCGGTTCTCGCCGTGAGGGTGGCAAGTACGGTCTTGACGAATGTATGGCGCTCAAGACGGTTGTCACTGGAGGAATCAACATTAATTACCACTCCAAGTTTTGAGTTGTAGACTAAATTGGAACGGGATGGTTTTACGGAATCCGACGGTTGAAATACAGCAGTAACAAATAAAAGGAGACGTCAAAGTACTTGGCCTGAAATCGTTGCGCTTGACTGGCGAGTGCTTGAGGTCCCTGCATCGAGGCGCAGAATGATCCTTCGTTAGACCGTGGGGGCCTAAACGCAGGCTAACGTCCGCCGACGTCACTGTCTCACCAAACAAGGTATAAGCTAAACATTGGCGGGCCGACGTCACTGTCTTACCTGATAGTTCCACAACACAAAGCCCCGCCTTAATCTCACCAAACAAGCTATATGCTAAATAACGGCAGGCCATTCTCCCCTGCCCTTCATCGTCTGTGATCTCAATGCGAGCTATGTGCTTGACGGTCGCATACACCCATTCTCAAACATGTCGCCTAAAGAGCAAGAAGAAGTGCCGTTTGAGGCACGACTGTTAGATTATGTCGATCCTGAACCGGTCGCCCCCGGCCTGAAAAATGCTACAGGCCTTGTGGCCCTAGCCTCTGCGAACCGGGACTTCTTCACATCTGAGTACATGAGCCATACCTGGAAGACGAGTTCCATCAAGAACAAGCTGGAAGAAGGCAAAAATCTGAAGGCTCAACAGAAAGCTGAGAAGGTATGGACTGGCTTTCGTTGAAATTGAGCCAAGGCTAACCACACGGCGGTAGTCATTGCCTTCCGATGTTCACTTCAAGCTTGACCGCTTACAAAACGACGCAGAGTGCTTTCGTCTGCTCAAAGTTCAGTCTGTGGACCCAAAGGGCCTCATTGAGTGCACCGTAGAAGAGTTCAGCTTTGCCAGGCGTCCTCCGTTTGTGGCACTATCCTACGTGTGGAGTGACAAGGGCCCAGTCGCAGAGTTTTCCAGAGACTTCCGCAGGCCCGACAACGACCAACTTTGGCCGTTAAACCCTGGAGAGTTGCGGAAGATCAAATGCAACGGGAAGCCATGTGATGTTAGCGCCAACCTTCACGCCGCTCTTGCTGGACTCAACAAAAGCTTGAGCGGCCGCTACCTTTGGGTGGATGCAGTCTGTATTGACCAGACGGCAGGAAACGAGAACCACGAAAAGGGCGTTCAAGTCCAGAACATGCACAAAATCTATGGAGGTGCAGATGAGGTCTTCATTTGGCTCGGACGCAAGCACAAGGGACGGGATATTGCATTCAGTCTGCTCGAATCATGGCCCCGCTTCCCAGACGACGTCAGCAACGCGAATATAGCGTTTCGAGGGAAGACGTATCGCACAGCAAAGGACTTTATGGATGCCACTGCTGCAAAGGCAGAGCTTCTTTCATGGGGATGCTTGATGCAGGCGGTATCAGAAGGATGGTTTCAAAGGTGAGTGCGCTTTAAACACTTCAGACGCAGAATCTCACTTTTGCCCAGAGTATGGACACTTCAGGAGTTCATATTGGCACGGAAATACTCCTTCTTCTACGACGGCAAGCAGATTCCCACTGAGGCCATGAAAAGCGCAATGTCATGGGTTTACTTCATATGCCAAATGGGCCCGTCGACCATTCTCCCGGCATGGATAAACTTCCAACCATCCATCTTCACTCTGAAGCAAGACTTCGATCAGAAAGGCCAGAAGCTCGACTTCGCAAAAAGCGTCTTCCTCGGCGGGACCAGGCTCGCAAAAGATCCCCACGACAAAGTGTACGCCCTGCTAGCCGTCACCGACCCAGAATCTCTGCGACCATCAGCCGACCTTCCCGCCTTGACAGTGCAATACGACCTCCCAATGCAAGACCTCTACCTCGACACCGCCCTCCGCCTCCTCCACGGCACAGCCGGCCTCTCCATCCTCTCCCTCGTCCACCACCCCCTCGCCCCCCTCCGGCCCCCCAAATCCAAAAAACCAATCGGCAACCGCCTCCTCGACGAACACCGCGGCAAATCCCGCGGCTGGACCAAAACGACGCGCTCCGTCATCGCCCCCGCAGAAGACCCGTCCCTCCCTTCCTTGCAGCCGGACTGGCGGCACCGCTCCGCCACCGACGCCTTCCCCTCCTGGGTCCCGCAGCTCACCACCACCCTCGGCAGCGCGCCGCTGTCCTCCCAACGCGGCGGCGGCGGCGGCGGCGAGGACGCCAACATCTTCCGCGCCGCCGCGGGCGTGCCGGCGTCGTTTCGCACCTCCGGCGGCGGCGGCGGCGGCCACCGCGTGCTCACCGTCGCGGCCAAGCCGGTCGATCGGATCGCGCGCGCCGTCCGCTTGCCGCAGTCGGTGCGGCCGCTGCACTGGACGCGGTTCGCGGAGAAGGCGGAGCGCGCGGCGCTGTGGGACCTCGTTGCGGGGATCGTCGGTCGTGGTGGTGGCGGCGACGGGAAAAAGGGGAAGAAGCGGGCGGGGGCGGAGGCGGAGGCGGAGGCGGGCGCGGCGGGGATCACGTCTGGTGGGTGGTACGCGCCGACGGGGGAGCGCGGCGTCGCGGCCGTGTGGCGGACGCTCGTCGGGGATGTGTGGAATAAGCGGCATCACCCGGCGCCGGGGTATGTGGAGGTGTTTTTCTTGAACTGGCTGGCGAAGGCGAGTTGTGTGGATGAGGCGAAGGTGCGGCGGGGGTTGGGGTTGGAGAGGGAGGTGGAGTATCGCAGGGAGGAGGTGTTTGAGATTGGGCTGAGGGAGGGGGGGCTGGATCGCTGGTTTGTGGTGACGGAGAAGGGGTATTTTGGGCTGGCGCCGCCGAGGGCGGAGGTGGGGGATGAGGTTGTGTTGGTGGCGGGGATGGGGGCGCCGGTTACGCTGAAGAAGCATACTGCGGGGGAGAATAAGTGGCTGTTTGTTGGGGAGACGTATGTGCATGGGATTATGAAGGGGGAGTTTGAGGATGGTGGGAGGGGGTTCGTTGATATTGATATCTTGTGAGGATTTTGGTGCTCTAAAATTGATGAGAAGCCAACTGCATCTTAAGTTTCAGGCTGTTTCAAGCTGAGTGTTGGGCCGTAGAACACCAAAACGGCAGTTACAGTGGCCCTTATAGCCCTTCTTATAGCTCCATCTGTAGTTGCGTTGGAGTCTGTTCCATTGGCTAAAAAAAAAAAAAAAAACGACACGTGTTTTCATGTATACCCTAGTCCAGCAACAGGCTGCAAATATCAATAAAACATACGGAAGAGGATTAGTAATAAACTGTCCTTGATGGAGAGCAGACTTTGATTCTGACACACCGGGATAGGTGAACATTACTCAGATATGATAGATACATGCCGTGACAATATATGATTAAGGAAACTCCGACTAGCTGAATACAGGCTCAATTTCTCTCATGGGTCATTGTGGAAGTCATAGAGATCTTCTTCGAGGAGTGCGACTACTTTGTCGTATACCGCCTCTCGAAATCTCTCGTCGCTAAGATCATTCGACCGACTGTCAAATTCACATCGAATACATCTTCTGACTGCATGTCCATATCGGTCACCACCTTCTTCGTAGACTTTGTCCACAAGTCTCTCCACAACAAGGTAGTCAGACATGATGGCTTGGCCCCCAGATTCTGGAGATTGAAAAGGTTGCCGAAGCTTTTCGAACGGTTCTCCAAAACAGAGTTCAATCAAAAGTACACCAAGGTCGAATAAGGGGCGGTTGCGAACGCCCTGTTCTGATGCTCTCCGAGAAGGTTGACTTCTATCAATTGTCGCTTGGCTGGCGTCCTGAGACGGCTTGCGTTTGATAAATGGTTGATCGAAAGAGTTTCCGACATCAACACCGAGGAAAACAATGTCATCATTTCCCCATTTCTCATTTATCCATGGAGTGCAGTATAGTTGAAGCAAACTTGTAGCCAGCGTGACGGCCAAGCGCAGTCGTCTTTCTCGTGAGAATTGTTGTTTTGCTGCACTAATTGGTTCCCACAAGATATTCCGAAGGGAGCGTAACTCTTGGGACCTTTGGCAGACGATTGGTGAGGATGGGGAGAAAAGGGCGAGTTTCTGTGCGGTAGTGTTGTCCTTTAGGAGCCCGACATACTTCCCTTGTTGCCATTTCTGGGCCCTTTGAAGCTCAGCACAAATATCCGTGATCAGAGCAAGTCCTGAAAATTGATTGGGGGCTGAAGATGAGGTCGTGACCGAGCATTCTTCCTGGAATCGAACGGTCCTGGAAGTCGAAGGTTGGGTAGTGTCTGTTGTCTGTGGTGTCTGCTCTGCCGGTTCAAAAATGCGCAACTCTGCTGCCTCAAGGGCCCAAGGGGTCTGCTGGGGCGTTGGGAACTCGCGTAAAGAGTAAGAAAATATGATTCCGAAAATCAGGGGCTCCACTCGTTCATGGCGGCTGCTTTTCGAAAGCTTCCGCATCTCCAGCAATAGACCGATGCCATGTGCGTCTCGGCAGCCGCATTGAAAGCTGGCGCACAGTGTATTGTACACGTGATTGGCGCATTTTTGGATGGTCGAGAAATCTGGCAATCGGCGTTTCCTTCGGCCTCCGGAACATTGTAGATCGAGCGTTTGCCCAGTCAATGTGAGCAAGAATTGGTTGTTCTCTTTCATACTTGCAACCAAGCCATCGTAGTCTTTCTTCTTCAGACTAAATTTGAGTCTCTTATACTCATGTCGGAACTTGTTTCTTTCGTTGATTTGGACCTTCTGGATGTCAGAGTGATGTGTCCTTGACAAAATTAGCTGTAGTAAAACTTACCCTTCCGTCAGGCCCAAGCTTCAGTAACTTCTTTATCTCCTCCACTATACGGCTCATGCGCTCCATCCTCAGACGATACACATTGTATGAAATGCCAAGTCGGTTCTTCAGGTCCTCTTCGAGTTTAGGACTTTTCCAGGCATCTCCATTGGGATTGGAAAGCAGGATTTTCATCTCGTGCTCATCGACCCATCCGTTCAGCAGACCCTGTAACATGTTTCGATATATGAGCTCTTCTCCCAAAAGGGCCTCGTATAGACTCTGCAAAGGAACGAGATATTTGAAGTAACGCTCAGCCGAGGAAACGCCATGAAGTATCATATTCACTCCGGCAACCAGCAACGGTATGCCACTGAGCACAAGCCCTGCGACCTCGGCCATTGCATACGGAAACGGGTAGCAGAATACTACGAAACTAACTGATGAGGTCGGTGGTGCTTAAGCAGAGAGATGGAAGGAAATAGAGGGTAGGCAATGAGGGGTCTACGCAAGGCTGAAACTTCTTCCCCGCTCACCCGACTTCCTTGGAAGATTTGTGTTACCTGAGCTATGAATGCGCGATCTATAAATAGTTCTACCAATGGCGATCGTTGAGGGAGATAACAGCAGCACGCAAGCGGGGTAATCGCCACTATCTTGGGTCAGCCTTGTCTTACGAGGCATGAACTCATGAAATTCAGCCGTACCGCGGCCCTTTCTGTGAGTTCAGGCAGAGTCCATCCCTTCAAGGTTTCCACAGCACTTACTGGTTGAGTTGCTTCTGTTTCATTTTTCAGCAAGTCTCAACAGGTCGAATGATATTAAGTGAGGGCAGGCCTGATGGATTCCCCACCAGAGTTTTCGATCGCGTCGTTGACTGCAGCCTGTATCCTTTCATTCAAAGACCTCGAAGACTGTCTCCGAACCGAACATCATGAAGTATCCGAGAAAATCAGTAGCTCTCAAGTCGAGGACGAGCTTGGGCGCTTTAGGGTGTGGGCTGCCAACATCGGGGCTCATCGCAGAGGAAATATTTCCTTAGACTTCCGCTTGCGAAATGCATCATATATCCAAACAAGAGTACAAAGCTTGCTCCAAGCTCTGAATTGCAAAGTCCAACGAAGTAGGTATCTATCGAGCCTCCCACAACTAAATCTCAACCAGCTGAACCGTGGCAGTTTCCGACATTGTTTCCGGCAAAGAGACCCCATGGGACAAGCTCTCCTTCTCACATGAATCTGATTCCGAGTCATCGGATAGCGAAAGAGATGACACGGAAGCCTACGAGAGCGAAGTGCAACAACTTATCACAAGCATTCATGAAACCAATTCTCTACTCACACGTCTCTCGATAGCCATACGAAACCCGGCAAGGCATGACCAGTACATGGCTTCCGAACTGCCTCAAACCGTTGAGACCTTCATTTATGCGGCCTATGCTGTCAAACATGTACGAGAAAAGTTCCCCAAAGTCTCCGTCGAGGTTGCCCAGAACCTTGGCAAAGGAATTTCGAAACGAAGACAGTATCTCAAGTATCGTGAAGAACACCATGAGAAGCTTGCGCGTGGAATCGATTCTGTTCAGCTTGAAGACAACAGGAAGACCAAATCCGAAGTCTCCTTACAGCTGGATCTTCTGAGGTCACCAGACCAGATGGGCTTTAAGAAAGAGCAGTTTTCGGAATCCGAAGCGTCCCACACGTCGTTCGCACAATCGTCTGCAGGCGGATTCAATAGACCAAGGATTCCGCGCCTTCCGAAACAAGGGTCTGACGGGTCTCCTTTTGAATGCCCACTATGTTTTTCGATGATCCAAGTCCATAGCCAAGATTCTTGGAGGTGAGAGAATCTGTCTGACATAATCTTGATATTTGAGATATTAGCATGCTAACCTGTTCTTAGGAGGCACATTTTCCACGATTTGCATCCATATGTCTGCACTTTCCCGACCTGCCTAACGCCGTATCGTCTCTTTTCCAGACGCCGCGACTGGTTTCAGCATGAGCTTCAGATGCACAGACGTCAGTGGCAGTGTGCGCATGGTTGTTTGGGAACATTTGAGACTCAGCAGCGTTTGAGGACCACGCAAAGGCGGTACACCCCGAGGCATCCTTCATAGAGCTTCTCGCAAGTCTCTGCAGTGCCAGTGAGCGAGTAGCTGACCAACAATCTCTGGCGGAATGTTGCATTTGTGGACGACAAGATCTCACCCTTCACCAACTCGAACGCCATCTCGGGGGACACCAGGAAGACCTGGCACTTTTTGTGTTACCGAGCATAGAGGACAGCGAGTGTACAGATGACTCTGCAGACGCGTCCTCTGTTGGCAATAGTTTTGTTGCTTCAAACATAGGTTCTGATCTTTCCTCCCATCGCGACTCGACTCCTCCACTAGTCGACGAGGCCATAGATCCTGGAATACCATCGACCAAGGATTCAACAAGTGCATCCAGCATCTATCATGGCTCAACGGGGCCCCTTTCTGACACCGATATTACGGCCGATTTACCGGTTACTTCCGGTCCGTCAATTCCGGTCGGTGTCGAGTCACGATTCTTTGGCCCTGGTCAAGCTCGAATTAAGCGACCGGAAGGCGAATTGTCTGAGGCTGAGAAGGTAGTGTACGATGACTGGAAATCGTTCTATAGAGAGGAAGGCGAGCAGGCCCAGAGATCCAAACAAACACAACAGCCGCAAGCCATACCCATTCCACATCACCCCCCATCTCCTTTCACCCTCCCTCCTCCACCTCCACCTCCACCTCCGCCTCGGTCTCAGCCTCGGCATCCACCTCCGCCTCCGCCTCCTCTCTCCCCTCCACCACCCTCACCCCCACCCCCGCCCCCCCAATCCTCGCCCCCAAAACCCTAAACCCCTCCGCCCGCAACTCCTCCTTCGCCTCCTCCAGCGCCTCCTCACCACCACCGTCACCACCACCACCACCAGCAGCACCGTCCTCCCGACCCTGCAGCCCCCCCACCACCCCAGGCTTCAACAACACCAGCACGCAACCCCCTCCCCCCGCCCCCGTCAGCTTCGCATACCCCACCCCCTTCCGCGCGACGATGTCGCACACGCGGTCCAGCGCCGGGTGCGACACGCCCAGCGCGGAGAGCAGGCGGTGGTTGAGCTGCATGAGGGTGCCGAGGCGGGTGATGGGGTGGGTGGAGGAGGAGGGGGAAGAGGGGGAATCGTTGTTGCTGCCGTCGTCTTTGTTGTTGTTGTTGTTGTGGGGATCGCCTGCGAACAGTCGGGCTGCTTCCAGGCTCAGGGCGTCGATGGCGGCGAGCAGGGCTGCGGCGTAGACGGGGTGGTGCTTGATGAAGGCGGCGACTTTGTCGAGTTGGGCGCGGGTGGAGCGCGGGTGGTTGGTGTCGACGAGGAGGACGTGGGAGAGGTCGCTGAGGGCGGCGCCGGGTGTTGCGGAGGAGTGCGGTTGGGGGTGGGAAGGGAGGAATTGCATGTATGGGGCGATATTGCTGCTGCTGCTGCTGCTGTTGCTCGTCGAAGGCGGGGAGGGACTGGGGGGTGGGGATGTCGCTCGCCGGTACGACAGCACGCCGCCCCAGGTGGAGATGGCGTTGTCGACGCCGCTGGGGGTGCCGTGCGTGCAGACTTCGCCGGCGAGGGCCCAGCGGTTGACGGCATCCAGGTCGGCGGCGGAGAGGTCGACGTGGCGGATGCGCTTTGCTCGCGCGAGGAAGGCTGTCGCGAGGCATACGCAGATGCTGCCGCTACTACCTAGGCCGGCGCCGATGGGAATTTCTGAACGCAGGACGAACGAGCAGCCTGGAGCGCTCGCGCTCGTCAAAGACATGTATAGGAAGAGAAAAGCGCGGGCGACGGCTCGGCAGAGAGGCCCGCCTTTGGTGGTGGGGCATGCACATGCCGTGGTGACTGCGCTGTCAACGGCTACCATTTGCTCTGCGGTGGGGCGATGGTCAGCCTCGGTGGTGGAGGCACGAAAGACCTTCCATGGAAGTTTGGCGGAGTCCCATTCGAGGTCATGCTGGAGGTCCGGTAGGCTTAGTCTCACCAAGCTGGCATTATCTGGGGTCGACAACGGCTGCACCAGGAGAGAAGTCCTCAGGGAGAGAGCGACCGCGACTGCACTCTGCCAGTTACAGTGTCAGAAAGCCTTCAACAAGTATGATGGTTTTTGCCTGTGTACCTTTCCATACACCACCGCATGCTCTCCGCAAACAATCGCCTTCGCTGGTGCGGACACTTCAAAGGCACGATCTGTCCAGACGGTTTCGGGACCCATTGTGTGAAAGATCAGGCCGGACGTTAACCGGTGTGCTCCGAAACAGGCGTAAAGTCTCTGTATTATTCTCATGTTCTCGGGTAGATTATCTCAAGAGCGCCGAGAGCAAAATCAGCGTCGGGGTGACTTCCGAGCTCGCGGATGTACCGAATAGGAAAGATGATGACAGGCCGTCAAGATTACCGGAAGACTTGAAGAAGATTACCGAGACACAAAACCCCCGGGCCGATCGGATGTCGATTGCCACGGAATGCCGAATGTGAGCCTTCACCGTCTCAACAGACCGGCGTCATTTTGGGACATATCAGTGATGTACGGATATGGCTGTAGAAGAAAAGAGCCAGTATATATATTGATCATTCAGCTGCTCGTATAGCCCGCAATATCGAATTTGTATCCATCATATCAACAACAAAGAACAAACAACATGCCGGTCCGTGCTGAGAACGTGGGCATCAAAGCCATCGAAATCTACATTCCGAGCAGAGTAAGGCTACCGGCAAGTCGCATCGGCCCCCGCTAACAGGAACTTAGTGCATCAAGCAAGATGATCTCGAAAAATTCATGGGCGTCAGCCCTGGCAAGTTTACCAAGGGCTTGGGGCAGACGAAGATGAGTTTCTGTGATGATCGGGAAGGCAAGTTTGACAATCGGCATCCGACATTGCCCGTGCTGACGTTCAACCGCAGACATGTACTCGCTAGCCTTGACGGCCGTTTCATCGCTGATGCGCAAGTACGACATCGACCCAATGTCCATTGGCCGTCTCGAAGTGGGAACCGAGACTCTGATGGACAAGTCCAAGTCCTGCAAGTCAGTCCTGATGCAGCTTTTCCCGAACGGCGACATTGAGGGCGTCGACACATACAACGCATGCTACGGCGGCACCAATGCACTGTTCAACGCCGTCAACTGGGTCGAATCGTCTGCCTGGGACGGGCGCGATGCCATCGTCGTCGCCGGGGACATTGCGCTATATGCCGAGCCCAGTGCCCGGCCCACCGGTGGCGCCGGTTGTGTGGCCATGCTCGTCGGGCCAGATGCGCCGCTGGTGCTCGAGCAAGGCACGCGCGCCTCCTTCATGAAGCACACGTATGACTTCTACAAGGCCGACTTCAGCGCCGAGTACCCCATCATCGATGGCAAGCACTCAATCGACTGCTACCTCGAGGCTCTCGACGCGTGCTACCGCACGTACCAAGCAAAGAAGAAGGCCTCCGAATCCACCCTCGGCCACGGCACCATCCAAAACGGCGTGCACGCGAACGGTGCCCATGCCAACGGCACCCACACCAAAGGAGCGGTGACCAACGGCGCGTCCGCCAACGGCACCCACACGAACGGAACGTCCTCCAACGGGACCCTCCACGCCAACGGCACCCACACCAACGGCGCCCTCCACACCAACGGCACCGCAGCCGCCCCGCCGCCCCTCCCGCTCGACACCTTCGACTACATGGTCTTCCACGCCCCAACCTGCAAGCTCGTCGCCAAGTCATACGCGCGACTCCTGCACAACGACCACCTCGCGCAGCCGACGCACCCGGCGTTCTCCGCCATCGCCTCGCAACTGGAAAACAGCTCCGACCCAGCCTGGACGCGCGCGCGCGAGACGGCCTTCATGGGGCTCTCGGCGGAGCGCTTCGCGGCGCGGGTGGCGCCGGGGACGGTGGTGCCGGCCAACTGCGGGAACATGTACACGGCGAGCGTGTACGGCGGGCTGGCGGGGCTGGTGGGGAGCGTGGCGGGCGGGGAGTTGATGGGGAAAAGGATCGGGGTCTTCAGTTATGGGAGCGGGATGGCGAGTTCGATGTTTGGGGTGAGGGTGAGGGGGCAGGTGGCGGGGATGGCGGAGAGGCTGGCCATCGGGGAGAGGTTGGAGGCGAGGAGGGTGGTTCGGGTCGAGGAGTATGAGAAGGTGAGTGCGATCGATCGATCGATCCCGTCCTCCCCCCCTTTGCTGCCCGGCGTCGTTGGCCTGAGGGTCAGGGGTGTCGGCTGCTGTTTGTGTTTGCGGTGCGGTGCTAACGGGACTCAAATCAGGCGTGCGCCTTGCGGGAGGAGAGCTATCAGAAGCCGGGTCGGGAGCCGGCGGGGGATGTTGAGTCACTGCTGCCTGGCACGTATTACTTGGCGCACGTGGATGAGAAGTTTCAGCGTACGTACCAGGTCAGGTAGATGGAAGGATGGTCTTTTTTGAGTGGTGGGATAAGTAGTTATCTATGCTCTTTGTCTTCCCAACTACGCCGTTTTGCGAGACCCGCAAAGTGAAGTGACTCCGATTTACTCCTGTCTGGCCTTTATCTGCCCGCTTGATCTAAAAACTACGATGCTTTACAGAGGAAACAACAAAATCAGCCATTTACCTTGATTCTAAACTCTCGGTCGAAGAAGAATGCTGCCTGATCCTCAGCGAGGCCAGCGAGAAGGGCTCCCGGAGCCGGCGGACAGCATTCTCGTGGGCCAGCCATTGATTTTCGTCGACCGTCCGCTCAATGCCGTCAATGACTCGGCCTAGAGTGACCAGTCGGGCGCTCAGCAAGCCTTGGATGACGTGTCGCTCATCATCGTCATCCAGCTTCCAGCGGCCGATCTGCACGCCGCGGCGATATTGCTGACGGGCGAACGGGGTCCCGTCCAGCGAGTCGTCGCACCCGGCTAGAGGCACTTGAGCCACCGACGACTTGCGCGACTGGGAGCGAGAGTGAGAGGGCGACATGTTCGGGTTGGTTCCGCGACGAGCGGCTTTGGCCGGAGGCGGGGTGAAGTCGTCGTCGGGCGAGACGAGCAAGTGCAGGTGCTCGATGCTCTCGAGCAGGGTGCCGCACATGGATATGGCGAACATGGCGTAGGCGGACTGGGAGCGGCACCGATTGCAGGCGACCAGGGCCTTGCAGCTCGCCAGGGCGGCCTTCTGGTGCTGCAGCACGTCGATGAGGCCGGCCGTGTTGTGACAGTCGCAGAGGGTGCCGCACTGCTGGGCTTGGCTGGCGGCGGCGGGGGACTCTTGAGAGGTCAGGACAACGAGGTCGACCTGGACGGCTTCGTAGGTTTGGATGGCGTCCTTGATGCAGTAGCAGCAGCAGAGATCGAGCCCGGTGCATCCTTGCTTGCCGCGCTGGTCTTGTTGGTGTTGCTGGACCCGGCCGGAGCCACTGTCCGGTGCGGTCGGGAAGGCCAAGGGGTGCTGCTGGCCGTCACCGATCTGCCCGGCTGGTTGCATGGCGTGCAGATCTGCCAGTTCCACGCGGGTTAGTGTACGGATCCAGAGGAGATGGCCGGCGGGCTTACCTTGGAGGGAAAATAAATCGTCAAAGGGCCACTGAGCAGTGCCCGGCGCGGGGTCCAGGAAGTCACCCCCCACAGGTGGAGCGTCCAGCGAGCCCAGGAACAGGGCGGTCGAGGGGTGGTCCAGGTTCATCAATGCATCGACATCGTCGTCCGGGGCGGCGGTTGCGGCAGCGGCTTTCTCGGTGGGCGGTGCGGAGCTGGCGGGCTCGCTCGCGGCGGACGAGGGGCTCGATCGCTCTGGCGGCGGCGGGTTCCCGGTGGCGGGGTAGCGGCATTCGATGTTCTTGTTCAGGCATCTGGCACAGCCGTTGCTGTCGCCGGAGCACTTGAGCTGCAGTTGCGGGCGTGGTCAGCTGGCGGGCAGGCGGGCAGGCGGACGGGCGGACAGCGATCGGGGCACGGACCTTTTTGGCGCGGCAGTGGGTGCAGGCGACGCGGGCCAGCTTGCCCTGGCGCTTGCTGTCAAACGGCGGCCGCGTGGGCTCCAGCACATAGGCCCCCTCCGGGTCGGTCGAGTTCTTCAGCGTGCTAAACATTCTGTGCTGATTGTGGGGTGACGGTCACAGGTCCTCCGTCAGCAGAGAGATACGGATTTCTAGGCCGGTCGGCCAGCGTCTATATCGTCGGCGTGCTCTGGCCGCTGCCTCAGCACCGTGTTGTTGCCATTTCGCCAGACCCCGGGCCCGCTACCGACGCGCCGGGAAGGAACGAGGCTAAGCTCGCCTTAGGGCCTGTTCGACGCCGCTCACGCAAGCCCGCAGACACCCCCAACACCCAGGTCGCCAAAAACTTTCTCATTGGCCGCGTCTCACATGCATTCGCGTCCCTTTATGCTCTAACCTCACCCCTACACCCGCAAGGCCTCCACCAGCCCTCGCAGCGCCGCGTTCGTCTTCCCCGTCGCCCTTTCGACCGCGCCGATCTCCTCGACCAGCTCCACTGCCAGCGCCCCCAGCACCCCGGCTGTGTATGCCAACGACCCGGCCTCCTCTAGAATCCCCAAGATAAGCTCCTTGTGCCCAGGCCCCGCGCACCCGGCCGTGCGCCGCTGCTGCATCATCCCGCTCAGCAGCCTGCGCGCCGTTGGATCCCCGTGCTCCAAGGCGTGCATCAGGATCAGGCTGCACTTGCCCTCGTCCAGGTCCTCGGCGAAGCCCTTGGCCGCCGTATACTGCCACCCCCCCGCTGTCAGCATCCCGGCCTCTCGCGTGCGCCATGGAATCAAACATACCTGGTCCGAAACGAGATTCGAGTAGTCGTCACGGATCTGAAAGTATCGCCCGAGCAGTGTCATGAGCCGGTCCAGCCCGAGAGGCTTCGGCTCGAGCTCCGACCGTGCGACCATCAGTCTCGATATCATCCGGAAAAGGCCTCCTGTCTCTGCCTGCGTGTAAGATCAACTGTCCGCTATGGCTGCCGCTGCCCACTTACTGCCGTCCACCATCTGGAGGTACTCGCGCACCGTGGGCACCGACACGTTGTACGTCCAGTAGAGGTCCATGCTCTGTCCTACCAGGAGGTTCTTCATCTCATCTGTGATGACACGCGTGTTAGACAGGCACCGCAGCTGCTGACACGCCTCGCTCACCTATGACAACCCGCTGAAACTCGGCGTCGTTAAGCTCTGCCGCCCGTCCAATGACGTCGACAATCTGGAAGTTCGCTGAATTTACCGTTTGAGCAACCCCGAAAACACCATGCGTTGCAGGCCGACTGCGTCTTAGCGGCGAGTTGTCTTCAAAGTCGTCCAACCTGGTCCTCGGTCAGCGTCATCCTTCTGTGGCGGAATCCATTCCCTACATGAGTGACAAGGCATGGACATCGCCGACAATGACCTTGATGGTCGAGATCGATTCGGCCGAAGCCCCCACCCAGATGTTCAGAGCGTCGATCGCCTTCTCGCGCACCCCCTTCGACGGCAGCGATTTCAGGTAGTGGAAGGGTGCCATCACCATCTACACCGATCGATCTTGTTAGCTGCCAAACCCGTTGGACCTCATTCGCCTTCGCCCGCATGTGACTCACCTCGGTGCTTGCCTCAGGTAAGTCGGTGTTACACATGTCCTGCAAATCGCAATCATCGTGATCCATCTTCTTCGGGCTGGACATCGCTGAGTCGACCCTCTTCTTCCTCGCACATCCCGTCTCATCAGATATGCCGTTCTCGGACGAGCCTGCGTCGGCACCCTCAGCCCCGGCGTTCGCTCCGCCCGCCAGCCGAAGCTTCGCCCAGAGTGTAAAGCCCGTCAGTATGTGCTGCGCCTGGCAAACGAACTCCTTGGCCGCGGCAGAAAGATCATCCCGGCCATTCAGATCCTGCAAGTTTTGAGCGTACTCGGTCTCCTCAGCCCGGACAATTTCCAAATACTTCCGCCTCGCTTCTACAGCGCCACCACCGCCCTGCTGAATGAGCAGGTTCAATGCTCCGAACTCGGGCGCTGTGATACCACCACCGGTGGCAGCATCCCAGGCGAGGAGGTCTTCTCGAAGGCCGAAGGCTACAAAGGCCCCACGACAGAGCCGGAAGCATTCCTCCCTTTCCTCCTCTGTCAAGCTGATGCCGAGACCGAACGTCATGAGTCCGTACCATAGCCTACAGGACCCATCAGCGTAACCCAAATAGGCAAATGGAAAGTCAAAACATGTCAGAAGCACCGATAGGGCAAGATCATCAACAGGGCCAACAGGAAGGGAATGAAAAGGAAAACTTACGCCTGACTCGGCTGTAGCATCCAGTCGCGCACGTACTCGTCCCATGTCCCTTCATCCAACTGCTGCGGCACCTGCTTCCGCTTCCGCTCGGCCCGCAGCCAAACGGCCCGCGACCAGGCTTCCATGGCGTCTAGGGCCCGTGTGGAGTCCAACTCCAGCATCTCCAGCAGCATCTTACCCTGTAAATCATCCCTCTGACCCTTGAAGGTCAATTTTGACGAAGATTGACTGCCAGAGGTGGAGCCGGTGGGGCCCTCGCTGGAAGGATTCTGGGCGCTGGCGCCGCTTGCGTCGTTGCTGGTGGTAGTAGCCACGGAATCTCCTCCGTCGACGACTAGCTTGTCGTGCGTTGCTAATACCCAGGGGTCAGCATTGCTTTGCATTTCCTCCGGTCGTTGCCGTCATTCACATGCTTGCATCGTGGTGGGGTGCCCCACTTGTTGCGTCTGTGCGGATTGGGAGGGGGTAGGGGGTCTGGAGCTGCGGGTCGGTGTCCGGGACGTACCGCCGTGGATATGATTGTCGCTCGCATCGTAACGAAGTGCGAGCTCGAGGGCGTAAGAGACGACTTCCAGCCTCTCCGAAAGGCAATTGGGGATCGCCACAGCGGCCAGGCTGACGGCCCCAGCTGGGGTTGGCTGCTGCTGCGGCAGCGGCGCAGGGGTACCGTCGCCCACTGCATCTGCATCTGCGCCGATGCTGCAGTCAGCGGCGGCGGCGCGGCGAGCCCCCTGGTCGCTCAGCTCTGGGTGCGGGTGCAGCCGTAGCGACAGCGCTTGCGTGGGTTGCCAGCCGCCGCAGTCGTCAGCATTGGCGGTGACGCCGAATTCAGAAGCCGGGTTCAGCGGCCGCGATTGCGAGGGAGGTGGTGTGGATGGAAGTGTCCCCTGCTGCTGGCTCGCGGATCGCCCGCAGGGCGACGACATAGGCGAGGCAGAGCGAAATGTGGAGCGCAACATGGTACACGAAATCGATCGATTGCATCTGGCCGTGAAGAAGGTTGTTGTTGGTGTGCAAAGAACTGCAAGAGCGGTGGTTTGATCGAAGAGGACGAACACAGCACTTGAGGTCAGTCTTCTTCTTTTCTGTCCTCTTCATCTTCCGTTTCCGCCTCCTTCTTCTACTTCCTCTTCTCCGGAAAGCAGAGTACAGACGATGCCCCCGAGCACGGCGTGATCATTTCTGGCCCCATGATGGACTCTCGCATTACCGTTAACGCTTTGCCATCTGCACTCGTTCTGGCCAGGGCCGATGGGGCTCGGAGCTCTACTTAGCAACACTCCGCACCGCCAACTGTTTCTGCTGCCTTTCGCTTACTCCACCATTCCACTCTCTCCATCTCTCCGGGCATGCCGCATCGAGAAGGGCCGTTCGGCTGTGGCTTGGACATCCGTCAGCACCGTAATGTCACACCGAGGTCTCGGATTCGCCTCCGATGGCGCCAGCTTCGGCCAAAGCCGCCGCGTTAGGTTTCAGCCCCCAACCGGCCACAAAAATTTAAGACTTGATGGCGCTCACATAAGCATTGTGGCAGTGGACACCCTGGGAAGGCTTAGTCACCCCGCGGTTACGTGCGTGTACGCACGTCTACGTTCTCCGCGGCATGAAGGGGCTCGGGAAGGATCCCGCCAAACAAGGATGCATGTTGCGAGAGATCGGGCCTCGATTTGTCTATCTATTCTACACCGGAACAGGGAAAAACATTCGCTATTTTAGGAGAGGACCCGCTCCAAGATACAGGCTTTCATGACAAAAGAAAAATAGGAGCAAACAAAAGCGAACCCGAGAAAAGGAATGGAGCAGGGGGGATTCCCCACCACCACACCCCAGTCAGAACCGTGGCCTTGGCAGTCGGCCAATCACAAATCACAAATTGAGCTTGAACCTAGGCGACAATCGGATCCGCTCGCCGTACTTGAGCAGCAGGAACGGACCCGGCGCGGTGGCGAGGGCGACGAAAGCAAGCAGACTGTTGCCCCAACCCAGCCCCAGCGCGTCGTACAAGGAGGGCCCGGCGAAGGGCAGGAACGCGCCGAACAGCGATCGAACGACGGTGTTGGTGGCCGAGGCGCTGGCGGCGTAGATGGTGAAGGCGTCGATGAGGTAGGCCTGGACGGGCATGTAGATGCACAGCACGCCGAAGCCGATGAAGAAGGTGCCGATGATGGGGACGATCCAATGCGTGCGGGCCTCACACGCCCAACCGTACCAGAAGAGCCCGACGGGGACGCTGAAGGCGCCTAGCACGAGCGGCGGCAGGCGGTACTCGGGCTTGAGCTCCTGGTCGCCGCCCGCGCGGGCGGCCATGCGCAGCGCCAGCCGGTCCGACACGACACCCGTGAAGAGCAGGCCGGTCATGAAGCCGACGCCGAGGCCGAGGTAGGCCAGCCCCGCCGCCCCGGCCGAGAAGCCGTACGTGCCCTCGAAGACGGTGGTGAAGGTGGTGAAGAGCAGGTAGAGGTAGCCGTAGACGATGGACACCATCAGCGCCAGGATGATGACGATGGGCGAGAGGAAGAGCATCTTGAACGGGCGCAGCACCGCGCGGGCGAAGACTTGCGAGGGCTTTCGGCCGGGGTCGTCGTACTTGGACCGGTAGCCGGGGTTGCCTGTCGATTTACGCAGGGCCGCGGCTTTGCGCGCCAGAAGGGTCGGGCCATATGTTTCGCGCAGGATGGCGATGCTGAGGACGACGAGGACACCTTCCTGTTTGGGGGTGATTAGCCGGTTTGCATCTTTTTTGTGTCGCTTCGATGCAAGGTCGGGGCGGTTCCAGCTGGCTGGCCGGCTTACATACGATGATGGTGACAATCCAGAAGCTCCATCGCCACCCCAGGGACTCGGACAGATAGCCCCCAGCTATGGGACCAATCACAGGACCCTGTCGAGGATGGTGGGACGCACAAGCGAATTCGTCAGCATACATAAATGTTTCGGGATCTCGAGCATCCGAGCGAGAGGGGAAGGGGAGAGAGGGAAAAAAAAAACACGTCTACAAACATACCAACAGCGGTCCGAGCTGCCACCCACTCAGCGCGTTGGCGCGACGGGCCGGCGGGATGACGTCCGCAATTATCCCTCCACCCAGCGTCAAGGGCACACAGCCCCACAGGCCCTGGAAGAAGCGGAAGACGATGAACATGGCCATGTTGGTGCTGACGGCGCAGCCGACGGTGAAGGCGAGGAAGAGCACGTTGGTCACGTTGAGCAGCACGCACCGGCCGTACAGCTCCGAGACGGGCGCGAAGACGAGCGGGCCGAAGATGAAGGCGACGACGTAGACGGAGACGACGAAGGAGCTGAGGATGGTGGACGACGAGCCGAAGTCGGACATCAGCTCGGGGACGCCCGGCGCGAAGATGGTGGTGGCGAGGGAGCTGTAATCATCCGCTGCGTGTGAGTCGCGAGAGTCGGCAGTTCAGAGATTTGCGGGAATATGGGCCAAGTGTTCCTTCCGGCTTGGCTGGATGGGTGGGACGTACGTGTTGAAGGTCACGGCGGATATGAGCGCGACGTATGTCCATTTCCGGCGCGAGCCCCAGTCCATAGGGTTTGCGGGGTCGTAGGGTTTCTCCCAGTCGACGGCTTCGACGGGCGGCAGGTCCTTTTGCCGCCGGTCACGCTGGCCCGGGACGAGAAGCTCGACGGATGCCGGGATGCTCTGCGCTGGCTGGGTCGATATTGCTGACGCCACCGACTCCGACCATGGCTGCGGCCGTAGGAAGGAGGGGTTTGAGTGGTTGTTGACCTGAATCATGGCCGACAAGTGTGGTCGATACGGTGGAGAGGGAGAAAGAAAGAGGAAGGAGAGTAATAGGGAAGTCAAGAGGGTCACGATCCGGGAGACATAGACGGTTTTAAGCCATGCTGTGCCCTCGTGCCTGCAGCGCCGGGCTGAACAGGTGTTGCACCAACATGCCGGAATAGGCAATTGCATTGCACACGCGCGTCATAAGGCTCAAAAAATAGTAACATTGCACAGGTAAGGCACCGCCCTCTACGTCGCTGATCTAGTCTATAAGCGCATTTCTAATCCGTTCAAGCCTTGGACAGCAAGTATCCGTTGTTCTGCAGCGTCTGAAACAGCTGCTGCGGGTCGTACTTCTCGCTGATGTCCCGAAGCCGAGCGAGGTTTCCGGCTCCGTAGCTTCCGAGCACGTTTTGTTCAAGGTTGGCGTCGTTCATAAAGCGCAGCGGTAAGCCGGCGCCGTGCTGCTCCGAGGTCACTCGGACGCTCTCACCCAGAGCCTGGATGGCGTTCAGCGCCGCCTCATCATCTCCCGCATCCTCCCACTGAATCGTCGCCGTAAACCCTGTTCGGGTGCGTCAGCATTTCTCACGCTTTCGGACCAACCGTCGCGCTGCACACTTACAGTCTTGGGACACGTCGGTCAAGTTGAGCGGATTGCCGCCTCGTTGCTGGCTTTGCTTCACGGCAGCACTGGTGAAAGGCTGGACACCGTAGGCCAGGCTTCCGTTGAAGTCGCTGGTGACTTGCGAGGAAAGGTTCAGGTACGTCGCGTAGCTTTCCTTATACGATTCAAGACTGTACTTGTGCGCAATCGACACGATTTGCCTCCTAAGTTTTCTTTGTCAGATGCGGACGGAGGAGAGACGGTGATGAGGAGAAGTCCTTACCTTGCGGGGCTGAGGTCCGTCACATCCGCGAATGCGAGGGCCAACTCGTACGTATTGCCCAGAGTCGAGTTGATGTAATTCTGCGTGTAGGGGATGTCGTAGAACATGCTGTACACGTCGGGCTTTTCCACCGGCTTGCCGTACACGAATCCCAGGATGGTCCCGTCGGGAGAGACGTTGAACACGAGCCCGGCGCTTGTGTCGTTCTCTGCTGCGGCCGAGTACTTGATCACCGCTTCGAACAGCTTTTCAGTCTGGTTGGGGGCATAGACTCTTCCCTCAAACCAGCAGTCGGCGCTTGGGATGGTGTTTACGTCGAACTTGGTGACGACGCCTATGGGAACAACGTCAGATTTCCCTTCCAACTTGCATATCTTGCCACGATGGAAGTCGCATACCGAAATTCGGCCCGCCCCCCTTCAAGGCCCAGTAAAGATCCGAGTTCGACTCTGCGTTCGCTTCGACTATGGACGAGTTCGCCAGCACGACCTACATCGGAGTCAGCTTTCGGTCGGACAAACCGGCGGAAGGATGCTACCTCGAAGCTCTTGATGTTGTCTGCGGCCATGCCGTACTGGCTGGAGAAGAAGGCCATTCCGCCTGAACTGTCAGCACCCAGTCATCCGTACAGAGATTCGATCATGGATCCTACCTCCCAGCATGTAGCCTCCAACGCCCACATCCGTAATGCGACCGCCAACAATGCTAAGCCCAGAGGAGTTGAGCTTCTCGTACACGGCGCCGAATCGGTTCCCCGGGCCCACGCTGACGACTGACTGGTCGTCGTTCAACGTAATCTCATTGAGGTTAACCATGTCGATCAGCACGCCATGCTCGTCGACGCTGGCGAAGCCAACATTGGGATTGTGGCCACCGCTGCGCACGGCGAACTTGCTTTCGAGGTACCCCACGATGCGGATGGCGCGAGAGACGTCCTTGGTGGAGCTGGGCTCGATTATGCACCGGGATTCTTGCCAACAGGCTTCCGACCTGTTCAACCACTCCGTCAGCAAGTCCCAAAACAACATGGATGGTTCCGCCGAGAGCCACTTACCAGTTGACATCAACCCGGTCCGTGTAGTTGGCCGACGAAGCATCCAGGTATTCGCCGCCAAAAGCAGCGCTGCTGACGTAGCACGCCAGCGACGCCTTCTCCACGTCCGTCAGGGAGCTGTTGCCGGCGGCCTTCAGCGTCGCAGTGACGTTTTGCGCCACGGCCGAGGACAGGTCCAAGTCGGACACGAACTGCGTCAGGTCGTCGTCTCCACCGGCGGCTCCGTATAGCTGAGGCGTCGCGACAGCCGCTGTCGCCAGCAGTGCGGCAGTCAGTCCTCCGGTCGTAGTACCGCGCATGATGTCAGAGGTCAGAAAAAGCCAGTCGTTGAATGCTGATATGCTGGACTCTCCGGCCGTGATGACTGGAATTTATACACAACCATGGCAGGGCTTTGTTCCTACTCTTACGGAGTAGCTGGAACATACCGTTGTGCGGCTGACGAAATTTCGGTGGTGAGCATGTCGTGACACCATCGCCGGCTGGGCTTCCCGCGAGGCACACACCACACACCGCGACTCGGTTCGGGTCAGGCCCTAGCGGCTGACCACCCCGTGCGCGCCACAGTAATCAGTTGTTGGCCCATTCGGACTGATATGGGGTGGTGGTCGCTACGGCGTTGCCGTCTTTGTTTGCGCCCCACTTCCATCGAGTCCTGAATCCTGCGAAACCTTTTGGCCCCCCGAGCTCCTATTTACGGCATCAGGCAAGAACGGGAACGTCCGGGATCTTGCCTGCTTCTAGATCTTCAGGTACCCCTTTTGTTATCTACATTGGGTAGATATCGAGACGGAATCGAGGTGGATCACGCGGCGAGATCTGCGCCTTGCCCTCCGAGCGGGAGGGCGGTTGACCAAGTACGCGCGTCTCTCCGAGGTTCACAAGATCTAGGTCTGCACGCTGTACGGATGTCTCACTTTTCGATATACTCTCTCTTCCTTGTTCTTGTTGGTTGTTGCTGACGATGGTCGCTGTCAGGGACGGTTTGTGTTCCTGGCACACGTTTTCGTCGCACGCGGATCTGGATCAAGGATTGATTGTTATGCGACAAGCACACGCAATTTCCTCATAGAGAAAATGATCCATGTGAGATCCTGTAGCACATGAGATCTCGCCTGGACGACAGGGAGTCTATTTTCGTACCCTGCACGCAGCCGCATCGTGCAGAATGACGAACACGTGCATGCACATGCCGACGAGAGCAACACCGGACATTCTCAGACCTCGCTGTCTACAGAACCACATACACACAAAACGTATGGGAAAAGCAACAGCATAGTTTCTACTCTACTCAGGATAACTAAAACAGCCTTTTTCAAATTGACGCTCCCCATCCACTCGCTCACGCACCATCACCGTTCTCTTGCTCCTGCTGCTGCACCATCCTCGTCCCCATATCCCTCACGACATAAATCTGCCCATACAAATCCGTGACATCGCAAAACAACCGCATCACCGCCATCTTCCTCTGCCACCCGCCGCCCGAACCGCCAGCGCCGCCCGCCTGCTGCAGCCTCGCGAGCGCCGTCCCCAAACACTCGCGCTCGTACTCGGCGAGGCCAAACAGCGCCTTCTTGGCCTCCTCCTCATCATCATCATCATCATCACCCGCGACGTCCCTCTGCTGCTTCTGCTGCTCCCCTCCCGCCTTCGCGCTCGTGCTCCCCGTCCCAGCCCCGAACTCGGCGAAATCGACCGAGTTGAGGTTGCCCTCGAGGCGGTCCCGGCGCACGCTGCCGTAGTCGTTGTACATGCGGCACATGGTGGCGAGGTGCCGGCAGAGGTCGCTGGCGAAGTATTTTTGCGACACGAGCGGGAAGCAGTCTTTGCTGGTGTTGTTGTCGTTCTTCTTGGCGCCGCTGCCGCTGCCGCCGGCAGCAGCAGCAGAACCCAGCATGGCGCAGACGAGGGCGAACGAGTAGGGGCACGATGTGTGGTCGGCGGAGGTGGAGCGGACCCAGGTGAAGAAGGAGGCGGTGGGGGAGGTGAAGGAGGAGGAGGAGGCGGAAGCGTTGTCGGAGAGGGACGAGGAGGATGAGGATGAGGATGATGGGGCCGTCAGCGAGGACGATGATGATGACGACTTCTCGGCGACGAAGCGCGCGTTGTCTTCGGCTTGGGCGACGTGCGCGAGCAGGAAGGTGCGCAGCTCGCGCCGGACCTGCGCGGCGTCGTGGGGGCTGGCGGCCGTGACGGCCGGGTGCGCGAGGACGTGGGAGACGAAGCGGGCGAGCGGGCCGAGCACGTCGTCGTCGCCGTTGGTCGTCGTCGTCCCGAGGTGGCCGTTGCCGTTTGGCGTCGTCATCGCGGCTGCTGCGTTGTTGTTGTTGAAAAGGACCTCGATCCGTCGACGCAGCTCGTCCCAATCATCGGCAAAGGCCGGCGCGGCCGCAGCCTCCATGAACTCGTCCGCCTGGTAGTTAAGCAGCGAGACGATCATCATGTCGTACAGGAACGAGGCCGACGCGAAGGTGCCCGCGCGGTTGTTGCAGCCGGTCCACGTGAAGGGGATGAGCTCGAGGTAGCGCTCCTCCTCCAGCCCGTCGCGCGGGAACACGTCGAGGTGGCGCGCGCGCAGCAGCGGCAGGAAGAGCGACGCTTCCAGCACCGACGCCCGCAGCTGCCACCGCGGCACCCCCGAGAAGAGAGGAGTGCGCCGGTAGAAGTCGACGTACTTGTCCAGCTTCGCGTTTGCTGCCGCGCTGCTGCTTGCCAGGTCGTGGCCGACGGTCGTGGCGGCCGTTTGCGGCGCGGAGGCTTTGAGCGCGGCGAGCTCGTAGGCTTTGGACAGCAGTGGCGATGTGTACGAGACCTTTTCGATCCAGAGCGCTCGCGGTGGCACGTCCTGGGCGAACTTGATGTATTCGCGGCCACGCTCGATGGCCAAGTCCAGCTCCGTTTGGATGGGCTCGAAGAAGGCGACTCGCCGGGCTTGGACCAGAGTGAGGATGGCGTACGAGGTCTGCTCGGGCGATTCGTCCCAGGACCCGTCGTCCAGTTGCTGGAGCATGATGCGCAGAGTGGCCTGGCACAGCGCAACAGACAGCCGCGACTTGGTTTCCTGGTCCAGGAGACCGGAAAGCTGCCCTTTGTCAGTGAGGGACAGCAGGTCCACGAACGCCTCAACCATGAGCATGGACGGATAGAGGTAGCAGAGGTTCTGGGAAACTTCAGTCAGCTTCGGTCAGACTGGTACGGGCAGCCAAACTCACCCATTTGTCCGTGATGGCGGCATCACTTTCCCACCAGCAGCCGCAGATGAATCGCACGCACTTCAAGATCTGGGCTGAGTAGCGGGACACGTCGTCCATGTGGAGCAATGCGACCAGGACGTTGCAGTTTGCGCTCAGGCTCGGATCTCTCTCGGACGAATACGTGCGGAAGTGGCCTTTCGCTTCGAAATGGTGGACCATCTGATTGGGACTGATGTTGACATCCAGCATCTTCAGGGTCAGGAGCCCCTTTGCCGTGTCATCTGCGTCCGCTCCAGTGTTTGGCGCTTGATCCGTCAGCATCGCAGAGACGGAGGAAAGCCAGAGAGAGTCCTACCGAAACCAATGATGCCGCCTTCATCCTCGAATACCTGAGCCAGGATCTCCTTCGCTTTGTCCAGCTCCCGTGAGTCCAGATCTGCTGCGGTATATCCGGATTTGAGAAGGGTTGAGAGGATCTGGAATACGTTAGCAATGAACAACCGTGTCGGCAAACCGAAATAATTACCCAAGTCAGTTCAAAGTAGGTGGATGGGTACGCGCTTGGAACGCCACCGTCACCGTTGCTTGATGCTCTCCGGACCACGTGTCGGAGATAGTCTTCGGCCGCGTCGTCCCATACGGATGCATGCATCAAGTACGCTGCTGTTGACGACGGGGAGGCCATCATGGCGCCGTGGACCTTGTGATGGGAGACCTTGTCGAAGTCGATCTTGCCGATGAAGGCCTCCAGAGAATGCAAAGCGGTGGTCTTGAGCGTGCTGTAAAGGAACGTGGGGTTGAAGCGAGAGAGCTTTGCCGCGTTGATCTTCAGCAGCGTCTCTCGGCCTCTGAAGTTGAAGGCAATACCCTCTCGCTCAAGCTCTTCCAGAAGCGCGGGGACAATGATCTCGAATCCGACGTGCGCCGCCGAAGACACGTCCCAGGCGGCGAGCATCGAGTCCAGTGCCCCGGTGGCTCTCGCTATCCGGCCTTCGAGCTCGCCCGAAGGAACATCCTGAATCTGCAAGGGCTCGGCAGCGTGCCTTTTCAACGATATCAAGGATGCTGCCGTGTTGAGAATGCCGTCAACCTCGGATGCGTACGACTCCCAGCCTCCATCGTCAAGCTGGGTGCGGAGCAGAAAGTGGAAGCATTCGGGAAAAAGCCACTGCTTGGCGCCATCGACGGTTTTGGTGACCAGGGAGACCCAGGCAGTGTCGTATACTGCGTTGCTCATGGAACCAACGCCGTAGAGGTCGTCGTAGCCATGGAGAGCGTCGTGGAGAAGGGCTCTGCCCTCCTGGCTCAACATGTCCGTACTGCTTGCTTCGGGGGTTTTGGAAATCATGATTGGGGGGTTTGCGGTAGAGGATGTGCGTGTGCCAGCCGCGCTCTACAAGTACGTGATGTTAATGCAAAAGACTTCTCGGCCCAATCGGTGGCGCGTTTGAGCCTTCCGGGTAGCACGTCGGCGCGAGATACGGGATCCGGAATACTGAAGAGTACGTACCCGGGCAGCAAACTTCGTTAGCGAATGGCTCCCCGGTGAGTCTCCCGGATGGCCAGAGTTGTGCTCCGTGCTGACGGGCAAGTCTGTGCGACTTGGTCATGGGCCCGGCCTGTCCGATGCTGTCTCGGACACACACTTCGGGGTGGCGCCGAGAATTCACGAGGATACTACCCGGCGACTGTTGAGCAACCCGCTCTTCAGAACACCCTTCTTCCCGCTGAACCAACAACTCTTCCCTGCTACACCATGATCGGCGCATTGATGGAGACAGACGAGAAGGAGATCACCATGCACTTCCTAGCCTGGCCGATTCTATCCTCAGCAGTTCTCCTCTTTTGCTCATGGCTGTTTACTCCACCACCAGACACCAAGTCCACCCCTCGGGCAGGACCAGCACCAGGATGGTTTGGCCTTGCCCGCGCAAAGCGTAACTTCCTCGCCAACGGTGGAAAAATCATTCAAAGTGGATATGACAAGGTTAGTGGCGCAGGCAGCCCTGCAAGTCAGTGATGCTTAGTCTGCATAGTACAAAGACAGCATGTTCAAGGTGCAAACGGCGGACATGGAACGCATCGTCCTCAGCAACAAATACGTGGATGAGATTCGCACCGCTCCAGAGAGCGTCTTGAGCGTGCGTGCTGGCATGACCGAGGTACGTCGCCCGAACTGTACTCTGCGGGCAAGTGTACTAATATGCCAAAAGAGACATCTTGGGAAGTACTCGACACTGGACATCATACTTACCAGTCACCTACAAAACGATGTTTGCAAGGTTCAGTTGACGCAGAACCTCAGTATGCCACAAACGTGTTGTTGGTTTGGTGAACGTCTGACGCTGACATGGACTTGCAGATAAGCTTGTTGGTCCCGTCAACGAAGAAGCATGTTTTTGGTTGTCCAAGACGATCCCAGAGGCAAAGGGAGAAGTCTCTCTCAAGGGCTATGAAAGCATCCTACGCACCGTCGCCGGAGTCACTTCCAGAGTTCTGGTTGGACTCCCGGTCAGCCGCAGCGAAGAGTGGCTCAACACGGCTACGGGCTACACACTGGACGTTTTCCATGTTTCAACGGGGCTGAGAGCCTATCCGCCCTTCATCCGTCCCTTCGTCGCGCCGTTCCTATCATCGACGGCGCGGGTCAAACGCCACATTCGAACTGCGGAGAAATGCTTGGTGCCGCTGTTCGAGAAGCGACTCCAATCGTCTGGGGAGGACAAGTCTCTGGACATGGTCCAATGGCTGACTGATTCGGCACGAGGATCGGACCGCGACGCGAAGGTGCTCACGCGCAAGATGCTGTTCTTGACGTTGGCAGCCGTGCACACCAGCACCATGAGCGCAACGCACGCGCTCTTCGACTTGTGCGCGATGCCGCAGTACATCGAGCCGTTGCGCGACGAAATCCGCGAGGTAGTCGGCAAGGAAGGCTGGACTCTCTCGGCCATCAACAACATGAAGCGGCTTGACAGCTTCATGAAGGAGTCCCAGCGCGTGAACCACCCCGGTCTTCGTATGCGCTATTCACCTCTCGGAATGGGTGTATATGCTGACGGACAACAGTGTCGTTTAACCGCAAGGTCATGTCACCGCTACGTCTATCCGATGGCACCGTCATCCCGGCAAAGTCCTTCATCACCATGGCGACCAACTCGATTGCGCAGGACGAGCGCTACTACATGAACCCCGATTCGTTCGACGGGTTCCGGTTCTTCAGAAAGCGCATGCAGTCGGAGGACGAAGCCAAGCGGCACCAATTCACCAGCACGGGAGCCACCAGTCTGCCTTTCGGGCACGGCAAGTTTGCCTGCCCCGGCCGGTTCTTCGCGGCGGCGCAGATCAAAGCGGTGCTCGCCAACATCCTTCTCAAGTACGACGTCTCTTTCCCGGCCGGACAGACGGAGCGTCCTGAGAATGTGTTTTCTGGAGAAGGGATCGGGCCGAGTCGCGAGCAGGCGGTTGTTTTCCGACCGCGTAGAGAAACGACGGCTGCGAAGGCGTCCTGATGGTTGCGGCAGGATGGCAGGATTCGGAGAGCAGTGTGATCCGTTGCGGATGGCGGCAAGGAACAGGTTCGCCGGGTCGGAAGGTTGCAGATTGGCGGACGGATCGAATAGGAAACAAGCGGACAACGGCGTGTCCGACAAGGGCAATTTTGTCGAGTGGAACGTGGATGCTTATGCATTAATTGCTTTTTGCTCGGCTCGGAAGCACGCAAGATGCGGGTGGGGGCCGGGAGGCGGATAGGGCTGTGCTTATGCAGTGCACTCAAGGGGGGCATTACCAAGCGACCGAGACATGGGGCCGGGGTCGGGGTCGGGCTGAATGAAGCTTGAGCACCTGCAGGCAGCTGCGACTGCTGATTTGCCTACGTAGCTACGTCACTCTCTTTGTCTGCTGCTACTTATTTATCGCCCCGCGAAGCTGCCCTCCCTTCCTTTGCTGCATCAAACAAATTCCAACACCCTGATTCATCATGACTTCCCAGCCTCACCCTGCTCTCATCTTCGGCGGCGCCTCCATTGGCAGCGCCTACACGACGCCCGAGGCCGTTGCAGACCTGCTCGCCACGCTGAAGTCGCTTGGCATCCAAAGGATTGACACGGCCGCCCGCTATCCCCCCACCAGCCCGGGAACCTCAGAGAGGCTTCTGGGCGAGGCTGCAGCCGCTCGCCAGGGCTTCACCATTGACACCAAAGTCCTGGCTTCTGGCGACGGCTCTGGCAACCTAACGCCCGCGGCCATCGATGACTCGGTCCAGCAGAGCTACAGCCGCCTGCAGATGGGAGATGTCCGTCGACCTTCATTCCCGCCCCATGATTGCTGCTGACATAGTATCAAAAGGCGAAGTTCAACATCTTGTACTGCCACATGCCCGATCCCCAGACGCCGCTGGAAGACCAGGCTGCCGGACTGAATGACCAGCACCGGAAGGGCCACTTCAAACATGTAGACACCCTCCCTCATAGAGCCAGCAGTCATATACTTACAGAAACCGCGCGTTGTAGCTCGGAGTCTCCAACTTCTCACCTGAGATGCTATCCGAGTTCATCGAGATCTGCGACCGTAAGGGCTACGTCAAACCAAGCGTATACCAGGGCCAGTACAACCTCGTCTGTCGCGGTATCGAGGACACGCTGTTCCCGACGCTTCGGAAGCATGGCATTGCTTTTAATGCCTTCAGGTAGGCACCCGAAACATGGCCCGGGCTTTCACAGCTAACTCAGCCGCCCGCAGCCCTCTCGCCGGCGGCTTCCTCACCGGCCGGCTGACGGCCAACGAGACAGAAGGCACCCGCTTCGCCGAGGGCGACGCCATGGGCAACTTCTTCAAGGCGCAGTACGACAAGAAGGAGATGCACGATGCCATTGCGAGCCTCAACAGCATCATCGAGGCCCTCGGCATTTCCAAAATCGAGGCCAGCCTGCGCTGGATCTTCTACCACTCGGCTCTCGGTGCGAGTGACGGCGTGATCCTCGGTGCGAGCAAGCCGGCGCAGCTTGATTCGAACGTCAGTGCCGTGAAGAAGGGGCCGCTGCCCGAAAAGGTCGTCTCCGCCATGGACGCCATCTGGCGATCCATCTCGGGCAAGTCTGAGTAATGGGGGGCTCCGCTGTCAGCAGACGCGGGACGGGCTCTATCCGAGACGCTGTGCTGAGAGTGGCGATTACGTAGTCGTTAGACAAAAAGAATGCAAGGCTCCGACTTGACTGTGTTGCTCCAAGCGTAGTCCTTGTACGGGACCCGGGTAGTTCCGGTCAACCGCTTGTGGAAATCCGAGTGCGTCCAGGCAAACGCCCAAATCTCTAAGCCTATATTGGAGCTCGAATGCTCGAATCCAAGTGACGATGAGACAGCAAACGAAACCTCAGCTTCCACTTGATCACACAGTCACAATGAATCCTCACATCGTTACCCTTTCCAATGACACGGCGAGCCTTGGCTTTGCCCGTTCGATTGAAGCCCAAGCAGCTCAGTACAGCCCCCGCGACTGGGCCATTATTGCAGTCACCGGAGTTTGGCTTTACCAAATCGTCAAGCTGGTTGCAAACAAAGTGCTGGGCGTCAAGGCTCCCTTCGTCGGCCACAAGTGGTCTTTCGAGCCGGGATGGGTCGTCGGTCTCCGCTTCGTCCGTGGCGCCCCTCCCATGATCCGCGAAGGCTACGCCAAGGTGAGATCTGACCCGGCTGCGGCCAGAGAGGCGAGCTAAGCTGTGCCACAGTTCAAGTCGACCATGTTCAAGATCCGCCGCAACGACGCCGACATCCTCATCATCCCGAACAAGTTCGTCGATGAGCTGCGCAACCTCCCCGACGAGAAGATCAGCGCCATCCGAGCCCACATCAAGAATCTGCTCGGCCGCTACTCGACCACGCTCATCCTGCTGGAGAGCGACCTCCACACGAGGATCCTTCAGACCAAGCTTACGCCCAATCTTGGCTCGACCGTCCCCATCGTCAAGAGCGAGCTCGACTTTGCTCTGAAAAAGGAGACGCCCGACTGCAAGGGTGCGCATTTCCCCGGCTGCTGCAGACGCTCTTCACGCTGACGAAACCGTGTGCAGACAAGTGGGTTGAGGTCCAGATCTACGACATCCTCCTCAAGATCGTCGCCCGCATCTCGGCACGCGTCTTCCTGGGCGAGAAGGGGTGCCGCAACGAGGAATGGCTCGCGACCAGCATCGAATACACCGAGAACGTCTTCCGCACCGTCATGACGCTCCGCATGTTCCCGGCTTTCCTCCACCCCTTCATCGCCGCGGGCCTGCCTTCGTACTGGCGGGTGCACTCGAACCTGGCGACGGCCAAGCGCATCATCAGCCCCGAGGTCCGCGAGCGGCGCCGCCTGCAGGCCGAGGCCGGCGAGGGCTACCAGAAGCCGCAGGACCTGCTGCAATGGATGATGGACGCGGCCAACGCCAACGACGGCCAGCCGGACAAGCTCGCGCACAGGCAGCTCCTCCTCAGCCTGGCCTCCATCCACACCACCACCATGTCGGCCGCCCACGCCCTCTACGACCTCTGCGCCCGCCCCGAGTACTTTGAGCCCATCCGCGACGAGGCGCTCCGCGTGCTCAACGAGGACGGCGGCTGGAAGAAGACGACCCTGAACAAGATGCGCAACCTCGACAGCTTCCTCAAGGAGTCGCAGCGCCAGAACCCCCCCAGTCTCCGTAAGTCGACCCCCTCCCCCCTCCGAAAACAAGACGACCGAGCTGACTTCCTCCCCAGTCGCCTTCAACCGCATCGTCCGCAGCCCCATCACGCTCTCGGACGGCACCAAGCTGCCGGCGGGCACGCATTTCAGCATGGCGTCCGACTCGGTCATGCACGACCCGGAGCACGTCTCGGACCCGGACACGTTCGACGGGTTCCGGTACGCGCGGCTGCGGCAGTCGTCGCCCGACAACGCCAACAAGCACCAGTTCGCCATGACCGACTCCAACAGCCTGCACTTTGGCCACGGCAAGTACTCGTGCCCCGGCCGCTTCTTCGCCAGCAACGAGATCAAGATGATCCTCGCCCACCTGCTGCTCAACTTCGACTTCAGGTACCCCGCCGGCCAGGGCAGGCCCAAGAACCTGAGCGCCGACGAGAACATCTATCCCGACCCCGCCGCGCGGCTGCAGATGCGGAGGAGGGAGGGAGAGAAGACGGCGGCGGATGCGGCCGTCATGATGGACTAGAGCGAGCGGCTCGAAATGGACAGTATGTAGACGAGAACACGTAGGGTGAGAAGATTGTGGAACGTGCGGTTGGTTGGTGGGCGAGTTTGGGATTACGCAGCTCCTTGGAATAGAATCGAAAAGCATCGTTTTCCAAAACACCGTCATCGTGCATCTGGGAGTCCGGCCACTGTCCGAGCCTCCGTAAGGCTGGGGGGAAGAATCCCCGGCGCCGGACAGGCCCGATCGGGAAGTCCGCTGGCGCTGCGGACCGGCCGTGGGGGCCGTCGGAGCAGCTCCGCGATCCTTCTTGCTCCTGCAGAGCAATTGGCCTTTTTATTAGTGTCTCTCTGCAGATGCAATGTCGCTTGCCCTCCAAGACCTTTTCCTATCGAGGACAGCATCCACGTGCTTTTTTTTATACAATGCAGTTTCGACACCCTCTTCTGTATCCCGCCTTGGCCATCATTTTGGCGGTGCCGTGGACCCGCGCAGCCTCGGGCTCTGAACAAGAAGTCCTCGTCCAGGGAAGCGCCGTCATTGAGGATGGCTGTGCCATCAACAATAGCACTGCCACCTTGCTGGCTGATGTCGGCCTCTCAGACGTCCCGTGCGAGGCGGCCACGCACATATCGACCCTCCTCGAATCGGCTTCGGCCTGTCCCCCCATGAGCTCCAACGAGAATGGCGAGCCTCCCTGCAACACGGACCACGAGCGCGCCGAGCTAGCATGCGCTCTGGCGCGGCTGGCCCTGCAGCCCGCCGAGCTGACGGTCCGCGACGCCGAAAGCCCCTTCTACGACGACGACGTGCGGGTCAACTGGTAAGCAAGCAACCAACCAACCCACCCATCCACCTCCACCAATCTCGTCCCTCTTCCCGGCCCCAACCCCTTTCTCGCTCTCTCCCTCCTCCCCACTAACCAACCCCACCAAACAGGTCCACCGACTGCCACCTCCACCCCACCTGCATCCTCTCCCCCCTCAGCACATCCCAAACCTCCACCCTCGCCCTCATCCTCTCCCGCACCCACACCCCCTTCGCCCTCCGCTCCGGCGGCCACAACCCCAACCCGGGCTTCGCCTCCATCGCCGCGCCCGGCATCCTCATCTCCACCGCCCGCCTCACCTCCATCTCCCTCTCCCCCGACTCTTCCACCGCCACCGTCGGCCCGGGGAACAGGTGGTTGGACGTGTACGCGGCGCTGGAGGGGACGGGGCGGACGGTGTTGGGCGGGAGGACGCCGGATGTGGGGGTGGGCGGGTTGTTGGTCGGGTGCGGGATCCCGAATTTTGCGGGGAGTTGGGGGTTGGCGTGTGGGCGGGTGAGGGGGGCGGAGGTGGTGTTGGGGGATGGGAGGGTGGTGTGGGCGGGGGGGGAGGAGGAGGGCGGGGAGCGGGAGGGCGGGTTGCTTTGGGGGTTGAGGGGGGGTGGGGCGAATTTTGGTGAGTGCTATGGGTTTTTTCTTTTTTTTGTTGTTGGTGGTGGTGGCGGTGGATGGTGGACGAGACGGATGGACGGATGCTGATGACTGCGGTTGGTTGCGGACAGGAATCGTCACGGCGTACGAGCTCGAGACGCTGCCGATGGAGCACATCTGGTACGAGTCGCGCATCTACGGTCCAGAGCAGAGCAGGCGCTTGTTGAAGGCGGTGCGCCAGTACCAGGAGGCTGCCGAGGAGGACCCTCGGTCGTCGTTCGCCTTCAGTCTGTCCAACAACCACACCATCGTTGCCTGGATCTACTCGGAGCCCGTCGAGCGCCCCGACGTCTTCAGCATGTTTTACGACATCCCTTTTGAGCGCCACTTCATTGAGCCCTCGCTGGGTACCCCCTACACGCTTGCGAAGGCGTTTGAGACCGTCTTGGGAGATAGACCCGCCTTCAAGTATGTTGTCCCCTCCTCCTCTCTTCGAAACTTGCCTTGTCTGACCGAGTGCTGTGCAGGAGAGACATCATCGCCGTCTCGACCAAGCCCGACCTCTCGCTGTATGAGGAGGCGTACGAGGCGTGGTTGGACATCTCGCAGGAGATGATGTCCAAATTCGACTGCATGATGACGTTCGGCATCCAGCCCGTGACCTCTTCTACGGTCAAGATAACAAACCGCAAAAGCAACCCACTGAACCTGTCGCCTGAGAGCCAGCAGTGTAAGTTCTTGCTTCAACTGTGTCTCGATCGAGTCGAAAATACTGACTCCGGTCGCAGGGTTCACTTCGGTCATCCAGTGGCAGGACGACAGCGCCGATGCCCTTGCTCACGAAGCCGTGCATAGGAGCGGCGGCGCGATGCGTGATATTGCCCGCCGCAAGGGGCTCCTGCTCGACTTCGTCTTCCTTAACGATGCCACTTGGGACCAGAGTCCGTTGGCCAGCTACGGTTCTGCGAACCTGGAGAAATTGCGTGAACTCAGTCAGCGCTACGACCCCCTTCGGGTATTCCAAAAGCTTCAGGGTAATGGCTTCTTACTGGACAAAGCATGAGGGCTGTGGATGGCTACATGGGAATCAATCAGCGGCGCAACCTTCAGACATAGATACAATAGACTGACTTTCCGTGCAATGCTATCTCATATCAGTCTTTCGTGAAGCATGAAGCCACACTCTATGGATAACAGAGATTACTGTTCTACAGGGTATTGGCCAGTGCAGCATGAATCCAGAGTATATGCCTTCGGTCTCGCGAGCAACACAATTTATGTATCCACCCACTTCCTCGTTAGCTCCGTCTCTAGCCTATGATTTAGTTCTCGACAATGACTTCATCCGTGGGCTCGTCCCACTATCTCGTGTCTATGATAGCGTCGATATTGCCCGTGTGCGAGCTGCAGCGATGATGCAGCTGCATTCGCTGATCCCCCAATCTTCTTTTTCGCACAGCTGGCCGGCATTAGGCTGGGATCCTGCCCTCGCCCATACAGGCCGTCACCCAGCATTGACGGTTCCAGACATGAAAATGTACGGTTTCAATGGGTCGGACGTGGCCATATTCGGGTTGACGCCGTGTTGGATGCAGCGGTCCTGTGCGTGTTAGCTCGACGCGCCCCATCGAGTGTAGGGTGCAGTCCCGTAAGCTGTGTGTGCCACTAGGGCTGGAACATAGGAAGGCGCTGTGCTGGCACAGGCAGTGGTCCATGATACTGATCCTCTTGACGGACTGGTTGGTTCCCTTCGGGTGGGGATGTGCCACAAATAGCAGTCCACCACTTTGGCGTCTGCTTATTGGGCTTCAATGATGACGACATTGAATCCATGACGAATGATGGAGTGCCATATGATAGCTGCTGCTCCCCTGTAGAACTCGGATGCACCGTGACTGTTTGGGCTGCATCTGCATGAAGTCGCATTCTCGGCTCTTTACCATGTTGTGACGGAATGGTGTGCATACTTCCGTCAGCAATAAATGCGATGCAGAATCCATCAGGATCAAAAACTGAATCGGAATTGCGTTTCTGGATCAGGGGCAGTCGCTGAGCGGTCTCATTAACATAGAAACAGAGCAGCCCACTTTTCTACTCGAGACCATGTCATTCCGTCAACTGTGAAATGTTCAAATCAGAACATTTATTCCAGATCCTTCGAGATAAAGCCATCTGGGAATAATAAATGGGGTAGACAAAATTGTCGCCACCATGCAGCATACCCTGCACCTCGGTTGTCGACCTGGAATTGCCGATTCGGCTACGCCTCACTATTGTTTCCAAGCTTAGTTCCTGTCATATCATGTCGCTACCAATCCGATATCAGCCTCTTAGGGCCCAACCAACTTCCAATTACGGTGGTCCGGGAACGTGGATGTTTCTAGACACGTTAGCCAAGAAGGGAAAGCGTGTGATAGCATCTTTCGGTTACGCTTTCTGACAAATCTTGTGACGTACAAAAATACTGTGCTCGATAGTGTGGTCTCCACCAAGCTGGATTGTCTACCAGCCGAACCCGAATTTCGGGCTGGCGTTGTGGCAAGAATCGCTCGATTCCGTTCGTTAATCCGCGCACAGGTGACGGTGCAGGTTAGCGAGACGCAAGTTGAGTTTTGTGTGCACGGTGTTGCTGTCCCTGCCGCGCGTATTATGCTTCGGCTGTTCTTGTGCGGGAGCTTGCTGTGCAGATACTTGGAAGTGTCGTCGGATGAAGAACACACAAGTGGTAGCGCTGATGGAAAGGCCCAAGGCTGCACCATCACGTTGCGAGAGGTGCTGCACACAGATCTGGTCTTAGACTCAGACTCATATGAAAAGTGCATGGGTGGACAAGCCTAGCAATTCTCATGGCGACTTACCCTATGTCTTCCATGTGGGCGGTTTTCAACCTTTTCTTGGCGCACGCGTTTGAACATTTGAACTCCGTCCCCACTCAACGCCACTGAACGGACCACTGTGTATACAAAGTCGGGATAGTCTTGAGTTATGATAAATATTCTAAAAACTTCATCCTCTCCGCCCATCCGAAAGTTGGCTTTTACCTCTATCATCCGTGGTTCCAGTATGGCTTCGTCTCAATTTATGCATCAACCGTTTTCTTCTCCTTTTTGATTTCTGAGTCTACTCTACTGTCACGAACCCACCATCCGCCACAGTCACGGTGGTTGAGCTGGCTGTTCGGCTCTTGAGGGGAACTCTGAAGCTGCAGATGTTTTTTTTTAGCATGATGAAAAACGCTCCCTTACAGTTTCCACCATTCAGAATGACCTTAGAATCCTAGAACGTCTCCTGCGGAGCATCTTACTGTTGAGATAGCACACACTGACGCTTAGCAGAATTGCAAGAGCATGGTAGATAATTTATAGAATATAGCAGAAAGTTCACCCCTAGTTTTAAGTCTTCCAATATAAGACCCGTTTAAGGTTGAGGGTTTAAAGTACGATACCTGTGCTATCTTTCCACTAATACCACTCTACCACCTAACATGAGAGCCTCATACAAACAGAGACCCGACCGTTACGAGTGGAATCGACAGGCTATATTTAAAGCGTGGAACGGACTCAATTTCGGTGGACCTCGGCTGAATATCAACTTTTCGTAGACCCGGTGGGAAATGCCGTCAACGAACGGTCAGAGGGCGACAGGGATACTGAAACCTTAGAACTCCACGTAGTAAAGTTTATTGATAATGTTGAGACGATTTTGGCTACGTATTTCGAGGGTGATTGGAGCTACGTTTATGCGCACGTCGAACCGGTACACATAGGCTCGGATTCGGATAGTTAATTGAAGCTTGGCCGAGCTCATGGTTTGGAATTTAAGATGCTGCTTTACTAGTATAGCTCTTGGGTTACTAATTTGAATTATTCCATGTCCACAGACGAAGCTCGATGTTGAAATTTGTGCGGTGGCCTATGAACCAAGGACCCCAAGTCACCGTCCTCGCAGTCGAACACAAAAGAAGGCGAGAGGCTGAGAAGCATAATGAGAGGAGACTCACCTTGGAAGGAGCCGTATCAATTATATTGTCCACTAGATCAAGCCAACAAGTATGGTAGTTCACATGCATCGTACTATTGAACCTCAAGAGTGGGGCTGGTAGCTTCCACGCACCTCACATGTAAGTTTTCTTTATATGAAACAAGGCCTGCCTCTATGATAGAGCGTCGTCGGCTCTTGAGCTTTCGCTGAATGGGCGTACGTCTGCCTGCATTGGCCCAAGTCCGTTCCTCGTGAGCGACGGTCACCACCTCTCACCCTTCCCTGCGACCCCTGCGACGCGTGACATCAAAGAACTCAGCTCCGAGTCTCCCATCCAGCTGTCACAGATCCGCTGCCTTCTCAACGATCGGATGACTCTCAACTTCTGGCAATCACAACAATTGAGAATGACGAGGAGTACTTGGCTGAGAAGATCAGTATTGAAAGAATTGTGCGTTGCGAACACGGATTTCAAAGCCAGCTACTTGTACGTTGGCGTGGGTACGTAAAACCAAGATGGGAGCCGTATGAAGCTCTTGAGGGCACAACAGCACTACATGATTAGCTAGAGCAACGAAGGTAGAACAAAAAATAACATAGACAGAGTGCTATGTAAAAGGATAAACAAACGGAAAAGCGTAAAGGGGAAAAACCACAGTGGTTGTACGCGGCAAAAAATGTTAAGAACGAGGGGAGATTTGAACTTAATTTCTATAAGAAGCCTGCCTTACTTGCTCGTTCGCAACTTTTCTACTCTGCGCTTCAACTCCATAACAACATTGCTAACAACCTCCACGTTGTATGTGATGAGATGCCTACTGCAGGGAGCCTCGCTACCGGCAACCGCACAAACATTTCGAGAGCACGGGAGTGACTGGGTCTTGACGAGGACACATTCACCTCACTACGGGAAGCGACCTCGGTCATCGCTAGAGGTACTTTGCCACGCCTCACCACGAGTGATAAAAGAGCCAAGGATGGAAGTTCCGACGTCCGCGCCGCTCCCAGCAAACCAATTGTCAACGACCATGTACACAAAGGACAAGAACAGCTCGACCAGCTCCCCAACACCAAAGCCGCCCACGAAAGCGACGCTCGCTCACCAAGACCGTGAACAATCACGAACACAGCTCGCCCTTCTTCAGCGGCCCGACCGTATCCCTCAGCCCAAACGCCACATGCGGCACCCCTCCACCCCCCGACCTCAACACGCCATACCTCAACATCGTCCCCTTCACCTCCCCCGGCGTCGGCTGCTCCCCCAAGCACTGCCCCCGCGCCAACGCATCCAAGTCCGGATTCCTCGTCGTGAACAAAACACTCGAAAACGACTGACTGGCGCTATACCCATTCACGCCGTACGCATGCGCGCCGACGGCCACGCACGCCAGCGCCGCCACGACAGCCGCGAGATACGCACACAGCAGATTGCGCCGGTTGTACGCGTAGTAGTTTTGCGGCAGCGACACGGTCACGGCGGCGTCGGTGGCGTTGGAGAATAGGGCGGAGCTCATGAGGCTGAGGCTGACGTTGTGCGAGAGGTCCTCGACCGCGCGCGGCACCGACCCGCCGCGGCACATCCACGGCGAGAGGATGCTTTGGAACCCGCTGCTCGCGCCGCTACCGCTGCATCCGCCCACCGTGTCGTTCATGATCTCCGGGCATGCGGGTATGCCTGACTTGAAGATGGACGTGTCGGCGCCGTTGAGGGAGCAGGTCGAGCCGTAGTAGACGCTCGTGACGATGATGTCGGAGAGGGCGGAGTAGAGGGACCAGTAGGCGATTTCGCCGGGCGCGTAGTCGGCGGTGGCGACGCCGGACCCGTTGATGGCGAGGGGGGAGACGGGGGAGAGGTCCGTGATGGTGGAGGAGAGGGTCCCGGAGAGGCTGACGAAGTCGACGGTGTAGGAGGCGTTCCACATGTGGCACGAGTAGTTGCGGCCGCTGGCGCCGTTGGTGTTGATGAAGAAGTGGTTGGGGATGTAGTACGTGTCGAGGACGCTCATTGTCTTGCCGATATAGAGCTGCTCGAATGTCGAGGACTTTTTCATGTCGGAGTACATGGACTCGTTCCAAGCTTTTTCTAGCGTTGTCGGGTCGTCCAGTTTGATGGTGTTGTTGGAAATTGCTGCGGAGAGGGTTTCGCACTTGATTGCCGGTGCGTAAAAGTCTAGGGTGTACGAAGAATTCGGAGACGGAGCAGTAAAAGGCAGGATGGCGATAGACGAGGACGTCGTGGCTATCAGACGATTGACGGCGGCTGAAGGCGACTCGATCCGGCCTACACCTTCAAAATTGACCCATGTGATACCCCAAATTTCGTTGCCGTATGAGGGACGAGGGACCCTCATTGAAGAAGTGTCATTGGATAGACCAGCCCGGACTGACAGAGTTGCTGGAGTTATCGTGGCAACGATGGGGATGCACCTGAGGGAGATTAACGATGAGATGCGTCAACATGTTCTGGAAAACTTACCACATGCACGCCGCAAGCAGGCATAGCAGCTTAGCGCTGATCAGCACCCGTGAGCTGAAGAACGAAAAGGGGTCTGTTGTAAGAGAGAAGGCATCGTCCAAGTTCTGCAGGCTCAGCACTCTCTTCTTCACCGTTACCCATAACCGCTGTGTATATGCTACGCCAACCGAGGCGGCTAAAGATGTTTTGCACAGGAAGGCAAGGCCAGTTCCAATTCTGATGGCCCATTGCTGACTAGTCTCTGTGGAAACGGTGGTACCGTCCAAAGACTGATAATGAAAGTGGTGCCCCAAAGCAAATGCTATGCCAGCGATGAGGAAAAACATCATGAGCGTCGGTGATCTCCAGTGGATTCTCCATGATGCTGTCCTCGATGTACGGCTATCAGTTGGCTGGAGCTGGGTTGCATCTTCGATGAAGTGAGATTTTGTTGCTGGGTTGAGAGCGTTCGTGCTTTCGTGGAACGAAGGAGGATCATCCTGAGGCTGCGCGTGACCTCTGCCGAACCATCCAGAGACAGGACTGCTTGATCTACTGATCTCCGGGGCCGAATTGTCGTGACAAGGTGTGGCGCTTTGCTGTCGGCTCTGGCTGGCTAGGCCTTCCAGTTCGTGATTTGGGTGTAATGATCCCATTGTTGCTGCATCCACCACGGCACGGTTTTGGGCGGGTGCTGGTGGCCTTGGGAGACCAATATCAGGATTGGTCTTCCGCAACGGCTGTGCGGGGCGGCGCGAAGCGTTATATCAGTCCTGCTGACGCTCGGCAGTATGCGAGCCAAGCTCGGGGCCCGGGCACCCCGATCTGCTGCCTATTCTTACATGCGAGGGGATGTAACACAAAGAGAAATTCAAGCGGAAGGTCCTAAGATTCCAGCCCTCGGGTAACCAGTCAACGAGTTGTACGCATCCGCTGCGTTGTGTCGGCTCCATCTTGCTCCCCGCAAGTGGAACCAAGGACAAGGCTGAGAGGCTCGAAATAGAACATGGCGCTCTCAAAAGACGGGTGGAATTTCCAATGGTATCGTAGCCTTGTCCGACTAGCCGATGCACAGCCCTGTAAGAGGCGCGAGCTTATACCGTCGACCAATTGCATTTCAGCCCCCAAAATACCTATATTACCACCCACCATTTCGCCGCGCTAGGCGGCGAGGCAAAGCTAGTAGGCGGCGAGGCTGGTGGGCGGTGAGCCGATAGGTGGTAATAGGTATGGGATGCCAGTGAGTTCTCAGAGTTTGCGTACCATTTTATATATAAATCTGAGGTGAGCGACGGAGAAAAAGTAGCTTTCCCAGGGGGGGTCAAATTTGTGGACACCGTCAACAATAGCAGCACCTAAGGAGAACACAAATATTGGAACCGTGAACACATGCTTCAGTACGATTTCAGCTCCAACAGTATACCCAAATGGCCAGCCCGCCCAAACCCAAATACAACAGAACAACGAGCGACAAAGTGGTACCCGCAACGCCTCACCATCCTCAACTCCTTTACAATGCTTTGCCCCGCTCCTAATAGCCCCTTCCCACACCCCGCCGCCTCGGTTTCATCCCCCTCACCACCAACCTCTTCAACTCGTCCCAATACTCCCCTATCATCACGTCCGGATCATCCCTTCCCCAAACCTCATTATTCAAACAGATGACCTGCACCACCCCCACCGCCTCATCCACGCCCCTCTCCCGCGCAACGACATCCAGCCAATGAAGAGCGCGACGATAAAACCTCCTCGCCGCGCGACGCGGGCCCTCGTCCGCACTCGGCTCGTCGCGGAAACCCTCATCATGGTACCTCAGCACATTCAGATTCGTCGCGCCCTCGGCCAGCAGCGTCAACGCCGCGACGTCGAACGCCGCGCGCATGCTGCGTTCCCAAGAGCCGCGGACGCCCAGCACCGTGACGTCCCGCAGAGCCTCCCTCGCGGGGGCGACGGGCAGCGGTGCGAGGAAGGCGTGCAGGGCGCCGGCGTCGGCGAAGACGAGGGGCTGGCTGTACAGGACGCTCGTCGCCTCTGCGTTGATGCGGCGGGAGACGGCGAGGAGGGAGGGGGAGAGGGTGGCGCGGTGCGGTTTTGGGCGTTTGGCGTTCGGCGCGTAGTAGCCCTCGGCGATGGGCCAGCGGGCCATGGCTTGGGCGGGGTTCTGCTCGGTCCAGTGCGAGTAGTTGGCGAGGTAGGATTGCGGGCCGGCGTCGACGCGGGCGGCTTTGCGGCGGTAGCGGTGGAAGCGCTCTTCGATGTAGAGGGCGCCGATGGGGTCGGTGAGGGCGTGGGCGTAGATCATGTCGCGGAGCTCCCGGGGGAGGCGCATGAAGGGGAAGATGAGGTGTTTGGGGAGAGGCTTGGTTTTGGGCTTCTGTGGCTTCTGGTGGGGTGTGAGCTTTGGGGTAAATGGGTAGCGGTGTTCGAAGATGGGGCTTCTACCTTTCGAGGAGCAGTATCATAGTCGGAGTCAGAATCGGAGCCGGGGTCAGACTCGTCGATGAGTTCGTCGTCAGAGTCGATTTCGGCATACGACTTGGCTGGCCTGTTACGCATGCCATACGACCTTGGCTCGGCCGGTGCCGGATTTGGCTGGACGGGTGTCTGCCTCGGCTGGGTGGGTGCATCTCTCTTCCGCTTTCCCAAGGTTGTCCTCGGGGTAGAGGCAACGGATGCGGCAGGGACGGCTGGGGCATTCGAGGTATCGTCCTTGGGGAGCCACTTGTAAAGCATACCCGAGAGGCCCCTCATGGGGGTAGTATCGAACAGAGATGTAGAAGTAAACGACATTTTGGGTGTCTGTGGTGGTCTGAACGCGTAACTGACGCGGCATCAGCTGGTCCATTAAGTATCGAAATGCGGTAGGCCTGTGCAGATCGTGGCGTTGCTCGTTCTGGCTAGCGCAGGCCGCAGTCAGGCAACACCGCTCGATTCGGCTTAGTCCAAGGCATCACAATTCATGGCCAACACCTAGCTCCGGGGCAAGCCGGAGCTTTTCGTGAACAGGAGAGGGTGTGATGATGAAGCCATCGTCGCTTGGATGAAGAGGTGAGTGAGTGGATGGATGATGGAGTGCGACGGACGACGGTTGGACGTTTTGTGCACGAGCCACCCATGCGACACACCGGCCCGTTATTGATCCGTCAGCGCCCGGTCGCAGCCAGAACCTAGGTAGGAACACCCCATCGTTCAGCCTCCCAAGTCTGTCGTCATCGTCGCTAACACCACTGGCAACGCTCGCTGCATCGCATCATCGTCATCACTATTTTCGCATCCTCGCCACCTCGGGAGACGACCGACGACGGAGCGTGCACCTCGCCCGCGACGACGCGTCTGACGGAAACCCTCGGGACTCAGATGCTCGCAAGCAGCCTATCCGCCTAGCTTCTACTCACCGGACGTCTTTGAGAAGTTCCTCCGGTGAAAGAGCTGGGGGCTGCCAGGGGCTCCGGCCACCGTCTGCGTCTCTGGTGTCTCGGCTGGGCCATCACCCGCTGTCGTCGCGCGTCGCCGTGTCGCGCCTTCGTTCATCGGGAAGTCAAGGCTGCTCTACCCAAAGCCTGGGCGGGCGGGACCCTGTGCAATTACACAGGGGTCTCCATTTTCGGTTTCTGCCTTGTACTGATACATCTTAGATCTACCTCACCATATGGCGTCTTCCACCAACAGCCCCGCGCCGGCGCCACACGTTGCCGCCATGGCCGAATGGACATGCCCGGAACAACAGCGTCAACTCTACCTTGGACATCGCTATCCCGAGCCAACCTGCCATGTTGCATTCAGCATGCGCTTTGACGGACACACCCGAGCAGCTTTCTTCAAGCTCCGAGTGCCCGTCGCGCCCAAATGCCAGTCCAAGAAGACCAACATCTTCGTCTTCGTCTATCCCGAACGCATCTCGACACTCGAACAGTCTACCCCATCTGAGCTGCCGGAAGCCGTGCGGATTGCGTTTCCTATCTTATCCAATAATGCTATTCTTCAACTACGCTTCACCCTGTCCACTCCGTGTGCTATCATCGTTCCCGCCGAAACTCCACTCGCGCCCAAGTCCGCTGCCTCCGTGAATTTGCTCCGACGCGTTTGGTCTCTTACACAAGCTACACAGCTCACCGTATATTTCGCCGCCAAAGGCCAACCAAAGCACTCTCTCGCAACCATGTGTGAACTGGCAAGCACCAACAAGCTCAAGTCCGACCCCTCTGAACTGCGCCTGGAGACACTATACGCTGGAAATGGAGCCAAGGCTATCGAAGGTGTAGACCTGGTCTTCCCGTTTGACCACGAGGGTCCTCCAGAGAGTCCGCCTTCGTATGATGAGCTCGCCCTCCCTCCGCCGCCTAGACCTCAGGTTAAAGAGTCGCAGTCTCTCGGTGTGTGACACCTTTCAACTGTCTGTTACAGGCTCTTGCTAATCGTGTGCAGCCACACTAGAACCGCCCAGGAAGAAATCCAGGCTGCGAAGTCCTTCGCCTAATCCTGCTGCAGAGCTGGTGCAAAAGCAAGCATTACAGCTGATACGCGACGAGCTCCGAGAAGAGATGCGGCGTGAAGTGCGTGAACAGTTCCTACAATCTGATGAGGAGTGGCGCAAGAAGATGCAGGAGATGCGAGACGAAGTCCGGCAAGAGCTTGCGCAGCAGTTACGGGACCAGGCCAAAGAAGAGGTGACACAACAGATACGAGACCAGATTAAGGAGGAGGTCACGCAACATGTGCAGGCCGAGCTGCAGCAACTGCAAACTCAACACAAGGAGAGACTTCAAGAACTGGAGGACCTTATCGAGCAACGGACAGAATCTCTTCGGGAGGACTTGCTACAGGACATCGAGGCCGTCGCCGACGAGACGACCGAAATCGTCGATTTGCGTGTTGACGAGCAAATATTGAACATAAAAGATGAGCTCAAGGGATATATGGCCGAAGAAATAAAAGATGTGGAGGAGAGGATTAAAGACGATATCGAACAGGGCGAAGTCTCTTTCCAGTTCACTAGGTAAGTTTGGGGTAGCTAACAATAAATACATGTCGTTACTTGAAGTACCAGCTTCTGTGAGTCGCCTCGGTCGGCCTGAATCTTACATACGGCCTTTGTCCAGCTCAGGACGATTAACCGTTGAAACCCCAACCATTCAACCAACCACCACGCTCCTCTTTCGTTCGTATTAACTTTGATTTCCGTTCGGCGCTCGTCCGCAGCGCCCGCGAATTTCCCGGGTATGATGTAGAATGAAACAGGAAAGAAAAAGAGAGCTCCGGCGTTACGCCCCAGTCTCAAGGTAGCGGAAGACTATGATGGCATCCCATCGTCCGATCACACCAGCTTCGCGGAAGCAACGTGGAACCAGTCGCGCAAGTTTCCATAGAATACGCAAATTTGCTGACTTTGGGATGTTCGGATCCAAAAATAGCGATAGACGATTGGCTTTGTCCAGCAAGCCTGTTGGAACAGGACCGAGGATATACGACCGGAACTGACACCAGGATCGTGTGCCGAATAGGTAAAGGTGGTTCGCGTGCGTGTGCCGATAGATCAATGAGACTATTGTCGCATCTCCTTTTGCTGATGTCTAGGCCCCATGTGACGAGTGGGAGGCAGAGACGCTGTCGCTGTCGTATTTTCTGTTCAATCCGGATGGAAGCGTCAACACTCTCCGAATTGAAACGGGAAGCTGGCAGAGGGTTCTTACTTGCTCAGAGGGTCTTTGCTTTTACACAAGGCTCTCCCCGATCTTCTGTCGGCGCGCATTCGCGCATCCCTTCCATATCCATATGCCGGCACCCATGACGACTATGAGGACGATGAACGCGATAAGCACTTCCCATATCGTGGCCATGATGGGTCGTTTCGGCTGTTTGAGGAAAGGAGCTTTGTAGGTAGGTTTGAAGAAAACGATGGGTCCACTTAATCGGAGAGAGTGAAAACCTCAGGCATCAATTTCGAGCGGTTGGTCCGGTTTGATTCACGCTGGGGCTTGCTCTTCTATATCATGTCGCTCGGGGGCCTGGAATCCGGCCGGCACGTCTTGGAGGGAAAGCTTATCTTCTGATGCCATGGGTACGTATGGCGCGGGACCTGAAAGTTTCCGGGCCCGCGTGTTCGCGTTCCGGGGTGGTCGTGATGGAGGTGGACTGAGCCAGGCCGGCTGGGCAGAAGCAACGCCTTCCTATTGGTCGTCTCGCGTCGCCGCGTTTCGATTTGCTCTTGGTTCCTCTTCTGTACGCGCTGCGCCACTGTTACGCGTCCCTTCCTGACTGGTTCCAAGTGTTGTCCGTTTCGAACGATGGGGTCCCGCGGCGATCCGGATGGTCGCTGATCATCAGCCCAGGCTCTGGGCGGGTTGGCGCAGGCAACCATGGTTGGTTCTTCAACTGATAAGTATTGAGGGAAAACGAGGAGGGAAAAAAAAGACATCATGGTGCGGTGATGCAGAGTAGGACAAGATGGATAGGTCCCTAAACGCGTGGTTGACTTTTGCTCATGGTTGTGCTCTGGAGATGGGCTTGGCGGCCAAAATGATGATGTGCGCATTGTCCTTTGGTGTGTCCGGTGCTCCCGAGCGGGGAGCTGGCGCTCTGCCCCTGCGTAACTGGAGAACTGTAAGTTTTGCTTATTTGAACAGACATCCCCCACCTCGTTCTCCGTATATAAAGTGAAAAAGACCGACTGACAGCGAATCAACTGCAAAGGAAAGACTGCCTCAGCGGCGACAATTCAAACAAGCAGACTGCACATTCACGGTTTCATAAACATGCGCTGACGTATGACAGACACCAAGAACAATCAGCGCGAGTTTACATCAATCTTCCGGTGTCAAGGCAGTCTTGCAATTTGACGTCGTCGACTTCTGATCATGGAAACGTTAGGAATCAGGATGTACAGGATTTCGAGGCTCGGCCCACCTTTCCGCGGCATGTTGAACCCGAAAAAGACCTACGCGGAACTTTGAGCTCTCACCGGATGCGTCGCTCGCTATTTATCTTGTGAACGACTGCGCGCGGGTTCAGTGCGCATGGGAAAGCCGCTCAGCATTCTTCACTTGTACGACCCTTTTGAAGAAGCAAAGGGGTCACGAATTCCCGTCCCAAAAGAGTGCCCTACTTCGAAACCGAGTGCCGTAGGTGCATCCAGATGCGAACACCGAGAATCGTGCCATTGGACCCTGATGCAAGGTACGTGACGGCCAAAACCGGCCACCGGCAGCGAAGTCGCATTCCTCGAATGCCGACTTTGCACTTTTCGCAATGCTGCGATACCCAAAGGGGATGGAATCTACAGACTCATAGCGCTCAATAAAGTCAAGCTCAGTTAATGACACCAGCCGCCATTCTTTCCCGATGCATGACCATAGACGCAGCAGGAGGGTCGACTCCTGCGATATAAGAACCACCTACATGAAGAACACAAGAAACTCGTCAGCATCGATCAGGACTGTTCCTCGGCCATATTGCCCAACATGATGCTACCAACTGTGGCTACTCTACTTACTGTCGCGAGCTTCGCGGCTGGCCAAGTCACTACAACGACCTTCACAATCGAGAATTGTTTCACGAGCTATGACCGCGTGGGCTCCAATCTCACGTCGATCCCAACGTCGTCGACTGTGAGAACAACATCGGGCCAAGGATTCGCACGAGGAATCATTACTCCTGTGGTGACAGTCACTCCAGCTGTCAGCACCGAGACATCGACATCAGTGACAACCAGTACCGTCAGCGCCACCGCACCCAGTGTGGTAACAACGGGCATCTTGACTGTCACCACGACATTTACCGTGTCCTCCATAATCTCTTCTACGAGTACCTTTACCAGCACCGTTTCCGTGAACTCGACCACTACAATCACAGCCACGACAACGATCCCGACTCAAGACGGCTTCACCCCGGTTGCAGCCGACGTCATCGCCCAAAGCCAGATTCCCAGCAAGCACAAAAAGAAAAGATGGGGCCATCTCAACGCGCGCAACGTCTTGGACAGGATCCTTCTTGAGATTCCCCCCACGCAACCCGGTCCTCGCGGCGGTCGCCGCAGTCGCGACAGCCATTGCATCTTCAAGCATCTGCAGGCGGATCCGGCCCAAGAAACCGGCATCAGCCTCTACCCGCCCTTCTATCCCGTCTCCGTCGACTGCACACAGCTGGTGCGGGAAGACGTGGTCCGCGTGTACCCCAAGACCGGGAAGACCACGTCGACCATCACGGCGCAGGCGTCGACAACCACCACGACCGTCACATCCACGGCCACGACGACGACGACGATCGGTTCGGCACGATCGAGCGCCACCTCGACAGTCACTTCGTCGGTCACGACCGTCGTGTCGTCCACGACGACGTCAGTGGTATGTATCCTTTTAATCACCGGACAGGAAACCGGACATGGCCGCCATTCGCTAACCACGACACTCGACACACAGTCCACGACCTTCTCCACCCTCACCAACACCTTCACCGTCAACGCACCCCTTGCAACCCAATACGCCGCCTGCGCCGCCAACAACACCATCAGTCGCGTCAACGGCAACCCCATCGCGGCCGGCGCCCAAGATCTACTGGTCGTCACCACCGCCGACAGTGCGCTGGACTGCTGCGAAGTGGTAATTACGCCCCCCACGGCGAAGAAGGCATTCCGCTGACTCTCGTTCTCAGGCGCAAATGACGAGCGGCTGCACGACGTCGGCCTACTATGATGGTACCGGTGATTGTTTGTTGGGTAATGGAGTGGGGAATCAGACGAACGAGTTTTTTGCGACGGATGCGGAGGACGACGTTATTTTTTATATTTCTAATGGCGCGGGCAATCCGAGCGGGAACTGGTATTTCGGGGGGTTGTTGGATTAAGGGCGTTGGGTATGGTCATGCTCTTTGGTTGCGACGATGAGAGGGAAAGAGAATACAGATACTCGAAGGAGGGGGTTGAGGAATGATTATATCAGTTTCGTTTTTCATGAATCTGGAGAGTTTCAATGCTTGTTGTCGAGCTTCGGAGCTGCGATGGGGTTTCATTTTGGTTGAAGAGCAACATGCCTTTGACTCGGACAAACTGTTACGATACCGCCAGATCAAACCTGTCAGGGACCACCAGCGTAGGAAACGAGCCAAGACCCGGAAAGGACATGAGAGAGAGCAACAGCAAAACGACCCAACACCCTCCCATCAAACCCGTCCCACCAACCAACGTAACAAAACCCGGAAAACCTCCATCCACCCCGAACACACAAAAGCCCCTCCCCCAAAGACAAAGAGCACCCCTCTCAACAAATCCGAAAAATAACCATACACCCCTCCAACCCCCTCCCCGGCCCAGGCAGCTCCTCCACCACCTCCCCCCGCATAACCCCATGCACATACGCCTCGCCAACCAACCTCACCAACCCACCACTGTCCCTCTCCCCTTCCCCCTCCTCTTCCTCCTCCTCTCCTTCCTCTTCCTCCCCCACCTCTCTCAACAAAAACGGCATCTCCCCGCCCATCAACACAGCCACCACGTCCCCCACCCGCCCGCCCGCCGGCCCCACGCCCAGCCGCCCCCGCTCGGTGACGAACACCCGGCGCGTGGCGAGGACTTGAGCGATCTCTGTCGTGAGGGGGGCAGTAGTGGTCGTCGTCGTCGTCTTCGCCTGCGTTTGTGGTGACGGGTGAAGGAACAGCTCGAACAGGTCGGCGAAGGCGGCGGGCGCGGGGCTGGAGTACGATGGGGAGGGAGAGGAGGAGGAGTCGCCGGGAGGGAGCTGGTGGCGGTCGGCGACGAGGGTGCGCCAGAAGCGGTCGTCGTCGTCGTCGTCGTCGTCGTCGTCGGAGTGGCGGGTGCGCGAGCCGGAGCCGGAGGCGGAGAGGACTTGGTCGTAGAGCTTGCGGACGGTGCGGCCGAGGGCGCCCGTGTCGATGCGCACGTCGGCGGGGGCGATGGCGTCGCTGACGTGGGCGATGCGGTCGATGGGGATGCCGCCGGCCTCGAGGACGTTGGGGTCGGAGGAGGGTCCGATGCAGGCGGCGTAGGGGCCCGAGGCTTGGTAGACGGAGGGCTGCAGGAGGGTGGGGGGGCGGCTGGCGAAGAGGGCCCAGTCGGGCACCCAGGATGGGAGGGGCGGGGAGGACTTGCGGTCGGAGTTGGTGTTGGTGGCGAGGATGTTGAGGTCGCCTGTGGATTGGATGATGTATTTTGCTGTCTCGGCGTAGATTTGCGTGATGGACTTGGAGTAGTCGGGCACCAGCGCGTCACGGCATTCCTGCGAGGTGAGACCGAGAAGGGCGATCACTTTGTCCCTGAGGTTTGTGGCCTGGGTGTTGAGGTTGTATTGCAGAAGGTGCCGCAAATCCAGCTGGCTCTCCTTTTGGAACGTGTCGCGCGTCATGAACAGAGGATCGAGCCGGTATCCGGCCCTGATGGCGACGATGGCCGGCATGGGGAGACTGTCAACCATTTCGCCGGCGATGGAACAGATCTGCTGGAGTTCTCCGGCCGTAACGACCTGGCTGCCACACCTGAAGGTTGGTTCCTGCTTCGGGACTGCGTACTCTTGCAACACCCACGCGCGAGACCACCAAGGCCGTTGGACCAAGGCATACAGCGCGGTCCATGCTCTTTCACTCTCCACGCCTTCGGTCCTTCCGCGTGGAGTGTAGTCCTCGCCCGGGTATCTCCCAGATTCTGGGAAAGGAGGTTGATCGTCGAGGACGAATTCGAAATCCGCCGGCACTGTTGCCTCGTCGCACCCAGCCGTAACATCCCCTGCAATCAAGTCCATTGCAGCGTCGCTGTCGTCTTCGGTCGAGCCGAGCCACACGATGACGCTTGAAGCTTCTTGGTAGATGTCGCGCATCATCTGCACCTGTAGACTCTTCTCTTCGTTGTCCAACTGATTGATGCACACTGCGTCGATCCACAAAGTCCTGGGTCTGTCCGGAAGCCGCAGGTGTAGTAGAGCGCTGCACAGGTTCGGCGCGATTGGGAGGAGAAGGCCGTTGAAGCTGATCAATGTACCTGTGGACTGATCTCCCCAGGTGTATGACAATGCTTCATAGTACACACCACTCCCAAGCGTGACCTCACGCGTCTCGCAACGCAGTTGAGTGTCTCCAGATCCCGGCCATAGCGTAAGGATCCGGATGTTTTGGCCCGAGGCCAGCGGCGTGTACTCGTACATGCGTGGACACATGTGGGCCGGGACTGCTCCTGTCTTCTTCATGGCGGCGAACATGGATACCATTGTCTCGTAGAACGAAGACGGAGACATGACGCAAGTGATTTGGTCAGCGGGCAGATCAGACCGCTCTTCGCCCGGCTGACAAAAGACGATCTGCCGCGGGGGATTTCCAGTAACCGTCTCTTGGCTACCGCTTTCCTCATCTTCCGAGAGCTGACCAGAGGGCGCGACATTGTGGAGGACTTTTCCTTTCTCGTCAATGAACCTCGGTCCATCGTTGGGCCACCAGGAGACATCTATCATCTTGGCAAGGTCATCTCCGACGCTTGTTGCGCGAAGAACCTCTTCAGGGCTGCTGTGTAGAGGGTTGTGGCTGGAAGCGTCTTCAAGATCACGGACAGTCGAGAACAGTGGCACGTGATTGGGGGGTGCTTCCACGTCGGGGTCGATGATTGGTAGCATCAAATGGTTGTATCCGTGCTCGCCTGTCTTGCTCAGACATGAGCGGCAGGAATCAAGGTCGGCGCACTGATTGCATTTGTAGCGGGTGCCATATATGGTCTATAGGGCATCAGAAATGAACATTGCGTTTGGACTGTGGAGGAAGAGAGAGATAATACCTCACTGCAAAAATTGCAGAATGCGTCATGATGAGGGACATCGGGAGATTGCCTTCTCTGCTCCTTTTCTTCCCTCTCGAGTTTGACTACATCCCCGCCGAATTTGCACCAACCCATCTTTGAGACGGTATTCCAGCAATCAAGTGGCCGGTGGGGGAGCTCGTTGAGCCAGACTGATGCCGCGGGAAGCTCGAATCGGTTGACAATGTGATTGAATGGTCAAAGGAAGCCAAGTGACAACGAGAGCAGGAAGACAGCGTAGGAACCAGCGGGACTAAATCGAGAAGCAAACATTTCCCGCACTGGCGAGCATGTGTCGGTATTGGGGCACCATAATTGCTATCGCTGCCTGATGTTGTTTCAACCCCGCACCACCCCTGCTTTAGGTGACACTGCCGCTGCACGGCTTACGTGCAAGCCTAGTCTTGGGTCGAGCCGTCCAATCTGCAACCCAAGCGGGTACGAGAAAGCGTGCAGCTGACTGTCGCATATCTCAAAGTGCCAACTCACAGGCGTCAATAAAGCGATCGCACGTTTCGAGTACTGGTTGGCTCAGCAGAAGATTGGTCCGCTCCAACGAGAATGTATGGAGGCGATGGGCTGGCGATAGCGTAAAGTGGGCTGGCCAAGAAGGTCAACATTCAATCATATCTCATACCGACGGCGACCTATCAAGATGCTACGAGATATTGACCCGTTGCAGACAACTGGTCACGCCGTTGCCATCTGCAGGCTCAACGTACCCCATCTCCAGGAGATCAGAGCTTCTGTTGGAGGAACAATGTGTCGCTGTTTAGCTGAGACGCTTGAAATGATATAGTACATGAATCTTGCCGTAGCCTTATTCTTGAGAGGAACTTTATCCAAAGTATCCACCAATTGTGATGCAACCAATCGAACTGATACGAAGCTACATCCCTCCAGTCAACTTAAAAAGTACCTTTCCGAGTAAACCATCAGCGCCTTGAAGGAGTGTTTCTCAAAGTCAAGATGTATATATGCAAGAACCAAGCTACCTTAAGCCTCGGAATCAAAAGGGGGGCGGGTTTCTCAAGTAGGCGCCGGATTCAAACAGGCAGGAAAGGCACGAGTGGTAACAGTTCCATGTCCGCACATGGTCATAGAAACTATATGGCTGTGATCAAGTCCACCTCCAGTCTTCGGAGAAGGATGCTCGTATATCCGGATATGTTATATGCATTATCAGCCTACCTTACCACATCGGGAACATCGGCACGGCAAGCCCGCAGTAGCTGGCAGACGTGCATTCGGCCCCCAATGACTGCGCCGGCGCCGGGCGCAATCTCGCCCCGGCAGCCGCCCTATACAAAGACTGCACGTAACAACTGGTCCTGGATTGGGTCCCGGGACACGCCAGCCGCGCTTCGGACCGACCCGGCTGGGATCGCTCATTCGCCCCACGAACCGCGGTCGCAGCGAGTTCAGAAACCTAGACCATTCTGCCGAAACTGCATCTCAACCCATGAACCGATTCACGCGCCGCATAAGGAGACGATATCTATTTGCAATATGATCATTCATTTCTATTTACAGTTTCCCATCTCCTCGTCTCTATTATAAGTACTCTACTGCAGGTGCATAAAGTCATACTCCTTCTTCAACCTGCCGAAGCCGATCCTGGGCTGGTAGTCGGCGACGGCGTCGGCGCCAAAGTCGAAGACGGAATAGAACCTGCGCAAGAAAGTGGCGCCAATCAACGCAAAGCCACTGACGCCGCTGTCGTCAATGGGCGGCATGCACTGGTCGCCGGGGCGCACGAACTCGTCGCCGCGAATGGTGAAGACGACGTCGTCCTCGACGGCGCCGTCGCCCATCTGGAAGGCCAGCGCCCACGAGGCGTTCAGGTGCTGGCAGCCGAAGCGCTCCTCGCCGGTCAGCAGCTTCGAGTTGTTCCAGCCGAGGTTGTAGTAGACGGCGTCGACGATGTCGCTGGGGACGGAGATGCGGCCGGCGCCGGTGTCGAAGACGGCGCGGCCGGCGCCCCACAGCGCGAGGCTGGTGTTGGCGCCGATGGCGTTGCTGATGTAGCTGCCGTCGCTGGTCAGCGGCAGCTTGCCGTCGTTCTTGAGCACGATGGTGGCGTTGGTGCCGGTGGCGAAGACGTTGACGGCCCGCAGCGGCGTGCGCCACAGCTGGTAGGGGTCCTCCTTGCGCAGCGGCGCGAACACGACGCCGTCGTCGTCGGCGTACGTCGCCTCGTGGCTGCCGCCGAGCGTCAGCACGCCGTCCGGCGCGGCGCCCGTTTCCGAGACGTTGGTGCCGTAGAAGAGGGCGAAGCGCGGGGCGTCGAGCGCGCCCGCCTGCAGCAGCGTCTCGACCAGCGAGGCGGTGCCCTGCTCGGCGATGGACGAGAAGCCCAGGCCCAGGAAGCCGTCGGCGGTGATGAAGCGCCAGCTGCTGGCGTTGGCGGACAGGAAGGTCTGGTTCCAGCCGGCCAGGGTGCCGTGCTCGTCGGTGAAGAGGTCCGCGGTCACGTCGCCGGTGACGCCGTCGCCGGCGATGTAGCCGATGGTTGCGGATAGGCCGAGGTCGACCGACGTCGACGACGCCGAGGCGTCGTAGAGGGTGCGGTTGAAGCCGCTGAGGTCGGGGCAGGATGTGGACGTGCAGTCGGTGTTGGTGAACCAGGTCGTCGACGAGCCCGTGTCGAAGTGGAGACGGTAGGGCTTGGGCGGCGTGCCGATTTGAAATTCGACCGAGGCCTGGCGGATCGACAGTCAGTTTGGTGTGCTTTGTTTTTTTCTGAGCTTGCAACTGACATAAGTGTTTTGGATGTGGACGGGCAGGTCGACGACCGAGGCCGAGACGGCGACTGCAGTGGCCAGAAGGCCGGCACTTGTCTTGCCGATCATTGTTACAAACGAGTGACTGTGGGTGAAGGAGAGATTGGCGTGATAACGAACGGAAGTCCCAACTGCAGGTCTGTCCAAGTATATAAGGCTGTAAAGGGGTTTCTAAAAAAGGATCATGCTGTGGTAAATACGAGCCTCTCGGCCGTTTACTTGCCCCATCCGGTATGGCGTCGTCTGTGCACCCATCTAGCCCCGACATCTTCTCGTATACCGCGTGCCGAGAGATGCGCAGGGCTACGGATTACACCATGATATATCGTGTGTTGTATCTTCAACCACTGTACCCCACAACTGTGCTATTCTCCACCGACTTTGTCCGCGACGGTCATATCCTTCAGTTTTCGCTACAGTCGAGCCAAGGCAGTCGTCTCTTGGAGGAACTGAAGAGGCTATACACAATACGCCAATTCTACTAGTCGTTAGTTTGGGTCCGGTGGACACTGATGCTATCGTTACGCAATTACAATGAGGACGTGCAGCTGGCCCAGTGACTTGTTCGCTGCGTAAACCAATAATCTGTTTGTCTAGTTTATTCTAGTGAGCTGGCATTCAATTTCGACCTTTCAAGTGCATCGTCAGCAGTGTCGCAGACACTCGGCAAAGATCTGGGTCAGCGCCAGTTACACAGCCGCCGACCAAAGACGATGTGCACAAGGGAAGGCCGGGCGGGAGAGAGTGATGACCATGACATCAAACTCCCACACCCTGCCGCAACTCCGAGAGCACGTTCTTCTGGTGATGTTGCCGAAAAACGCCACCGCTCTATTGGTCCAAGTGGGGGATGGCACGTGCCAGATTTACCGTTCCGCCATATCCGTACGTGGCGTTGCGAGAGGCGCTTCACTTGTGCCATCTCCTCTCCGCTGCTTGATCAAGCCGCAGCGCAACTATTCCGCGACGTGCGTCGAAACCAGCCGTAGCCGCGGTGCTGATGAGGGGTGGGTAGGTATACCCCCAGCATGTGGCGGGGACCCCACATTGACGACCGCCACCCTGCATGCTTTCCGTCGACCATACACCGGCGGTGCGGAATGGAGGCGGAATTAGCCCCCACAAAGCAACACCAGATGCGGGGGTGCCGGGGGTGCCGGGGCTGATCCAGCGTGGTTGAAAAGAGCTTCGGTCCAGGGAGTTGATGCAAAAGGGCACGCCGAGGAAATCATGCTGCTCGACCGCCTTTCATTGCCGCTCCTCATCCAGCTCTTCTTTGCTGCAGTTGTCGTCCATGTGCTGCGCAACAAATATGGCAACGGCATCAACCATATCCCTGGGCCTTTCCTCGCGAGCTTCACCGACCTCTGGCGGCTTTGGATAGTATGGAAACGACGACCGGAAGTGGTGCACATTCGACTCCATGAGCGATACGGCAAGATCGTGCGCATTGGGCCGAAGACGGTCATCGTGTCCGACACGCAGGCCGCGAAGCAGATATACGCCCTCAACGCCGGCTTCGTCAAGTCCGACTTCTACCCCGTCCAGCAGACCATCGCCAAAGGCCGGCCCCTGCTCACCATGTTCAGCACCACCGACGAGGCCTTCCACGCGAAGCTGCGCCGCGCCGTGTCCAACGCCTACGCCATGAGCACCATCGTCCAGTACGAGCCGCTCGTCGACTCGACGACGACGGCCTTCCTGTCGCAGCTGGCACGCCGCTATGCCGACCGCGGCCAGACGTGCGACTTGGGCACATGGCTGCAGTACTACTCGTTCGACGTCATCGGGGAGCTGACCTACTCGAAGCGGCTCGGCTTCGTCGACCGTGGCGAGGACGTGGACGGCATCATCCGCGACCTGGAGTGGCTGCTGGACTACGTGGCCGTGGTAAGTCAGCAGCAGTCTTGTCTTCCCACACAGAAGAATCATCGTGAAACTGAACACACCCACTCCCCCTGCTCAGATCGGCCAACTCCCCATCCTCGACCGCCTCTTCCTCAAAAACCCCATCCGCCTCTGGAAGAGCGCGCACGGCTACTCCAACTCCAACACCCCCGTCGTCGAGTTCGCCAAGAAGCGCATGGCCGAAACCAGCTGGCGCGGCGACGTCGACGTCGACGTCCAAGACGAGAAAGGAGAACATGTCGCTGTCGCACCGCACCACCAGCCGCAAAAACGCGACTTCCTCTCCCGCTTCCGCGACGCCCACCGCAAAGACCCCGCCTTCATCGGCGAGGACCGCGTGCTCGCGCTGACCGTGGCCAACATGTTCGCCGGATCCGACACCACGGCCATCTCGCTGCGCGCCGTGTTTTACCACCTGCTGCGGCGGCCGCACGCACTGGGCAGGCTGATGGCTGAGCTGACGGCAGTGGAGGAGAGGAAGGCAAGGGAGAAGGAGGAGGTGATGGGGAGGAAGAAGATTGTGGAGGAGGTGGTGGAGGAGGAGGAGAAAGAGGAAGAGGGCCGGGATGGCGGCGAGGACGAGCAGCAGCAGCAGCAGCAGCAGCAGCAGCACTTCGTATCGCTGCGTTGGAGCGACGTGCGCGACCTTCCGTACCTGGGCGCCGTCGTCAATGAGGCGCTGCGCGTGCACCCGGCCGCCGGGCTTCCGCTGGAGAGGATCGCGCCGGAAGGGGGTGTCACGCTCGCCTGTGGCACCGGCGGTGGCGGCGGTGGCGGTGGCGGTACCACGTTCCTGCCTGCCGGTACGAATGTGGGCTGCAGTGCCTGGGCGCTGCACCGCGAGTCGAGCGTGTTCGGCGCCGATGTGGATGCGTTCCGGCCGGAGCGCTGGCTCGAGGGGTCGGAGGCGCGCAGGGCGGACATGAGAAACTGCCTGTTCGCGTTCGGGGCGGGCGCCAGGACGTGCGTCGGGAAGAACATCAGCTTGCTCGAGATTTACAAGCTGGTTCCGGCTGTGCTGTTGAACTTTGAGGTAGGTCTCTGGTGTCCGTGTGCTTTGCTGTCGAACTGACTGGTGGGGTCGGCAGCTTGAGCTCGTCCGGCCGGACAGGGAGTGGACAATTCACAACGCGTGGTTCGTCAAGCAGACCGGTTTCTTTGTCCGGCTTCGACAGAGGGGCCGGGTAGGAGGTGGGTAGGCGCCATGTTGGGTGACTTCGTGTTTAGATGGAAGGCCTGGGGCCCCGGCTGAAGCAGGTGATATCAGAAGATGCACGGTATGCTCTCTCCATGTCAGCGGCCCCGTTTCCCCTCTATTACTGTGGGCTACCGACAGTTTGACCCTTCTGTGCACCACACAGGACGCTACGTTTTTCTTGCGGGATCAGCTGAACCAGATGTCGTAGCGTGTACTGAATCATCCAGGCCTCGAGGCTCACTAGCCACGTTGTATTTCTGTAAGACAGATTCAAGTGGACCCCGTTCTTTTGCAACTACCATGCTGGCATCGTGAGTGCAGTTTCCGGGGCCAAGCGATATATACGAACGGATATTGCAATGGCTGCAAATCCGCGGCGGAAGGAAGCGTCGAGAATGTTCGGTGGTTAAGGGGCGATATTGCATCTCACGCGAGAAGAGCTGTGTTTGCCAGCTGCTGTGCCACGACGGGATCCACTCCGGCCTCCCTGACGAACGAGGCGCTTCGGTTAAGCCTGCCATACTCGATTTGGGTCCACCGAGCGCAGCCTCTCCGAAGCGCCCGCACAATTGCCGATGCCCCCCACGGGACGGGATCGGTGGCTTGCGAAACACCACATTTGGCGCTTGTCCATTCCACTTCATCTCCCGCTACAACAGTTGGTACCGGCCGCCTTGCTTCCGGTTGCGAGTCACTTTTCCCGAACGCTAACGCTTGAGTGTGACAAGCATACAACGTGGCGCTCCGTGGCACATGCGTGCGGCCGGAATCTCTTCGCCACATTGTAAGCAAGGACGCACAGATGGTCAGGCATCCCATCCACCATATATCTTCCGCTCTTGTATACACGGGGTTTAGGCGAGTGAAGCCAGAACAGTGGAATGCCAGGGGCGACTCGGATCACCATACCGCCAGATGGGCTCGATTCGACCCTGGGCTTGGATCGATGTTGGGATGCTGCTCACGGCGAATGCCACAGCTCGAGCCGTCGCAGTCTTTAGGCGAGAGATGGCGGAAACAATGGCTGAGACCGGAGAATAACGGACCAATGAAGGAAGGCTTGGCTGACAGTGCGCGTTTGGAACAAGCAGGCCCGCCATGAGCAGCCAAGAAAGCCAAGTCCGCCAGACTGCATTCTTAGCGGACTGCCAAGAGCAAGTGGTTATGGAGCGCCGCCCCCTGCCAATTTGACGGGGCTCGCTAATCCACAAACCCCACCCCCGAGCCGTGTGAGACACTCAGAGCCCCTCGGGCGCCCGTCAATTGCCGCTCCTGTCGATTCTCACCGGGAGCTGGTTAAGGTTGTTTTCATGGTTCTTCAGATCCAGGGCGCCTGAGAGGATTGGCGCGAAGGGCCGCGTCAACACCATCACTGCAAGTTTGGAGACGTCTAAAGCGCCTATCCGAAGCCTACAAGACTAGACGTTGTATGGCCAATGACTCGCTGCGCCAACGGAGCATTTTCAGCACCATCTCTCAAGCCAACGGAGCCATATTGCTCCCGAAGCTGTACACGAGGTTTCAAACCACGAGGCTCCACACCTGCCCATTCCCGATTAGTTCTCGGACGGCGGATCAGCCCAGACTCTCCGCCCACCGGACTGAAGCGTACTGCATGTCGATATATAAGTCTCAGTTCAGCCGCTCCACCATGTTTCTATCCAGCACCAAGTCTCTCACTTCCTTCCTCACTTCCACTCTTTCAAGCAAATCTTCGGATAGATCTGTGATCATCCCTCACCTTCGTTACCAACAAATCATACAAGATGCAGTTCACCACCGCCCTCATCGTCTCCTTCCTGGCCGCCACTGGCATGGCCGCCCCCTCGGCCTCGCACCACAAGCGCGCCAACTTCCCCATCCCGGCCTCGCGCGGCTCTCAGACCTTCTCCGCCGCCAAGACCGTTTCCGGCACCTTCGACGGCGGCTACAAGACCTACGGCCGTGGTGTTTCCTGCACCGGCCAGAAGGAGGGTGGCAACAAGGACGCCGTCTTCCTTCTCGAGGATGGCGCCACCCTGAAGAACGTCATCATCGGCGCCGACCAGATCGAGGGTGTCCACTGCCTGGGCAAGTGCACCATCGAGAACGTCTGGTGGTCCGCCGTCTGCGAGGATGCCCTCACCTTCAAGGGCAACGGTGACGCCACCGTCATTGGCGGCGGTGCCACCGGTGCCGACGACAAGGTCCTCCAGCACAACGGTGCCGGCAACATCTCCATCAGCGGCTTCACCGTCGTCGACTTCGGCAAGCTGTACCGCTCTTGCGGCAACTGCAAGCAGAACGGCTCCCGCCGCAACGTCAGCCTCAAGAACGTCAAGGCCTACAGCGGCAAGTCCCTCGTCGGCATCAACTCCAACTACGGCGATGTCGCCACCTTCTCCAACACCTGCGCCACCTCGGTCAAGGAAATCTGCGTCGAGTACAAGGGTACCAACAACAACAGCGAAGAGCCCAGCAAGATCTCCTCGGGCCCCTCCAAGAACTGCGTCTACACCAAGCTCTCCGCTTGCTAAGCGTCTCGCCGCTTGGGACATGCCCGGGCTGCCTTTGGATAATGGCTCTAATCAGTACATAATCTTGCTCCCTTCTTTGTATCTACTCTTCAACACAAAAATCATGTAACTAGAATCGACCCGTGAGGTTGGAATAGAAGAGGCTTGCCTCACCACTAATTCTTTGGTCCTTTATGCATATTTGTGAAACAAGCCGTGCCAGTGATCGAACCCAGCAGCAACCGACGGGCCAGAACCAATCATTTGCCTGCCAGATCTACCAAAAATTCCCATGACTGCAGTCCTTTTTTGTCTTATCCGAGCGTTGGATGAAAGAGACACGAACAATATCAGTGGTGGGTGACAATACCAAGGTTGGAAGAACAATACTAACGTTTCAACCCGCCAAGACTCCCTACACTCCCAAGAAGCATGCGATGCGGATTGTTCCTTTATTCGGCCGCGTACAAAGTGGTGAAGACAATTGCCACGACTTCCAAATGGAAAATGTCGTGGAGTAGTACATAAGGCGCATCGGGTCCAACTAGAAAGGAACCACCACAGTGATCACCACGCTCATTACAACCCAACCACACTCTTTTCAAGTAAGTTTGACCATCTACAGAAGCCAGCCATACCTTTACTGACAACTCATATAGCCAACCAACAAAACTCAACCAAAATGGGATTGGGAAAGAACTGGAACCCCGCACAGGCCATGAGTGGCCCGAAGACGCCCTGCTCTGGAGGCTTTGGCTGCGTCATCATGTAAATCCACCACCATGCCAAATCTGCCTTCTTCCACACATCTCTGCCGATGTCGATGGGGTACAAAGAGTGCAAGATGTATACTATCTTAATGCGGCGTATCAATACAACTCCGTATTTTTCATCCTACCATGCTGAGCAGCTTGTTTTCCGTCAGGTTATAGCTCGGGGGATTTTGGCCCTGGACCTATGTGCATGAGCTGAGCATAATTTGTGACTAATTCGTTCAGTCGAAATGTCATCACCTTCGAGTAATAATGCACCACCCATCCCTTTAGATCTATCTGCCTGTTCCTCTGCTTCCGTTGCCTCTTTCGCGTAGCTGCATCGAAGTCAAGCATTTGTCTCCGTCCGGCTGATGAAGCGGAGAAGCTGGTTCAGGTGGGGTAGGTAAGCGTCACACCACAACTCTACGCTGATGTCTGCAAGCAGCCACGTAATATGTAAACCAGAGACTCCAAAAGATTACTGGAATCCCGAGTCGCTTCTCTTTTTCCCCATGTACTAAAATCCAGCACACCCTTCGCCAATCACTTGCACCATGTAGCACTTTCCGAGGGGCTATTGCAGGGCGAAAACGGAGATTGTGTCAGCATTGCTGCCCAACTCCGCGCAATAGTCTTATCTCATTAGTGCGAAACGTGTTGGCCTCTGGAGGGGTGTGGGGTCAAGTCTGGTCAGCCCCGCATGCGACAGCACCGTTTATAAGCAAGCCTCACCTTGCCCATCATTATTTGTAGCAAAATTAAAGAACATCTCGAAACATTCATCCCTTGAGTTTCCTCCGATTGCCATCCAATGCCACACTACACTCTAACAGGGATCGTCATTTTACTTCAAATAGTAATATGCATAGGCTCTCAGACCACGCAGGACTGCAACCAGTACAACAGTCAATTCTCTGCTATAGTGGCTTTTGGAGATTCATTTACAGACAATGGTGCATACAAGCATGCCTCTTCCTTCTTTGCAAACGTGTCGCTTGACAGTTCGAACAGGAAATGGCTCTTGGCTTTTGTCAAACAAAACCTGGCCTGCAAATCCCCACTAGTACGTTGAAATCTTCAGATTGTTCGTGAAAGCCGGAAGTAACAAAAAATCACAGCTATCAAGGGCAATTCTCAAACGGCCCTATTTGGATTGATTACGTTGCCTCCAACCTTTCTATCCCCCTGATCGACTACGCAGTAGGAGGCGGCAAGTAAACTACTACCCTTATTCAAAAGGTACAGACTCTGATAGCCTTCAGCAACGACTTCCAACCACCTGGTCCAGGGCTACACAGGCCCCAACTCAACCATTCCGGTTCTTTCCATCGATAAACAGGTCTCTGTCTTCTTAAAGGATCCTCCAAGTAACATCACAACGGACAACCTTCTCTTCGTCCTCTACGGAGGTGCCAACGACATCTTATTCAACCCCAATATCACGGCATTGCAAAGCTTCCAGGAAATAATAGCCAGTAAATCAAAACTCTCTTCCAGGTTCCCAAACGCCACATACCTGTTCCTGGACTATCCCGACCTCAGCCGAATCCCGTACGCTTTCTACATCACCTGGCTCGGGAAGCAAGGGCTGCGTTCATTCAGCCAGGGGCTCAGCGCCCTGTATCGGCAGACGGTGATGCAGAACACGCTGGAAGTCTCATCCCCCGTCGTCTACGTCGATTTGCAAGAGCTTTTCGACCGCTGGGACTACTATGCAGAGCCGCGGAGTTACGGCTTCGATCCATTGGGGGCGTATGGGAGCTGTTTGGTAGGCGTCTATCAAGAGACGGACAACGTGACCTTGTGTCCTGTGCCGGACGAGAGGGTTTTCTGGGACGAGTACCAGTAAGTTTACTCCACTTTCGAAATGCTATCAGACGCACTTGATTCTGATGGAATGACAGCCCCACGAGTCATGCGCATTCCTTCGTTGCGCTGAAAGTACTCGATGCGTTACGAGTTCACGATATGCGTACGAAGAGATGAGCCCCGTAATGTGATCCGGCTTTGAAGGGCTGTATGGGCTAGATATCGGAAAAGCATGATATTCTTGGCGAACGTGGTACTAATTCTTACATTCGACACGTGGTTTTGACGGAAGTGATACAAGTTCCATAGCATCGATGGTAGCACAGTAGCTCCACCTCATCTGCACTTCCCCCTCCCCACCAAAAAAGAAATAAAGAAACCCCCCTTCCCCTCCCCCTCAACAAAACCCCTGCCAAATATCCCGATGCTCCCCAGCCTCATCAAACGGAAACAGCGCCGACGAATCCCACATGGGCAGCCGCGCCTCAAGATCGAAATCGACAAACGGCTGATCGAAAAGCAGCATATCCACCGGAGGCGGCGGGTCGCCCTCCTCCTCCTCCGCAAAAAAACCCTCTCCAGCCACACCACCACCACCACCCCCCGCAGACGACGGCCCGCCACCCCAGCCAGCCCCACCCCGCGGCGGCACTGGCTGCACCGGCCTTTTCCCATGATGATCCCGGATGGACGTCGCCGTCGCCGTCGCCGTCGTCGACATCGCCGCACTCTCTGATCCGCCCATCTCCCGGGGCGGCGGCGGCTGTTGCACCGACGACACGGACAGCTCGACGTCCCACACGCGGGCGATGCTGCGGACGGCGCGCAGCGCCCTGGCGCTCCAGTTCCACGCGGCGCGCATCTCGTCGAGGGCGCGGCAGAGGGCGCGGAGGGCGAGGGCGGCGCGGGCGCGGACGTCGGCGGCGTCGGCGGTGGCGGCGGCGAGGAAGATGACGGCGGCGGTGAAGGCGCAGTGGACGGCCGAGACGGGGATTTTGCGCTGTTTGTGTATATTAATGATAAAGCATTTCCTTTTTTTTGAAAAAAAAAAATACGAACTCTTCTCCCGGCGGGTTTGTTGCTGTTAAAAGGACGGGACGGATTCAAGGAAAATGACTTACCAGCGTGTAGTGCCCTCGGTACCAGCGGAAGATGGCGACGATCCAGTCGGCCGAGTTGCGGCACATGGTGGCGTGGATGCTGCCGTCGCGCAGGCCGCCGAGTTGGCCGTTGGCGGCGCGGAAGGAGGTGAGGAAGGGGCGGTGGAGGAGGATCATCGTGGTGTGGTACTGCATGCTGGAAAGGGGGGAGTTCTTGAGCGTTGGTTGAGAGCGGGGAGCGGGGGGGTTGTGGACATGTACGTACTGCAGCATATACACGTTCGGGGGGAAGACGTCGTGAGGGGATCTGGTCAGTTTGAGCGAGGTGGGCAGGCTGTTGTAGAAGGCCACCAGTCGAAGGTTGCCGTCTGACACGATGGCTGTTTGGTTCTCTGTCTTGCCGGATGGGGCGTAACTGGTGTCCTCGTGAGCGTCGTCGCCTTCAATAGTGTAAACGAACAGTTGATGCGGCTCACATGGAGTCAAGCAGCTCTGCCGACGCTGTGAAAAGCTCGCACGTGTAGATGGTGCAGCTGACGGTATCCAGGCCACGGGACGCCGGTTTGGCCGGATTTGCTGCAAAAGACTGGGGGCAAGGAAGAGTTTCTTCTGAAGAGTCTTTGGACGGCATCTTTGCCGTCACGTCTCGATCTCGTATCATCGACGGCCTGCCCAACCCAACGGTCCACAACCTACCGCAGCATCAGTATCCCCCAATGCTCGAGAGAGGTGGGTGGAAGCATACTTGTCGAGGACATAACACCCCCACCACGTCACACTGCGGACCTCGGCCTCTTCGGCCGTCATCTCCCCGTCATTGACGCAGCGAGAACAGTCCAGATGTAGACCGAGGCTGATTGCCATTCTGATAGCCATACCGCAGTACATCCAGCCAGAAGCCTCCTTATCTACTGCCGCTCCGTACAGACTCAGGATAGCGGTAGCTTGGACGGTGGTCATGGTGGGTGTATCACATTCATGTAGCAACATCTGCTTAGCCTCGGCCGCGAAGGCATTCCCGGCTGTGTTGGGATCGCTCGGGTCCGTCCTGAGCTCGAGCCTATCAGAGTACCGCGATGCGATGGCGTACATGGCGCAGACCAGCGAAGGAGAGGAGAATTCGTTCGTTGAGGACGACAGTAGGAAGGCGTCTCGAGCAACAAGTCGCTGCCACGAGTTCTGCCATGTCCAGAACAGGTCCAACAGATGAGTCTGGAGCTCCTCGGATACGCCGTCAAGAATTGACGGGTGCTGGGCATCGCGGTGATGATGGTGGTGATGAAAACGACGGCCCGTCTCTGGCGAGGAGCTCGCGCGATGCGGCATGCCGCAACGAAGCAGGTTCAAATTGCTCCGGGAGCCTAGGTAGCAGATGCTGCCACCGTCACCGATGTTGAAGCTCCCCAACGTGTCCGTGATGACATCCACGTCGAGATCCGAGGCGCGTGCCATGCTAGTGCCACCTGATCTGCACCGGCTCGTCCCCGCAGGCTGCGCATCTGCATTGCGGCTTTCGCGCCGGGCGGCGGCCAGCTCCTGCTCCAAAGACTGGATACGAGCTTCTAGAGCCCGCACGTAGTTTTTGCTCGGCGGCTTGCGGTTATGGCCCGTCTGCGAATACTCACAGCTTTGGTTACGCAGCCGGCAGGCGGAGCATTGCACCGTGTCTCCGTCGCACTGGGCAGATGGGGTCATGATGTCAGCACGAAAGTATCGTGAGGCCGAGCTGCCAAGGAGCATCACTCACCTTGGTGCGCCGGATGCGGCATCCCTGGCAGGCGGCTGAAACTCGTTGTCGCGGCTTGTTCATCATGGAGCCTTTCCCCCGTTGTGAAACGTGCAGGCGTGAGACCGGCTTTGGAAGGGGCTACTGATGAGTGCATGCGTGCTCGAGTCATATCTTCAATAGACTTGGCTTCAGATAAGTCAGTTTTAGCTTAGTAATGGCCCGCGCTGTCTATGCATACTCACAAGGCTCACGTACAACAAGTCAGTCTTCAAACTCTTTAATCTGAACAAACTCAAACAAGAAGACTCATACAGGGAAGATTTTGGCTACGGGAGTGTACCACAGTGGGTGACAAAAAGAACTGGCCCATCTACATGCATGATGGAATTTTATACCGGATGCATTTATTCAGTTTGATACTTATATTTACGTTGGAACATCTGCTTCGCCTCATCATGAAAAGATGATTGCTTAACCACAAATCTACGTTGCGATATCTGCTTCTACTATCCATGTAGAAGATTGTTACAGATCAATTCTTCGGCACTCACCGCGAGTCCATTCCACATCCGACTTCATCCACTGCCACGCCATTCTCACTTGCTAACAGTTTGTTATAGAAAACATGGTTGTAGAGATGATTCGATTATTTCGGTTCAATTAGATAGAATACATGTCGTGTTTGCCATATAGTCATATGTGTAATGTCCCTTCGACAAGCATGTGCTCATCCTCTACTGCTTGCGGTGCAGACCACTGCTGTCTCCCGTATCGTGAATGGCATTGGGAACGGCACGCTCGACACCCTCAGGAAGCTTCTCTTGAAGCTTCTGAGGGACGATAGAAGCGGCACCACCATCCTTGGCGTGTGTCTTGTTGGTGGATTGGCCCGGGTTAGAGCCAGTGGGGTGAATCTGGAGGTGATCAGCACTTGAGACCAGGTGGCAGTGGTGTTGCTACTTACGGAGTCAGGAAGAGATTCCTCAAGCCCCTGAGGTGCCTTCTTCTGCACCGAGCCGGGTACCTTGGACTCCCCAGAAGCGTGCGAAATGCCTTGGCCGGACTGGTTCTGCATGATGTATGGTTGGAGTGAGAGTTGGAATGGGTATTTGGTTTGTTTGATGAGTGCGTGTCAATTGATTGATTGATGATGATTAACAGCTCAGGTTGAGGTTGTTTATATGGTAGCTACTTGGGTGGTGACGTAGTGAGTCAACACAGAACTAAGCCATGCATGTGGCGGAAGTCGTGACGTAGCAGATGCGTTCCTGTCACTGTCACCTGTCGAGAACTGTCACCCCAACGACGGAACCGCGGCCTCACATGGTAATCTCTTTCATTATTGAAGGAGTATAGCCAGTGCGGCCCAAGCCTTTTGCAGTTCCAGATTGCACCGATCGAGCTGCACAGCCCCGACCAAAGTTTGGAACACTGCTGCCTTCCGGATGCGGCCGGCTGAGCCGTTCGGGGTCTTTTTCATCCGCCGGCCTAACTTTGAAAGTCAAAGACATCATCACTCACGTCTTGTTATGGAACTGTCGTCCTTCTGCAGACGTCGTTTGTATCCGAGCTCGATGCCAATGTGCGTCATTCATGAGTTGAGAAGAAGGCCTTTTCTACATCATCACTCTCCTTGTCCAATCTCTTCATGTGCGACTGCTATTGATCTCGAGCAATACGAATGCAAACTTAAGTCAAAAGTTTGTCGGATTACACACATTGCGTGGGATAGTCACGCTAAGTTCTCCAAGGGCTTCTTTTTCCCAACATTCGTCTCCTCATTTGCCCGCCTTCTCCATTCACTGGTGCTCAGCTCCCCATCAACAAATCAATTCCACCTAACACTGAAGTAGAGCACAACGCAAATTAGATGATTCAAAAGGACTTGGGAGCGCCCCGCCTCAAAAACCAGCGAACTCATGGAGCTTCTGATACACATATTGGATCCGTTCCTGCTCAAACTGCTTCAGTTCATGTCTTGCTTCTTAGTCGAAAATGCATTGAAGCCATACCATCACACAAAGGGCCCATTTCCATGAAGACGATGCGTTTGAAGCCTTACCGTCCTAGCAAATAGCCAAAAAAAAAAAAAAAGAAAAGCGTTACCCTCTAAGAAAGATTTACGCTCTTTTCGCCTCCACATACACATCTTTCTTCTACAAAAGCAAACCCCCCCATCTCCCCCAACCAACTCCACCCTCACGCATACAACCTCCCCCTCACCATCGCCTTCACCTCAAAGCTCGAAAACGAACAGTGCCCCACCTCCCCCGGCCCCCACCCGGCCGGCTCCCTCACGACCCCCCACTGCACCGGCAACACCGACGCATCCACATCGTCCTCGGGCGGGTGGCAAGCGGCGCTGATGGTCGCGCTGCAGCTGCTGGCCAGCGGCATGCCCGCGGGGTAGCGGCGCAAGGCGAGTGCCAAGCCGCCGAGCATGATGAGGCTGCCGACGGCGACGGTCAGGATGATGGCGACGGGGGAGTAGCCGCAGGTGGAGATCTGGCGGGCGGCGGCGGGGTCGCGGTCGGCCTCGGCGAGGACGGTGACCTGGACGAGGAAGAGGGACTGGCTGGCGAGCCAGTGGAGGAGGCCGCTGGCGACGAGCAGGGGCGCCGAGTAGCGGTAGGGGAGGTGCAGCCAGTAGGTGCTGCGCTGGCGGCCGGCGGGGCACGTGACGCGCAGCGGCTTGCGGTGGGCGAGGTACTGCGTCCATTCGCGCGTGAGGAGCATGCACGTGTAGAGGGCGTTGAAGACGAGGTAGAGGTACGAGAGGAGCGCCTGCGGCAGGTTGGCGAGCAGCACGCTGCCGAGCACGCTGTTGCCGACCGAGCCCGATATGAGGTTGTTGCCCAGGAGGTCGCCGAAACCGGTGTGCCAGAGGGCGCGGATGTCTGTCGGCATGCCGGCCAGCGTCCGCTTGATGCTGACGGCGCCGATGATGAGGGCGACCGAGTACATGAAGTAGGTGGCGAACCAGCGCGTCTTGCTGACGGCGAGCCCCCAGAACGGTCGTCGCGAGCTGTACCGCTCCGGCTCCACGGCCACGGCCTTTGGGTCGCGTAGGTCGTTGTGTCGCATCCACTCCCACTCTTTCTTGAAGACCTGGCGCGAGTACAGGCAGCGGTCCTTGGTCTCCGGGTCCGGATCGTCGAGGAAGGAGGCGATGGCGTCGCCGATGGTGGCCAGAAACGTCTGTCGGTACTTCCACACGATGTATCCCATGCAAACGGTTTTGATGATGTTGCAGACGATGACGGCGGCGGCGATTGCGAAGCTGAACTGCAGCCTGCAATGCTCCTTGACCACCTCGGCCAGGCAATAGCGGGCGGGCGAGCCGTACGGGGCCCACTGCGGCTGGCTCTCCAGCACGTCGTAGTCTACCTGGGTGCAATTGTCCTGCCACGGCGGCGGGCACTGCCAATCCCAGGCCGGGAACACGTTCGGAGCCGAATGGAAGGGGATGCTGGTGCGGCAGGATGTGAGCGAGGCGTCTCCCTGCTGGCGAATGCCGTCGATGGCGCAGTCGAAGGAATCGAAGGTAGCGTTGCCGGCTGTGAGGCCGTGGAAGTCGATTTCATCTTGGACGACGAGCACGTGGCCGTACTTTGAGATGAACTGCTGGGCGTAGTTCTTAATGCACCACTCGGCAGTCATGTTCTCGTACTGGATCTCGCGGCGTTGGATTTTGTCCCTCAGTTCGGTCGCGTTCGCCACGAGGGATCGAGTGTAGTTGGCGATGTCGACTGCAACGACGTCGTCGGTGGAATTCCGCGTCCAGATGTGGTCCGGGACGAGCGCGGTGGTCTTGTAAGTGCCGCCATTCAGGAAGTCCGGGGTGGCGGGGATGACTTGATACTCGTTGGCCTGAATGTTGGCAAAGACAACCGAGTTGAACCTGGCACACGGATCAGCTGAGGGGCGTGGAGTGCGAGCGAGAGGCTCACAAGAGATGCAGCGGAACGGAGCTGACGGCCAGGAGGAGGAACAGATTCCGGCGGTCTTTGGCGATGTAGAGCAGGTTCCGAAGATTGGGCACTCCGATGTGCAGCCAGAAGCGGCGGTTGTGGGCCTTGACGATCTCGTCTCTGGTGGGCGAGGCCAGGACTTGCATGCAGTAGTTGCTGCAGCTGAGGAGGACGGTGCTCAGGATGTTGATGACGAGGTGGATCCAGCGGCTGGATTGCTTGACGTCGGCACAGCTGCCCTCGAGGAGCGTGCCGATGCCGTCCTTTTTCGGAAACGGGCTGAAGGTCACCCACAGGGTGGCCGAGATGTTGAGGACGAGCACGACGGCGGCAGCAACGGCGGCGCCGATGGCGCCCACTCGCCAGCCGGAGAGGTGTTGCTGCCGGAAGGTGCGCTGCCGGTGCACCGACGGACGCACCTTCTTCAGCAGCTGCTCGCCGTCGTCGTCGCCATCTTTGCTTCGCTGCAGGATTCCATCGAAGTTGTCGCTCGGCGTTCTCGAATGTCTGCACGCGAGTCAGTCTCTGGTGTTCTGTGGAAGCCGTGTCTCGGGCCCAGTACCGTTCGTTCAGCTCCACCACCCCCTCGCGTAGGTCTTGCGAGCCCAGACGGCTGTACCGCGTCGGTTTCCTGTCTAAAGGCATCGAGAGGTTCGAAATGTAAGCGATGTGCGAGCCGGGCGAGGTTTGCCGTCAGCCCAGGCCTCGTCGCACGAGTGGCTTATTTTAGCAGCCGCCTGAATCCTTTCGGGGGCCAAAACTGACCTGACCCACCAGCAACCTAGCAACTTGATACAGTGACTTGTCCAGGCGTCCATGCAGCCAAGGAACGTCAGTACGTTTTCAGCTTAGTATTGACAATCCATTCATAACCTCTTCAATTTTTCCGCTTATAAACAAACCGACTTGACCACATGAACTCGACGACAGATGATCAAATGAAATAAACTCCAAAGTTTCTACATACGCTGCGGCCGCTTCACAAGCAAGGCCAACTGCTCTTCTCCAAGTGGATTTCCGTCCCTGGTGAATACCAAAGTATTGCCCGTCAGTGATTCTTCATACCTTACAGGCGTCTTCGACATGAGCAGATTTTGCTTGCCGTTTGCAATGTTGACAAGAGCCGATATCAACGACAGACCACCCGTGAGCAAAGGAAGTAGCTGGCCTGGGTCGTGCAATATGTCGCTTTGCGGGTGCAGCTTCGCATCGCGAATCGTGAGTTCGACCGAAATGATGAGTATGACCACATATCCGACGAGAACGATGGCAACAATCGGTAACAGCATCACTAGTGCTCTGTTGATGCAATTCCGTCTTTTGCGCGAATTGTCCTCGTCGGTTTCGATTCGATTGTAGCGTCTCTGTGTTCTCTCATCATCCCTAAGGCCGCGGAGCTGGCGGCAGACGTTTTCGACATATGTATAGCAGGCGCACAGGTAGAACATGTATGGTATCACCTCCAAGGCGGCTATGACGATAGCGTGAGTTATCATGAACCTAAGCGAACAGTGTCAGCAAAAGAAAAATCCTGCTCTTGGGCGGGTTTTCAAACAAACAATTTAATCGCGGTGGAGTCTGATTTCCACGTCTTCATCATCCAGATAGGGTTGTCCAGGGCCGAGTGCTGCTGAATCTTAATCGCGAACAGAATGTGTAAAGCATTCACCCATGCCAGGACAGCGAAAACCTGCAGGAAGTTGAGCCCTTCGCCGCGGATCACCTCATGACGCAACAGTCCCCTGCCGTCTGTAGTCTTCCAGTGCCTTCGCGTGGTACTAAAGCTCAAGAACAACAGAAATGCGCCTGGTGTTGTGAAAAGGAGGAGCTGCGCCAGCCCCACCCAAAGCTCAGGAATCGCCATCTTGTCGGTATGGAAGCGAAAAGTCCAACGGATGAGAAGTTGGAAGGCCAGTATGATGCCAGAGAATTGGCCTTTCGCATCTATGCTTTCGAGAGTCATGAATCCGAGGAGGTAGGCAAACGCTTGTAAATAACTTCCCATTCGTACTCCAAGCCCGTACACATTCTGGCCGTTCTCTTGCTTGTCTTCCGAGCTTTCCCGCTTCTTGAACTCCTTCAACTCATTGCCTGCGAGCAGAGACTGGCCGTGAACATGGCCATCAGCAGTGTCGCTTTGGATGAGTATCAGAATGGTGATGGTCAGAATCGCGCGGTGGATCGTAAGTCTGTGCGAGGAGTGCATCTTAAGTGGAAGATTGAAGAAGGTTCAAGTCTTGATGAAAGCAATAGCCCTGAGAAGCTGTATTGGGGATCTTTTCTTCTTCTTCTTGGACCAGCTAGACCTACAGCGCACATCTTATATTTTCAAAAGAGCCTTTCGACGTAGGCGTCAGCTGACGGAGAAGATGTAACAGACTCTGCTTGGGTGTCAGCCTGATCTCTCATACAGCTTCACTTTAGCCTCGCGCATATCTTGATCTATTATGTCCGTTTGTGTCCCACTTTCTTGTTATAATTGTCGGTACATCTGCAGCTGCGACCCTTTTTGCATCTATTTGCGTGTCGGTGGCTTACCGGCGCAGCTAAAAAGAACCAGCTTTGCATAAATGTATCGCTCTACGGCCCCAATCCTTTCAACGGCTTCGGCAGACATGGTCTTGAACGGCGAGAGCCGTTGACAAGGCACATTACTGGAAGTCGACGCGCCCGCTTTACCACGCAAAGAACCGTAGTGGCTTAGCTGAGGTTCTATATTAAGCGATATGTATGCTGTTAAGCTCCAGCCTTGCGCTCCTGTGGGCTGCCGCAATGATTATCTTATAGACTAACATTTTTGGGATCGTCTGGCAATGAGACAATCGGTGGCAATGAGACAATTGGCGGCAATGAGACAATTGGTGGCAACCGCCTCTGAGTGATCTAAACCCGCTATTCAAAAGAAGCCTCGCTGCTGGACTGGAATGCTCTTTCTATCGAGGCAGAGGATGCTGCGAAAAA